CTGCAAAGCGCTTCAAGACCGGGGAAGTACAGACCAACACTCCACATCGAACAAACTTTAGCGGTGGAAGCGCTCTTGATCCTCGGTACCAACAAAATTCTCCTGTACTATCTCCACCGCAGCAAAAGCCGTCCATTGATTTAACCATGAGTGAGTACAAGACTTTCATGAACAAGACAACATGACTGACAAAAACTAGGCGACGACGAGGATGAAGTACAAATAATTCAAGATAACAGCAATGAAGAAGTCTGCATTGGCAAGCTCAAGCACACTTATATTCAAGCTCATCTCGTTCCTTTCCCAGACCCCAAAAAGTTTGTTGGAAACCACGGCGGCCAGAGCCGAATCAAAGTCGCCTTTCGCAGGGCTGGCAACAAGGGAAATCAGATTATCATGGTACTTGATGGCATGGGCAAAGAGTTTGGTAGAGTTGACATGAAGACGGCACAGGGACTTACGCCTCTCATTGATAGTGCGCATATGAGCGGTCTCAAGTGGATGGCCTGGACAGAGCCGCGTCGCAAGCTTCCAAACGAAGGACCACCAGGAAGCAGCACTTCGGCTCTTATCACAATGACTATGCAGCTGTACTGCCCCCGCAAAAATGCAGATAACATCGGCAAATTTCTCAAGGGCAAGAACCTCATCCTCGAGCGTCCTGTTTTCGAGCTCGCGCGCCATGATTACTACAACCCGCAAACAAAAGAAGGGTTCCAGAAGAGTCAAGCTTCACAGCCTGGTTTCGAAGCACCTACACCATATGCAGCTATGAACAACTACGTGGTCCGAAGCGTCGACGAGATTCGCCAGGAAGTGGACGATGTCTTTGACACAGTCGTCTCCAGCTCTGAAGCGGTACCGATGCGAAACCCGTCGCCACTCATCAAGACCGAGTTGTACCCGCATCAAAAACAAGCACTTTACTTCATGGTCGATCACGAAAAGGACCGTTCTTCGGAGGAATTTGATCAGCGTAGGGATCCGATGTGGACAACCAAGACTCGTGATAATGGCCGGATATCATACGTACATATCATCACTGGCGAAGAGAGAGCACAGAAGCCAGCCCCGAGCCTGGGAGGTATACTAGCCGATGAGATGGGACTTGGAAAAACGCTCAGTATCCTGTCTCTCATCTGCGACGAGGCCTCCATCACTGCCGCTCAAGCATTCAGTCAGAAGAAACCGCCTCCTCGTCCCCTTCCCGCCATGATTCAGCCTACCATCAACACTCGGGCAACGCTTCTTGTATGTCCTCTCAGTACGATGACTAACTGGAAGGAGCAGATCAAGGAGCATTTCCCCGAAGGCAACGGCTCATTGAAGTGGACACGATACCATGGAGCCGAGAGGTTCTCCATGACCCCTGAGAAGCTAGCCGACTACGACATTGTCTTGACCACCTACCATATCATCGCCAAAGACATTATGGACAAGAAGCGTGCGCTTCCTTATCTTAACTGGTTCCGCATTGTTCTTGATGAGGCTCATACGATTCGTAACCCAACAAACCAGTCAAAGGCCGCTTGTAATATGATGGGCCAGCGGCGATGGGCTGTTACGGGTACACCAGTTCAGAACCGACTTGAGGATCTTGGCGCACTCTTCAACTTCATCAAGCTGAGGCCATTCGATACCACTGCCGGTTTCAATACGCATATACTGAACCCCTTCAAAAGTGCAGATCCCAATGTGGTAAAGCGACTGCAGCTACTCGTTAGTACCGTGACTATTCGCCGCACAAAGGAGATCATCAAGGAAGAGGTGCCGAGGAAGCTCGATTATGTCGTCAGACTGCAGTTTTCTAGGGAGGAGAAGCAGTTGCATGATTGGTTTGAGAAGGATACGCAGCGCAAGGTCCTTGCTGTTACCCAGGGTGACAAGATGGGTGGAAAGTCTTATGCGCGCATCCTTACGGCTATTCTCAACCTTCGCCTCATCTGTGCACATGGACGCGACTTGCTCAGTGAAGAGGCCCTGAAGACCACAGACGGCATGACATACGAGCAGCCGATGGAGATTGAAGATGATGGTCAAGAAACGCCCCAGCTCACGCGCCAACAAGCATATGAGATGCTCAACCTTCTCGAATCTACAAACGCAGCCGACTGCCACTACTGTCCAGGCAAGAAATCAATACTAGACGCTGATTCTGACGACGAAGACGAAGAAGGAAACGTCCAAGACGTCATCGGTTACATGACCACCTGTTACCACCTTGTCTGCCCCCGCCATCTCAAGAAGTTACGGGATCAATGGAAGAGTCTAGTCCAACCTGATGGATCTGTCCGCTGCCACATCTGCGACGACGTCAACCGGCCCGCTGCCCTGGAACTCAAGCGCGCGGATTTCTACTCCTACCTCGAAGAGCAAGACCGCATCCGCAAAGACCCCAAGTTGGCTAAGAAAATAGGCAGTTACACAGGTCCCCACACAAAGACCCAAGCCCTTCTCAACGATCTTGATGAGTTCCGTCGCTGGAGTGATGAGCATCCCAATGAACGTCCCATCAAGAGGTATGTTTTTCCACAACCCCCACACCCCTCTTTTAGATTCTGTTTTACTAACACGCTACATCAGCATCGTATTCTCCTCCTGGACCACTCACCTTGACCTCATCGAAATCGCCCTCAAAACCGCCGGCCACGCCCTCGTCCGCCTCGACGGCCGCATGACCCGCGACGCACGTGACAAATCCATGCACCTCCTGCGCACCTCGCCCGACATCCGCATCATGCTCGTCTCCATCGGCGCCGGTGGCCTCGGCCTCAATCTCACCACCGCCAACAAGGTCTTCATGATGGAACCGCAGTTCAATCCCGCGGCTGAAGCGCAAGCCGTCGATCGTGTGCATCGCCTAGGACAGGACAGAGAGGTTACGATTAAGAGGTTTATCATGCAAGATAGCTTTGAGGAGAAGATGTTGGTCCTGCAGGAGAAGAAGAAGGCACTTGCGGATTTGACCATGGCAAGGGAGAGGAAGAGTAAGGAGGAGGCGACCAAGGCCCGGTTGGAGGAGTTGAGGAGTTTGTTTAGGTAGGGAGCTTGGGTGGTGATGGGTAATTAATTGGCGGGACGAGAACAGCCAAAAAAGGAAGGTGCAACGAGAGTGATGAGGATGAATGATGAGAAAAACAAATCAGCGGGTGAGAAATCATATACAAGCTATCATCTTTTCGAAGATCAATATTTTTTTTTTTTTCTTTTTTTTTTTTTTTTTTTTTTTTTTTTTTTTTTTACTTTGGGGAAAGCAGGGGACCCCCCATTCCATGACTTTGGGAAGGAGGAAAGGAAAAAGACAGCAACACAAACATACGGCTTTTTCCACCATTCCAAGTCGTCTTTGTCTGGTTTTATTCTCTTTTTCTTTTCTTCTTTAATCACAATGGTGTTTGAGGCGTCTACATGGGCAACTTTTTTCGAGGCGGTTAGGGTCCGAGATGGTCTTGATGAGGAAATTGAGGGGGGGGGGGGAGAGAATAGGCGCGCGGTTGGGTTGGGTGAACAGGCAGGGTAGGGGGGGCAGGGGAAGTCCCTTTGTACCTCTTTTCTTTCGGGCTTAATTCATGGAAAGGCATGCTTGGTTTCTACTTGTATATTTCACTTGTATAGATTTTATTTTCGCTTGCGGCTTTTGATTCGTGTGGTGTGAAGTATATGTATGTGTGAGGTGCGTGCAAGAACAGTGGATGCACTTTATTTGGTAGATTATTGGAATGGGCTTTGTGGTTATTTGTAGCGGTGTTAAGTATGGAGGGTTGTGGTGGGGGATTTGAGGAGGGGATTTAGCGAGGTATGGGCTGGAGATGGTATTTTTGTGGGCATATCTAGACTGTTACCATCGCGTTGGGCATAGGGGATCTTGAGTGGGATGTTGTACGAAGCGGGAAGAGTCAAGTACCTGGGTGAATTCCGGGGCGGCTGGGGTAGTCGCGGTTTGACTGGATGGTATTGAGGGTGCCCAGGAACAAGATGTTTCTAGATATTGAGGAGGGAATGGTGAATACGTGGCGGAGAGTTGCTGGAGAAATGCTAGTTCAGCACTAATACAATATTGTAGCGTGTATATGCAGGGTTGAGGAATCTGGGAAGGGCGTGTGACGAGTTTGCCCTGAAACTTAGTTAGGGGATGTGGGGAAAGGCGGTTGAGCTGTTTCATTGGTAATGTACTGGTCCGAGAACGATTTGGAACAGTGGAACTATGGGCATGTAGATGGTTGTTGGTTGGAAGTAGAGTGGCGTTGGCATAATGAGGCGGGCATATTGCGGATCTGGTGCTTTGATGAGGTTCTCGTGTTGAATAGAATTTGGCAGTGTTTGTTGGCCGTCAAAGAAACTAAGATCGGTGCTACATAGGTCTAGACGGGTGAGGCGGACTGTACGACGGTACATGTAACAATACCCCAGGCCTTGTGTCACAATCGTTGCATGGATTTAGCGACTGTCAGCGAACATGCGTAGATGACTTGGCATTTGGTCAATGTTGGCAATCGCGCCATGTGCCAACGATATCACGACTTGTTCTTCTTCCTCGTACATGGACCAATCCCATGGAATAACTCGTGGTCGCCAGTCACCACGATGTAGGTGCTCTGTTTGCGGGTTGATGTTTCGCAGCAAAGACGTGGCTCAGTTTCTTCATGCGCGCAGATTGTTTTCCTGGTGATGCGAACATATTGATTCTAGCGGTCAAGCTTCCCGACACTTCATCGATGCTGAGCCATGGCTCAATGCAAAAGAATATTCAGTTGCACTGATGATTCAAAAGCTAGCTCAATTCCTACTACGTGGGAAGTTTCACATACGGACGTCTATTGGGTAACTCTCACTGTCTGGGCCTACATACTCAGTGATAACCTTTCGATCCTGCTCTCATCCTATTTCGCATCTTTTGTCACCTAGCGGTGTCAAATGAGTTTCAATTCTGCCTAGTGGAGCCACTTCCCTCTATAACAAAGATATTTTACTCTAACTCCATTCCAAAACACTCCACTCCAATGTATCCCGTCATACCCCGGCGATACCGACATTACGGAGGCTACCCTTCACTATACGACCCTCCCTCACCATTCGATACCCCGAGCTTTGGCACTTCTATCGGCACTTCTAGTAGTCTCAGTTTCTTGAACAACGGCTCGAACATGCCGAACATCGATATAGCGACCAATATCGAGCAAGCTACACGTCGACATGTCGATACGCAGAGGGAGTACGAAAAGGCGAGGGAAAAATTTGAGGAAACGAAGAAGAAAATGGAAGAGTGCGAGAAGAAGATGAAAGATGCTGAGCGCCTACTTTATTTTGCCAAGTATCGAGTGCCGGGTCGGTGATGTGAGTGATGGTGCCGGTATGGATGATTGTAGTAGATGCCAAAGTGAGGGGTCATATAAAATCTTGCAATCTGAAGGTCCATAGGATAACGAAGGTACTGAATAGGGTATACACAACCTCATTCGGTATATTTGAGCTTCTGGAATCTATATTTTTACGTTTGTAACTCAGTGGTGGTTGTCGATGGCGGCTTAAGTCTCTTGCTTGAATTTGCCATGATCAGGATTTTAGGTTCTGCTCAATGTTATTGCGTTCTAGATAGCCAGATGAAAGTTTCAGTAGTTTAAATTCGATCGCCACAATATGGGTAATTCCAGTATGTAACCCAGAAAACGTGGTGTTTTCGATCTATTAGTCAGGGGCCTAATTGTTTTGTGTAAGATGATGTTGTCGTGTTTATATTGCCCCTGGCCTAGAGTTTTTATCACATCTGCTGGTATCTTTGCTTTGTGAATACACAAGCAAAAGGCTGTTTTACGGTAAGCATAGTCTAACGGAATTGCTTTTAGAATCCTGATATCAGTTTACTCATATATGCTTGATAATTAAATGATCCGACGTACGTACTTTCCTAACAGAATAAGCAACGGAAGAGCAAAAGTTTGAATGCACCAGTTGGACCTGGAAGGATCTGATACCGGAATCGCTCGCTATAGTATTAGGCTTCTGTACGACACAGGCTGGTGCGCCAGTAAACAGATTTTACGTCTTCAGCTTCTTACTATCGAATTCTGAAATCCCTGACTCAATGATCGTGGCTCTGAATAAAATCACCGGCCAGAAACCAGCCACTGAACGGAACCCTAAAGCTATACCCAAATATGTAGCAGTCTCTAATAAGAACTGTCCAGTTCCCAAATTGGTCTGGTCTCAACAAACAAGGCGCGTTGGTGATAGAGAGTGTACAAACTACGTCCTCTTGCTCTACGCATGCAGGTATGATTACCCCTTCTTCATTGTCTATAACGCTGATCCTATATTGGTTGAGAGAGTCAAAGAAAATTATAGCGTCCTTATCGTAGACTCACATCAACGTACTTGAACTTACTTTAAATTTGTTAATCGTCTTTCATTCTGGCAAAAGGGTTACTACTTACTTTTACACTATACAGCCAACGACCTAGGTGCTGTCAAAGTGCATATGCATCTATAGTAGACAAAGTTAACTGATCAGATAACTAAGTCGATTATGGCTAGCAGCGCTGCCATGCTGCTACGCAAAACAAAACTGCATAAAGAAGTGAAGCCGCTTTCGCCAAGCACTGTATCACTACATCCGGACCTCGAGAGCTTTCCATGACTCCGGTTTTGGATCGATCAGTGTCTGAATGTGCGCCGCATTCCTTTCTACGTCATCTAAGCTATACCCTTCCGGCATCTTGAGTTTATGTTTCCAACCATATTTCCCCTTGTCCGTTTGACCCTTCCCTGCTTCTACTGTTGCCTTTGATCGGCCACGCCTTCTTTTTTGCCTTGAGCATTTTTAGCCTCTTTCTTCCAAGCGTGAACTTCCCGAACCACCCTCCCATTCTCATCCTTGTCGAATTTGTCTTACGGCAGGTCTCAGCTTCACTTTTCATGTCTTTGAGAATTCCGGTATGATTGTAGTCCAGTGCTTGCTTGGCAAAGGATCCGAGGGCGGCATCAACAAGGATTTAACCGAGTCGTTCGTGGAGGGCTTTGCTTCACTCGTTACCATGACAAGAACTATGCTTGATCTGATTTGGCAGACTTGTCAGGGCTTCTGCGGAGACGGACGTTCCGCCACACTAATTTTTCTAGTACGAAATCATACACATTAGTATGACTGCTATGCGCCACGAATTATGTCACTGTCAATGTATACGTAACGCCCAGTCACCCAGTGCCAAACAACGCAGCTCGAATAATTGACAATGTTGGTACCAACTCTCCATAAGAAATACACAGTATTGATAAAATCGGTCAGCATAGTTCTCTTCTAACCTCTAAATCGCCATTTATGCTCCTTTATTTGCGAACAATGTCAGCCCAAGGTCTTGCGCCCGAAGTTTGCCTGATCCACGACCCGATATCCAATAGCTCAAGTGTATTTCTCAAGTTCACGCTCTGGTTAAATATGGGTGTAATCATAACCTTCATGATGTCACAATTTCGGTCTACGATCAGTGTGCAGCTAGTTGGAAGCGCTCCAGGTGGCTTCCAAATTACAAGTCCAAAATGCTTTACATGGACTTTATAGGCGCAGCTTTCACCAAGTCATTTCACGATATCAGGTACGACATTCCTTCTTTTTGAAATATGCAGGTGCATATTGTATGAAGTTTTACGAAACAATTGGGCAAAATGAGGGCTCACCATGGTACGATTTGCAGTTATCATTTGCAGACTGATTGTATGGACAATGCAATAACACGGACATATTCTTAGCTGAGATCTCAGTAATTTCATGAGTAGAATGAATGCTTCCAGTTTGTCGATTCAACCTCTCGAGCATGAAGTGACAAAACCGCGGAATTATAGCGCGCAGGATTATCTGTCTCTTGCGAGGGAACTCCAACCATAAGAGAACTAGCTCTAGCTACAAGCATCAATTGAAAACTGGTACTATCCAAAATACTACAAGGGTGTTACCTCTAGCAATTCGCAAATAGGCTGTGAGGCTTTCCTGAAACATGAAAAGGCACTGTCATTACATTTTTGGTTGAGATTACGAGAGGCTTCAGCAGAACAATCTTCCAGTGTAATAGCAGAAATTTATCCATACACTTTACTTGCTTCATGTCTTTCTCCAGACCAGTAAATCTTGGAGAGTTCTGGCTGCAGTGATGCATGTGAAGACGTTCTCATTCTTCTCCGTCGCCGTCCAATACCACCGATTTTCCACTAGCGCCTGTACCCGTGTTTCCACCGGGACTCGTTCGTCACTAAAGCGGGCCCAGGGCTGCTCCCAAGATTGCATGGTGGCTCGAAGGTGTGATGAGTCATCGTAACCAACGCGATACTTTGCCAGCAATTCTTTCATCTTTACTCCTGTAGCCTCTGAAAGTTCTCCAAGCTTTGAGGTCCATACGGTTGATGCATTGACCTCCTTTGGCCACTCGTCGAGTATCCACTTTTGGAATTCTTGAAGGTCAGAATCCAATTCCTGCAAATCTTTCTCGTTCAGTCTCATGAGTTCACTCCAAGATGCACCACCAATTCGTATAACATGCTGTGGTTCTTTGTAGTTGACATTCTTTTCGTCGATTGCTTTCTGGAGGGCTTTTAATGCTACGTTTTTCCTCTTATCGTAGTCACCGTCTGCATACATCATGGGCAGCCCCACATCAAAAATTCCCATCAAAGAATAAGCAACATCTTCTGGGATAGTTGCAGAGCGGTCCTGGGTCCAAGAAAAACGCTCATCTACGGTAAAGTAAGAGACCTCAGGTCCCTCGAGGGCTCGGATAGGAATCTGAGTCACAGCGCTAATCGTAGATATCAGACTCTTTTTACTGCCGAGGAACGTCTTTTCCTTGGAAAAGAAGAAAACAGAAGTTGGTGCAATGAGCTCTTGAAGCGTCCAACTACGTTTGAACCACCTACTCCTTGAGAATGCATCTTTCCATCTCATGTAAGAACCCTCTGTAAATTCATGATCGGATACATCAGAGAGATGCACGTAGCATCTGGCGGAACTTCTATACCAGTAGAACATGGAGGCCAGTGAACGCTGCAATTCGGCGCTGGACGACTTGTTGATGCAGCACGTGTCTATCCAGAAGTATGCCAGGCCATCCTTCTCAACCTTCTCTTGACAGAAGCGAAGCTTTTCGTATCCCGGTTTGCTGGTATCGCCATAGTCTTTCTGACCACCTTGAATATCCTCGAATTGAACCTCATCACCACTCCTGCCCCACGTATGGGACAGAATAGCATAGACTGGAATTTCGTCCTCCGAGAAACTTTCGAGGATCCATTTGCATTTCTCAGGATCAAGTCGCAGAAGACGTAGAAGACGTATAGTCATGTTCAGTAGAGAAATGAAGAACAGTTGTGGGCTGAATGCTAACCCTTCGCACAACAGACTCAGCTTACCCCGCACAAGGCTGTTGTTTGTTACCCCCACAGCCTCATGACAACCAATCAAGACTCAACTGCAAAGGATCAGCTTTTGCTGTTTAAATGCTACCTTGGGTAGCTTTCATGTTTGAGGAACGAAAAAATAGTATTGACCGGAACGTGTATTTAGTCCCGAATCGTCCAGAACAATGCAACTACAAAAGCATGCCACAAGGTATAAGCAGTGTGGTTTTCGGATATCTGGAATCGTTTGCATAAGAGATGAGAAAAAGAGACAAGGGCGAAGTTTCACGGAACTCTTTGGCCGTAAAGCGATCAAAATTGCATATGGTTAGTTTTGGCCTATAAAGTGAATTTTCTCACAGCATGCCTAGCTCTATCAATTGCTACCTAAAACCTGAGCGCTGGCCAAAAAACGACAAAATCATTTCTCTGATTGGCTCGTTCTAAGGCAGTAATACTAACTGTTCTCCAGACTTTGTCTAGATATGGTTTAGGGTAGAGCGCAGGCCCCCATGCTCCTTGGCCCTTCAACATAACCGACTCCAGGGAGGTTTACATCGACTGATATTCGTTCTCAGAGCGCTGAAACGTCATAGATCCTCTTGTAGACTGCCTTTTTTAATTACAAAACTACTGGCATAGATCTTCCGAGACTTGATTCAGCCGCGAAAGCTCCAACACAGGCCCACAAAACGCGATGCTGGTTCCCGAGACCCGTCGCTTCCCATACTACTACGGTTAAGGCGCTCAAATTGGCAAGCGTTGGCCGAGAGAACAGGGATTTCCGCCTTCCCACATTCCTATTATTTCCTAAATACCCCTTACGCAATTCCTTGGCCACCCATGACTCGGAGGATTTTATTAAGCTATACGAATATTGTTGCAGATCCTATGCCCAAACAGGCAGAAGTTAAGAAACAACAAGACCTGCTTGGATGTGGGACTTTTTTTCAATTACAATGGTCTATGCGACAACGGCCATGATGCAATTCAAAAAGTGTGTCTAGTCCAGCAGTGTTGGGCAAGCCGCCTCTGTTCCACACGCCTTGCCTTCGTTCACAATGCGCTTCTTCACTCGTTTCACCGCGCTAGTCACAGCCGCAGCTCCGTTCATTGCTCTTGCTGCTCCCGTCGCAGCACCTCCAGAGAATGACATAATTCCTGGAAAATACATAGTCCAGCTGAAGCCTGATACCGATGTCGCAGCGGTCGCTGCCCACCATCACAAAGTGCGCAGCATCCATGCCCGCAACCTGGCCCGACGAGGTGACAATTCTCCGACTGGTGAGCCAGTGGAGCGCGAGTACGGGTTCGGCGACTTCAAAGGCTATTCTGGGTTTTTCGATGAAGCAACCATCGAAGAGTTGAAAACTCTGCCAGAGGTAATACAGGCCCCTTCATACAATGTCACAACCTAGCAATGCTGATATAATTGTTAGGTGCTTGTAGTTGAGCCAGATTTTATCATGAGGACTTCCGCAATTGTGTCTCAGGCAAGCCCACCATGGGGCCTCGCTAGTATCTCCTCCCGCACACCAGGAGCTGCCTCTTATGTCTACGACGACAGTGCGGGCCAAGGCACCTTTTCCTACGTGATAGGTAAGTCAAAAACATAGTGTAGATCTTGATTTGGTGTTGACATATTATCAAGACACGGGTGTGCGCATCACCCACCAGGACTTTGGCGGACGAGCCATCTGGGGATTTAATGCCGTAAGAAACAGTCCTGATACTGATGAAGATGGCCATGGAACGTAAGCCACACTTCATCTCACAGTGGCAATACTCTTCTGACATAAACTAGTCACGTTGCTGGAACCGTTGGCGGTACCAAATATGGTGTTGCCAAGAAAACCACCATCATAAGTGTCAAGACCTTCGGTGGTAGCTCAGGAAGTGCATCAGATGTCTTCGCAGGGTTCGACTGGACGGTCAACGATATCGTTTCCAAGAACCGACAAAACATTGCCGTCATCAATATGTCGTTCGGTGGATCTGCCTCTACAACGTGGGACAATGCCATTACTGCAGCTTGGAACAAAGGGGTAAGCATGGTCGTAGCAGCAGGAAACGAAGACGGACCCACATCCAATCGCTCGCCAGCCCGCTCTCCCGAAGCCATCTGTGTCGGGAACGTCCAGAGCAACAACAGAAGGCTCAGCGGTGGAGGAGGCTCCAACTACGGCCCTGAAGTGGATATCTTCGCTGCAGGCACCCTCATCGTCTCCGCATCCCATCTGAGCGACACAGGAACAACCACTAAGAACGGTACTTCCATGGCGGCTCCTCACGTAGCTGGTCTGATCTCATACCTTCGTGGCCTTGAGGGTCCCTCGACTGCGGCGGCCATTAAGGCGAGGGTGTATCAACTGGCCACGCCTGGTGTCGTGACAGACGCAATGGGCTCAGTCAATCTACTGGCATACAACGGTAACAAATAATCGCATTTCTCATGAACGAGGATCCTAGAATTGCGGTAATCTACGATTTTATGATTGGGATGTAATCTACTTCCTTGCCTGGGCTCTTTTCTGTATATATTATGTGTTGAATAACTACCAATTATCCGATTTTATCCAAGTCACTTTCAATGCTTCAAAGTTGTAGTATGACTTGTTTAGACTAACCTGTAATGTTCTAGAAGTCACGCTGTCTACCAATCCAACTCGAACTCGACAGTGATCGGCAAGGCTTCGTAAAACACAAGCTCTTGAACGAAGGGAACACAAGCGTTCATTTTTTTACTACTCGTCTCGAATCGATTCCTTCACAATGTTATTGAAAGGAACAACTAGCTCACAGATGAGTTACAAAGCATCTCAAGATATCGATAATTCTTCAAAATCTCATATTAGTAGGTGAGCAATACATTGCCATGTTCCCACTTGGTAAAGGTTGACTTTTACGAAAGGTATACTTAGCAGCTTGGCGCCGTCAAAAAATGTCAACACCAACCGGACATGTCGAATGATCCACTTCCAAGTCCACCAAGACGGAGCAAGTCCGATCTATCCTGCCGTGAACTCCAGAAAACGTGTACGATCATCGGGGATGATGCAAGGTCCATCCTTGTGTCAAGAGACACTCGCTGTGCAGAGACAGCTTCTAATCCGTACTTCCTGAATCTTTTACCTATAGATCTTCCAAGCTTTCGGTAATATAATAAAGTTCTACCGTCTTCTCTTCTTCAGAAATCAAGTCTCCAGAAAGCACCATTGCAATGTTGGACTTGTTATCGATCGTTGCTCGATGCGGGGCGCCAACATCAACATCCAGAGTGTAATGCATGGCAGCGCACTACACGCAGCTACATATTGGGGCGAAAAATGCAAAGCTGGAGCTTCTAATGTCAAAATTCGATATCAAGCAGCTCCAAGATCCGTACAACCAGACTCTACTCTCGTAGGCTGCAGGCGGTGGCCAGCCTCATACTGCTAACGTCCTTGTTAGCCAGTACCATCACGACTCTCAGATCACCGACAAGTTTGGGCGCTTGCTGATCTGGATTGCTACGAAGAAAGGTCACCGTGCAGTGCTGAAATTCTTATCAGAAGAGTGTGGACTGATCAGTCTCGAGCAAGTAGTGTTACCTAATCGTGATGATGTAGTATATGTTGAATGCAACGTCTGTACCTCGCTTGTGAGTGTGGCCGATCCTCATAACTACCACTGAAAACATTGCTCCAATGAAAATTGGGATGTTTGCGAAGACTGTGGGAAAAGAGGTACTCTTTATGCGAACGAGGAACATACCTTGATTGAGCGCACAAGAAAACATGGAAAGTGGGCTTGCAACAACCAAATAGATATATCAAGGTCAGGAACGCCCTGAAGATCTGCTCTCAGGGCTTCTGTAGCCGCTGCATAGATAGCTAAGCTTATGCAAAGATGTTTTTGTATACAATGTACACTACCAGTGCTCGCAGAACTCCTTCAGCGGTAGCAACAGCCCGTGTCTTGAGTTTTGGTTGGTAATCTAGTGCGATGCACCGCACTGGCAGTATGTATGACTACTTGTGTACAGGGCTATCAATGCCGATGAGCTTACTGGAATGAATGCATTGAATGGCCCGAATGCAGTTAGATCTTACGTAATGGAAGAGACGAACACCATCCTTACCGTTGATCTCACTCGCGTGCCTCTTACTAGCTTGAAATGCAACTCTACTAGCTAGTGTTCACATGCTAACCCCGCGAAATCACGGCAGATGGATACTAAGAAAGACCAAGCAGACCTAGCGAAGCTTGTAGAGACGAGAAGCCGAGGCAAATTGGATCTAGAAGATTTTTCTTGAATACACATTTGTATTTGTGAGTCGTTGAAAAATCGCAGATCAGTTCATGATAAGGAAACTTCTAAGAAGCCAACCTTCCCGCCATCGGTTCACCGCTCATCAACGGCCTCTATTCTATAAATAATTCTTCGGGAAGTACGGCTAACTGGTCATCCAATGAACTTTTTTATCAGGAAAGAGTTGATTAGATGCAAATCTCTAGCCCCTGTAACTGCCTTATGTCATCTTCCTTGCCAGATAATAAGCTTTTTCCGAGTTTGCTTGGTACAGGAACGGAAGGGCTTAATTCTTGGGTATATAGGCCGAACACGAAAATCTAGAAATGCTAGCGCACGGGGATAGTAACTGCTTCCGAGTCAGCTTCTGATCGGTAGGAACATCCAGACCATTGCACATCAATATACAATTCCACTCGTTGCATACAAACACTGGTTGCTCCACAGTGTAACTCGGGTAAGTTGTAACAATTGCGGAATACTTCATCCTGTGACCTGGAAAACACCGCTCCTCGAAATAGCGACAAAGCACTGATGCAACCTACCACTGTCAGCGATGTCACTATCGGACCTAAGGAAATTGTATATTTCGGTGTATACTCCGACAACCAAAATAGCCACCGCAAAGGCTAAAGTAAGCAGCCACTGCTGAGGCCGTTGCACTATGCCCATTTGGTCCTCTGTAAAGCTACGTCCGACATGTCACGACATGGTCCGCACCCATGAACACTGGCCGAATCGGTTGCCGCGATGCTGCCCGTCCAAAGAACGTGATTGTCACTGCGCAACGGCATCGTAGGATGACCGTTCATATAAGGATATGAGCAGGTTCTCACTGTTGCACATCGCTACCGCGGCCATTTCGCGCTCTCTCCTAATAGCCCATCCACCACCCTCGCTTCCTTAATAGTTCACAGACCACTCTCGCCATGTTGTCTTTCGCTCAAGTCATGGCCATACTCGCCTTTACTGGCGCAGTTATTGCCAGCCCTGCCCCAGAAGGTTCGTCAAACAAGGGCTGCGTGGTCACGATTGCGCAATGCAGAAAAGTTCAATCGAGCTACGGCTAACATTTCTCCAAAACAGAGGGTACTACCTTTTCGCTTCATCCGATTTCTGGATCTGCATCCAAAAAGCATGGACTGGATCAGCTGATCGAAGTCAGGCGTAGAGCCGGAGTCGAAGTACATCCAAAGCTCGTCGAGGCTGCAGAGAATGCCGGGCGTCGTCTACGCAGAGACCGTTTGGCTTCTCGTAGCACTGGTCGAAGAGTGGCTGGGGCTTCATGGGGATGGAGTGAGGACAAATGGGATACTGAATACCTTTATCCAGTCCAAATTGGTGGCAAGAATGGCAAGACGTTTCGCTCTTCGATCGGCACTGCTGCTGCAGATTTGTGAGTTACTTTGTACTTTTAGTGAACCATGGGCATACGCTGATATTCATCAAGCTGGTGCCATTCTTCCGCACAGCCGACGGAACAGAACGTTGGGTACACCTACTATGAAATCAACCCCGCTCACCAGAAGGTCGGCTCTAATTACTCAATTGGATACAACGGCGCTCAAGCAGATTCGTACGGCAATGTGTATGTCGAGGATGTAACGATCGGCGGGATTACCACCAAGCAAGCCTTTGGCGCAGCCAGTGGCTTATCACAAACATTCCTATCGGACCCGGATCTGGACTGCATGGTCGGTATCGGCAACAGCACCTACAACAGCATCGTGCCTGAATACGAGAACAATTTCTTCGACAACATCATGAAACAGCTTGTCAAGCCCGTCTTTGCGTATGCCCAAAAGAAGGGCGGAGCCGTTTTCGACTTTGGATTCTTTGACCAGAACCAGTATACCGGCAAGGTTGCCTGGGTCGACAACGCACCCGAGGATGGTTGGCCTGCATACGCCTTCTACGGCGAAGGCTTCAGCCTTTTCGACCCCAACGCCAAGGTAACCCCGAGGAAAATGAACATCCACCTCGATGCCTCCACCACTCTTTCCTACACCGACCCTGATATCGTCACCGCGTGGTACAAATCCGTTCCCGGGTCCCAGTACGACGACGACCAGCAGATGCACAGCATCCCTTGCAACAGCAAGCCCGGCGGCTTCACCATCGTCATTGGGGGTCAAAAATTCTTCACTCCCGGTGATCAACTTGTTTCCATCCCCCTTGACGATGAGGGCAAGACATGTCTCGGTGGTCTGCAGAACATTGGCGGCGGCGTCGATTTCAGTCTCTTCGGCATGACTTGGCTAAAGGGCAAGTACATCATGCACGACTTTGCCAATCCTAAAGCTGTTAGACTAGGGTTCGCCATGCAGCCCGGTGCTACCCACTAAGCGCCTTTTTCTTTCGCTTAGCGCTCACCAGATAATATGGGAGTATTTAATGTGTACGCGAGGTCTGTGAGCCCAAAAACGTGGGCATCACAAGAAAAGTAAAAACCAAGTAACTAATGTTTTTTTATGGTAAATAGACTAGAATATACAACGGCTTTACTACCTTCATCTCATCCCTGATTTTATGCCGCAGAAACGTCATTGCTTTTGACTTGCACCAAAGATCCCATCCATCCTCTACCCAAAAAACCGCACTCACATTGCCACTCTGGTATTTGAGTGGTCGGCGAAGCGCTTGCACAGCAAGGGCGCACGTATATAATACGAGTTCGACGTTGCAGCTGTAAGAATCAGGCGTTGAGTCCATAAAAGAAATCTACAATTCTTATTACGATCTTAGCCTTACAGCAAATCAGCTGAAACCATAGCAAATCACGGGTAGGTGTTTTTTGTGAGAGAAGCCCTAAGCATCGTATTAGCGAAATGCAATGTTACAGCATGTCGTTGTAGAGACGCCGGATCGTCCGTTCCATTTCGGCAACAGCTCAGGCAAGACATTGTAAACAAATCCAACTCCATCACATCACAAGTCATAAAATTTCCTCAATCCACACACAAGAGGCAAAGAGAACAATATCACAACTAAACATGATAACTTGATTGGAAAATATTACATTGCTTAAAAAAAGAGGTATATAACATTTTAGACATTCTGCTCGTTGATGAAAAGACCAGCCATTCCCATACCAGTACCAATGCACATACTGGTGAGGAGAACCTTCTTCTTTTGCCTCCTGCACTCACTGAGCCCAGTGACGATTTGTCGGGCACCTGTGCATCCAAGAGGGTGACCAAGGGCGATAGCACCACCGCGGACGTTGAGCTTGGAGTGGTCGATCTTGAGGGTCTCGAGGCAGTATACGGCCATGGAGGCGAAAGCCTCGTTGATCTCAATGAGGTCGACATCGTCGAGGGTGATGTTGAACTTGGTGAGGAGCTTGGGGATGGCGACGGATGGACCGATACCCATGATTCTTGGGGCGAGGCCGGCGACGGTGGCGCCAATGTACTTGGCCATGATGGGCTGGCCGAGCCTCTCGGCGGTGGAGCGCTTCATGAGGAGGACGGCGGCGCATCCGTCGGTGAGTTGGGAAGAGTTGCCAGCGTGTGACTTGTCGCCATGGGGCAGGAAAGCGGGCTTGATCTTCTGCAGGCTTTCGAAGGTGGTGCCGGGCCTGATGCCCTCATCCTTTGTGAGAACAACCGTCTTCTCCTCGCCAGTCTTGGGGTCCTTGACGACAGTGGTGATGGGCACAATTTCGTCGTCGAACCAGCCGGCCTTCTGAGCGGCCTCGGCCCTTCGGTATGACTCTGCGGCGAACCTGTCCTGGCGCTCACGCGAGATGTTGAAGTCGTTGCCGACGTTCTCTGATGTCTGACCCATGGGTTGCATGCAGTCGCATGCCTCCTTGTTCTCAAGAACCTCATCGACAAAGGGCCTCTCAAGCCTGTCTCCACCCACGGTCATGCTCTCGGCGCCAACGGCCAAACCAATCTCGATGCTGCCGACAGAGATCTGGTTGGCAATGTCCTGCACTGCCTTAAGACCTGACGAGCAGAAACGGTTGAGGGATGATCCGGCCGTGGTGTTGGGGAAGCCCGCAGCGAGCATGGAGGCGCGGATATAGTAGGCAGCCTTTGCATCGGAGACATTGCCCAGGCAAATGTCTTCTACAAGGGCGGGATCGAGGTTGGACTTTGCAACGACCTGCTTCAGTGTCTTTACGAGGATGCCATCGAGTGTCGTGTCCTTGAAACCACCCTTGTGGGCCTTTGTGAGAGGTGTGCGGATAGCGAGAGTGATGACAATGTCGTCGGGGTTCTTGGTGGTGCTATCGGGGCATTGTCAGCAATTGTTCTTTCAGTGGCGCATCGTGTTATCTTACAGTGCCGCCAGACCGCCAGTAGAGGGCGTCAGCTGGTTGACAATGGACTTGAGGCGGTCAGTCATGATGAGTGTGTGAAGGAGATATGGGTATAGGAAGTAGATGACAAGGTAAAGACAAAGTCTGAAGCGATAAAGAGAAAGAGACGGATTGTCGAGGCGAAGACGCACCTCTTAACTCGACTTGTGGGGCGTGCGCGAGAGCGTGTTGAGCCGAGGATCTCGGAGGCACTTCGCCTAGTCACGTTGCCGTCGGTAATCAATGCCATGGCAACTCCGGCTGCCCCATCAATGTGCGTACTCCACGCCGGGTATAGTAACCACAATATCGCCACGGTAGTTCCAAAGCCATGGTAATAAACCGTCCCTCCCATGGCCATGTGGGACTCACGTGGGCTTTTGGGGGGAAAATGAATGCGGCGCCAACTGCTGCTCTGTCGGCCAACTGCAACTGCTCACGGCTCTTCCCGCCTCCCCACATTTTGCCATAACCATCGTGCGTGGAGACATGGCGGCCCACTTCCCCAACCTCACATTAGCACTGCTTGCCCGGCCATCAAATGTGACTGGTAGAGCTAAGAACAAGATACAGTTCCAGGGTTTACTGAGGTCGGTGGACCTGGTACCAGATTGCTTCTTTCAACCTCAACTTTGCGCGACATCAACGCCACAAGACGTCACATCTCGCACATCACAAATGCCATCTTCTTAGAGTCTAAAGAAGAAGAAAAGTTCAATGCAGTTGTCAACATGATGAATTTGTTACCAACTCTAGAATTACCACCATAAATCGTTTCCTTAGAAGAAACCCTCCTGATCCCCAGCCTACGCATCCTAGCAAAAAAAAATCACAGAAAAATTTACATTCCCCTCCCCACATCCACCTAAACGAACGCTGCCAACATAGCTCCCAAAAATGCAACTCCGGTACCCACATCCAAACGTCCCGCACTACCAGTCATGTTGCCCATGTTCATCATACCCATCGCATTGCCCGTCGGCTTGGGCATAACCATACCATCCGACATGGTCATCATTTCCGATCCCATAGACCCGGACATGGCCATTCCAGATGTGCTAGCCGGCGCATCATTCCACGCCATCGTAACATCAGCCCTCGACGGCGTGGGCATAGGGACCATAGACACGGACATGGACATGGACGACATGGAAGACATGGACATGGACATGGACATTGAGGTTGTTGCCGCCGAGGAGGAAGTCGAAGACGCCGTTGACTCTGCGAGAGCGAGGGGCGCAAAGAGCGCGATAGCGGCGACGGTGAAGCTTGAAGCGAGCATTTTTCTTTTTCGGTATTCCGTTGTACTTTGATTCTTGTTGGTTGGATGTTGAAAGGAAAAAGGTATTTAGCGTTGAGTCCGGCTCGGTAATGTAGGGTTAATGACTCGAAGAATAGAAAAAAGTATATACACAGATCGAGAAAGGGAGAAGATGCGGGAAACGATCAGGAGCGGCGGAGCAAAGGAAACGAGTTACATTGGGTTTATATGTACTTTGCGAATAATCGCTTTATGCGGTTTCTCAGAGGGGGGGTTTTTGGCTGAGATTGTTAACCCAATGCTAGTGACGGTGCTACATGCCACAAAACGCGTTGCACCTGTCAGTGTTTCCTCCTCCTTTCGCTCCGTCATTGACGGTCTCCTCTTCCACTAGGTCCTATGGTCCGGAAACTACAACCTCCGTTTTGCAATAACGTGACTGTGAACGCGCTGTTTCAAACCGCCCGTCGGAACACAGCAGAACCGGACCCACCCAAAGTAAAAAAAACACAGAGAGGCAGGGTGTACGTTCAAAGCATGAGAAAGGGCAGTGTAAGAAAGTGTGTTTCGGCAGCGCTGCGGATTAAACACAGGGTGGCGTTGGGGTGTCCAAGACGGGGGCGGTGGTGGTGTGGACTAGACTGTGTGCGGATTGGCTGAAACGGAAGATGCGTGTGGTTGGTCCGCGTCCGCGCGTTGGTCTGGGGTTTGTCGCGACTTCACTTGCTTGCGTGGTGGGAGGACTTGTGAGAAGACGCTTATTTTGCGCAACTTCGCGTGGCTTGCTGATGGAGATTTGTGCGTAGAGGAAATAGTGAGGCTATAGGAGCAGTGGGAAAAGCCAGGAGGGGGGCATAAGTTTGTGTGTGGGTAGGTGTGGGGAGGACAGGAGGACAGGTGACGGATTGAACAAGCGCGAGACTGATGCACAACTGACATGCTGGAGACGTTTACTGTGGCAGCTCTATTGAAATACGAAAGTTAGCGCTCTTCGGGGGTGATTACTCGACGAGTGTTCTGGATCGACGGCTTTCGAGGTTGGGTGGGGCGCGTGATGCGCGGTGGAGTCTCATGTTTAAGGTATCAAGGCAGCGCGGATAAACATGCAGAAGGCTCGCTTTGTATACGAACTGAGGGCTGCCCGCTCTTTCTGTATGTTTCGCTGGAGCTTGTCAATCAAGGTGCTAAAGACGTCGGTACGGTAAGGCAGTGCAGTACCACTGGAGCTTCACATTTGACTGCTGGAGTGCTCGAGTAATCCTCCAAACTGGTGGATACCCCTATACTTCTCTCATTTCCTATTCTCTACGGTATGCTTTGCCACCCATGTGTCCTTCCTACTCAACTTTACTTTGTCTCGCTTATCGAACCACCTCATCTTCTCAAGTCGGATAAAACTTCATTTTTTCTGGTCTCCCTTTCTCTCGTCAGTCAATCTGATATCTATATCGCCTTACCTTATTGCTAAGTCTCCCATTCTGGCATGCAATCAATTTGTGCGACAGTCACTCACAATGTCATTATCCTCTCCGCTCCGCTCCCTGACAGTGCTCTGTTATCTTCTCCCTCTCTTCAGTCTATTCTTGATTATCGTCCTCCATGCATCGATTCGCTACGAGTAAAGGTTATATTCATTCTTTTCGGTGAGAAATCCGATACTCATTCGTCGTTGAGGCGTCTCGGTCGGTATGTTCTGAACGGATCTCGACAACGCTACGCGCAAGTCAGTGGCGCATCACAGTCCCTAAGAAGTGGAATTAACTCTTGTAGAATTGGATATCTTCAAACATGAAAATAGTATTACCAAAGACAATATCGCTCTCAAGCATACGCCTCGCGTCAACAGTGACACTCCCACAGCTGCATCGGCCACTGACAAATCCCACATCTCCAATGTCACTTAGCACTGTAAACGCTACGCAACATAATCGCACTATGCAACTATCCATACCATACACACAAAACACAAGGTTAATCTCGACCTTCCACTGTGTTGCCCTAGTCGGCTAGGCAGGTACCATAGGGCTACAGGAACAAGACGCCGCTCCGTCACCAACCCACCCTGCTTATCCCCAATATCCCATAAACCAGTATGGCTCTCTTTTTGCCTGACGGAATACAAGACAAGGGTGGGTTCCATTTACCAGGTGGGCGGATCTAAGGCATCCACAATTGGTAATCACGGGCGAGTGAAAGAGACGGTTCCCAAAGCGACGGGTCTAGATAGTACCCGTGATCTTGGATCCGCTGCCTTGGCGCCCGTTTCCACGCGAGAATGCTCAAATATAACCGCTCCGTTTGTTTAACCTAGTGTTTAGACCAGCCTTAACCCCTGTCAGTGAGGCTCCAATACCTTGGCGGAAGGGTGTGGAAGCCTGTATGGGTAAGGTAGGGGGAGACTAATGGCCGCGCGCCAGGTACCAAGTTGATGCAATTGGGTGAATATTGTCCGCGTGGGGGATTAACCTGCTCTATCGCCTCAGTCTGTGTCGTCACAAAAGAATCAAACGCTCACCATACCGGCCCAAGCACCCTGCCCTCATGATGTTCTGCTCTCTATAAAATAACCCTACACTACTATCCATTGCCTCACAACAACTCTGGTTGAGTCGCTCAAGACACTCAAGAAACCCCTCTTTTGGTAGGTACAGTCTTTAGCGTTCTTTTATTTTGGCGTTGTTTTCTCTATCTCTTTCTGTTTTCGAGACAACAATTGCGAAGCATTGTTGTTGTTAACCACCAGGAGCAAACATGGCGGCAATTGCGAGAAACAACGCGTTCGGTGCCGGGGCTCCCAGCTGGAATCTCTCATTCCCAGCTGGTAACATTACTGCGGCTGAGATCACCGCATATTGCCCACACTGGTTGAAGTCAATCGACGTCGTCAACCGGTTCCTGAGTCATGGAGCGCGCACTATTCACATCGCAGCGTTGCTCAACGAGTTCCGGACTTTCCCTGATAACAGGGTATTTAACACCAACTCGACTTTGGTCATGATGTCCTACGCCATGCGCAAGGCCGGGTTCGACGGGTGGTGCGTGATGAAGCATTTCGACTTCTCACGCGAGCACTTCCTCCCGGAGAGCGGACTCAGTGTCACACACTTTCGAACTCCTTGCATGACCCAGCCCAGGGATGAGACTTCGGAGGAAGCACACCATGCAATCAACCAAGAGGTGTGCCCGGTGGCATTCAAGGACTTGGCTAGACACGTCAAGAAGCACCCCTCTGGAGATGATGCGCTCGACCTTGCACGATGCGTGCAATACGCAGTTGAGCACCCGGACGAAGTGTGGCTGTTCCCAACGGACTTCCAACGCCTCACTACATACCTCGGTGGGCCAGCAACTATCACGCCCAACCATCTCGACGAGCAAGTATTCGCTCGCCGCGACGGCGTCAAAATTCCCACGACAAAGCGCAAGAGGTCAGCTGCCATCAAACCGATCTCTAAGAAAAAGCAGCCCATCAACCAGCAGCAAACCACCAAGCAACCTACCGGAGTTCGTAGGTTCATCAACGTCTTGTCCAAGTCAGGTCCATCGCAGCCGCGAAAGCGAGGAAGCGATCATCTCTCCACCAAGGACACAAACTCTGCTGAAGAGTGTGAGGCTGGTCATGAGGTATGTACAATCACTAATACTTCCAAATCAAGTAGCCGCTAACATCATGTCAAGGAGAATGAACCTTTCGGACAGGCTGCCAAGAAGCGTAAGCTCTCCCGCGGTCTCTCAACGTTCAAATTATACGTCAACGACGATCAGTTTCTCCCTGATGAGACTGGGGCCAGTGAGGGGATCTCAGTGAGAGACTTCAACCCACCTGAGCAGGATGAGCTGCCTACAAGTGAGGCTGATAGGAGTATCGCTCTACGAAAGGCTCGTGAGGGAAAGTGGGCAGCTGTTGAACCCGGCACTGCTGCTCCTCAGCCCGATGTTGAGCCCAATCCCGACTCTCTCCAGCCTGACTTCTTGGACTGTGATCAAGTCCTTAACTTTTTTCCCGCCTCTGATCATCAAGCCAACCTTTCATCCAACCACGGTCAGCAACTTGATGGCGTATCCAGCCACGCCCAAAATTCCAACGTCGCATCTGGACATGGTCAGAAGTCCAGTTTCCCGAACGTACGTAATCAGCAGCCTGATCTTGCGCCCAGTCACATCCAACAGCCAAGCTTCACTCCTGCATGCGGTCAGAATGTTGGCGTACCGTCCAATTACCATCAACCGTCTCATCGTTCATCTGGCTATGGCCAGCAATCTTCTTTCGCCTCTGGGTACGGTCAGGAGTCCGATCTCACAGCTGACTTTGGTCTAAAACCCGTTGCCACCCACAACTACGGTCAGCAGCACAGTCTGCCACTAACTTATTCTCATCAGTCGGCTATTCCTTCTGGTCGTGGCCAACAGGCCGTTTTGCCTTCCAATTATGGTTGGCAATCAAGTTCTACGCCTAGCTTTGTTCAAAAGTCTAACATCTCATCTGGATATTGTCAACCATCAAGCTTCACAACTGGGAACGGCCAAAATCCCGATCCCGCATCCAACGTTGACCAAAATTCGAATTCCGCGCCCAACTTTGATCCACTACTGTACAAATTTCCACTTAGCTCTGGCTCGCAACGCCCCAAGGTAACGTCCAGCCACGACCAACCTCCGTTCAGCTTCGTACCCCAGGAATATCAGCAACCATTCAGCCTCGCCTCGACTATTGATCAAATTCCATTGGATTTCACGCCGAACTTTGATCCAAACGCATTGAGCTTCGCAACAACCTTAGATCAAATCCCATTGGATTTCAATCCCACTTTCGACCAAAGGCCATCTAATTTCGACCCTATCCCGGCTACCGAGCAAGTCGAGCCCCTCAAGTGAGTTCCCTCCCACCATATCTATTCTCTTCCCGTTTTCTAACACTCCCTCTTCCAGCTTTGATCTGCCCTACACACAACCATGCCAACAGTCTTACGTGCAACCCGACACCATTACGACGGCGGACCCCCTCCCCGCCCTCCTCACCCCTCCCATCCTCCCAACCAACCGCCTCCAGATAACCACCCAAAACCTCCACAAATACGCCCTACCCCCCTTCCGCTCTCAAGACGACATGTACACCACCGCCTTTCACTACAAGCGCTTCGGCGGCGCCCGCCAGTCCGCCCCTTACCGCGAGTTGCACAACTTGTGCTGTCTCGACGACAACGACACGGGAGATTGGGCCGAAAACATCCGCTTTGCCACGGAGCAGTGGCTGTATTACGGAAGCATCTGGACCGAATTTGAGGGCCATCTCGAAAAGATCAGGAGCGCCCGGTTGGCGTGGGGCTGGAAAAGCCCAGAGGCTATTCGCGCAGATGCCACGAAGAGCTCTCTGGCCACGTAAAAGCTTGGATTGCTTCTTCTTCTTCTTCTTCTTCTTCTTCTTCTTCTTTCTTTCTTGGTTTGTTCGCTTGCAAGTTTTTCTTCATCTTTCTCCATTTTTCTCCCGTCTTGCGGTTTGCGGTTTGCACAGACGATGCCCGTAATGCTTGCTTGCTGTGTCTTGTAATGTTTTGCTTTGTTTCTTTGTCTTTCTCCCGTCTTTGCGCTTTGCATGGATGATGATTACTATTTCTTGCTGCGATGGCGGCATCTTTCTTATTTTTTTTCTTATAATGGCGTTCAGGATACACATGGCGTGTGGGTTTTGGATAGATGAAGGGGACATTCACTATCTAATGTTTGTTTTGTTCCGTTGTGTTTAGCGATGGGTGTACGGTATGACCCTTGGGCGACATGACTTTTTTGCGATTGGATTTCCTAGCGACTGGATTTTCGAGCGATATGATTTTCTAGCGACATTTTTCTTGATTTTTCTTCTCCGTGAGGAGATGTCGTTTTGGATTTTGAGATACCCAAGGGATTTGCATACCAATGGCTACTGGCGTTTGTTTTTATTTACAATAGAAAAGCTTTACTACACTTTAATAATTGCTCAATAGAGCGCTTGGTACATGTATTCCTAGCTCATTTTGTTTTGAGAAATGAAATCAACTCGTCAACTTGCTCGGGCAACAGACATTCAACTTCCGAACCAACCCCTTCCCCACTTTCGTGTGCCCCGTGATTCTATCCTCCCCTCTCCCTCTCCCACTTTTCTATCCACTCCCAATGCCTCTGCTCCCACTCCCTCTGCCTTTGCTCCCACTCCCTCCTCCTCTTGTCCCTCTCCAACTCCGCAAATTTCTTTACGTCCTTCGGCCATGTCGCAAAATACCACCAATTCTCCTTTGCAAACGTAATCGCAAGCGCAAGCTCACACTCTTTATCGTGCGGTATCATCTGATTCGCGAGTAGGCTCTTCAGATACGGGTCCGGGCGCTCGCCGCGACTCCAGTTCAGAGGTATCAGTTGGAGGACTTCTAAGAGGTGGCGACAATTTACGCTGTTGTCTGCGCAGAGTTCTTGTAGGCGGGCTTTGCGGCGTTGGCGAAGTTCTTCGGCGGCAGATTGACGGGGAGGAGAAAACCTAGGAGCGGTGAGAACGGTGGGAGTGGTGGCAGCGGTGGCAGCGGTGGAAACGGTGGAGGCGTTGGGAGCATTGTGGGTGCTGGTAGGAACAATAGAGGTAGTGCGGGTAGTATTGACAGTAGTTGGAGTGGTGCGGGTGGTATTAAGAGCATTAGAAGTACTATTTGTGGAAGGTGGAGCCTTGGATGTGGTGTGGGTGGTGGTACGGGCAGCAGAAGTGACACGGGCGGTGTTGTGGGATGAGAAGAGATGTCCATGCGAGACCCTTTTGGGTTTCTGGGGTGGAGGAACGGTGGGATAAACTCTTGTGGAAGGATCGTAGTGATTCTATCTTGGGGATGGAGCTGGAGCTGGAGCAGGATTTGAGGGTTTTGGTGCAATGGCTCCTGGACTCTGTGGAGGATGTGTGCGCCGGGGTTGAGAGGCTGAGGGAGAGCCCTGTGTGGGAATACGAGGGTGACTTGGTATTGGAGATGCAGCAGAATTCTTCTTTGGATGTTTTGGCGCACTGGCTGTTGGAATTTTTGATGGCGAGTTGGGCGGAGGTTGATTCTTTCCTTTGGTGGTTCTAGGCGGAAGTATTGGGGCCATTATTCATTGATGTGGAGGCTGGTAGTCCAAATATCTTCAGTCGCGGCTATGATTTGATGTTGTTGCAGAGATATTGGATGCGATCGGGGGAGCGATAGTGTTGCGATAGTGATGTTGTTGATAACGTCAGAGGGTTTTCTCATTATTCGCGTGCTATACTGTTGAGGGCGAGAGATGCGCTTCACTGATTGGATTGAATATACATGTTGCTGCTGTTCTTGGAAGCTTTTGTGATGCATGTCGTGAACTTGCGGTCGAGATCACTCATTTAACTCGTGAGTCCATTGCTCCAGTCGCAACTGGTTACGACTGACGTTGCTGTTGCGACTGCCCTTTCTACATCGCGAGTAATTAATATTTCTCATATGACCTCCAAACTTTTAGGAAACACGGTATGCTTAAAGTTAGCAACACATTTTATCGGCTTATGAGTAAAAGAATGCGAATACCCAGAAGTGAAAGATGGCCTCTGTAAAGCCGACGGAGTCTTGGATAAGAGCGAGTTCAGGCAAGGCGCAAGCCAGATATATTCCATTGCCAGAATAGTTGCCAATTTACTTTGCTAGCATTTACCTTTACCCTTAGTCACCCTTTCGCTTCGATCATACTTAGGTTATATACTGCGAAACGTCGCCCAATCAACGATACGAAAAACAAGAAAAGGTACAGAGAACAGAAGAGGAGGAGGAAGCTTGATTGTACTACAGATCTACGCAAGAATGTCTCATAGCTTGACCTTCTTCTGATCCCTGATTTCCTGTGCCATTCTGACCATTGCATATAAGCTCTGCAGTCTTGGCATTTCATAACCCCTCTCCCTAGCTATCCTCAGCGGGTTTCCTAAGATTACCTCAATTTCCATCCTCTTTCCCGCTTCCCAATCGATTGCCATACTTGGCTTGCTGCCACTCGTATTCTTCAATGTAGACTTGATGATTTGGTCGGGGGTGGCGAATTCCTTGGGCATGGGCTGGCCGAGAATCTTAGGTGCGGTCTCGAGGATTTCGGTCATGACGCCTTTGAGATGCCGCTGGACTTCGGGGTCTTGCGACATGAGGTTGTTTGGAGAGCAGAGGATGAGCACAGAGGTTGGGTTCATGGACGCATTGATGGCAATCTTGTGCCAGCGGACCAACTGGAGCTTCGCATGCGAATATGCCTCAGCATCTTTAATCCCTCCTTCCTTTAACAGCGCGATGAAAGCGTTGTTCTGTTCAATGATGCGTGGATCAGTGTCTTTGGCTGCTCCCGTGTCGAGATGGGGTAGGTAGGGTCCACTGTTGATGCGCGTCCATCTGTTGTGCTTGATGAGGCCAGGTTCTGGCTGCGCACAGGTTGCTATTGTGACAGCCGAGCAGATGGCGGCTTGTGGGAAGCGCTTTGCATATGGGTCCTCGACGCCCAGGCCGTTTTGTATCAACACAATGGCGGTCTTGTCGCTAACGAGGCCTTCCAGTATCGCCGAGTCGTCGCTTACATCCGGTAGCGCCTTAGTGCTCACAACGACATAGTCCCATTGGATTGCGCTCTTTCGTGCTTCTTCGGGGTTGGCAAAAGTGTGCGCTGGTATGAACGTGTAGTCGCCATACTGAGGAGACGTGACTTTGAAGCCGTCCGCTTTGACTGCCTTGTAGTTGGAGCGGCAAATCACCGAAACCGAGGTACCGGGTACGAGTGCGAGGCGTGATGCATAAAAAGCCCCAATGGCGCCAGCGCCAACTATGAGGATGTTTACAGACATTGTGAGGCGGATGTAGAGGGAGAGCTGTCGGCGTCTGTGTCTGAGGCGCTGGAGCTCTGTCTTATCGATAGTAAGTACGAACAGGTTTAGCCTCGGTATCTCTCGACCCGACAATTTAGCCAAGCTTCGATAACAACTGCGCAAATGGTAACCACTCTTGTTCTTTACTATGTAACATGCAGTTCGTCCCTGAGAAATTTTAAGATACTTCGAAATCGCATCACTGGTCCAGGCATTTCTATTCGATTTAAAGCTTATCAACAACTCCAACCTGTTCTTCACTATTCAGCTGACATACTAGTGATTGAAACACCAGTTTGAAGCTAAGAACGCTAGAGATATACATCGCCATGGATACTTGTTTCATCACCTTGAACTTCCATTCTCTCAAATTCCCATGATGAGTCTGTACAGCGCCAGAGAGCTGTTCTTTGATAACTTTCTTCTCATTCTCACTTCATTCAGTACAACCATCTCAGCCAGGTTTCCATGATACTGGACTTGTTGGCTTTGACTCGCGCAGCTAACGGTTGTTCTTGGGCTGTAAGGGCTACGATTAGAGTTTACATGTCGGCTTCTCGGGAAATCTTGCAGTTTCACAAGTGAAGATTCTCTGTGCAAATACAATGGATGAGGGTGTATTACTTCACAAATTTTGAGGAAATACTCGTGAGTTGGCGACATATTGTTTCTCCAGTTCTTCCTCAGGTATCGCTTCTTTCAGAGAAGCGTTGACGGATCTAGCTCAATATTTACTATTATTTTCTCAATATTGATCTGCAACAGAAGCAGTATTCGGTCCACTCGCACAGCAAAGTCTCCGGTAGAGCTCAAAACTGCGAGAAATATTGCGGAACAAAGTTCTAATCATGGACGTGTTAGTTTGTAGGTGAGTAAAAAGAGACAATGGCTCTATTACATGAAATGAGTGTCTACCCAGAAATATGGTGAGAGTATTTAGTGAGTTATGCTGGCTTGCGACGTAACTAAGGTCACCATGTTCTATTTTGATCTTAATAAATCATCGATTGACAGACGGACGTCCAATCCTCTGATCAAATAACACAATGATGTTCACTTTGCACAAAAGAACCAAGGATACATGGACAGGGCTAGATGAACTTCTGCCTCTATCAGTGACAGTTCACCATACTTTTAATCATCTTCCTACAGAGGCCATGAAAACCTGGTAGACATACCTGGGAAAAGTATCGGCGTGCTCTGTTACTGCGACATTGGTGAGTGATAAGCAGTTCTCCAGTCATCCGGGGGGTTACGCACGAGAATTTTTCATCGACAAACGGAGCGCTGACAACGTATGTCTAGGCGACACTCCACACTACTGTTGCAAACGGGCTATTCACGGGCCATTCTAGAATATGTTGCTCACTTCACTTTCACCACTTCACTCTCATTGACTGTGAGTCTAAGCCGCAGTGGCTAAGTACGCACAAACGCCAATGCTTTCCCATCAATTACTTTATCTCTCCGAGTCTCTTCTACCCCTTTCTCTGCATCAATTTTCTACCAACATGTCCACAATCAAGACAGAAAACAATGAGCAGTCTTCCTGCACTATACTTGGACCAACCCACTCGCTCATGTCGGAGAACCGAGAGCCTTCACACAATGCTTCTTCGATCCTAGCCAACGAAGTGGAAGATGGGAGGCCCTGCAATCGAGCACTCAGTCTTGGGTTACCACCTCCTCACATTGCCAGCAACTGTGCTCATAACAACTATCTTCGTGATGCCAGACTAGCCGATTTCTTTTCACCACACTCACGGTAAGATACTCTTTTCCATTTTTTACCCCTTCTGTCTCTGTAAAGCACGAGGTCTACGGCGAAATCCATGTCCGAAAACGTCTATGCTAGGTTTGCGAGGTCCGATTGTTGAAGAATTGGCAAATGATCAAATGTGTGCAGATTGACAACAAAAATGAGGTATAGCGTGTGGAAGAGCAGTGTTGTCATGCCCATAGCGATATCAACTTTGCCGCCAAGGACGGTTGCCATGGCAGACTGCAAACAGGAGAGTGCTAACCAGTTCAATAGCGGTGGACAGCCTCCTGTCTACCATCATACCATGAACGGACAAGGTAAGTCCCTTCAGTTATGATTGTTAATTCCGAGCTCACTGACTGACGCTCCACAGAGCAAAATCGCAGCCCGTCGGTGCATCAGCATGGCCACAACACATTGCAGAACACGGTCGATAGAATGGTTCCAGAGATAGTCAATCTCAAGAAGAACCTCAATACTTTCACCCAAAACGCCAACAACTTCGCGCTCATCCAGTCACAACTGTTCAATTCATTGAATACACGCCTCGTCAAAGCCGAATATGAGCGGGACCGTCTCCGTGCAACCCTCTCTCAGTACCAGCACCAGCACCAGTTGGGCAGTCGCATGAATACACCCCAAGCTGCTCACGAGTTTGGCAGTCGTATGACCACGCCAAAAGCCGCTCCCGAGTCTGACGGTGGTGCTTCCCAGTTCCATGACGACGGCGGCGAAGACGCACACATGCCCAGCCCAGTCACTCCCTGCAAGCCACCTCAAGACATCGAGCACTACTACAGCAGCCCCATTCAACGCAACACCAGCGAAACCCCCTTCGGCTCCAAGCTCACCGGCACCAAGAACCAGAAAAGGGAGCAAACCAAGGCTCGTAAAGACTTGAAAATCAAAGTCCCCGGTCAAACCCCCATAGTAGGCAACCTGACCGCAGGTGTCCACCACTCCACTACTACCGCCAGCAACAGCACTACGACTACAGCCCTCACCTCCCCCCTAACCCCCGGCCGGATCGGCCCCCCAATCACCCACCCCCTCCGCGCCACGACCATAATCTCCAAGCGCAAAATCCACAACCTAGAAAAGCTCCTCCCAGCCTCAACCGCCCTGATCCCGCTCATGCCCCTAACCGACACGGAAATCATCGTCTACTTCTTCCAATCGCTCGCGCGCCCCATTGTCTCCCTGCGGCTGTACGCGCGCAACTGGGGGCCGTCCAACATCTGCGACACGCTGAATGCGCACCGCGCCATCGAGGGCGGCTACCTGCGCAACACGGCGAGCGTCAAGTGCACGACGGCGATTAAGCGGGGCAAGGAAAAGTTCGGCGAGGCCTGGGCTGACGACCTGCGCGACGTGTTTGCCCATGCCGATGATATCCACGCCACCGATTTGATCCAGTTGACGGCCGACGAGAGGGCTGTTGCGACGGATTTCAAGATTACCGATTTGAGTAGGGAGTTGAAGATGCATCCGCAGGCGGGCGTCGATGGAGGCGTGTTTACCGAGTGTGTGAGGTGGTGTGTGGAGAGGAGGGCGGGGTATACGCTGGCGAATGTGCATGAGTTGGCGTTGGCGTTGAGGAGGGGGGAGGAGCCGGTTTTGGTCGAGGAGAGTGAGGGAGACGAGGAGGATGCGTGAGGGTATGCTGTTTCACATTCAGCTTCATTCTCCTTGGTTGATGACCCTTGGGAATCCTCGAGATTCGAGATGGTCAAGTCTCTTACCATGTTTTGTTTTGTTTTGTTCTTGTTCACCATGCGTTGCTACGCCTTGAGCTGGCGATGAGAATTGTAATGGCAGGAGTAAACTTTGTCTGGAATTGACATGTAACGTAGGATGGATTAAAACAGCAATGCGTGCAAGATGACCACGAAAATACACCAAGATAGAGACTTGCTGATTGAAATAGTGTTTATTGTGAATACTTGTTTTTGCAATATAAGTCAGTCAAACAGTACTTCCCAAGACGGAAAAAAAAGGACATGGAGGAAACTGGTCTCCCTATACCCTTCCAGACTCTCCTGTCATCCCTCCAACACATCCATCAACCCATAAGCATCATCAGCATACCACCCTTACCATCCGAGCCTCCATCCGCAGTTCCCTTACCCGCGTCTTTGTCCACGCCCTTGTTCGGTCCCACAGGACTCGTAGCAGCAAAGAACAGCACCTTGATCGCAATCGCAAACCCCGCATGCAGCACAACAACCACAACAAGTAGGATCTTTGACGTCTTCGCCTCGGTAGTGCTAAGCACCGGGTAAAGATTCCTCAGAAGAAACGCAGCGCTAAACGCAAGCCCAACGGCTACAACCGTAAAGTTGACAACTATTTTATGATTAGTTCCTTGAAGCCAAACCAGATAGAAAGGAGAAAGAAGAAGAAGAAGAAGGAAAAAAAACTTACTCCCCCAAGGACTCCACGCAATTAGCGCCACCGCAATCCACACCAAATTCGCATACCCATACAAACAACAACACTCGAGCAAATTCGCACTCTCACTCCCATACCACTTGAGCACGCCCCAAAGCCCCACAGGCACAAACGCCGTATACCCATACACCAGTCCCGCGGCGCCACTCAGCAGCTTAAAATCGTACGCAAAATGCTCCTGGCCCTTGAGCGCCAGATACTGATTAATCGTGCCTGTTAAGAACAAGATGACCACGACGGTAGTCGCAATCCACACGGGGCCGTACAAGTCCGGGTTGCCCTCGAGGACGTCGAGGAAGTTGGCGCGCGGGTAGATGGTTGCGACGCAGCGTCGGAGGACCTCGGCCGTGTCCACGTCAAAGGCTTGGGCGTAGAAGTTGAGCGACCAGAGATAGTGCTTGCGGCCTCCTCCGCTGTTGCTGCTGGCGCCGGCGGTGCCGGGGCCCGGCAGGAACGAAGTCGAGGTCGAGTCGGGTTGGATTTTGGGCGCGCCGCGGCCGGACGAGGGTTGGGTGTCGAAATCTGGGCAGGGGAGGGTTAGATTGGAGGGGTGGAAATTGGATGAATGCAGGAATTGATTTATTTTTTCTTCTTTGGCTTACTTGAACTGTGGAATTCGAGGTCTTCTTGCAAGTCGGTGTGGCCTAGGTCGCCCTGTTGAGTGTGAGCCCGTCAGCTTGCGCATTTGTTCAGAGCGTGGTGCTCAGAAATGTCGTCCAATCAGGACGTACCTCTTGATCCACATCAACGACAACATCATATCCTCGATTCGCCATGTCTCGTCGCTGTTTTGCTTCTCTCTGAAGCACTGGTATTGTGTGTCACGGCGGAGCCTTCGTCGCAGAGCGGCCAGATTGCCCAGATTGACGTCGCGCGTCGTAGTACGCGACCCGTGCGTAAGCTGGTCCTGCTGGGGTGTGGGGGGGGCTATGCTTGATTCGGAGCAGGCATAGTTCAGGGTCCAACGGTCCTTGCTCGCTCCGTATCCATTTCAGAATCACTATGCTATCACAAAGAGACTGTGTCGCTATTGCCTTGCTATGCATCACCTTGTTGTAAGCGTTTTGCTGTTTATTTCCGGAAGCTGCATGTTCTTAATTTGACACCACTCCCTACCAAGAGAAATCACAGTTCTGTTGTTATGATTTTACCCCATCACAGCAACCTCACAAGCACCATCATGCTTGAATATCTCGGAAAAGGTAGAAGCCGACGTTAGAAAAGTTACTGGCACGTGGGGCTGTTACCTTCCACGCGCTAATGAGTTGGGCAGTGTAAGATATCGATATACACTTTCTATAGTGCAGTAGTATTGCAAGAACAAGTAACATTGGAAAAAGCGCAGTACAAGCTGAACAGCAAGGGTGGATGGCTCGTGTATTGTATCAGTGTACATATCGTTGCGATTCCTCAATCATTTCAGCTCATTAGTCATTTCCAGCTTTACTTTCTCTTCCGTGGTATATCTGCCTTTTGCTTCATTGTAGCTCCGATGACCTTTGACCAGCGCACTGGTAAGTCTGTGTCAGCTTTCTGGAAACACAATGAATTATGATCGAACTTACATCCGCAGGCGTTGCACAACGTCTTAGGCCCATCAGGCCCACGTCTCCATTCCGGGGATTTTACGGTTGCGCAGGAGTGGCAAATCAATGGGTCTTCGGCTTCGGGCCTCTTCCTACGTCGCATCGATGAGGCAGGTCGCTCATGACCTCTAGTCGAGGTGGCCAGAATCGGAATACCAAGATCGCCAACCACAGTACGTTCAGAGCCAGGACCGGCCAGGGATTCAACAAAGATGTTGCAATCGATCTGAGGCGATTGGTTTACTTCTGAAATGACCCCTTGGTGCACAGAAAATGAAGGCTCATTTTGTGCGTTTATCAATGCCTCTGCTTCATCCGGCCTTTCTTCGCTTTTCAGGCAACGAATCTGCTGCTGCAGCTTTTGGTACAAAACAGCATGCTCTAGAAAAGAGTCGAGGATCATGTTATGCTTGGTCAGGTAGGGTCGTGCCAGGACTACAACGTGAGGACGAAACCTTGCCAAAGGGTTCGATTCGGTTCGACAAATTGGGGTCTTGGTGCTGGGAGTAAAGCTGGATTCCAAAACCAGCCAGGTCTTGTCTTTCTTGAGGAATCGATAGATGACGCGTGTGGTTTTCGCGAAGAAGATGGTGCCGAAGAACTCGGTCATAAGTACATTGTCGTCTGGATGTACGAGGTCGCCAATAAAGCAGCCGAGCAAGTCAGCAGGCTCGTAGCCGGTAATGGAGGAACAAGACGGAGATATGTAAACTAGTTGGCCCTCGGGAGACAGAACGTGTAGGAAGTCGGCCAAATATTGAGTCACATGTTCGGCCCAACTTTGAGAAGTGCAGGTCGCGAGTGACATCGTCGTCGTATGGGGTGCTCGACACCTCACTTCAGGACAATGCGCCCAACATTGTCGAGCCTCGCGCCTTTTGAAGCAAGAGGAATCCGGCTTAGGGGGGCATGGGTTCTTTTTAAGACGTCATGCCGTCACAGCAATTCACAGTCCAGACTCTGGCCATGTACGGTTTGTGGTTGTTGCCACCGCGGGTGGGGGCCGCCTACTACATCCTATCCGGCTGTGACAGGACCGGTGGGGCAAGCCGATGCCACAGGAGAAGCTGCACGCACATCCGTCATCACTGGTAGTTACTCTGGGCTCTCGGAAACCAACGAGACGTCATTCAGGCACCGACCGAGCTGAAACGCCTATCAATGTCTAGGCATCTCATTGAGCAGTCCAAATACAGACTCGGCCAGTATCTGAAATCCCCAAATGCTTAGGCGAAGACCCATATTTTTCCTGCGCGATAGAAGAATACTAGACTCATCCTTTCGTTTTGGCCATTTTCGCTCAGTCTTCCAAAAGTCTGGGGATTCACACGCACGCCATCACCACCCGCCTGGATGTGGCGCTGTGTGCTGCGCTAGACGGACGCAGCGAGGACAGTAATCAAGCAGAGCATCGCAAAGTGCGCGGGGCAGAGTCCTTCAGGGTTAGATGCCTGGGACGAGCAGAACATGTAGTATTCGACAGATGGTGGCACAGACTACAATCATTGTTCATGACACATCTTTCATTCATGATTAGAATTGTAAGGTATACGACAAAGAAAACAAGTCTAAGACTCTAGCTGCATAGTCTTATAACATCTACAACAGATGGCCTGCCTACTTTCCGTTCCAGATCCTATTTACGGGGCGGGCTCGCTCTTAACCTGCAGAGGCTCCACGTTCCAAATAGCCTCGGCATACTCGTCAATGCACCTGTCGCTCGAGAAGAAGCCCATGCGAGCAACAGTGGTGATGGTCTTGGTAGTCCACTCTTCAGTGTTCTTGAAGCTCTCATCAATGAGCTCTTGCGTCTGGACGTACGACGCAAAGTCGTCTGATACAAGGTAGTAGTCGCCATGGTCAACAATGCCATTGACAAGCGCAGAGAACTGGTCCGCATCGCCAAATGTGTTGTTTCGAATGGCATCAAAGACATTGGCAAGCGACGGGTCCAGTTTGTACTGAGAGTACATGTGTGCGTGACGAAGGTCCTCGACATCTTCGGCCAAGTTACCGAAAAGGAAGATGTTCTGGTCGCCAATCTCACGGGTAATCTCAATCTATCCAGAGGTCAGTCGAAGTGATTTAAATATTCGGTGTAAAAAAAAACTTACATTAGCACCGTCGCATGTTCCAATAATGAGCCCACCGTTGAGGCAGAACTTCATGTTACTGGTACCAGACGCCTCAGTACCAGCTGTCGAGATGTGCTCGCTGATGTCGCTGGCAGGGCAGATGATCTCTGCTTTGCTGACATTGTAGTCGGCCAAGTAAATGACCTTGAGAGCATCACCAACATCCTTGTCGTTGTTGACGACCTCGCCAACCTTGTTGATGAGGTGGATGACTGTCTTAGCCATCCAGTATCCTGGAGCAGCCTTGCCACCAAAGATTGACACACGAGGTGTTAGCTTCTGGCGCTCTTCGGGGGACATGGCCTTGATCTGGAGGTAGCGGTGGATGACACCGAAAATGTTCAGTTGTTGGCGCTTGTATTCGTGGATACGCTTGACCTGGACATCGAACAACGCTGATGGGTTGACCTTGACACCGTTGTGCTCCAGAATGTGCTGTGCAAGCCGCACCTTGTTAGCGTACTTGATGTCCTGGAACTCCTTGCGGAATTCCTTGTCATCCACATAGGCTTCGAGCTTGTTGAGTAGTGTGAGGTCCTTGAGGAACTCATATCCGCCCAGTTTCGAGGCAATCAATGCTGACAGCTTGGGGTTAGCCTGGTGCAGCCACCTTCGCGGGGTGATGCCATTGGTGACATTGGTGAACTTGTCAGGGCCGTAGATCTTGACAAAGTCTTTGAAGATGGTCGTCTTGATCAAGTCAGAGTGCAGCTCAGCCACTCCGTTGACCTTGTGTGAGCCGATCAAAGCTAGGTAGGCCATGCGGACCATCTTTGGCTGCGACTCTTCAATGATGGACACACGTCCGAGCATTTCGCGTTCCTTGGGGAAAGTCCTCTCGACAAATTGGAGGAAGTTGTAGTTGATTTCATAGATGATCGAATCTGATGTCAGCAGTGTCTGAGGATAGTGATGGATTCGGACTTACCTGAAGGTGTCGGGGGAGGAGGTGCTGCATGAGCGGAACAGACCACTTCTCGAGCGCTTCGGGCAAGACAGTGTGGTTGGTGTATCCAAACGTCTTCTGGACAACTACATCTCATCAGCTCTACACGGCTTTCATGTTGATCTCGAGACTTACTGTTCCACGCATCATCCCAATCAAGTCCCTCGATATCGACCAGTATCCTCTGGAGCTCGGGAATAGCGAGCGTTGGGTGGGTGTCGTTCAGCTGGATGGCGACCTGGTTGGGGAATTCCTTCCACGCGCGCTTACTCTTCTTGAAACGTCGGACAATGTCGTAGAGCGAGGCTGCACACCAGAAGTATTGCTGCTTCAAGCGGAGCTCCTTACCGCGGTCGAGGCTACCCAACGTCAGTTGAATGTGTTTTTTTTTAGTAATATTTGAGTAAACTCACTTGTCGTTGGGATAGAGAACCGCCGAGATGGTCTCAGCACGCTGTTGCTCGGCCACTGAGCTCTCGTACTCGCCAGAGTTGAACTTTTGGAAGTCAAACTCGCCGCTAGCCGCTTTGCTGCCCCAGAGACGAAGGTTGTTGCAAGTGCCAGTCTTGTATCCAGGTACTGGTACATCAAAAGCAACGGCCTGAACAATCTCACCACCCTCCCAGGAGCTCTGTTGTTTGCCCTCGTCATCTTGCCAGCGGTTGACATGGCCGTAGAACTGCACATCGACGACAATATCGTGACGCTGGAACTCCCACGGGTTGAAATCCAACCAGTAGTCTGGAACTTCGACCTGGTATCCGTCGACAATCTCCTGCTTGAAGATACCATAACGGTAACGTAGACCGTAGCCCCAAGCTGGGTAGTTTAGCGAAGCCATTGAGTCGAGGAAGCAGGCGGCAAGGCGTCCGAGACCGCCGTTTCCAAGGGCAGCGTCGTGTTCTTGCGAGATGATGTCTTCCATGCGGAAGCCGAGGTCGCTAAGACCCTCTGTATATGCGTTAGAACACGAGGCTTGCACAATCTAGTATGAGAAAGCCTACTGGTGGCAGTTTCCTTTTGCTCGACATTGAGCATAGCATTGTCCAATGCACGTCCCATGAGGAACTCTAGAGAGAGGTCTGGTCCTGTCAGCCAATAGGTTTATACCATTTGATTTCCAGGCCTTCATACAGTATACACGCTTCTGATCGGCAAATGTCTGGCTCTGCTGTGTCTTGTTCCAGTCTAGCACCAAGCGGTCACGAAAGGCCAGGGCGGTTCCGGCGTAGGCGGCAGACTCATCGCAGTTGAAGAGCGAACGAGCGAGGGTCGTCTCGATATGCCGAACAGTGTCTTTTGTAAAGTCATCTGGGGTAGAGAAGGGCTTGGGCATCTACTGGATGGTTAGCATGCACACGGTCACGACTCGAAGCACTGTTTGTTTGTGAGGGATGGCGTCAAAGGGCAATTGACTTACAAATTTCCTCCATGCCTCACGCTGAGGCTCTGGGATACTCGCTTCGACGCTCTTGATCTCACTGGGACCAAAGCCAGTGACGGTCCTCTTGTGCTTTGGGCGGCTAAAGGCGGGTCCAATGGGTCCCTTGAGATCGGCAAGCGGGGCACTGGTTGAGGGCTTCCGCTCACGGGGATTGGGGTTTGCAGCCATGATGGTGGGATGAAAGGATGGGGAGGGGAAGGTGGGAGAAGAAGGTCAATGGGAGAGAGGATCGGGGAGATGGGGTGACACGACTTGACGCGAGGGAAGAGGTGAGGATCAGGCTGGCATGGCGGCAGTCTAGGGCGGATGGGATATATCAGGAGAGCAGGAGCGGCTAGTGAATCGCGGGGAAAGCAGCGGAGCCCGGTATCCAAAGGCGCTGCTGACAGGCAGCATCAAGCTGTTGAGCTCCGTCGCATGCATCTTGTATGCGGGCAGCTCACGAACCAGTACAAAGTGGGGTAAGCAGCAACCCCACGAACCCCTTGTCCACCACTGAGCCAGGACGTGACAGTCGACGTGCCCAATAAAGCCATGCATACACGTCCCTTGGCGCGAGTGGTGCGCGTGGTAGCGTCGTAGCGTCGTGGTTCCCATGGCCGCATTGGAATGGAGCTGACGTCGATGTGCCCCTCCTTGGGTCGACATGCCCCTCCATACCATGGCCTCATGTGGGCGTGTGTGTGTGTATATGTGTGGAGGCATATATGCCATGCGTGTGCATTGTGCGCACCATCTCTCTCGTAATCCTTTCCGATGGCTCGGTGAGCCCGCAAAAGCTTGTGTGCAATGCAAAACAGCTCGGGCCGGCTCCAAATGCTGTTTTGCTGTCGAATCGAAAAGTAATTTCGCATGTCCTCATGTGGCTTGACAGCGGAGAGTGGCGCAAGCTTCCCACAACGGGACTAGCGCCGAAAGCTCCGCAGCCTCGCCGTTGTGTCTGATCCATGTTTGTGTCCCTACTCACAACAGTCAATCAATCCAAAACACACGTGACAGGCGCCTAGCCAAAATTTCAATGTCCCCCTAAACGCATATACTTACCAGGCCTGGGTCAAACAACACCTGTTGGCACAATGCAAAGAGAAAAAAAAATTATACAGTCCAAGGCAATGGATTGTCTTCCTGCAAGTCAACGACCTGCTCACTACGAATATCAATATTGCTATCAAACTACCTCTCTTCCGCGGGTATTCTTTTGATACATGCAAATAACAGAGGAACACAATCCGAAAATCCGCCCGTCTACCATGTATATTTATAAATCCACAGTGATCCACTTTGTTGGGATCGTACAAGTCGACCTGGCCGGGGCTGCCCGGCCCAATGCACGCCAAAGAAAACGCCCAAAGATGCGCAATACGCGCCGTCATTAAAGTACAAGAAGCGCCGGAAAGATGGGGGTATCGTGAACAGAGCCAGCTAAATGGAATGTAGGTAAGCATGTGGAATTAGACAAGGTTCGTTTCGCGTAGAAATGGCGCCGTATGCTCAGGGGCTGGGTTCTGGTGTCTGTACGCCGTGCTGCCAGATGGCTGCGCCCTGCAGCACAAGGGCCATGTTGCGTCGGCGAGGCTCCTTGCCAACAGTCTCTGTTTGGGTTGCAGCGAGCACTGGTGATGGGTTGGTTGGTTGCATGTTCTTGAGCCTGCGCTGCACCATGTCGTTGGAGATGCGCGACAGGCCATAGTCCATGTCGTGGAGAATGGCGCGCTTGGTCGCCTCGATTTGCTGCACGCTAAAGGTACCGTTGCTCTCCCTGATGCTCCAGTGCCGTGATGACCTCATCCGGTCGACGAGAAAGCCGTGTGCGAGCGATAGCGAGGCGAGTACAATAACATCCGGACTAAGACGCGTAGCGAGAGAATCCCTCCAGGTGCCTGCAAAACGGCTGCTCAAGCCGTCCAAGATGCATGCTGCAAACGCCACAATGTCGTCAGACAGGCCGGCGCGCGTCAAGAAGCCTTGAATGGCCGGTGCATGAGGGCGGTGTGTGGAGACGTTGAGCGGGACGAGGTTGGCCAGGTGGGTTGCGTAAGCTATTGATAGTAAGTACGTTGGCATTATGCCGAGCAGAAACCAAGCCAGGTAAGCCCCCTGGCTTGGGTAGTGGATGGAGGGATGAGCGAGGAAAGAAGTTGGGAGATCGACAGGGACGCCTGGAAAGAGTGGAGCGGGGATGTTGAGTTTGAATACAAGCGTGTGCAATGAGGCGACGTGGGCCAAGAAAGCATATGCAGGGAAAGTCGTATGGGCCGCCCGGTCCGACTAGGCCAGGGGAAGTGGAAACGCATGTTTGGGCAAGACAGAAAAGGGCGGTGCAGGAAACAAGCAGAGGCGAGAGGGAGGATACTGACCTAGTTGTGTTGGACAAGCGGTGACGTCGGGCGGTGGTGTTGTGCTGGCTGGTGATGTTTGTGACGTCTGAAAGGCCCTGTTGTTCCGTGTTGGGGTTGATGGCCGGGCTGGAGTGGGTTCCTTGGCCGGGGGAGGGGTGGGGAGGTTGGACAGTGGGACGCAGCTCGCAAAGTACTTGTCCAGCTCTTCGTCGGTCATGTCGCTGATGTCGCTGTGCATCGAGAGTGCTGGCGAGAGGTGCATTGTGTCGGCGGTGGGCTGGATGGTTGCTTTTGGTCGCTGTGCTGCTAGGCCGGGCTTGTGGTGCTCTCTTTTTGTTCAACCGTGGACGGGGTTGTGCATGTGCATGTGCATGCGCATGGAGCGTAGCGTAGCGTAGGCCTGTGATGTGTACGGACGAGCGTGTATCTACAGATTCGGCGGGCGTGCAATGCCGTCGGCGGGGGGAGGAGGGTGGTGAAGGAGGGCGTCGAGGCAGCTATATACAGGCGCATGCATCCAGGTAGTAGGGCTCGCGGCAGGCCGAGACGGTGAAAGTGGGAATGGGTAGCGTGGCTCGCTAGCGGGTCCCCTGTCTCGTCAGGGCCGCAGTAGGCAATGGCGGTCTCGCAGGCCAGCAGCACCGCAAGAAGGCTCCCGATGGCGTGTGCAGCTGCGAACACGCCCCACGCCCACGCTGGCCTGGTGCTGATGGCGCCAGCCCGCCCATGGCAAATGCTCCTGCAGCCAGCACATCCTCATCATCGTCAGCCTTCTTCCAGATTGCACGTGCAGCCCGGCAACCACTGCCATCTTGATTCATCCGTCTCCATGGCCATGGCCATGCTGAGCTTGTCGATCCAGCTCGTCACGTGCTCTGTCGCCTAGCCCACATGCCATCGACCATCTGCCTACCCAGCATGTACACGTCGGCCATGTCGAATACTACCTTCACACACACACACACAAGCCCTACTACGCAGCCTCCGCCAACCATAGCCCTTGAATCGCCATCCAGCCCTCGCAAATCGTCGTCCCGAGAAAAAAGCTTGTGCCCTCCCGTCCGGAACGTTTAGGCCGACCCCTCCCCAAGCCACCCACCACGACCCGGGTCGGTACTATGGCATGCATCAGCGCTACACTACTGCGAGCACATTAAGTATTGCCATCCATCCATCCATCCATCCATCCATTCATCTGCTTCTTCAGCCCTCGTGCGGAACATGCCACCACCGCACTCTTTACCCGCAATCCCGAACCCGCCGCCGCCTCTCTCTCTCTCTCTCTCTCTCGCTCTCCTACCCACGCCTCTTACACATGTACACTTGTCAGCCCTTGGCCATGCCCGCTGTCAAGTGCCCTGCATTAGCATTTGATAAAAAAGTATCCCGTCACGCCACGCCGCTGATGCCATCCGAGCAGCCAGCACCCGTTCCCTCACCGCCATGTCCCGTACCCGTGAGCACGTACACACGGCGCGGTACACTACTAGTCGCGAATACGGTTGCGTCGGTTCCCTTCTATCTCTGTATCTAACCCAAGCCTTGTCCGGACAAAAAGGGGGGGCATGCCTCACCAAAGTGTGCCGCAAACCCCACATCCAAGCTCTGGGGCGCAGCACTTTCTAAACCTTCTCTAGCTCATTACCCGCTCCTCCTTACAGAAAAGTGTCCCACTCACCACAAACCATATTCTGATCTCTCATGAGTCGCTACGTATTGTTTGCCAAACAAACAAAAAACACGACCAATTCGTCATTTGCCTCCGAGCGCTCGGATGTCGCGGCGCCGCATCTCGGTTTCAATATCTCGTATCGCTGTTTATTTTCCCCGGTAGTGCTACGGGGCCCTTGTGGAGCTTTCCAATACTTGCACGCACAGAGCAAAAAAAATCACAGACAACAAATTTCCATACTTAGCACCATGGCAACTTGTCAAACTGTAACCCGACCTGTGCGTCCGTTCGCCGTGGCCATGTACGCACTGCGCCCGAACTAATTGCTATCGATACTACTCCTAACCTCTAGTAGCTTCGTGTCAGCGGCCACATTCCACCGTACTATGCACTGGCAAAATAAATCGCCAAGCCTTTCGGCCTCAGGAATCGCCATCTTAGTCTAGAGTCTTCGCTTCTCTGCACATGCATACGTACATGTTACACTCAATTTACTCTACAGTAATCCGATGAAGCTAACGCCCAAGATGGAAAAAAAGAGTCTCTTCATAGTTCTGGACTCTGCCGGACATCTCCGCGGCCCGTACTACGGCATCACTTTCCTTTTGTTCGGGAAGTCTGACAAAGTCTTTAGACGTCGAGAATTGCGCGTTGTATGGGTTGAAATACGTCATTATCCACATGTGAGCACGCTAGAAGAGTTCTCTCTGCACCTAGTACACACCAGGGCCAGACGACTACGGTTCAGTTGCAAACACGTCTAATATTCCACGGCAAATGCCACAGCTCCAAAGAGTCCGTCTACAAGCCATATCCAGCATGTGTGCAAAAGACACGTTTTGGCTGTCGTTATGGCCTGTGGCGTGAAGCCTAGATGCTCTCCATCTCCTATTCTAAAGTCCGAAACCTAGCCTTCCAGACTTTGTAAGAATCTAGAATCACCACTGTCATCACCATTGCTGCGAGATTTCGTATGCTAAGCTTGCAGAAGACATTGCGAAAGGATCAAACATGAGCCATTCCAGACCGCGCGGCGGCTTACAGGAGTCTGGAAATTAGCAATGACTTTTCTCTCCCTCATCAAACTTTGTTTCCTTCCTCCTCAGCAAAGTCTAGAACTTTTCGTTTGGCCCTTTGTCCAAATTCCAATACTATGTACATGTTCAGCCCCTTGACCATGTAAGGTGCCATCCCTTTAATTTACGCAACTAGAACGGTAATGTATACGTACTATATGTCAGACTTGCTAGTTAAGTATCCAAGTTCCAGAGACATTAGCGATTGCGATTCGTACAGAGGAATCTTGGAAATCACTGACTTTTGTGGTGGTTTTTTTTTTTAATTCTTTAAATACATTTCTCTCTTTCCCTTGCTTCCTTGTATCACGCACAAGTCATTTTTTTTGGATAATACCCGATCCCGCCAGGCCGAGGGACCAACAAAGATACGCTAGACACGAAGTACATGTACAATTAATTAAACCAAATAACCTATGTATACGTATCCCTCCCTCCCCCCAACGGAAAATCCCAAATCAACCCACGTTCCTTAGATCCATAACCTTGTACTCCGCTAACTTACCTAATACCCTTGATTCCTTTCCCCCCTCCCTTACCTCCGTCTAACTCACCCTCTCCTCCTTCCCGCCTTCCACATCTCTCCACCACCCGGCCACATCTCCTACTACCCTCCCTCTCCCCCCCACAAACCCCGTAAAAAGCAACCTTTTTCTTCTTCTTCCCCTCCCACCCTTCCAAACTTCCCTCCTATGCCCACCTTCCCTCTCTGAAAGCAAAAGAAGAAAGAAAGAAAGAAAGAAAGAAATCCCCCCCGCACAAAAGCTAAAATTTCCCTTTGCTTAGAACTATACTCCGCTTGTCCCCCCCCCCCCNCCCACACACACACACGGCCCGGTATCGGAACCCTGCATTTATTTCCTTTCCTTGCCTTTTTTTCCCTTCGTTCTTTCCTTCTCCAAACAAAATAATTATTGTTATTTTCCCATCCGGCTGGGCTGGGCTGCTTGCTCGGTATATGGCCAAGGACTTGATGTGGCTTCTTTCTTTTTTCTTTCTTTTTGCCGATGCCCGAACAAGGAATGGAGGAGCCGAAGAACGGAACATTGTATAACACTGTATGCAGAGTCATCATGTTATATCCTTTGGGAAAGGTGAAGGTGTGTGTGTGTGTGTGTGAGTGACATGTAATGTTTGATGATGAGAAGTAATAGTTGAAGATTTCGATATTTAGAAAAAAAAAATTCCTTGGTTCTTTTGTTGGGTGGAAAGTGGATTTATTGTCTACTTTGAATTGTGATGTGCAACAGACCCAAACAAACATGTACGGATACTTTGATCCCATTACTTTTCTTTCGGTGTATGATGAACATTACTTTTTTTTCTCCACAAAAGAGGGAACCAAGTATTTATTCATCTTCACTCAATTCACCACGTAATGAAAACCCACAAATCGATATCAATAATTCTCGTGTATTCATTTTACCTGCGCTTGAGCAAACACTACCATAGACTCTTGGCCAGGTAAAAGAGTTTAAAAAAGAAACAAACAAACAGAAATAGCCACAACCACGTCGTCCATGATCCACGGACTAGTTCACAAACGCTTCATCAGTATCCTTGAGTCGGATATACACTCTCCTTTTGCTTTTCCGACAATCATCCACATTAGGCCGCGTCATGCCACACACACAGCCTCGCGTACACGGGGATATCGCTAATGAACCAAATCTCCTGCGCAAACGCTTTTTCCTTTTCGACTAGCCTCGCTCCATGCCAAACAAAAAACGTTTCTATTGCCATTCATGACTGCTTTGTCTTCGTCAGGATTCATACCAAATGACTCCCCCAACATGTGACTTGTCGAGCATGGTTGAAGTCAAGGCAAGTCGCTTGTATAATTTTATTTGAACATCTACTGCGCCTTCTTGGGAGCGGCACCGGGCTGGCCTCCGACGTACTTGCGGATATCCGTAGCATCAGCAGCTTGACGAACGACAGTCTTGAAAGTACCCCAGCCCTGCTTGGCAGCAGGAGGAGTGCTCTGGTTAGCAAGCTGAGCATCGATGCGAGCAGTAAGCTGGCTAATGGCCTCTTGGACAAAGCTGCTCTGTGCAACGCGGGCGCGGAAGAAGACGGTGTAGACAACGAGCAGGATCCACGAGCCCCTCTGGAAGAGGAGTGCAGATCCAAAGACGCGGAACCACAGGAAAATCTCGAGTAGGGCAACAAGCGTCATGGAGCTGTCATAGTATTCCTTGACAAACCTGCCGATAGCGTCCGAGGCGGCTGATGCCTGGGGCTTAGCGCCGGCCGGAGCAGCGGGTGGGGGCTGGATAGTGGGCAACAGGTTGGCGCGCACATAGGTAGCGACGTGGAAGATGGAGTAGACGGAGAAGGGAAGGATGGCAAGCGGGATCTGGCGAGAGAAGAGCCATGTGAGGGCCATGACTGGACTCTTGTTAGCACGTGCTACTCATGGCGGGTGCTGTATTGCCCAGAACTTACTCAAGTATTGCACATTTTCGTCAGTAGCAAGAGCAACAACACCGCTCTGCTTGCCTGCCCTCATGCGGGCGCGGTATGCCTTGTAGACGACGATGCCGTACGTGACGCAGGCCGACAGGAAGGCAGTGCGGTAGGAAAACGACGCCCATCGCGAGGAAAAGTTAAAGGTGATGTAAGACAAGCCGTAACGCAGAGTAGAGAGCAGCAGCGTAACGTGCCCAGCAAACCAGGCGAACTGAAGAGTTTGCGCAAGAGCAGCAAGGCGCTGGCCCAGAGGCATCGAGGCTGGCGGTGGGGGTGCCATTTGTTGCTATTTAGGCGGGTGTAGCAGCTGTCGTGTGGGCTACGCAATGGGGGGGTTACCTTGGTACGTCAGCAGAGAGGAAGGAAGAAGGGTGCAGTGCCAAAAGTGAATCGGAAAATATGCCAAATTGCTGACGAGGTTTCGGCGGCACAATAGCAGAGCGGAGGTGCAATGTGTCCGGAAGGGCGGCTGGGTGCTGCTAGAACAGCTGTTTGTGCCCGGCTCTCGGGACCCGCTCATGATACTCTTCGTGGCTGACTGGCGGGGTCGACTTACCGATATAGATAATGGGTCCGGCAGCTCAGCAAGAGTCGTGGGCTGATGTGTGTTGCAGAAGCAGGATACAGCAGAGGATATACAGTGTGGAGGGGAGAGGCAGAGGGACGGGGAGGGATGTGTTCTTAGAAGGACATGGAAAGTGGGCAGTAACCCAGGCTTGGTCGGCGTTTGGGGGGGCGTGACGACATGGCTGGCAACAATTCTGGGTTGTGCAGGTGGGCGGCGCACCTGCCTCGCTGCGGCCTGAGCACCAACCGCACCCTGACGATCTCCTCAGCCGCCAGCAACGCCTATCACGCCGGCATCATGGGTGCCATATCTGAGTACATGCGAAGAGCATGTACATGACATGTCTGGCGCCCATCTGCCCTGTCCGCGTGTCCTCCTCCTCTAGCATCTCTCTGCCCAGCCTCGCATCACACTCACTCACTCACGCACGCACGCAATCACTCAATCACTCTCGGACACACGCACACACAAGCACGCCCTGCCTCAACTCTTTTACCCACAAATGAAATTGCCTAGTGTGCTGGTCTGTAGAATACATGAAAAGAACATGTCCGACACTCCTCGCTCCGAACTACATCTGCCGAATACTAAAAAATAGGAAAATGCCAAGAAAAAGAAACAAGGGAATCGGAAGGAGCGCAAAGACGTTGGTATCAATCAACAATCCGGACAACTGCACCAAGACGTGACACTGGCATGCGCGGTGCCAAGCGTCGCACCGCTGTGCATTGTCCCGTTTACCGATAGCACCCAGTGGTATCGTCGGCCGCATTATATTAAACAAGGTCTGGTAACGTGGTGTAGAGAAGTGAGAAGGCCAGGGGCAAGGCTGAGGCTAAGGCCAAAGGCTGCGGCATGATGTGTCCAGAGCGGAAGAGGCCTACCCGTCCGCCCACCTGCGTCTCGGCGCTTAGCGGAGCGAGAAGCCCTTTCGCTTGCCCTTCTCTTCGATCGGCCGGCCAGACTCGATGCGTGCCTTCTTCTCTTCGAGCTCCTGTCGTTGTCGGTCCAGCTGGTCCTTCATCTCCTTGTGACGGGCGTACAGCTCTTCCTCGCTCTGGCGCAGCTTGCTTTCTTTTTCCTGCACCTTTTGCTGGAACACCATCTTCATCTCCATCTCCATCTTCTGGAGCTTGGCCTCGTGCAGCGAGCGCTCCTCCTCTTGCTTGACAGCAGGGTTGACCTCCTTGAACACGCTCGAGTCCTGTTGGATGCCCATCTGTGCAAGCTTGTCCGAGCGGTAGTTCTCGTACAAGACATTGTTGGTGTTTTCCTTGAGCTCCTCCATGTGGGTGCGGATGAGCATCTGTCGGAGCTTGACAAAGTCGCAGTGCTCCTCGTTGTCAACCTCGACCACACCCCAGGGGAGTGCGCGTCCGCGGACCTTGCGGCCGTCAACCGTCGTCACCTCGGTGTTGGAGCCGACAACAGCAAAGGGAACCTTGGCCATGATCTCCTGGTTCTCGGCAATCGTCTCCTCGTCGTCAAGCTCATACCGGGGTCCTTCGAAGATCTGGATCTTGTGGTACGCAATGTCGGCAAGAATCTGGACAAGTCAACATAGCCCCAACCACTTCGCAAAATAAAGCTACTTACCCTCTTCTTGTAGTTGTCAATCTCATCGTCCGTAACGGTGTCGGCCTTGGCAATGACGGGAATCAGGTTGACCTTGGTGTGGAGCTTCTTCATCACCTCAATGTCAATGGGCTTCAGAGAGTGGCCCGTAGGCTGAATAAAGTAGACGACGGCGTGAATGCGGTTGTCAACAATGTTCATGCGGTTGACCTTGTTCTCGGCATCCAGGTATGCGTCGAACCGTTGCTCAATGTTCTTGACAATGGGGTCCCAGGACTCATCGTTGTTGATGAAGTCGCCAAAGCCAGGTGTATCGACAACGGTTAACCTCAGACGAACGCCGTTCTCCTCAATGTCGGCGCTGATGGACTGGATCGATACAGTCTTGGAAATGTCCAGACTCGGGGGCTGGCGTTCCTTGGGCGGGTACAGCGACGTGTTGAACAGTGTGTTTACAAGGGTAGACTTTCCGAGTCCAGACTCGCCTGGGACGACACGTTAGTTAGATTCGACACGGCATGCTGGCAGGTCACACGTACCAACAACCATGACGTTGAAGTTGAATCCCTTGCGCACACTCTTGCGGTGCCACTGGTTGGGCAGGTTGGCGAAACCAACATAGCCGGTAAGCTTTCTGCGGACAATGTTCATGTCGTTGGCCATGGCCGCAGCGGCCTTGGGGTTCTTAGCCGTGATGGTGTGGACCGCAGGGTTGGACCCGTTGAATGTCTGGTCCATTGGGAAGCCGCTCGAGGAAGCCGGGGGCGATGGGGAGGCACGCGTGGGCGGCGCAGGAGAAGTAGCACCGTTGGATTCTGCACAGAGTGATTAGCCAGGGGCCCAGGGGAAGCAGAAAAGCAACCTTGTGCAGCTCAGCGACATCAAGCCGTGACAGAGAACCATCGCGGCTCTTGCCAGGTGTCATATATAGTGCTGCCACCATGGGTGGATATAAATGTATCTGCATATAGGAGCTAACACGCTCCCGGCAGGAGACTGGCGGTGATGTCGCGGAGCAGGTGTGGTTCGACGGAGACAGCCACGTACCCATTGTGGAAAGAAAGCAGGAGACGCAGGAAGAGTGTCGTCAAGTGAGGGAATCCTGTAGATGGGACGAGGTCAGCAGGCGGTTCTTAGTGCACGAGGGTTGCTGGCCATGCGTGTCGGTGCCAAACAAAAGTGACAACGCGGACCAGCCCGAATGTGGACGAATGAGGTGCAACGAGACAGACAAGCAGGGCCGACGTACCAGTTGGGGGGTAAGGGATGCTGTCGAGTGAGGGATGCACTCAAAGCAATGAATTGAAGAGTGGCCGGAGGCTGCGAAGAAAAATGGCGTGGTGTCCGGAGGCTGCGACGTTGGGAAGGGAAGTCGTGGTGCCGCCAGTCGCTGCGTGGGAGGAAAGGGGTCCGCACAGGGATGGGCGCGATTGGAGCAACGCCAAAGCAATGTGCACTAGACCAAAAATCCCCGCGTCACCATTCGCAGACAGTGCCGGCGTCGAGTGTCGCTGGAAATAGAAGAAAAAGCAGAGATTGTGGAAGAGCAGGAAGAAGCAGAACAAGCCGGTTGCCAGGGCGCGCGCGAGAGACAGAGTGCAGCAGTACAACAGACGCCCTCTTGTTGCAGGCCCTCGTTTGTGCTCCTGTCGTCGGGCTGGAAATGGTATGGGTAGTCGCAAAGGGCCATGTCTCCACAAGGCAGAGTCACGTGCGGTTAAATGAGGAGGCACGAGCATCGGCTCTTGGACATTATTACACGCCCGCTGCCTCACGGGCGTTTTCCACGGCCGTCATACACCTGGCGTGGCCTGACCATGTCAGACTCTAACGCGTCCATCCCCATGCCCAAAGTCGTCTACTGCCCACTGCCTATCTACAAATCAAAGGGTATTTTACGCGTCGCCAAAGCAAACCGAATCCCACCCAACGCCACAGTCACTGCGCTATGCAAAGCTCGCCAGCGCCTTGTTCAACTCGCTCTTGTCGTACTTGACATACTTGCCCTTGCCCTTGTCAATCTCCCGGTACCGGTCGTAGAACCGGTTGTACAGGGGCTCGATGATGTTCTGTACCTCCTTGGAGAGCTGGTTGCGCACCTCTGGCTCCATTGCGTACGACTTGTGCCGTGTAACAAGATCCTCGAAGCTTGTGTTGAAGTTCTTGAACTTCTCCTTGATTGCATCCTTGTCCTTGGAGCTCAGGGATTTGACAATGGTGGCCGAGTCAGCACCACTCGAAGTAGGCCGCTCCTTGGTACGATTCGTGTACTGCACATCAAGCAGGTAGCCAGACGGCTCTCGCCATGCCTCCAAGTACATGGCCGTGCCCTGCTTCCGCCAATCGGCCAGCTTCTTGGAGTAGTTCTCCATCAGGGGCGCTAGTTCGGAAGAACGAATGATGCGCATAATGATTGCAATGTTGTTCGCCATGAAGACGCCTTGCAGATTCTTGCCCTTGAGCAGCATCTTTGCCTTGCCGCTCAAGTTTTGCAGCAGCGTGTCCACTGTGTCGCCCGCATAAGAGCCAAACAACTTGATGCCATCGGGCCCAACATCCAGTGTTGTCGATGAGTTGTTGGCCGAAGCAGCGTTCCACCCGCCCTCGCCTAACGATGCCAAGATGGATGAAAGAGGCTCTAGGTAGTTGGTCATCTCCTGCAATCGTCGCATCGTCTGTGTGGTAATCTCTACTGGGCCACCATCAATCGGCAGCGCAATTAGACCCTGTGTGTTGGACCTTGTGTCGTCGAGCATCTTGCTCAACGACGTTTTCGATGTCTCGCGGATCGGCTTGACGCTGTCGTAGATTTGATCCTTGAGAGCACCCGTTTGCTTCTGGAGCCTCATGGAAAGCGTCCGGACCAGCCCGCAAATCTCAAATCCTAGGAAGCAGTCTGTCAAGATGTTCTTCTGGATATGCCCGTTGAGCTCGCGCAGCGTTTTACTAAAGTCTTGCAGAGAGACCTGGCACGTCGACACGTAGACGTCGCTCCATTCCTCCCTGTCAAAGATGTAGTTGAGGTTGTCAAACTCGGCTACAAACAGCCCTTCTATCGCCTGCACGTAGGTTCCAATGCCATTTGTGCCCTTCTTGTACAGAGCGTCAGCTTGCACTTTCCGGGCTGTGCTTATCGATGCTTGCATCAAGCTTCTCAATGTGCTCTCGAGATATTCGCCCCGAACATCGGCGTAAATCCTTCGTGTGGGCGTCTGGGATAGATCGACTTGTGATGTTTGCGCAAACGTCTTCGAAATATGGTTGTGGATGCTACGCAGGCTCTGGAGCTTATCTTGCGCCATGCGCGGGAACGGATTCTCTGTACACAGTCAGAGTCTCTACGCCAACAGCATGCAATCGACTTACGCTTGGCGACATATTCCAATGCTTGGAACTTTTCTCTACAGCTGTCTTGTAGTATGCCCCGAAATACTTCCTCTAATTGCTTGTTGCCTAGTTTCAGCAGTCCGCTGAGTTCTGTAATGGCCTGCTCATTCGAACGAAGGTTGGTGCGCTTGAGATCCAGTAGGTTGAGGTTGGTGCGGTCCAGGGAAGCAATGTAGCCATCAAGGTCTCCTCTTCCGGGACCGGCGCGAATGATTCTTTCCTCCTTGGCGCTTTCTTCTCTCGGCGCGCGGAGCCGCTCTATCGCATCGATGATGCGATCGACATTTGTGTTTGCAATCTGTAGCTTTTGGGTGTTGCCGTAGATTGGCCCAATGGCTTCCTGGACTGCCTTTCCGCTTGCATCCAGTCGGTTGACGGACCCTTGGATCTTCTTGGTGATTGCCTTCATCTTCTCCATGTTGGCGAAGAGCACTTCAACTTCGGCGCTCTCTTCAAGGAGCGCGGTTCTGCGTGGGGCGACCATGGCGACTGCTAGGAAGATTCGCGACTGCCTCGGGGGCTATGTGGACGCGTGGGCGGCGGTGAAGATGACCCCTATTATAAGAGAATGGTGGACAAGAATGAAGCGAACATGAATTAGTACATTAAAAGGTGATAAATGACAGGACGATAAATAGCTCGAGTGTATAAGGGTGGCGTATGATGATGTGTGAGGGGGTCCTTGTGGAGAGCTGTCGTGGAGACGTTGCTATCCCGAACCAGGGTCCGGCCTCGGTGGTCCGCCCCCAGACTGAACAAGCATGCCGCGCCATGTCGGGTAGATCATGCAGCTCTGTGAAACACTCGTAGGCCCATTTGACTCGGCACATTGCGGCAAAAAGTATGGACGCAACTAAAAAGACGCATTGCGTGTGCAAAGGGTCCAAGCAGCAGCGGGAATGCGGGATACCGTTTCCTAACACCGCCAGAGCCGCTGTCTGCATCTCATACTTACCTGTCTCGGCAACACGTAGCTGCTTTAGTATTAGGCACATAATGCATGGTTTCAGAAGAGCTACGCAATCAAGTGATTAGACATACACCCTTATGCATTCATGGGGCCAAATGCAAGTAACACTACAGGAGCCTTTTGAACGCTTTGCAAATAGCGGGTGCTCTTGAAATGTTACCAGTGTATAGTAGTAGACTAGAGTAGTACGTACGTAGGTGGTCCTGCTCAAATAAACCTCAATGCAAAATCGTGCCAGAGTATTGTAAATGAACGAGAGGCTTTAACTAGCACGCTATTTGACCCAACACGTTGATATTTTCCCGCCAGGCAGGGACGGATATTAGCTAACAGTGTCTCGCAGGCAAACCATTATTCTATCACTATACTCTAAACTGAGGCCCAGGAAGGCCAACCCCCAGGAAGGCCAACCCCTAGGAAGGCCAACCCCTAGGAAGGCCAACCCCCAGGGATGCGTCGGGTAACCCTAGGGCCAGAGGAACAACATTCAAGCGCATAGAGCTTTTAGTCCTATCTGAACCTTGTGTAACTCCTCAGGATTCGATTTAATTTACTCTTGTTAATTTATTCTGTATTTTTTAGGCCAGATAGGCTGTGATCAGTCCAGGAGTATATATACCGCATTCATTCTCGTTTGTCTTCCTGGGAGAAAGGGTAGGGGTCCTTGATTCTAGAGATACATGAACTATTTCCTACACAAATCAACGGCTGCTGGTCACTCATTCCTTTTTACAGGTTGCAGTGGCGTACCAGTGCGGAGTTCGCGCTTCCTGACAGTAGTTGATAGATATGTAATATGCTTATGGAAACTGTATCCCTTGTCAAAAAAAGACCCAACTAGTTGACTTGAAGCTTGTAGCATCGACTCTTTGTTTACATTTTCGTCTATTCTTCCGCTGTCTCTTTTGTATCCTACCATCCGACCTACCTTACTTATTGTCGATAACGGCCACTTCTCTAATAACCAATTATTGTGTTCTTGCAAAATTCTGTCAAGATTTGGTAGTTTGTGCTATTCTAAGAGTAGGAAAATTCACAGCTTAATAGAAGACTGATTCTTCTGATAGAGATGATTGTTCCGTCAACGGTGACGAGGCTGGTACGCATTTCCGATGCAGCTTGCTGTATTTCAACCTCTTTGTTTATTTTTTTCCGCAAGGTGCATATATCTTAGTTCCGAAGTCAAGCGCCACATATGTGCTGATAACGATGGCTTCATCGCAAGGTTTGGCGTTAATGGCAAGTCTGTTTCACACATTTTGCCGTCGATATTACAAAACCCGATTTTTGTTGGATGAATTGGCCCTCGGCTGAGATTTGGCAAGTAAATCTCTGTTTCGAGACAGTATGCGTGCTTTGGAGAAAGATAGACCAAAGATTAGGATGGCTTGGATAATAGGCGAGAATTTTCTCCTCCATTCTCCAAAATGGGAAGAAGATGAGGGGATTAAATAAAGTTAATTATGCAGCGCCTTCTGGCAATTAGCATTCAGCTGACAGGGGTGTTGATTTTAAGCATTTGGCGCTTCGCCACACTATCAAGGTAATTAAGCTGGCTCAGCTGAATTAGGTATTGCTTTAGTGCATTTGGGAGCTCATTGCATCATCAAAGTGGCATGCAGGCTGAGCTGAAAGGGTCCACTAGTACGCAAGTTTCTTTTTTTGCTAATTTCATTCTCCTGTCAGGCTATATTTGGCTGCGAGAATGTCCATTTCATAGACCGTTCGTTCAACTCCCCCAATTACATTACCAACTATCGCTCTCTAATATCTTGAAATTGCTCAAATTTTACAGCCAACTGAAGAGCGTAGTGACCCAGATACTTCCATTACAATGGTCGACGGGGCTCCCACGGCTAGCAGCAACAATACTTCTAATGGAGTAAAAAATGGCCGAGGGCCAATTCCAGAGTTGCCCACCGAGGAATTTGACTTGGGTAGTCTTGTGGCCTGTTTTCGAGATATATCGGATGGGAAAAGATTTCAAGGCTCAGCAGTTAAACAGCTTCTTTCCTCATTGCTTGAAACAAACATGGAACCGGTTGCTGGCACAATTGAACAAAAGCTAAAGGAGAAAACGGAGGGCCGTTACGCTGGAGCAGACATAAATGCTCTAGGCGATACCTTTTTCCAGTCTTCCACTACATCTGCAGAAGGACTGTGGGCATTGCTGAAGGTACGAACTTTGGTAGTATACTGATGACGGCCATCTCAAACCTGCGATGCCTAGATAACTAACCAAATTTAATGGTACAGAATACCGATAGACCTCCAGAAGAAAATCCAAAAGCCATTAAAGCCTTTGGGCGGGTTATACAAATACGATCTCTTCCGCCAATTACCACACTTCAACTACTTACATGCCTGGCGTCCCACTTTGATCTGGAGCGACTATTCTTAACCTTGCTCAACCGACGGATATCATCTAGCTATCGCCCTTATCCCGGTTGGAAAGGGCCTCAGAATAACTGGTTCTTCTCCATCAAGTACTACTATGTTTCATTCGGAGGCCAGGACGTTTATCCGGGTCAGGAGTCAGGACCCTTCCGCCAGAACCTGCCGCACCTCCGAATATGCCGTGGAAGCTCATCTGTGGCATTGAGCTTCTCTGATACAGAGGGAGCAAATACGGCTGCTGCATTACCATGGAGACTCTTGATCCTCTCTTGCGATCGGGAACATTCTTTAAGTAAAAAAATCAAAAACGGGGTGGAGGCGTTTTTCTGGGGCATTAACAGTGAATTGAGGAAGGTGAGGAGGCGTCTTCTGAACATGGCAACTCAGATATCGTCGATATGTGTGCCCCCGGTAAGTTGTTACCCTGAGAGCAAATACCCCAAGTCCATAACACTCAAAGTCTGACCGTGTCCGGCAGGACGAGTTTCTCTTTAACAACGAGATGCAAAAATCTCTCGCATTCGAAAACGAGTCTTTGTCAAACTCGCAAACGTACTTTTGGGCTCTCCAATCCTTGCGTCTTATCAATGAGTGCATTACTTGGATTATTAGAGAATGGGACATGTACGACAAAGAATCTCTTCTGGATCTTCTCAATACAGGTGGCGGTGGGATAAGCCATACGTATGCCAATTCAGATGGCGAAGCAGCTGCGGCTAGAACTGCATCGGTACCTTACCTAGATGATATTCAAGAACAAATGACTCAGTTCGCCGGTATGATAAAAGACAACAATGCCAAGCTGGTGGAGATACGGGCATTGCGCGACGGTGTAAGTGCTCCCCTAACGCCCTCATTTACTGGTGAACTGAATCTCTAACGCCATATTCCAGCTTTTCGATGCCTCTTCATTCCTCGAAGCGCGCACCGCTGTCGCACAAGGCAAAAACATTCATATGCTCACGCTTATCTCTATGGTGTTCTTGCCTGCTAGCTTCGCAACGTCCATCTTTGGCATGCAGTCTCTTCCACCATCATCGACAAGTCTCACGACGTTTGCAATCGTCATGATATGTGTTTGCGGGCCTGTATATTTGATTATCTTAGTATTGAGCGGAGGACTAAAAGGAGCCGGTGTTATTTGGGGGAAGATAGCGAGGTTCTGGGATGTACGCGGCAACGTCGATGGCAAAAAATGGCTCGAAAAGGCGAAGACGATTATAAGGAAGAAAAGTAACAAACCACAGGATGTCGAAAATGGTACATGATGTTGATGTAGATGTCAGATACACCCCTAGCTAGCAGGTCGATTCAACGCTTATGAGTTACTACTCTAAAAATTGGAATCATATTGTGCCCTCCGAAAAAGCACGCAACAGACCCGAATACCGCTCCAAAACACTAAGACAGGAAAAAAACCTTGCTACGAGGTCCATGCTGAGGAAAAATCAAAACGGAAACTGGTACCCAATTATGGGCAGCATGTACCAAGCTCGACGGTAAAGTGTACATACGTAAAAGGATAGCCGTGAAACGCGCACAGGCTTGTGAGCAATATGTCATGGATTTGATCAAGGTGCCGTTGCACGGAATCCAGCTTCGGTCGACACACTTCCCATTAGCAACAAGAAAACCGGAGGTGATGCCGTGTCTGCAACACCTGCCGTTTACTGGTAGCCGTTCCCACGGGGCATATTTGCCAATGCAGACTAGCATAAGAGCGGACACTTCCACATCGTGTGCGTCAACTGTTGATGTTGCTAACCATGTCTTGTTGTTCGCTCTCCGGACAAGGCTCTCGTACACGGCTATGCAACAAAATGCTTCAAAAAATATTTGGGTTATTTTCCGGAGCAACAGCTGATGGATCTGCCACAACAAACTTGCAAACAATCTGGTACTAGCATCACGTGCAGCGGGCAAAGACAAGTGGGGTGTTCTGGCCAGCTGGTGCATGTTCCTGCAGGTCTTGGCATACGACATGCGGGCCGTGGTTCGATCGACGGGATCCACAGCCAGTTTGGGTGGTGGGATTCTGGCATGTCATGCTGAGGTCTTTCCCATGACCCCAGTCGTGGGTGGTTCCCATGCACACATTGCCCATGCTCCTCGCAAGCCTTCACACCACACGCCCTCTTGCCATTATCTTCGCGCATGGCCGGCTATAGGAACACGCGCAATTTGGGCCAAATCTGGCTGTGTGGGACGCGTCGTGGGTGCGTCCGCCTGGAAATCCATCCCCCACTATTGCATGCTAATTATCCAGCCTGCACACAAAACACCATTCCCTGTCTTCCAGGCCCAGGGCAGCCACCCTCAGTCTTCGCTATGGTCCTCCTTGCCTGCTTGCCACTGCTGCCACCGGCTACCTGATATCACCATACTCTCCACACCCGCTATTACGCCCCATTCAACTCGATGCGCCGTCTCTCAAGCGATACATGTTTGGTGGTGGGGATGATGCCAAGACCGAAACCACGTCCGCTGGGGATGCCGAAAGGCAGATAAACAAACAAGGCGAGGGCAAGTCGGGAGAGCAGGACGCACCACCCCAGACTCGTCTTGTGAAGGGTCACGGCAGCGAGGACGAGGGCGACAACCGAACCGGAGAGAGCCAGTCCGCCTGGCAGACCATCACGGACAAATTCCCAAAGTCGGCCTCTCCCTCCAAGATTGGCGACACCATCATTGACTACATTGTGCCCAATTGGGTCAAGGTCATGCCCGGCTTCATCCGCAAGCTGCAGAATGAGCTCTCCATGGCCCCGGGTTCCTTGGCCGAAGAGATATGGCGTGAGGCCAATGATCCCGAGATCAACCCAGAGATTATCTGGGATGCTTCTGTCAGGGTTTCCAACGAGCTGTGCCAGGAAGAAAAGTCCTTTTTGGAGAAGCGTGCACACTTCACCAAGGCTGCGCTTGCGCGCTACCTTGATATCCCGGAAGCCACGATTCATCCCGACGATGTCCCCGTCATTGCAATGTGCGGTTCTGGAGGAGGACTACGCGCTCTTGTTGCTGGCACATCTTCATACTTGTCAACCAAGGAAGCAGGTCTCTTCGACTGTGTGACTTACACAGCAGGAGTCAGCGGCAGTTGCTGGCTTCAGACACTCTACTACTCCGAGCTTAGCCAACGCAGCCATGCTCGCATGATTCGCCATCTCAAAAACAGGCTCGGCGTACACATTGCTTTTCCCCCTGACGCGCTTGAACTGCTCGTCAGTGCCCCAACGAGCAAGTATCTGCTAAGCGGTCTCGTAGAAAAGGCAAAGGGCATCCCAGACGCCGACTTTGGTCTTGTAGACATATATGGCGCCCTGCTTGCTGCGCGCTTGCTCGTACCCAAAGGTGAACTGTCTGTCAGCGAGTACGACTTCAAGATATCAAATCAGCGACGATTTACCGACAATGGCTCACAGCCACTCCCAATTTACACTGCCGTACGACACGAGATTCCTCTCGCTGAACAGTCAGATGACAAGAATGCTATCGAGGCAGAAGCACAGGCGAGAAAGGAGGCCTGGTTCCAGTGGTTTGAGTTTACCCCATATGAGATGTGGTGCGAGGAGCTATCGGCTGGTATACCAACATGGGCAATGGGTCGCCGTTTCCAGAATGGCCGAACCGTCTGGCGAGACAATGGCCTGGCATTGCCCGAAGTGCGCGTCCCACTGCTGATGGGTATTTGGGGATCTGCTTTCTGTGCAACACTATCACATTACTACCGCGAAATTCGTCCTCTCATGCGCAATCTGACAGGTCTAGGCAGTAGCATAGATGCCATGATTGCGGAGCGGGATGATGACCTTGTCAAAGTCCATCCCATTGATCCTGCTGCAATGCCCAATTATGCTCTGGGCATGCGCGAGTTTCTTCCTTCCACCTGTCCCGAAAGCATCTTTCAACAGAAGAATTTCCAATTCATGGATGCCGGCATGTCCAATAACCTGCCTATCTACCCCCTGCTCCGCCCAGGGCGCAACGTGGATATACTTGTCGCCTTTGACGCTTCTGCCGATGTGAAAACCGACAACTGGCTCAAAGTTGCCGATGGATATGCTCGGCAGCGCGGGATTAAGGGATGGCCAGTTGGTGCAGGCTGGCCGCCCGCTGACGAATCCATGGAAGAAATTCAACAAGACCTCGACCGTGCCGAGGCTAAGACCGAACATGAAGCCCAAGAAAAGCTTGATCAGGCCAAAGAAAAGAATGGGCCCAACAAGAAGAAGATTGAGGACTTGGGCTACTGCAACATCTGGGTTGGAACCACTGAAGAGCGCACTTCTGACTCTGCATCACCAGAAAGCAAACAGGTCGAAGAAGACTGGGAGCTCATGCACCCAAATTCTGGCATCACCGTCATCTACTTCCCCTTCCTCGCCAACCCGAAAGCACCCGGCGCAGATCCCAAGGTCAGCGACTTCATGTCAACATGGAACTTTGTCTACACCCCCGAGCAAATCGACAGCGTCGTTGATCTTGCGCGGGCAAACTACAATGAGGGTGCTGAGCGCACCAAGCGCACTGTGAGGGCCGTTTATGAGCGCAAGAAGAGACAGAGGGAAGAGCGGGAGAAGGAGGAGAAGGAGAGACGATGGCGGTGGAAGTTGAGTCAAGGCAGGATTGCGGGGAGGAGGATTGGAGGGGATAGTGAACATGGGGATCAGTTTAGTTAAGGGAGAAGGAAAAAACGAGGATGGAGTCTGGTGGATAACGGTTGGAATGAACAAGATGGAGGTTTTATACCCTAGGTACTTTGGATCGAGAATGAAAATATGTACATACATACTTAGGTTGCATGGACATGGAACTGGATAAGCAAGTGAAGTGGCTGTTGATTGAACATGCTTTCTCTGTATTACCGTACGACCAGTCAACACAAATCCCAGCCAAAGTGCATTACGTATAACAACACAATCGAAACCTCAGAGCATCTCCACGGACTATTCCAAAATACCCTCATATCATCTTCTCCATATTCCTCCCCCATCCAGCACACAACCCCATCACCACCACCCTACCCAAATTTCCCCCCCCCCCCTTTTCACACCCCCACCGTCCTTCTCCCAACAACAACAACCTGCACATTCGGCCACAACACCTCTTTCCCCTCCCTCTCCCTCTCTTCCTTCTCCTCCCTTTCCCTCACCTCCTCAGCATACCTCCTCATACCCTCATTGTACAACTTAACAAAATGCGACTTACCACTACAATCTACAAAACGCGTCAGTCCCGATTTGCTCTGCAGTGCGTGGTAGAGCGCAAAGTAGTTTGTGGACCAGGCGGGGAGGGCGCGGTTGCGTTTTTGGAGGGCGGTTTTGTAGGATTCTAGCGTTTGGCGGGGGTGTAGATGGTGGTGGTAGCGGTTGTGCTGGGATTGGTGTAGTAGTGGTTGGTATTCGTGCTGTTGATTTTGTTGGTGGGTGAAGAGTTGTTGTTGTTGTTGTTGTTGCTGGTCTTTTTGGCGTGTAGCGGCTAGTTCGGCGGTGAATTCTGCACGGAGACGTGCGAGTTCGGTTGACATGGTTTGGGCGTCGGTGATGCGGGTGGGACACTAAGGACACAGGGTAAGTTTTGGGGGGTTTGGCCTTTTAGACTGCCTTTTCTTTCTCGGCATTTGGGTAAGTGTGATGAAGGGGAGGGGACATGAAGGCTAGGGAATAATGCACCTTGAAAGAGCCGTCTTCGGCTATGTCCTTTGCTGAGTGACCTTTCTTGCCGCATCGGTGACAGTCTCGCTGGTTTTGGCGGGGAGTAGCTTTCTTACTATGTGGGCTTTCGGATTCAGCGTCCCTTACGCTTTTGACTAGTTGTAATGCTTGGTTGAGGGAGAGGATGTTGGGGGCATCATGTGGATAACTAGGGGGAGTGGGATTCAACCAGTTGACGATTGCATTTTGTTTAGAGACTCTTTCTCTAGCCATGTTGGGGCTCTTTCTTGGATGCATGAGATGATCAGTTTTAGTGGGACACCGATGATCATGCTAGTATTGAGATCTGGGGTCGATGGATATTATGAGGAGCTACGTCAGTACGAGAAGTACGAAACGCCGACCATGGATGGAAAGGCGACTATATATCAGAGTAATCGGATGGTGGTGAGTTGATGGATTCCCTGGATGAGAGGTATTGGATATGGCTGGATGACTTATGGTCTGCAGACTTTGGGACTGGTGGGACGTCGAACTCACCGTCACCGCTGTGCCTATCACGCTCCAGGTAATTCAATTCACTATCAAATCTGCGGCAATGATGTTATTGATAGTAACCCCAACAAGTAGACTATGGTTAGCTTTCCATATCTCCCAAAATGCCGCATATGTGTGGACTCTGGGAGTAAGGGACTACTTCACAGTGTCTCCACACGACACTTCATGGCACTACTGTGCACTTGGCCCGCATTTGACAGTTTTTTGAAGCTGATTCGAGACAGAAGTCGGTAATTGCTAGATTCTCGAGTACGGTGAGCCAAGAAGACTATGAGCGAGCGGTGTAGTGCAGGCGAAGATGTCATGGTGGCCAACCGGAAACTTCGTTCACTTCCCTCCTCAGTTTTAATTTCTGTACAAGAAGGTAACTCCCTCAAAAGAACAGGCACTGAGATAACATAGTGGACTAGGCTTCAATAACTACTGATATAGAGAACAAACATATAGATAGTAGCTACAAGCATATGCGGAGGATACCACTAGTAGGACATCAAAGATACAAGTAACATAGTACAAGTCGCAATAGACGCATACTTTCCCTAGCTTATGGCACCATTTTAATAAGATACCAGATCGCGAATTGCTAGTTGCTCATGACTGGGGCACAAGGAGTGAGCAAACCAGAATAGAAGACTGGAATCATCAATGAACACGAGAACTTTGGAAAACAAGAACTAAGAAATCATGCTTGAATGTTCTCATGTAGTAAAACCAGCAACCGATTCCTACTCTAGGGTGCTCCACACGCTATTCTTAAGACAGGAGTCTATCACATGCTGCTCATGTGGCATGCGCTGATTGATTCTCATAAACCGTGACAAGCTTGTCAAGCTCCAACACCAACCGCCAAACGCCCTGTATCATGCTGGGTATAATGCTAAAAAAAACGACACCTAAACAAAGAGAGACCTATAGACCCACCAGACGCCTAGGGACATGTTAGCTAGCTAGCGGTCCTGGAAAGGGGTCACATCGCGATCGGCAAAGCGAAGTGCGTCTGATGCTTCTACATCACTATACATTTCAGCATCTTCGTCTCGCATTTCCTCGAGTGATCGCTTGGGCTTCGACGATGACGGTGTAGGTGATAGCGAGCCGGGCTGTCGATGGCCGTTGCTCTGGGCATTTCGATGCGGCGTTTGGTATTGCGAGGCGGCGATGGTACGTCGTGCTCCAACGATATCCCAATACGACCGTAATATGTTCTTGAGCGTATCGTCAAAGTTGGAGCAGAAGCGTTGTGCCTGACAGATTTGCATGGCTCGGATGTGGTTGAAGTCGTTTAGTGTCTCCATTAGGTAAGCGGCCACTACTGCTGCTGACTTCTCGTTACCGGACTCGCAGAAGACTAGGGCTTTGCCGAGCATGGCTTCGCCCTTAGTTTGTAACGTGTGCTGTCGGACTTTTGCCACGTGTGTGTTGATCATCCGAGTCGCCTCAGGGAATTTGGGGGTGAGAGCGTAAAAGGTAGGGGCCTCGATACTGCCCACTTCAAGACAGACTTCGCTAGCGGCTTGCATTGCGCCCACCAGACTGTTAGGTTGCGCACGAACGGCCAGGGCCATGGTGATACCTTCGCGCTCGAGGAAGGCCTTGTCCTTGGCTGCCATCATGGGTCCAAGATACAACCAGGGCAAGATCATCTGGGCCTGTCTGCGCCGCTCGTATGCCCATTCAAGCAGTGAATTTTTATGTACTATATGCTCAAGGTCCAGCTCTTTCAGAAAGGTCATGTCCAACTCTTCACCGGGGCTGTCGCTCAGTGCCAGGCCCGGCATTTCGGAGACAAGCGTGGGCGGGGGTACGGCGATCCGAGGCGGCGCAGGTAAACGGTAGGTGTACTCGTGTTGGTTGCGCATATGGACATTTGGGTGGTCCGACATGGCGGCTTCTTCGCGAAAGGTTGCCATGACCATATGGATGGTCGTGGTTGAAAGAGGTCCCGGTGAGGCTTATCGAAGAGAGAAAAAGACGGTGAGATTTATGTATCCAAGTGGGTCGCAGACGCACTTGGTTGCCACAGTCCGGGGCGGGCTTCAGTGTGGATGTGTATGTATGGGCCGAGATGGGCGCAGGCAGCAGAGAGGCGAAGGGAAGTGCCAGGGGAGTGAGTGGGCGCGACGAGGTGGGGTTTGGGTATCGTGATGGCCGCGACAATTAAGTAGGGCAGGTTGCACGGCAAGAAGTCACGGTTCATAAAAGAGGTGAGAGACGCCCCATGGCGAACCGAGGCCGAGGTGAACTACGGTACTGTTCATCGACGGCGCACGCGTTCACGTTCTGGAATTGCGGGAGGGCTAGCCAAAAGAGGCACCCGCGGCACGGCTGACGTAACGGGGCATGCAACCGAGCTGTCTGTCACGAGGCCCGCCAATCATCGCATTGCTCTCGCCAGTCCCGTCCTACTTGGACGTCTTACAATAGCTTGCCAACAGTACCTTGGAACTCCTTTGGGCCAATCCAGTACCCTATTAGGAATTTTTCAAATCCTTTTCGGATGCAAACGAGGCCGATGGTTGTCTCTGCACACGACCCGACTCTATTTTTGTACCGCCTAGGAGTCTCGACTTCTTGTAGTGTATCACCTTTTGTCACTCTCGTCTGATATCTGGTCAGCTTTTGCTGATACGGCTTCTGCATGAGCTGCTACACTTTTCACAAACCGCTTGAGGGTAGCTCTGTGGAGGGGCGAGCCGAAAGTCAATGTATGGCAACGTTGAGTGATATGTGCAAGTAATCTCCATGTCTTTGTTTTAAGTATTATGCTTAATAGATGAATAGCTTGGCTCTTCTTGTTCACGTGTTTGATCTCGCTTCCAACTTATTAGACAATTATGCATACGATCCTCTTCCAGGTACCCTGAATCAGGCTATGGACCCCACTGAACCCACCGCCAGCACACTCTGTCGACCGTTTTTCCCATTTCTGGAGCAGAGACCGAAAATAGAGCTGATCCCTCTCATTATGTGTATCTGCCATGCCTATACTGACGAAAAATTTGCAAAAAGAATGTTTTCTCTAGAATCCAGCTGCACAAGTAGCCTGTATCCCATTGTCCTTACGCGCCAAAGAAATACAGCATTATATACCGTATCGTCACAACAAAGATAACAAGTAGAAACTTCGGTGAACTGATTCGCTGGCAACACCGTCTTATCCATCTACCCCAACTGGCCAAGCAAACCCATTCCACTAATACCATCCGCTCCACCCGAATGCGATTCAACGAGCAACGCGCCCGCGAACCAACGAAACCAACCTCTCGGTCCGACACACGACTGAACGTTACTCGTTTCGGTGGGTCGGCCAACAAAACTACGTAACCACTAAACCAATACTTAGCCTAACGATCGCAACGTCTCCGATCTTCCGGACCTATTGTGGGGTAAAAAAAACCCTCCGCAAAAACATTCCGCAACTATCGTCCTGGTAAATCGCAACTGTCGTCATAAAGCCAAGGCTGCCCATTGCGATTCGGGTTAAGCAAGCTTGTCTTCCCCCTCTTCTTCAATGGCAGATAAAAAGATGGCCGGGGGCACGCATTCGCTGTTGGGCTTGTCGGAAGAGCAGTTCGCCTTCGCAGCGTGAAAGCGTAGTAGTACTAATATTACAGTCATGAAATTCACATCGTCACACGATTTGGTGGTCGTGTTGTCGTTTGTGACGGAAGCAACAAGTCGGATTCTGGTCCGTCAATCTACGACTATCGACTACAATGCCGCTCCACCAAATCTCTCTACGCTAGCCAATAACTCGCTTTTCGACACTTGGAGGCCCAAGGCACATGTTCTACCGGCGTTTGGCCAGATTGGAGATCCGTGCATGCATTATACAGACCCTGCAACTGGGCTTTTCCATGTGGGATATCTGCATCTGGGGGCATCAGGCGCGACGACGAACGATCTGGTTACATACAAGGACTTGAATCCCAATTCCGCACCGTTCATCCGGGCAGGCGGGATAAATGATCCCGTTGCAGTCTTTGACGGCAGTGTGATTGAAAAAGGTGTAAACGGCACGCCCACGCTCCTCTACACAAGCGTCAGCTACCTTCCCATCCAATGGACAATCCGCTACACAAAGGGAAGCGAAACACAATCACTAGCCTACGCCACGGACGGCGGCAAAAACTTTACAAAAGCCAAGTTCGGCCCAGTTATCCCGAGTCCTCCCTTCGCCGTCAACGTAACGGGATTCAGAGACCCATTTGTATTCCAAAGCCCGCAGTTCGATTCTCTTCTCAGCAAGAAAAAAGATACGTGGTACACCCTCATCTCGGGCGGCGTCCACGGTGTCGGCCCCAGCCTCTTCCTCTACGCCCAATACGACGACTCAGACGCCGCCTTGTTCCAAACCTGGGAGTACATAGGCGAATACTGGCACGAAGCCGCAAACACCACCTGGACCGAATCCAACTGGGCCGGCCGCTGGGGCTTCAACTTTGAAGTCGCAAACATTTTTTCCTTGGACGAACATGGCGCCAATCCCTCAACCGGTGAGACCTTCTTAACCGTAGGCGCAGAATGGAGCTACGCACCCATTGTGCCCCAAGTCTCCGACGAAAGAGATATGCTCTGGGTCGCCGGCACCCAGTCCCTCGTCGACGGCAAATTAGTCTTTGAACCGACAATGGCAGGAAGACTAGATGCAGGCCGCTCCGCCTACGCGGCAGCCGGCAAGCTTCTCTCGGCAGACTCGCAGCCCAGCTGGGCGAGCGGCGCCCCCGATCGCGCAATCACATATCTCTGGCTCACAGGCGACCTCTACGGCACCTCTGCCTTCCCCACGGCCCAGCAAAACTGGACAGGCTCCTTGCTTCTCCCCCGCGAACTATCCTGCTGCTACATCGACGTCCTCGACACGCCGCTCGCCCGCGAAACCGGCGCGTGGAGGGTCGAGCGCGAGACGGGAGACGGGACGCTACGTCTTGCGACGTTGTGCCAGAAGATTGCTCGCGAAGTCACAACTGCGTTCAAGACAGAGGCTACAAACGTAATCACGTTGCCTGCGGATGAACTGTCTACCGGCGAGCAATCCAAATTGGCCCAGACACCAAAGGAGAATCACTACATGCTTACTGCTTCTCTGACTTTCCCCGCGCGTACTCAGGGTTTGAAGGCCGGACTTACGATTCTCTCCGGCGCGCATGAGACGACACGTGTGGTGTACGATATCGGCTCTGAGCGGCTCAGTGTGGAACGTGGGAGGTCGTCGGCGGCGGCGAATACGACGCAGGGCATACCTGCGTACGATGAGGAGGGTTTATTTCGGCTGTTCGATTTACCCACCCACGCCAATGCTTCGCGGATTGAGACACTGAATCTGACGATTGTGGTGGATGGTGGGGTGGTGGAGGTGCATGCGAATGATCGGTTTGCGCTGAGTACGTGGGTGAGGCCGTGGTATGCGGATAGTAAGAGTGTTGGGGTTTTCGCCGAGGGAGAGGGACAAGAAAAGGTCAGCGTGAGCGAGGTGAAGGTTTATGAGGGGTTGGTGGATGCATGGCCCAAGAGAAATAAGAGGATTTAGGGAGAGGGCTAGGAGGGATGGCGTATCATCAAGCAATGTTTTTCGAGAAAGAAATAACAACACACATGTGTAATGATGAGCCTGGCCATCACATCTGCCAATCTACACTTTTTTCAATTTTCATCCCAAAAAAAAGGCAGACCAACAAGGTGTAAACAATGATGCTCATAGCCGTAAATCCACATCTATGACCCCTATAGGTAGAATACCCCACCCATCCATTGCTGCTTGCCTTTACAAAAAACGCCAAAACGATAAAACATCATGGAAAACGCAATGATGTTGAATGGACACCCAACCCATGAAAATTGGAACCGCATAACTCATTACTCAAGAATGCCTGCCGTGCTACCTTTACGCCTTCCAGGAAGCTACTTTATGCCAGGTAACCGAGCTCATCGCCCTCCAGACGTTCCAGGTACTCCTTCTCCAACAGAATATCTATACACTTTTTGATGTCGGGAACACGAGGCATGAAGCGATTCTTGATTTGCTGAATCGTCTCAGAGACGAGTTGCTGATGCTTCATCTTCTTTCGCGACTTCATGATACGCACAATGGCCGACTGTGGCAATGTTAGTGAGATGTGCAATGTGAAAATGTATCAAGTGAGTACATACCTGAATAAGTAGCTTGCGGTCCTCCTCAATCGTCTTGTGCGTGTCCTCTGCTTCGGCCTTTTGTTCAGACTTGATACCAATGTTCAAGTTCATCTTCACCTTCTTGGTCTTGAAGCCAGTGTTGAGCTTGTAGACGGTACCAGACTCATGCTTGGCGTTCTCGGGCTGAGTGAGAAGAACCTTGGCCTTGATGAATACTCCCAAACTGGGGTCAAGAGTCTCCTTGTTCAGCTTGGTCGACTCGGCAATTTCATCGTACGTGACGGTGTCGCTGTCATTGAACAGCAACATGATTGCCATCTGATACGTCGAGACCTGGAATGTTGGCGAAGTCTTCAAGTTTGCGACCTTGCAGTAGTTGGCCTTGACTTCTCCCTTGCACAGCTGCCACAACCATGTCAGCTTACGGCCCTGGTGCTTGTGATTATAGAAGCGGGAGAAGCGGTCATAAGTCTGAACAATGAGTTGAGGAGGAGTAAATGGTGTGGTGGGTGGGTTCAGCGGCCAGAAACCAGTACCAAGAATATGGTATGATGCGTCGACGTTGGTCTTAATGTCCGCCTCGTCCAGGTTGTTAGCCTGCCACTCTTTGAAAGCAGTGTTCAAGTCCTTGGAAATTTGCATGTCCTGGAACATGCGCTGCAGCTTGTTGGTATATTCGAAACCACAGGCCTCCTTCAACTTGGAAATCATGCTGGTCTCGGCATCGTCGGACGCGGATGTCGTCTGGACCAGGCGCTTGGCCAACATGCGCGAATAGAACTTCTGGAAAACATCCTTATCCTCAATGTACTTGAAGACAGTCATGATCTGTGTGAGAAGCTTCTCCATATCGTCCTCTTCGCTCATCTTGGTGTTGGAGCGCTTCAGCAGTGTATCGGTATACTTTGCGAGAAGCTCAGGTGACTTGTTGGAACCCGACTTGCAGATCTTGTTTCGGTTCACGAACTCACGGCAAGCATTATCCAGCGATCGTACAAACTCAGACTCTCCATTAAAGGCCTTGTTGACGAGCGCTTGATATTGAGTGTGAACCTCAAGGAGTGCCTCGACGTAGACCTTGGGCTCAATGTTTTCGCCATCTTGCGCAATCTTGTCAACGGCAGCCAAGCCAGCCTTGCGGACGTGGTTCTCGAATCGCAAACGCAAAGGATCGAGGCCCTCGGGAACACGGGCAAGCAGCTTATACATCCGGCCAAGGTCCTCTTCCTTGTCATGATCGAGGAGAATTTGGAATTCTTCCCGGAGGGCTTGAGAGTGGTTGGTGATGAGCGATTGTTCACATGTTCGCATCAACGGAGACATTATCTCGTTGAGCAGGTACAGGGGAACGCGCTCCTTCTCCTCTTCCAGGCGAATCTCTGCCTTCTTCATGTATTCTACCACACTGTTCTCTGCAAGGAACTGTTTTGACTCATTGTCGTAGTACTCTGCTGTGGCCTGTAGGAAAGGCTTCTCAAAGTACTCTTTGTAAACGTCCAACGTTGACTTTGAACTGTCCGCCTCGTCCAAACCCAACGAAACGAAGGAATCTACGACTGACTTGATTTGCGACTGCTCGATAGTCTCGCCGTTTCGCTGCTTCTCGACCAGCTTGAGCACTGACCGCATAACGCTCTCTTGACTGCCAGTGAACATATCTTCCTTCCAACGCACCAAATGTAGTGTGTAGATATCGTAGATGTTCTTCTTACCTTCGTCCATTTCGCGCTTCACCCAATGGCGGTTCAAGTAACGGAACAGGTGGTTATTGTATTGTCCAGCCGTCGTGTACCGATTCCACTCTTTGATGTAAAAATGGAGGAGCGCTTCGTCAACATGCTGCCGTGACGCTGCCTGTACTTGTGCCAGATGTGCCTTGAGATATTCAATCAAGTGCTGGTAGAGATCCTCTCCGAGCAGGTGAGCTCCTCCACGGTTGTTAGCGGCGTGGAACGAAGAGCCCGCTACAGCCTTCTGGGCAGTACAAAAGTTGTGGATCGCCGTGTAGAGTCCCATGTATGTCTTCATATCGACGCCCTCGCGTAGGTTGGTCATGATTTTGTCGACGCCGGCTTCGAGATATTTCCACCTGTGAATCATTAGCAAATGGTCCCAATTCAGCTATGACGTAAATGTTGGGATATGAGGAATGATGATTGCTTTAGATGCCGCCCTCCGGTTGCGCTCGTAAAGGTGAATCGCTTGGTTTGAGGGGTGAACATGCTGCATCCAGACTATTCAAGAGTGGTCTTGCAGGATATCCGGGCTTCGCCGTGGCGTCTTGCACAAGTATATGGAAAAGGTACAAGGAACGTATCAAGTATTCAAAGGTACTCACGTAGCGTTGACATCGTCCTTTGCAGGGACAGGTGGCATAGAAGAGGCCATATTGGAGTATAACGTCGCGTGCTCTGAGGCACTCGTCGGGGGGCGACTTGCGCGTGAGGAGCTTCTTGGGGACCGGGGCCGCTGTGTCGCAGACAAGCGTATTACCAAACAAACAGCCACAGGCGCGGAGGTGTTTATAACTCTTGGTGGAGTGAAGGCGGTTGCGAGAGTAAAGGTAGTTATGTGTGGAGAGGGCGGAGTGGAGGGGAGTGATGGGCGGTCGGTGGGGAGTCTAAGAGATACCGAGCGCTCGGCTTCCGTCTTAAGTGGAGTGTATGCACTTCCCGCCGACACAAAGTGAAGAGAAGGGAGAAGGGTGCAAGACGAAGGTGCCAGAAGGGAGTAGGAGGCGGCGACGTTTTGAGAGTCACTTCAGCGTGCTTGAGTTGTTCAGGCAGCACCGAGCTAGGCTGGGAGGCTTGGCACTCGCAAGGGTCCCGCTCACGCTGCACGTAGCCTCGCTGTACACCGAGACCCGCCTTCGTTCAGCCCAAAGTCATCGGGATTTTATACCCGGACAGGCTGATGGACCGCTTTTGGGCAATGTATACTCTCATGCCTACTCGTGCATATGCAGGGTAGTCGCGAGGGAGGGTATTTGGAGAAATGCTCTTGGCTGACCAATCTAGCTCAGTACAATGTTGTCCAAGTACCTTTACTGTCAATAGAGAACACAAGACAGATGTTGTCAATATCAATGTCAGAAGTTTCACCGTATTGCACCTGGTGACTGTGGATTTGAGAGATGCTATTGCCACTGCTTTTACTCTTGTTTTCGGTGGCAGATGGAGCACACTCATACAGGTGGCGAATCTCGGAGATGCTAAACATTTTTCAAAAATGAATATACCCCGATGACCGTCGTTAGGTATTTTGAATAAGATGACTTGCAATCAATCCTGTAGGGATGGGAAATCAGTTATTTGCATTCAAGCATTCCATCTATTAATTCTATTCCCTGTCCGATGACGTATTTCAGCGATCATGAATTTGTATCATCTCCAGGGTGCACCCCTCAATCCCATATTACTACTTTCCTAGTCTAGTCTGATATTACATCTCTGAGGATCTTACACACATGTAAAATCAAACCAAGTAAGCTCTTTAAGAAAACGAAGCCAAGAAAAAAAATGCCTTCTTTACACCTCACGCCGCTATCTGCCCTACGCATAAGCGCACACTACATTCCCTCTCATGCTCTGATTCCAAACACCACACCACACGGCTATCCGCTTATTATCTACCATTCGGCTTTTCCTCCATCAACTTCTCCTTCGACCCTAGAAAGCCATGTCCCCCGCAACGGTCTTTCCCCGCAATGGCGCTACACAATGTACTCGACGACACACTACCACTCAACGACGCACGAGTTTCTGTGTATTTTTTCTGGGCGTGCTCGACTGCTTTTCGGAGGAGAATCTAATCCGGGCAAGGTAGAAGCCGAAGTAAGCGCGGGAGACGCCGTGCTTGTGCCGGCTGGGGTTGGACATCGGTTGGTGGAGGATGTAGACGGGGGGTTCACCATGGTGGGGAGTTATCCAAAGGGGTGTAGCTGGGACATGTGCTATGGAAAAAAGAGCGAGGAAAGCCAAGCAGAAGCGGTGGGCCGTGTAGAATGGTTGAAGAAAGATCCACTGTATGGGGACGATGGACCGGCTGTTTGGGAGAAGGAGAAATTGGACCAGTTTCGTGGAGATAAGAGTGAGCTGTGATGGAGACGTATGGGTAAGCCTGGAGTCTTGTGCTGGTGCATCACTCCAGGATCACAAGCTCGTAACGACCGTTTTTTTTGTATTTCTTTCGCAGGGCATCTACTCGTACAGATTTGGTGATCCTTCTATGTGTGGTATAATACATCAAAAATCCTCCCAACGCCCAGCGCGATATGGTACATGTCTCATTTTGTGGAAATTATACATCGTCTTCGTTCAAGCATCTTCAAAATTAGTGGGCCTTGTTCATTCCAGGATTGGTATCTTCAGCAACGTCTTCAGCCTTGTCATGGATCTTTTCAAGGATTTCCTTGGGCAAGGCATCCTTGGCTCGAGTGCCATTGCTGCCAACAGCCTTTTCCTGCTCGATCTTTTCCTCCATGCGCTCTTCCTTTGACTTGATGGCCTTTTCCACCTGGCTGACTGCCCGCTCAATCTCAACCTCCATGTCTGGCAGATTGAACTGCTCAGCAATGAGCTTGCCGTTCCAGCGCTGCAGGACCATGACGTCTTCGGTCTCGTTGTTGGTCTGCTGGTGGACCACGGCGGCCACTTGTTGGGCCTGCTGCGGGGTTGGGCGGGGTGCGGCGCGGGAAAGGGCACGGGTGGGGTACATGAGTCCTGCGGTGTAGAGTTCGTCCAGGGTCCATGACGGATTGGGTTTGGGGAGGTTGTGCTTCAGAAGGAACTCGAGGTGTCGTGCGCCGCCGAGGGCTTTCCAATGCGACCAGGCCCTGTAGAGGACGTAGAAAAAGGGCAGATTGGGAATGATGGGGACGAGCATGAAGGGGGCAGTGAAGGGCATGATGACGACGCTCCAGATGAGTTTGGAGCGGTGCATGTTCTGCCTCTCCTTGGCCAGCTTCTCAAGCAGGCTGGGGACCCTCTCCTGGGGCAGATATTTTCCTGGGAAGAGGACCTCATATTTTGCCTTGCCGTCGAGGATTTCCTGCCTCCGCTTGGCGGTGAGGGCGGGGATGGTCTTGAGGCCCCATTCTTCGTAGGGGATGCGCGTCAATGCCTGGTTGCCGTAGAAGGTCACTTTGCGCTTCCAGTCCCACACGGCTTTTTGGTCCTTTTCCCAAGCCACCCACGTCTCGCTCGCCTTGAGGGTGATTTTGTCATAGAGGGAGCGATCCTTTGGGGCCTTTTCGTGCAGCTTCTCGCAGTAGATGAGGGAGCGACGGGTGGAGATGGGCAGCAGGAAGAGACGCATCGTGAGAGAGGTTTTGGTGGTGGGTGCGGGGACTGGGTGGTATTGGCGCAGAGGGTGGGCTGATTAGGTAAGCGGGGATAGCGCGCAACAAGCCGATGGGACTACTACGTCAGTATGTAAATATGCAAGTAGTCGTGTAGTGTGCAGCATGTATGTCAGCACGCAATGGCGCAGATGCATGAGCAGGTGAGCCTACGTCAGGTTATTAAAGCCTGCGACCACCATGGCCCAGCCAGCGCATTGTGGCGACAGAGCGGCCCTGTGGCTGTGCGGCGCAGGCTGTGCAGGCACTGGCAGTGCATGCTAGAGTCGAGTAGTCCTAGAGGAAAAAAACAAAGTCCAGCAGGTGTAGTGTAGAATACACAGGGCCGGAGGGGTATGGCGACTCTTTCGAGGCTGCAGGCGGGTGGATGGGTGGCAAGCTAAAGATCGGCCGACAAGCAATCTCCCAGATGCAGCCAACCTCTGGCCTTGGGGTGAACGGGCCTCACGACGCTCCACCACCCACACTTTGACGGCACCGCTCCAACGCTCAACACACAGCACCCGCGCCGCCTGGCCTGTCTGACCTGTCTGCGCTGTCTGCTGCGCCCGCCCGCCTCGCCAGACCGCCGCCCTGCCGGACGATGCTGTGTGCGCGACTTGTTTACTTTGCTCCCACCTAACTGCTCCTCGGCCGCGCTGCGTTGGCGCCAAGCTTCCAACCAACCCCCTTCGAATCTTGCTTGCACTTGGGCGCAACATCTGACATCAGGGACGGGCGCCTTGTTCAAGGGAACCGCTGGTGCGACGAGGACGCCCCTCACATCCTCCGACAAGCATGACCAGCACGCCCATGGGCGAGCCCACAAAGACGGACAACAATGACATCGACCCTGTTGGCCTCACGGACACGGCCGCCTTCCTTCGCCCAGACGTGGCTGCCGCCCAGGGGAGCGCCCACGTCTCCAGCCCAAATGCCTCCTCCAACGCCCCAGCCATGACCTCGTCCTCGCCTCCGCCCTCGTCCTCGGCCTCCACCACTCCCACTCCTACTCCCACTCCCGCCCCAGCACAGCCAAACAGACTGCTGCCCTCGCCCATCCCGCCGCCCTCGGCCTCGTCGCTGCACTCGCACCCGCACTCGTTCCAGCGCCCCCAGTCCCGAATCAGCGCCGTCTCGGGCGTCTCCAAGGACAGCCACGACGGAGGCCCCGCCCGGAAGAGCCAGTCGTACTCCATCTCCAGCACTCCGCGCACCCTGGCGTCCTCGAACCGAAGCCTGACCGCGAGCGCGGAGAACAGGGAACGCCAGCGTGCCGTACGCTCACTGCCTCCTTGGGTCCAGTCTGCCGAAGACGAGGACGATGCCGATGCCACCTCTTTCCTCCTGCCTCGGACGCCCACCACGGTCCGCCATGCAAACCACAACTTCTGCCCGACGCCAAAGTCAAACGTCCCGGGTCGCAAGTTTGACCATGTCCGCGAGGGCGCCCCCGTCACCCTTGGCACCCCCGTTAGCGACAGTGCTCCCAAATGGAAACAGTTCACCCAGGGCTCCAACCTCGATCGCCCCATCTCGTCACGCGGCCAGATTGTAGACGACGACTGGATGAGGGAAAACATGCCCGACCTCGAGCAAAAGTGGGAGCCCATTGGCGAGACTGCGCCCAAGGAACAGATCAAGGGTTTCTGGCTCTTCACATCGGAGAAAAGAAGGCGCGCATTCGTACGTTTCCACAACACCGTGATGAACCATCCCATGGTCCCTGCCGTGATCCGTGCCTGTGTCCTCATCTTTTCTACTCTCGCCCTCTCTCTAGCAGCTTCCATCTACCGCCATTCCGATAACAATGGCTGTAACAACAACTCATCGACATGGATGGCCATCCTTGTCGACATTGTAGCAATCATCTACACCCTCTACATCACCTACGACGAGTACACGTCCAAACCCCTCGGACTGCGTTCACACAATGCCAAAATGTCGTTGATTTTCCTCGACCTGGCCTTTATTGTCTTCGAGTCTGCCAACCTTAGTTTAGCTTTTCAGGCCCTCACTGATGAGAAATGGGTATGCGTTGAATCCGGCAGCGAAAATGCTTGCCCTTACAGAACGAGCATTTGTGAGCGACAAAAGGGCCTGACGGCCACGCTCTTCATTGCCCTCATTGCGTGGATTGCCACATTTGCTATTAGCACTCTAAGGTACATGACTTGCCTGACCATCATCATCCTTCCCTTTGTCACTAACATGCTTGCCTAGGTTGATCCACCGTGTAGCAAGGTAGTGCCTTGACCGTCACCGCCTCTATATTCTTCACACTCCTTCACACCCTTGTAGTATACTAGACACAGTCCTCAGCTGGTGACTGATATTATTTTGCCCAAGCGCAGTACCAAATCCAACTACGCCCTCCGACATGCATCAGCCTCGTCATCCAAGCAACGGCTTCCTACGTCTTCACACCCCCTCCGTTTTCCTAGCCGCCTGCATTCTCGTGCTCCTTCCATTAAGTCGTTTTACTCTTGAGCTCCATAAAGTTGGCATAGCTATGGCGTTCATCTCTTGGGGTTATCCATCATTGGCGAGGTTTCCTTTCTTTGCTTTGTTTTGCTAGTACACACCTACCACGGCCTATACAAGTCTGCATCATATTTCTTTTTCCCTAATTGTCCGGTGGGGGGGAACAAGGTGCAATGGGGTTTATGCATCTGTGTGTATATTTTTGTTTTTATTCTTTGTTTTTCCTAGTTGCGTCTTGTTGGCATGCGAGACGCCCTGTCAGATGGGTGACAAGGACTAGTTGTAATGAAGCGAATAAGGCGGAGGCCATGTAAAATAGCATCCCCTTTTGTTGTACATAGCATAGTTTTTGGGTAGTTCAAATGCAAGACATGTTGAGTGTTAACAGGTTATATCTGCCCTATTTTTTCCTTTTTGGATTTTGTGGAACTAAATTCCCCGCCCATCGACCGGTGAGGATACCCTACCGACCCATGCAGCGTAGAAGGCCCTTTGATGGCGGGAGGCGGAAAAAAGCTACTCCGACTAGCCTCACGTCTACGTCATACTCAAGACCCCCATTTCAAACTTTCAACCCAAACATCAGATACAGTTTTAAGGAGGGTTGATTCAACAAAGTATATTATATTGAAAACAATGGCGACGAACAGTAGCAATGAAGAAAATTTCCCATGGCATATGGGTATCTATGATGCACATTGCCATCCAACCGATACCATGTCCAGCATCGAAACAATACAAAATATGAAAGCGCGAGTACTCACAGTCATGGCAACAAGAGCCGAAGACCAAGATCTTGTCTCTGCTACAGCAGATAAACACACCATAAGATCTGCAGATCGCTCCCAATGGTTAAGAGAAGAATGCATCGTACCATGTTTCGGATGGCACCCGTGGTTCTCACACCAAATGTACCTCACGTCAGATATCGACCCAGATAGTAGTTTCAAAGAACAAGGGAATCTCACTGGAGAAGCCAAAATCGAACACTACAAAACAGCCCTACATCCCTTTCGCGAAAACCCCAGCGAAGAAGACATCCAGACCTACCTCTCCCTCCCCGATCCCACCCCATTTAGCACGTTCTTATCCAACACCCGCCGCCAGCTACAGCAATATCCATATGCTCTTGTCGGAGAAATTGGACTAGACCGCTCTTTCCGCATTCCTGAATCCTGGACCGGAAATCACGATCTCTGGTGCAAACGTGACAACAGTCTGACTCCCGGCGGGCGCGAAGGACGCCGCCTAACACCCTTTCGAGCGAGTCCCTCGCACCAGAAAAAGATTTTTAAACTGCAACTCCAGCTCGCAGCGGAGATGAACCGGGGAGTAAGCGTGCACGGAGTTCAAGCCCACGGACTAGTATTGGAAGTGCTATCCGAGCTCTGGAAGGGGCATGAGAAGCAGGTGATGAGTAAGCGGGAGCGCAAGAAACGTGGAGTGGATCATCCGGCTGCTGAAGCTGCGATTGAAGCGGACGCAGAGGGAACGAGTGGCACGGGAAAGGGAGGAGAAGCAAAACCCTATCCACCACGAATCTGTCTCCATTCTTACTCGGGCAACGTGTCGAATTTCAAGCAATATCTCAATCCCGCCATTCCGGCACAGATCTACGCGAGCTTCAGTACTGCGATTAATCTCTCGGATAGGATGGATGAGGAGACACCGGAGAGTTTTGTGGAAATGGTCAAGACGGTGCCGGATCATATGCTGCTTGTTGAGAGCGACTTGCACACTGCAGGTGAAGAAATGGATAGGAGGCTTGAAGATATTGTGCGTAGGATATGTAAGATTAAGGGGTGGGGGTTGGAAGATGGAGTAGCCCAGCTAGGGAAAAACTGGATGATGTTTGCGTTTGGGGATAGAGTTGAATGAGGACATGTACACGTATATCACGCAAAAAAGAAAGAAAAGCTTGAAATTTCCACCGTGATATTGCGTACCCTTGTGTCCGACTATGTCGTGTTTCTGTTGTATGTTGTCGTTTAGTTGAAATTGTCGTCGTGGGGCTACTACTGTTGACTTTTCTCTCTCCACCACCACCATACCTCAATCTTCTTCGTCCACCTTCGCGGGTATCCCTTCTCAAGCCACAATCTCAGTTCATCGAAAAACATCAATCTCAGTCCATCAAGGACAATCCACAAGGTCTCAATCTTCGTACAATCGACCCAGTAGCAGCCCAAACTTCCGTCTCACCCCCTCAAATCGGAGGTTCAGGAAAGTCAATCAACGTTGTTCGATGGGAGCATCGGTACTCCTCTTCAGTCGTCGTCCTCCTCGTCGAACATCTCCTCGTCAGAATCCTCGTCATACATCTCCTCATCAGACTCCTCGTCGATTTCCTGAACAACTCCCCTCTTCGTCTTGACAACAACAGCCTTGCTCCGGGCCCTCTTCACCGCAGCGATAGCATCCGTCCTACAATCTGCCTGGGGTCCTGCCCCCTCCCAGATGTACTCGTCGCCATACTCATCAATGAGCGTCGTAATGCACTGATACAACATGTCGTACTGCCACTCGCCATAAAGGACACGATTGACCGGCAATCCAGGGCGGTAAAACGACAGATCCTGTAGTGCTCCCTGGAGAAACTCGATGCCATCGGGACCGGGGATGTTCTCACCAATAAAGAGCTTACGCAGGTGGATCGTCTGAAGCGCAGGGAGGCGTTTAAACAAGATAGCTGACGGGTGGGGTATTGTAATGAGTTACCCGTGACATACACACACACACACACACACAAACAAACACACGCCTCAAACGCAACATAGATGGTGAAAGAAAAGGAAAGGAAAGGAAAGGATAGAGGTAAATGCAAAAAAAAAAGAAAAAAAAGCGAGACGGGGAGGTAAAAGACGGGGGATAACTTACTCAACATATCCCTATAACCCCCACCAAACACAAACGTCGCACTACTCGCACACCACCGCTCATGCCGCATCTCAATGCTCTTCTTGATGACGCGATCCACACGCGTAGCCACCGTGCGCTCCTTGTTCTGCAGCTCCTCCCACGCCCAGTCGTAGCCGTACGGGTTGGGCGCCGCGTGCTCACTTACCAGCGACAGGTTGCGGACTAAGTGGGGGTAGGCCGGGTCTACGAGGAGCAAGGCCAGGAACGAGGACAGGCTCGTGTAGGTAGGGTATAGGGTGCGGGAGTTGACGAGGCGCTTACCGAAGAGGGATTTGGCGGCGAAGCGGAAGCGCTTGCTGGTTTGACGCAGGGAGGAGAGGTCCGAGGGCGTGGCGTGAGACATGATTTCGCTGAGGATTTCGGTGGGGAGGAAGGGGAGGTTCTGTGGCGAGGTGGGTTTGGGAGGTTAGATTCTTTTTTTTGGATCTGGAATGGTTTGGGGGGGGAAGGGAGAGGATGGTACTTTTGTGGGATCGAGGATTATGTCCTGGCTTTCTTCGTATGCGAGTGCGTTGCCGAATTTGGCTTGACGTATCTCATCAAATGGATCTTTGCATGTCAGTACTGAGCAGAGGAGGCCACTGAAGGCGGTTGTGTCACACTTACCTGGATCGTTCGCATTGGCGGAACCGTAGGTGGCGTAGAGGCGAAGCTCCTTGAGAAGTTTTTGGACGGCTGTTGCTGTGAGAACTGATCAAAGTCTTGTCGGGCGTGTCATAATTACCTGCGAGCTCGATGGCGTCCATCTTGTTGAGTGGTAAACCGAGGCAAGACCACCGGAGTTAGTGGTTTGGTCAGAGGGATTGTGGGATGTTGGTGAGGAGAAGACAGAGGGGATAACGGGTAAGCAATCTTTAGGTGCGTATTTTTTTGAGCACAAGCCAAGCTTGAAGCCGAGCTCCTTGCAGGATGTAGTGATGCGTTTGCATGGTGAAGTGAATGGTATTGTGGGAATCGGAAGGTCTGAGTGAGGAGTGAGGCATCCGTGACGATATATGCAGCGTACTTGGCGCCTCTGGCCCTCACAGTGAGGAGAAAAGCAGACTAATTGGGCAAGACGGTAACGGCTTGGTACCTGTCAGGTTCCAAACCCTTCTGAAAGGCGGCTGAGATCGCTCAGTCGTAGGGCTTATGTTAGGATACTAGTGGAAAGTGAGATGACAGTGAGATATGACAGCTTTGTTGGTATAGTATTACTAGTTTGCGACGATCAGACTGACTTTGAGAGACGAAATGTATTTGGTAGGAGGTTAATACATGAGACTGGGAAGATTGTTATCGTTTTGATTGCCAAAATGCAGCCAAGTTCAGATGTAAGAAGATCATGTCTTGAGACGTGGACTGACGAAACGTGAGCCGAGAAATCATTGTCTCAACAGCTGTACGAAACTAAATAAGCTGGAAGTGTAGGAATTGGATAGATTGAGATAATATCCCAAATTGCGCAGAGATGAACTTGATGAAAATCATGACAGCGTAGAAGTGAAGAGCGGAGAAGAACGAGGACATCAATTTTGCAGCAACACACCCAGCCTTCTGGTAGCCGTTGCTATAAACAATCATACATGTTCATACTCAGTCTCTATTCTCGATACCTTTGCCAAGTACCACTACGGCTGAATAGCCGTTCTCTCGATTGGAAAACAGGCAGGAAAACAAGCAAAAAAAACCAGTACCAAAAGCGCACAAAAACTACGTAAGACCAAGACCACGAACACCTCCGACTTGGCGTAGATCATACCAAGGAATGTTTTGGATCCTCACTGCAACAACAGATTTGGATGCGGGGTATGTTTACCAAACAGCAAGAGAGAGAGAGAAAAAAGCAAGAGTGGTGACGACTAGTAGGCATCGGACGACTTGGTGAACGGCCAGTTGCCAAGGCCCTAGTGATTTGGAGCGCCAACACATGGGTTCTGCGCAACCACTACATAGGCGTACACTTGCTTGTAACTTACCTTGATGGAGCGTTACCTGATTCTTGGATGTGTGGGTTGGAAAAAAAGTGTCAGATGTCTATCCAGGTGCGTTGATTGGACTGGCAGATTTTGATCTGTGGACATTAGAAGATTGTGATGTTCATTACGTAGTACGTACGTAGCGAAACAAAGGTGGGATGGCGGATTGCACTTAGTATTACGATCACCAGAGCTTCCTCTAAATAGATACGTGGATGGAATGAAGGTTGGCCAGTCTTTATCAATGATTGTTCTGCACGCTCAGATGGTAATGGAAGAGTGAGGGCTTGACGCGTAACCCAGGACAACCAACCCCTCTGGTGCACAGCTTACTACTACTACGTACCCCACGTCCCTGGTTTTTTTTAAAGAAAAAGTACGCGTCACTGACGCACTACACTAATAGACTTCCGGGACGGGGCGTAAGAATCTGACTATCACATGCTTTAGCGTTTGTTCAAGCTTTTGTTCCTTTCCTGCAATGCAGCAAGACGCCAACGCTTGCGATGTTGGTGCTCTGACTAGTGAGCAACAGCCCCACTTGGATACGGCAACGGCAACGTACTCTTACCGGAACGTTTAAACAGCTTTAGATTTCTAGTGGGTCTTGCTGTGGGATGCGGTCTGGCAAGTGAGCCGATCACTTGTAAGATTGCGGCTGTCAAAGATAAAGATGTAGACTACGTGTGTCCGGCCCTGGTGTTTTTTTTTGTGCGGGCAACGGAAATACAGTTTGATGATATTATCCGCAAACGCCATGAAAAGAAAGTTTACAGTTGATTTTTTTTTATAATGTCATTCGATGACTTGAACAGGATTCAGTAGTAAGTCAAGTAGGGCCAATCGTTCTTGGTAGTCTCAGCCGTAAGGAATGCGCCATGCTCCACCACCATGCACTAATCTCGCTCGTATCGACGCAATAGCTATACCAACCGCCATGTGCGAGGACATTTCGTGATCAGTGATCTCTCGAGAATAGTTCATGCGTGTTGCCATTTAGTCAGTTACATAGTCTCCGGTCAAGCTTTTCCTTCTACACTCGGATGTTTCTTTAACACACTTGTTTAGCGTGTTGAGGCATTCGTCTAGTTCTAGAACGAAATGAAAAAAGAAAGCTCCGAAACGTCCTCAAGCTTGTTGAAATATCCTGGTGGTGTTTTTTTCCTGGTACTCCGCACTCTTTCACCGGACTATGGGCATAGTGTGGGGTTGGGTGGCCCACACGGGCCAGCATGACAGGGCAAGTCGGATCTAAGTCACACCGCTTATTTCACGATTCCTTGGTGTGCATCCCCCGCTGTTGGCGCCGCGGTTGCCGGCTGCCTTTGCAGGATGAAAACAGGCTAGGGGGAGTGTGGTTTTGGCAGGTGGGCAAGATGCAGGTGTGTGTATGCCGTCTTATTATAGGCCTGGCAGAGTAGGCGGATTCAGAGTGGCCATGCAAGAGGTCATGCTTTGGGACTGGCTGCACGATTAGTGTGGCCATGGTTAATGCGTGACATTGAATAATGACGTCTTTTTCTGAAAAAAAGACACCAAAAGCAGTTCCAAGGGATTCGACATGTCCTGGTGCGGACCGACCGGACGTGTACTCGTCCAGGTGGCTCTGCTTACATCTCACCACCTAGACAGTTGTTGAGGGTCGCATCTAAGACGGACATAAGGCTCCATGACACATATTAAGATGAGATGGAGTTAAGGTGAGTTTCCAGGGCACATGTGGGCCGCTGTGGCTGGCCTGGAATGCACGAGGTATGTTATGGCGCAGGTGGTTGGCTCTGAGGCACTAAGTTTTCGATCGATGACAGATGTCAAGATAAGACGGGTAGTCTGTCACAGGCATGGGTTTCAGGTGTATTGAAGTTTGTTGCTGCTATACTCCATGTTGCCGGTGTATGTATGCATAACGAAGATCTCTGCAAGGAGAGTAAGGGAAGCTGGTACGCGTGGAGGTAGCCGGTATACATCTGGGGATATAGCCGGTGGATGCAGGGATGGGCAACGGCCTAGAAGCGCCGAATGTAGAGTGCAGTGTAGTCGAGCATGAGGCGTCGCTGTGTGAGGTGTAGCTGAAGCGCGCGTACCTATGTCTGTTGTAGAAGGTCGCGTCTGCAGGGGCCGTCGCTTAGTACTAGGGGCGGCGGAGATAAGATAGCGAGATGCGTCTTCGGAGGAATTTGCCCTGCTAACCTCCGCCGGAACTCTCCCATCTTTTCTCCATCTCACGCCGTGGCGCACGCCGCAAGTGGTGAAGCCTTTCACCCTCCCCCCTCCCCCCATGCCCTGGTATCGAGACTTCAAGGCTATCTTCGGCTTAGCACGACCGGAGGTGGAGGTGGACAGCATGGCGCGGATCCGCCTGCGACCGATGCGCAACCCCCGCATCATGTGCCCGCCCGAGACTGGTTAGACGTCCCCCCCCTCCGCCCAGGAACATTCACTGAAAAGCAAATGACCATGACATGGCACCAACGACGTGAGGTGTCGTATGCACGCCGACTGCTGTCCTCTGCGCCGTCGAGGAAATGAGCCTAGGAGCCTAGGAGCCTATAGCGCGACCACGACACCACGGCGGCGGGAGGGCGTCGCGTCATTCTCTTACCTGATGCAGCCATTGCTTGGTCAGAAACGCCCCCCCCCCCCACGAGTGCTAGCCACCGAGCACTCTAGCTACATCAACGTGGTGGATCATGCTCTCCTGTACTCCACCCACCGACCAAGCACCGGCAGCCTGCATCCCAGCTCTGCACATTTCCACCATGCCCTCGACTCCTGTCCACTCCTATCCAGTCGTGTCCCCCGCCCATGCCGCCGCCGCCATGTCGGTCCCTCTCTGCTCACCATTCATTCGCCGCCCGCACGACCGTCCTTTGGACCGACGCTTCCGACAAGTCTTATCGCCGTGACCGCCATGTTATTAATTCACAAGCGCTCGACATGGCCAACCTTTCTTCTTCCTCAATCACAGTAGTCTATCCAATCTCCACTCCGCCGCGTCAAACAATTAACCTTCGTGCCAAGCCATCTTGGTACTCGCCCATCTGCTTCCAAGCCCTAGCCACCACCACGCGCGCCTTGCCAGGCTCGGCATACCCAAAACCGAAGTGCAACCAATAAAGTGCAACACCACCCAGCCGTGATACGCTACTGAACTTACAAGAAACACCCTTTTGCCTGTGCATCTATCTCGCCAAGCTCATCCAGCTCCACAACCAGCCTCAGATTCGCCGTCGATCATACTTGCACACACAAGAGGCTTACGCAGTCGAAACACGCACCTGTTTACAGTCTTATCTGTCAACGGAGCCGTCTTCACCGGAAGCCTGCCGCACCAATACTATTGACACCTTCAAGCGCAACCCGTCCGCCAAGGTCAAGCGCGCGGAAGCATCTGCAACATCCCGCGCTGCAACCCTAGGCCCCAGGTCCTCTGCGGAACCAACTCTTTTATGCTAAGCGGAGTTATCCATAGACTAGCTGCCCACTAGCTCCACAAGCGCCTACTTTGGAAGCGTCTCAGTTGCTTTTGGTAGATCCCCAAGCCGTTCCAGCCAGTTACAGGGCCCATTCAATACACGCAAAGCTCAGCGGAACTCGCTTGGCAGCGCTACGGCCTTACCCACGGACGACTCCAGTCTTGTCACTCCTCCATTACGCATACCCCTCCGTTCACATATAAGGACTGCCCTCGGTCACTCCCCCACAACACACAAACACCACACTCCAACAAATTCATCCTCATCACCTACAAGACTCATTCACCCCAAGCCAACAAACAATCACTTCTCTACCCAACATCAACATCCATCCTGGCGCAATGGCTTCCACCCGCCCAACCTACCACATCCCCTTCCCCACGTCGTTTCTCGCTGTCAACACTCCCGTCAAGAAAACCGTCGCAGCTGTACCTGCCACAGAGCCCGTCGTGCCTGCTCACGGGTTTCTTTCCAACCGACAGAACAGCGGACGTCATCAGTCCGTATCCTCCATCTCCAGCAACTCAAGCATCGGAGCTCCGCCCTCAGAGGCTAGCACTCTCAGCCCGCCATCTTCTCCCACCGCCACAAAACATGACGATTCACCAATCCTTGGCCTTAAGATATTCTCTCCTCTTGCGGTTAATGCGAAGTATGCTGCCCCGCCGGGCAGCCTTAAGGAGATGAGCGCTGCCGAGCGACAGAGGCGCATGAGCTTCGAGAGGTCGGCTTTCTTGTCCAACATCGAATAGATGCTTCTCATGCAGGCCGGTAGCTACAAGAACAGCTTGGCCTACACTGTCCCAGCAACAACTTTCAGTTGCAACATGCGGCACCTTGAGCTTTAATAGCGAGAGAGCTGTGCTACCAAAAGCATATTGCTGCATAGGCGTTTACGATGTTACGATACCATTTCATTTTTTTCCTTTATCCTTTAAGAAGTCGATATCAACATGACAAAAAATCACTCGCAGCTCGGTGGTTTTGGGTGGGATGGCATGGAATAGGCGTTTTGATTTATTTGTGGGGGGTTTCCAGCTAGGGCTAGGAATTAGCGGGCAAACTCAGGTACTTGGACAAAATAAATTGACAGTATCACCTGAGGACACCTTTTTTTTCTTGCCTTTCCATGTGTTGTTCTAAGTGTGACGCAAGAATACTAGTATGTGGCTGCAGCGGTGGAGAAAAAACTTGCCACCTACCCACCCCCCACTCCGCCGGCCATTCCAATTCTCGTAACAGCAACATCATCTTCTCCACTCTTTTCCCGCGTGGCCATCCCCTAAACAGGCACCTTGTAACACTTGATCCCCCTTGTCACTCTCCACAATAAGCAGGACCCTCAAACAAGAACCCTGGCTGCACGGGAAAGAAAAAAAGCTTAAGCATGCTTATACGCGTGCGCCCCTTGGAAACAATGGCCTGATAATAGTTGGAAGCCATGTAAACCAAAAAAACCCATCAAGTCAAACAACCATTGTTGTATATCTCACACAATTATTCACCGTAATGACTAATCCCCCCCAAAAAATAAATTGAGTATATTTGTACTCAAATCCCAGAACACCATTTTTTTTTTACCTAACACAAATCCCCGCGCAAGTGACTGTCTTAGAAAAATTAAATAACCCCAACCCCGAAGGAAGAGGAAGGGGGGAGGGGGGGTTTGAGACACAGAGGAATCCTTCCATCACACAAAAAAAAACCTACAGCAACAAACGATAAGACGTCAAAAAGCAAACAAGAGAAATAAAAAGCCAAGCCAAGCAAAACATTTACACCGCTCCGCCCGCGGCTGTCCGCGCCGCCGCGCCCCCGTTCTTGACTCCGTGCTTTTATTTTACTTGGTTTTGGCTGGGCGGGCGGGTGATGGGGATGCACATCGTTATTTCCTGGTGTGCTCCCCCCCTTTTTTTTCTCTCTCTTTGGTCACGAGAAGGGAAGACCCTCTTGGCGGGGGGAATTTGTTTTTAGTGTGTGTGTAGATGCGTGCGAGTTACGGGATTGAACTAGGTAAATATGGCTGAGTTTGTTCATGCAAGGTACGTGGTGGTATGAAGGGGGGAGGGGGGGGAGGTGCAAGTGAGTGAGTTGTTTATACGGTGTGTACTTTTACACCGTTCCATCTTTCCCCCCCAAAAAAAACGAAACGGTGAAGGGATATACCGGTCACGTTCGCCGACACGGTCCCCCCCCCTCTTCGATACAATACACGTGTGCTATGCGCAACGGGGCCAGCCGCCGTTCAAAGTACCGGGGAAAACCAAAAAAAACGGAGGATAGATAGTAGTATACATGTTCACGTGCGCTCGACACAATTTGCCCCGTTTCTTTTCTTAGTTCAACGTTTTGTAGATGAGATTTTTGCGGTGAAGGGAGGAGTTCAACAAACTCAACCGCACAGAAACATGAGTATATTACATAAAGTGTATAACAAGGTTCGGTGGTTATTACTAAGACGAAACAAAAAAAACGGGATGTGGATAATTTGTGAACTTTTATTCCTGTGGAAGAAAAAAAAAGTTAAAAGAGAGCAAATACGACAAACACCACTTAGAAGAAAAAAACTCATTCATTTTCCACATGTTTATGGCGACATGACACAGGTACAACACGAACCAATATGAATATCTCTTTTTTTTTTTAATAATAATTCGACCGTATACCATTACATATATATAGCACCCAGCACTAGCAGCCTCCCTACCCTTCACAAAGTCCCCTCACACTTGCCTCCTTCAAACTAAGCAGAGACATAGTTGTACTATAGAAAAAAAAATTTCCCGCAAAAAAAAAAGAGTTAAACCAAATCAGAGTCGGTTGATACTTTCTCAGCCACAGACAAACCAACTCAAGCCGAGTGTGTAAAGGAAGAAAAAAAAATGTCCTAGGACCAAAAATACAAAAACATAGATAGCCAACTAAAGAAGGAAATGATGATTCTAGGCCGTGTGTCTTAGACATCTTTTTCCCTTTTTTCTTTTGAGCCAAAAAAGGTTCCCGCCCCTTGCTTCCCACAGTGCCACCACCACCAGCACAACACATACCTTGCTTAGTTAGAGTAACATATGTGTGTGTGTGTATGAACCTCGATATAAGAGAAACGGTTAAAAAAAACTGGGGGTAAACAGAAAAAAAGACTTTGGGGAAGAGAGAAAAGAAAAAACGTCATAAAAGAGAGAGAAAGCTTTAAATATAAGCGTACAAGAAAAAACGGATGGTTATTTGGCCCCCCACCCCTTTCCCCTCTTCTCGCCAGCGCTTCCTCATTTGACTTCAAAATAACGGGCGAAACCCCGAGTCACAACGAGAGAGAGAGAGAGGACCAAAAAAAAAAGCGATGGGGGGGAAGGAAGAGGAAGAGGAAAGGGGTGATGAAAAATGTTTCCAATTCAACTTTTTCTTTCTCAATTCCCACACACGTACACACAAATATACCACACACACATGATAGAGAGAGAGAGAGAGACAGAGGGCTAAACCAGTTGGACCAGATAATGAAAAAAGAAAAAGCAGGAGGAATTGGCGGGTTGAGATAGGTCCGAAACTAGGCACGAGAGAAAGGAAAAAAAAAGAAGATGATGAAGGCGGGTTAGGGACAAGAATTCCAAAGAACAACAAGGTCCAAAAAAAGACACAGAAGATAAAACAACGACAAAAGCCCGGTTCCCAGTTCCCAAAGAGAGAGAGAGACGACGATGATAATGTGTGTGCGTGTGCGTGTGTGTGCGAGAGAGAGAGAGAGTGTGTGTGTGGTGTGATGCCCCATTTCGCACCCCCAGATTGGCAAAAAACAACAACAAAAGGACCAGGCCCAGGGAATCTTTCAACGCCAAAAACACCAATGCTGCGCTCTCTATGTGTCAATAGCTAGAGGCAATGATATCTCCCAAATCCCAATTCGTGGCCGCAAAGTGTGCCTCATCAGTGGCACGATCGGGGAGTAATGATCGTAAACGGGCTCGTGTATTATGTAGTAAGTGTAGACGGAGGAACGCGTGTGCGCAAATTTCGAAGACAGAGAGCACTCGTAGGCCCGAGGCCGAGCGGGCGACAGAGGACCATGGATGCTGTGTGGATCAAATCACAATATGCCCGAGTCTTTGAGGGCATTTTGTAGTATTGTCTCTTTGACGGCGGCGAAGACGAGTCGGATGTTTGATGTATCAGTGGCTTGCGTAAGGCTGGCTTGGTTAGGCGTGCATAGTGGAGGGAGGGGGGGGGGTTTGGATATGTTATTCTTACTGAGGATATAGGTTCAGGTGTGCCCGGTTTACCTGATTAAATCTCCACAAGAGATATTTAGCGGCACGGTTGACGTCGTTGCCGCCCGAGTAATCTGGGAAATAGTTGCCGAGCGGTGATCGTGCAAGCTTGGCCTTGAACAAGTCGACCTTGTTTAGGAAGAGAATGATACTTGTTCGCATAAACCATCGACTGTTGACTACCGAGTCAAAAAGCACTAAACTCTCCATCATTCGATTCTGGGCCGCAAGGTCAGTACTGGACCGAAGAAACATGTGGTTGGAGTACCTACTTGTGAGCTCTCTTCCAGCAACACCTGATCGTATTCGCTCAAGGCTACGCAGAAAATAATGGACGTGACGTTCTCAAAACAATGTATCCATTTCTTGCGTTCGCTCCGTTGGCCTCCAACATCAAACATACTGTTTCAGGTTAGTCCGAGCACCAGACACATGTTTGAAGTCGCGCACGTACTGGATGCTTAGCTGGCCCATTGTGAATCGTGTTTCATAAATGCCCGTTGTCTTGGTGCGCGCTCGTAGGACGTCGGATTCGATGGGCACGTAGTTTGGGTCCGATATCCGTTCCACCTCGTCGAAGAAGCTACACGTGTCAGCCAAGCCGATGGAAACGTGATGCGCAAACGTACTAGGGCGCAGAATCCATCAGGTAGAATTCGCTCGAGTGCTCCAGGACCTTTGGTATGCAAGGGTCGCGCCACATGGATGTGATGGCCTGGCCCACTCTTTGATCCAGTGGCTTTTCCGGGTCTGGGTCGACGGTGTAGTTGGCCAGATAGTCGCATAGCTCGGCATTGCCTGGATTCTCGCAGGTAATGTCGAATTGCCGCATGGCGCCAATAAGAGCCTTTGCACAGTCGATGACGTTCTTGTAAATGGTCAGGCGGTACATGGCAAGCTCCTCCTGCGTGTAGCCGTTTTGGTGTATAATCTTCATTTGCTTGACAATGGTCGACTTGCCGCTCTCGCCGGAACCTGTAGGGGCGGGTTAGCAGGGCTGAAGGGAGCAGGGCAGGCCGGCGCTTTTTTCTTGGCCACTCACCCAGCAGCAGGATCTTGCATTCTCGCCGTAACCTGCGCGAGTCCTCTTCGAGCTTGCGGTCGATGGCCTGGCTGCGCTTCTTTTGCTCGACATCGTCGTTGTTTGTGCTCATGCAGATACCCATGGTGGCTGTCGTCTAGTGCGGCTCGCGGCCGCGGGCGATGATGGGCGTCGGGCGCGGGACAATGGGTGAGCACTGGGCCCAGCGCGTCGCGACGAGGTCGTCTGCTTCGTGTCGGTGCGGGCGCGATGGGTTGCGGCGAGTTGATGGCGGCGCAGGGGGGCGCGTTGGAGTGGTGGAGCTGTGGTGATGGTTCCCGTCGGGTGAATCCGACACGCAGCTCGGGTCAAAGGGGGCCTTGCAGTGTGGGCAGGGCGACGGGGCGACGGGCGCCAGGATGGTCGGGAGCTGGATGGGGGGCGGGGCCTTTGTGGGCGCTCGCAGGCGGAGGGGTTCGTAGCGACGGTGGTGGTGGTGTTGAATGGTTGGTAGGGTGGTGTTGTCGAGCTAGATCCGAGACTCCAGGGCTGCTGTTGGCTCGTGCGGAGGAGGCTTCCCCAGCAAGTTGACGAGGAAGGCGCGGGATCTGGAGTCGGCGAAGCTTGCAACGTCGCCGGGCACTGCAAACGCCGCTGCTGACAGGCCAACAAGCCTCGTGGCTGCAGACGGTACGGTACAAGCGGCGAGGGCGAGGCGGTGCGGGCTGCGGGATGAGCGCGGTGTCGGGCGAGCGAGGTGGATGGATGGTTGATGGTTGATGGCGGCGGCGGCGGCGGCGGCGATGATGATGATGATGGCGATGATGATGGGAGTCGGGTGCTGCTAAGCCTCATTCAATCCGGGCTGGCAGGACAGCGATCAGGGTCAAATGGCACAGGCCAAGGCTGTGGAACACGGCGCTGAGGCGGGCGCGCAGATGGCAGAGGCAGAGAGGGGATGGCGGATGCTGGCAGTCGTCTGCTCCTCTACTTGCAGGACGGCTACCAGGGCAGGGAGGGAGTGGTGCGAGGCAGGACAGGCCAGGACAGGCCGGGCAGTCTGGCACTCTTTCTTCCGTCCTGGACGCCCTATGCGACGGCACTCATCCATGGGCTGCCAGATGCGGCATCCAGCTGCCATTGGCAAATTGCGGGTTGGCATTTGGCGGTTGGCAGTCGAGCAGCGTGTCCCTTTGATATTACCGCCCCTGCAGCCGCCGCCCATGGTGCTCAGCAGCATCGAGTGCAGCCAGTAGCCAAGGCCTTTGTTGCAAACGGCACAGACTGTGACCATGCCCGCCCTCAGCACAAGCAGGCGACGACGGCCTACCCGCGCGGGATGGCAGCGGAATGCCCTTGGGCGCCTGCACGATAGAGTTCGTCTCCATGCCCCGGGTCGGCAGGCGAGGCAGGCAGTCTGCATCTGGTCTCTGCACGCACACGCACTGCCAAATGACGTCTAAATTAAGGACCGCTTGCGCCCACACAGCGACGCTCCTCGAACCCGCTTTCTCATTCGCTCCCCCCTGGGCCGACCTGGCTCGTCCTGGCTCGAGGGGCCTGCTGGCCAGACTGCTCCATGTCCGCTGGCCGCCTGCACACACACACACACACACGCACTCACAACACAATGGCATAGTACATGCGCCCCATCCAGCATGCACGCTGGGCCTTGCCGCATCCATCTTCCGTGCGCTGCTTTGCACGTCTAGAGTCGGACGCTACACAGTGACAAGGCGGCGGCCGTGTTGTGCATGATGACGCGTGGCGACGAAACGCGATTGGAGCCGGCGGCGGCCATGCAGACAGCGACACTCTATGCTCTTGCACCTGAACCGCCCCGGGAACACCACGTCTGTCAGCTGCCGCTACCACGTTGTGTAGGTACTGTCAGCTTCCGCGGCTATGGCTACAACCTGCCGTGATAGCCGCAGGGGTGCCGTCCGCACGCCTTCGGAGCAAGCCGAGCAGACGACAGCAGACCAGCGCCGTCCAGCGCAGTCCAGCCCAGTGCATGCGTGACCTGGGCCTAGTCTGGCCTCTATCGGGTTTTGGCAGACATCGGATTGCCATGGAGATCGTGGCTGCCAGGCCGGCGAATGCCATGGCAAGGCCCCTTTGCTGCATGCTCTACCTACGTACATGTATGTATGTAATCGGCCTTGTACGCATCTGACCAAGTATGTAAATACACAGGCATAGCACATGTACCTACATATGTACACACCTGCATGCTACGACGTCGAAATGACACCTGGCTTGGCGGCCATGTGCGGCCACAGCCGCTCCATGGCATCGTCAGCACAGAGGCACCGCGGCTGCCCAGGCATGCACATCGCCACTCTCTCCGCCCGCAGGCCCAAGACAGAGGCAAACTCGACGGGCTCCGTGTCGAGCACAGTTAAATGGCAGTCCATCCCCCCGTCTGGCGCGAGCGAATCCTGGGCGGGAACGCGCACGAGCCGGCAAGCACGTGAAGTGAGGGGAGAGAGCGACAAGGCGGGCATGGGCACACAGCTGTCGACGTCGGTCGTGGTGGGGTACCTGGGCAGGACAAGCAGGTCGGCCGCGTTCCCATGGCCCGCCTGCCTATTACGCGTGGAGTGAGCATTCAATGGGCCCAGGGAAAAATTGTACTGGACGTGATGCACGGGCTTTTATCGACAACTCCCAAAGACCATCGTGACGTCACTCTTGGACACGCCGAAACCTGCGTGAGAGACGTCTAGAGCCCGGGCCATGCATCCCTCATCGCGTCTGGGGCCTTGTGCTTGCCCCTCGTCGCCCTCCTAGACCTTCACTCTCCTGCTCCTCTTCTCTCGCCGCCCATCTCCACGCTTGCCACTGCTCCTGCCTCCCCCTCTCTATCCCTCTGTGTGCTGCACCTAGCTGACGCTGTCGCCGCCGCCGCCGCTACTCGCCCTCGCCCGCCCGTTTGCCTGTCCACACACACTCAAGGCGGTAATCAAACACGGCCGCTACCCTCCCAACCGTCTCCCATACCCCGGTGCAAACTCTGAAGTGCTCACAAACGAGTCCTCGGACCCAGTGTTGCGCAATCGCCTTGTTTGCCGCGTCCAGTTACCGACGACTGCAATAAGACTTGTCTGTATTTAGCAGCCTCGACGTGCTCCTCAGTTCCGAATCTTCGCGACTTCCCCACGTCCAGCCTGCCTTTTTCCACACACAACCCTCCCAAGCCCCCCTTATCCAACGTCCTCCACCCCGCGCCTGTCGCACTGCCATAAACACCACCATCCACCATGGCGGAATTCGTACGCGCCCAGATTTTTGGCACCACTTTCGAGATTACCAGCAGGTGCCCAACACATGCCCCACCTCGTCACCTCTGCCTCTGCTAACATCTCACAGATACACCGATCTGCAGCCCGTCGGCATGGGCGCATTCGGTCTCGTTTGGTACGATTCCCCTCCATCTTCGCGAATAACTCAGTATTGACTTTTTGCCCCAGCTCAGCAAAGGACCAGCTTACCAACCAGGCGGTGGCTGTTAAGAAGATCATGAAGCCCTTCAGCACTCCAGTTCTGTCCAAGCGGACATACCGAGAACTGAAGCTCTTGAAGCACCTTCGGCACGAAAATGTGGGCAATTCTACTGCGAAGCCTCCAAACAAGACTCTGACCCCACCCAGATCATCAGCTTGAGCGACATCTTCATCTCTCCTCTCGAGGACATGTAAGGAGCCCAATTACACCCAGCCACGAATCTATACTGATCAATTCAGCTACTTCGTCACCGAACTCCTCGGCACCGATCTCCACCGTCTGCTCACCTCGAGGCCGCTCGAGAAGCAATTCATCCAATACTTTCTCTATCAGATTTTGGTACGTAGTTCAAAAAAAACCCCCCCAATTAAGCGCGGACAAGAAAACAAGGAGAGAAATTGTGGCTGACTCGAGAAGCGTGGATTGAAATACGTCCACTCGGCTGGTGTTGTGCACCGCGATCTCAAGCCCAGCAACATTCTCGTCAACGAGAACTGCGATCTCAAGATTTGCGACTTCGGTCTCGCCCGTATACAAGACCCCCAGATGACGGGTTACGTCTCGACGCGATACTACCGAGCACCTGAAATCATGCTCACGTGGCAAAAGTACGATGTGGAGGTTGACATTTGGAGCGCGGGATGCATCTTTGCTGAGATGCTCGAGGGCAAGCCCCTGTTCCCCGGAAAGGACCATGTGAACCAATTCTCCATCATCACGGAGCTTTTGGGCACTCCCCCAGATGATGTTATCCAGACCATTTGCAGTGAAAACGTAAATATGCCCAACTGAAACCGCGAGGAGCCTCGGCTAAAACTGTACAGACACTGCGGTTCGTTCAATCGCTTCCGAAGCGCGAGAGGCAGCCATTGGCCAACAAGTTCAAGAACGCTGAGCCTGACGGTGAGTGCTGAAAAATTGATACTAAGAGTGCTAAACTAATTTTCCAACAGCGGTTGATCTTCTAGAAAACATGCTGGTTTTTGACCCGAGGAAGCGCGTACGAGCAGAGCAGGCTCTCGCTCACCCATACCTTGCGCCATACCACGACCCGACCGATGAGCCGGTAGCCGACGAGAAATTCGATTGGTCGTTCAATGACGCGGACTTGCCAGTCGACACCTGGAAGATCATGATGTAGGCACACAACTAAGCAACCCACGGAACACAAGAAACTGACTTTTTTTCTCGCAGGTACTCGGAGATCCTCGATTACCACAACGTTGATGCGGCAGTACCGGAGCAGGAGAACAACGGCAGCTAATCGCCAATGGATGTCCCGAATCCAGCCATAATACTTTTACAGTTCCCAGCACCGAGTCATGTAGTTTATCAAAGTTCGATGTATCATCTGCGTGGAGCAGGCGGATTTGGCTTTTCTCAAAGATTCCCAAGGTCTCGTTTGGTGGACCCATGTGACATGAAAGTGCAGAGGTAGATGGACATGGGTGTTATTTTTGTCTTTTTTTGAATTATCAATGCTCGTGCACGAAAGAAATGTTTCATGAAACGACTGGGCAATGCCCTAGCTTAGGTAAGAATATGAGATTATGTTGTCAATAGTACTCTCCAGCCTGGTGGTCTTGGTGATGCATCTGCTCGAGAGTGGCTGATGAGGTGGCGCTCGCCGAGGCTAGGGGCTTAAATAGGCCTAGCTCCATAAGGCTGGCTGATGGTGGGACGGGGTGTTGTTCGTCACCGCTCGCATCGCGTTCCCCAACTATGCATAGGACGTGAGCCCGGCCCCTATGGCCTTGGATTCTTCACTTTCGAGAACCTGACCGCTGTGCGACATCTCCACAAGCGCACAACCATGGCGACGCTTAGTCCGCTTGTATGTGTGGTGGATTTTCATCATGCGCGGTAAGCCCAACTGCTATTTCACGGAGCGGGCAAAGGGGGACTTTAGACTGTCTGTACCAGAACAACAAATTTGCTGATAAAAACGCTAGAGGCCCCGAAATCGAACTCTGGCTTGGTGCAGAAGAGGGAACTGATCCGGCAGCCGACAATGACTGGTCTCTCTTGCCGTTCATGGCCCTGAGCGATGGCGCTCATGCCTCTACCGAAGACTACTCCTACTTCACCCTCCGCCGTGCACAAACCCCGACCGAACCCGCAACCTCTCTTTTCGGCATCTCATGTACGCGACAACTCGACGCTAGCAAGCTCATAGACCGGCCGGCCGAGGTTACAAGGAGTACGGTGCAAAAGGCGGTAGTGGTTATAAGCAACAGCCCGCAGCATTTTGGCGCCATCAAGGCACAGTTGAGCGTCGTTACTCAGTTGTGGTTTGCGCAAAGGTATATTTTTCAAACCAAAGGAGGGCCGGCCATGCGGCTGACACAAATTACAGAGACTTTAGGGACATTGAGATATTGGAGCGGTTCACAGAAAGTCTACCCCAGCTGCTTAAGAACCAGGAAGGGCAGCAGGACCACTACTTCGGCATTTCTTTGCGCGAGTTTATTCACGAGTTCAAATGGCAGACTCTGGTTCTTTTCAAGTGCGCTTTACTCCAACCAAAGGTACGCTTCCATTCTGGTAATCGAGAGACATGGCACGCACAGCTGTCACACTAGTGTTGACACGACACCCAACAGGTTCTTTTCTTCGGCTCTCATTGCGAGCGACTATGCATGATGCAATTCGCTCTTATTTCTCTGATACCCGGCCTTATTCGCCACCTCCAAGATGCTGCTGACCCGAAATTCAATTCGTGTGAGGAGAAGTGTGTCATGCCCACGTCTCTGAAAACGTCAGAACGCGCTTCTTGTTAGTGTCCAACCGCAGACGACAGTCCATGATGTTAACGAATGGCAGTGCTTGCATACATGGGTCTCCCCCTGCAGTTGTTTGGTACAGGTTCGCTATTCGGACCGTATACCCCGCTCCAGCAGCTCGATGTTTTGGCAGATCAACACACAAAGTCTTACATTGTTGGCTCTACAAACTCATTGCTACTGCAGCAAAAAGATCGCTACAGTGACATACTCATCAATCTCGATGACCATACGGTGAACATCACTTCGGCTTCGCTTCGTCAAGCATCGGTCCTCTCGACACCGGACCGGCGATGGATCGATTTCCTAACCCAGACAGTCCACGATACATGGGATGAGTCGGATCCAGGGCGGCCCAAGGACCATGGATATGCTGGCAGTGAAGAATTCATCCGCATGCAGTTTGAAGAGTACCTCCTTGCGATGCTAAGCTCAGTCAAATACAAACTATACATGGAGAAGCACGCACACAAAGAGCCCGTAATCACTGATGTTGAGGGCGACCCGGCCAGCGAGTTCTCAAATGACTGGGTACAGGCCTGGATGCAGACGGAGAATTTCCGCATCTGGAACAAATTCACAGACTCACATCTTTTCGACATTGTCGATCCCAAGCATCCCTGCTCTGGTGGTCTCAGCATGGAAGACGTTCAGCGCCGACTAGCACAGTACGTCTCCACTTCTTTTCTTTCACCTTGCAACCCCAACTAAGTCTTCCTTCTTAGTCTTTGGAACAACCCCACATTCCAAGCCGTCTCCGTGGGAGTATGTGTACTGATTCTCGCGTGGCGATTAGGCAGGTAGCAGAAATGCACCTTGATGAACGACTCGAAAAGAGTAGAGAAATTCTTGGAAAGCAGATTGCTGCAGGGCAACAAAGGTTCTCCTCTGCCTACAACAGACTTTGGGCCGAGATGGAAGCCATGCGTGAAGCTCAGAAGCAAAGGGCTGAGGAAGCAAGAATTCAGGCTGAGAAGGAGGGACGAGTAGCCGAGGAAGAAAAGAAGTGTAGGTTGTACTGATCGAAGTGTGAGTGCATTCACACTGACTGACTACAGGGAAATCACCACAAGCTCCGGATCTCTCACACGCACAAGCGAGGGCTAGTGCCTACTTCTCTAGCTGGGGCACTTGGGCAAGTGAGAAGAGAAAGGGGTGGGGCAACAAGACACCTGTATCATCACCCGCACCTGATGATAACAAAAGAGCCGAAGATTTTAAGAAGGCCAAGGATGCCTTGATTGGTGTGGACATTCCGGCGACTTCACCCCTACCAAGAGAGATCAAAAGACGGACTTTGGTATTTGATGCTGAGGACACCAAGGCTGATACTGACTACTACGACTTGATTGAGACTGAAAAGAAAAATGCCAATGCTGAGAAGGATAAAGGCGGTGCTGAAAAAGAAAAGGATGATGTGGTCAAGAACGAGGAGGATGCGATTAAGAATAAGGATGATGTGGTCAAGAACGAGGAGGATGCGATTAAGAATAAGGATGATGTGGTCAAGGACAAGGGTGATGAGATCAAAGATAAGGTTGACGCGGTCAAGGACTAAGCTCTGTTTTGATTCCGACGCAGGGCTTTTCGATTTGGCGATATAATGATCCAAATTTAAAACAGGCAGAATTGTCTGTTAGCGTTTTGATTTGGATGCCATGCAACTTGACGACGCGCCTTGAAGTCTTTGACAATGTTCATTACATGGATTGTTTTTTTTTGTAATCTAGTGTAATCTATGCTATGCCGTCAATCTACTACATTGGTCAATCATCTATACTAGCGTCTTGACATTTCCATCATCGTATACCATGTCCCCCCCTCCCCCATTCATCATGACTTGGCCTTGAGCTTCTCTCCCTCGATGAAATCCCTAATCGTCTGCTCGAGCCCCACATCTTCACTGAACCCCAGCTCCCTCGCTCGAGTGGTATCGTATTTTGCCGGCCAACTCAACACAATTCTCTCTATAGCCTCATCCCTCTTCTCCTTGACCAACGCCCTTGTCTCCCTCCCCGCCACCTTCTCCAACGCCTCGAGAATCTCGCCACTCGTCGCCGTATACCCAGGCAACAGCACCTGTCTAAAGTGGCCAAACTTCTCCTTGGGCACCCTGACCGCATGCACCAAGTTCACCGCCAGCGCCCGCGGCGACGTAAGCCAAATGCCTATCTGCGGGTCGACAGGCAACTCGGCCTCGACGCCCTTGACAGGCTCCCTCACGATCCCGGATACGAAGGACGAAGCCGCGGCTGTCGGCGCCCCCGCCCGCACAAACACAGTCGGGAGCCGCACGGCGCGGCCATCGATCAAGCCGCGGCGCGAGTAGTCGTTGATCAAAAACTCAATCATGAGTTTCTGCGTCCCGTAGCTCGATTCCGGCATGGGCACTATGTCCGTTTCCGTCGCCGGGTTTGCCACGGCCGCCCGCCCGTACACGGCGCACGACGAGGTGAAGACGACTTTGATGCCGGGACGCAGCGCCCGCATCGTGTCGAGCAGTGTACGCACCGATTCAAAGTTCACGGCCAGACCGAGGTCGAGGTTGGCTTCGCTGCCGCTAGACATGATGCCGTGCAGTATGTAGACGGCATCCGGGTTTTGGGCAATGAGCGAAGTGCAGGCCGCTGGCGACGTCAGGTCGGCGGCTGTGCAAGTGACATTCTGCGACGAGGGGCTGGGGTTGGGGGGTTTGTGGAGGTCGGCGAGAATGAGATGGGTGGCTGTGTTTGTGGCGAGGAGGTGTTGGGCAAGGATTTGGCCGACGAAGCCGTTTGCGCCTGTGATGAGGACTTTCATGGTTTTCTCTCTCTCTCTCTCTCTCTCTCTCTCTCTCTCTCTCTCTCTTTGGTGTATTGTGTCTTTTCTTTCCGCCTCGAGAGTATATGTAGGTAGGTAAGATACTGGAAGGATATAGGAGAGGATTGGTTTTAAAAGGTTGTTCTCGAGGTGTTTTTGATAAACCTTGGTTACATGAACTGCTACAATCCGCTTTAAGAAGGCTTCAACCTCCTCGGTAATGCTGCCGATTCGTACAATGTGGGACCGGCATTTAGCCCGTTACCTCTCTTGCTTTCCCCGGGATTCGGGGCCCCTCCATAGATCTTTCTGCCTCGAGACGAAGAGCAAAATGAGTTGTGATAAGTATCTCAAAAAAAAAAAAAGCGACAAGGGTTCTTCCTTCCCATTTGAAGTACAACGTCATTTCCAAACTATAATTTCCCCAAGAGCTTATTTTCCTAGATCTGTATCCCCTGCCACTGACGCTTACAGGTACTCTAAATTCATGAACCGCGGGGCTAAGTTGCAATAGGAAGGTGGACCTATGACTACGATTTTGATCAACGGTCCAATGACAAGACTGCGCGTAAACCTCGGATGATGTCAATTACGGGCCTTGAAAAAGACAGCTAGGAAAAGTTGGGGCCCCAGACATGTTTTCCGCCGCTATGTGGGGAAATTAGCTACTAGAGCTATTTTGTTATATCCGAGGTATTTAGGAGGAAAGTAGAGTACAAAAGCACGCGGGGGATGTTGGATTTTGAGAATGCATTGATCTCTCGCGCATTCTTCTTCGCTCGTCATGGCAAGGGTGACGGCATTTCTTTTGGGTCTCTCCCAGTTTCCCCTTTGGGCTGCTGCTGGAAGCCCAGCGGTTATTCAGACTTCATCGGGGAGGGTCAAGGGTTTCACTGATGACATTACACCGAATGTTGCGCAGTACCTTAGCATCCCCTTTGCAGAGCAGCCGGTGGGAGCACGGAGATGGTTGCCCCCTACTCCGGTAAAGAGGTCGAACAAGATCATCGAGGCGAATGTCTTGGGACCTTCTTGCCCTCAGTTCGAGGTCGATAGGCCGAATGTTTGGCTCACCGATGCGCCAGAGTTTATCATTACGCCGCGCGATTTCCAATCCGAGGAGTGTCTAAATCTTAATATTTGGGCGCCTTTGGCTCAGTGCCAGGATGGAGGCTGCAAGAAGGAATTGCTGCCTGTGCTTGTTTGGATCCACGGGGGAAGCTTTGTGACTGGCGGACCTACTGTTCCGTATCAGGTTCCTTCAAGATGGGTTGAAAGGACTGGAGAGCATATTGTTGTTGGAATCAAGTGAGTCGAAGCACATAACCCTCCTTTCTGGAAAAATTCTCACCATGTACAGCTACCGTCTGAACATCTTTGGCTTCCCCAATTCAAAGAGTCTCAAGGCCAACGAACAGAACCTTGGCTTACTGGACCAACGCCTGGCTTTGGAATGGATCCGAGATAACATCCGCAATTTTGGTGGTGATCCATCTCGCATCACACTTTGGGGACAGTCTGCGGGTGCTTCTTCCGTCGACAACTACAACTTTGCTTACCCCAAAGACCCTATCGTTTCGGGTCTCATCATGAACTCCGGAACAGCTCTGCTCCCTATTGCAAGTACCGACATCCAACAGACAAACTTCACCTTTGTCGCCAAGCAGTTTGGATGTGACAATTCCAATCCCAAAGCCGAGATTGACTGCTTCCGACGCGTACCCCATACAGCCATTGAACTTTTTCTCAAGCAGTACGCCGACAACGGCACATCGCCTAGCCTGAGTTTCATGCCAGTAGTCGACAACCGCGCATTCTTCTCAGACGTTACTGCGCGCGCTCTGACCGGAAAGTTCTCACGCAAGCCTGCGATAATCGGCACAACTTCTGACGAAGGTACTGCATTTGGAACGTACAACAAGACATATGGGCCGGTCAAAGCTCAGGCCGACTTTGTAACAGGTCTATACTTCCTATGCCCTGCTGCGCAAACAACAGACGACCGGTACGCAGCAAACACCACCACATTCCGCTACCTCTATGCCGGAAACTTTAGCAACATTTCGCCCCAGTTCTGGGAAGGCGCATACCACTCGTCTGACGTTCCAATGTATTTCGGCACCTACGGCATTGCAAGGGGCAATGGCACGGAGTTCCAGAGTAAGGTCAGCGATCAGATGCAGGATTACTATTTGGCATTCGCCAAGGATCCTGTTCATGGACTGCCCAAGCTGGGTTGGGAGGCATACAAGCCGAGTGGCGAGGCGGTGTTGATTGCGCATGAGGGAAGAGTGGTACAGAGTATGGAGGCGAGTAAGTTGAAGACGCCGTGTGATGGTACGACGCCGAATGGTAAGCCTCTGCCGCCATAGAGAGAAGGTCTGTGGGTGGAGTACTCTACTTGAAAGTAGAAAGCAGTTCTCCAGGTGAATGTTGCTGTATGTATAGTCCGTAATCACCTATTTTCTCTTGCCAAGAAATCTGTATCCCTGTATATGCAACACCCTCTCCATATACCCATCCTCTCTCTTGATCGCTAATCTCAATTCGCGTATCGCACCGCCAAAAGTACGATCCATGGGTCCACGATCGAGGCCGGCCAGGTCTTTCTGCTAGGGTTAATCCGTCACCTCTCCCATGTAGCAGCAAGTACATGGTACATGGTACATGGGTCCATGGAGTGTGTGTGGACCCATAAAAGGAACTCCATGGACCCACGGACAAAGCTACCTTGTCACAACGTGGTCGACTTGAACGCCGGTCTGAGCGTCCCGACTCCCTGCATACCTCGATGTGGCAACTTCTGGGTCGTGGATATGCTCTAGACAAAGAGGAAAGAGAAAAAAGCAATGGCTTCGTTATGCACATATCGCTAAAGCATGGCAGGGAGTTTAACAAGAAAAGGTAAGCCACCAGGATGATATTTCGGGGTAACCGATGCGAGCCCGGGGTATATGCGTTGCTTTTAAGACCAGATTAGCGAACAAACGACGCATGGCTGCTATCTACGGGCGGCGCACGGTCAGCCATGTTATCTCTATCGGTTGGGCGATCGAGAAGGTGCAAGGGGTTCCCAGGGATTGTTGTAGGATTACAAAAAGGATGGGTTGTGGCGTTAGGGTGGCCTAAGTAAGTATGTGGTGTTTGATCCTTGCGTCTCGAGATGACTAGGATGATGTGACAGATCTGGGCAGGTGGAACCGATATATCCAGAGAAGAAAAACAAGCGTAGCAGGGGAATTCAGGGACCACGATGACATAAGCGCAAAGGAAGTTGGGAGTGTGCTGAAGCACGTGACACAGTGTGGCTTTCAGCAGTTGTGGCTTCCACCTGCCACAGCGGGGTTTGCATGGTTGACATCGTCAAGCTGCAGCACAGGCGCGTTTTAGACAATGTGACGTGACGTCAAGGTGGTGAGTTCCAAGAACGGAGACAAACAAACAGGCTCGAACACGTGGTGCTGCGTGTAGCTCTGAACTGGCTGGGTACTTTTGCTACCCATTGTACTCTTTCTGACCGCTTCCCCATCTCTCTCCCCTTCTTAGACTCTTGCTCCTATTACCTACAGCCACAAAGATATCAACTCGATCCCTGCTGTTTCGAGCTTACTGCTGATCACGTCAACAACATCTATAGTTCGGGAGAGACGAATTGACAGCACATCATGGCGAACCAGGCACCCGCGTCGCTTGTCGACCATCTGACTGCCTCTGGAGGGGCTGAGCCCGCAGGTACGAGATACACAATGAAGCATTCCACGCCCTGGTCCCGCTATACATGTTTCCTACCCCTCATCAACTCCACGCATGTGACAAAAGCTGTAACCGACAAGCCCCAGTTCATAAGTTGCTAACACGCGTCAACCAGGCTTCCTCAACGACATCATCAAGAACCTATGGCCCAACATCTGTGTAGCTGGCTCCAATATCATCAAGGACACGGTCGAGCCAATTCTTGCTACCACACTTCCTGGTCCGCTGGCCAACCTGCGCTTCGTCAAAATTGATTTCGGTCATGTTCCAATCGGGTTCTCGAATGTTGATGTTCACAAGACTCCGGCCGGAGGAATCAAACTCGACATGGATATGAACTGGGAGGGTGTGTGTGACTTTGAGCTTGATGGCAAAATGGTTCCAAAAGTGGTATGTTTTGTGCGAATCGACTGCAGGCCAGGAGTACGACTGACGGGATGTTTAGGGTGTTGAGCGGGTTCATATGAAGGGTCGTATCAGCGTCTTGCTATGCCCATTGACGAATATTATCCCCCTGGTAAGTCATGCATCCCGCCAGCCAATATGCAAAATATATTCTAACTCGAACATAGATCGGAGCTGTCCAGATTGCTTTCCTCAATACACCAACCCTGAAGCTGGACTTCACAGATGCTGCAAACATTGCCGACTTTTCTGTTATCGACAGCACTGTCCGCAAGACCATTCTTGGTGTCATTGATTCAATAGCAGTACTCCCGAACCGCTTCCTAGTCAAGCTGGATCCCAATACCGATTACTTCAAGGCCTTCCAGCCACACTACGGAGTCGTCCGTGTGACTGTTGGCAAGGCGACTGGAATTGACGTACCCAAGCACGGCGAAAAGAAGAGCGGCCTTAAGAAGCTGATGGCAAAAGTCAAGCTCGAAGACGTACCAGACTGCTTCGTCAAGGTCAAGGTTGGTGCGGAAGGGGAGTGGAAGACTTCGACCGTGGATAACAACCGCGAGCCGGAATGGAACGAGTCCCACGACTTCCTAGTCACAGACTTTGAGCAGGACATCACCGCAGACATCCAAGACGAAGACATGATTGGTGACGACGACATGGGACTTGGATCTACGACGATCAAGGAAATCCTCCTCAAGGGTGGTACACAAGAACTCGTTCTCACTAAGAAGGGCCAAGAAACCCCAGGCAGGCTCGTAATCCACGCCAAGTTCTTTCACCTTGTCAACGACCCACAGGTGCTGTCTTCTCCAAGCGCTCAAAGCCAGGGTCAAGGCCAGATCTGTGGTGTCGCTACAGTTCTCATTGCTGGTGTCCAGGAGCTTCATGGCCACCGCGACGAGCTGAACCCTAGCGTCAAGGTCACTTGGGGTGACAAGACGTTCCAGACGGCAGCAAAGTCGTACTCGCCTGGAACCGATATCTTCAACCCTTCCTTTGACCAGGCATTCACTATTCCTATTACCACTGATATGCTGGCTAACCCGGCTGGTTTTCAGCTTTCGCTGCTGAACAAGACTGCAGAGGTTGGCAGTGCGCAGGTTGCATTTAGAGACGTGCTAACTGCCGAGGGTATGGTCCTGCAGGACAACTTCAACGTGGGCAGTGGATCGTCTATTAGGGCGCAGATTGCTCTGCATGGTGTCTCAGAGGCACAGTAAGTAATGCTGGACAGAGATTGAGGTGAAGCAAGTACGATTCAATTGTCATTGTTGTGCAAGGGATACAAAATAAGTTTAATAGCATGATATTGGAGAAGCTTTCTGAGTGACGAATAAACCTAGATTCTTTATTTTGAATCAATATCATGAAGAGCGGAGTATATCTTCGAGCAAATAGAACATGCGCCAGGGAAAAAAAGGAGGGGGGAGAGAACCAGCCTGTCAGTCCAACTAGCCAAGATCAACCTTGATCATAACAACAACGCCACCTCCAATAACCAACCCCCCTCCCAAGTCATTCATCTCACCATAACAGCATGAACCCCACATTCTGTCCACCAAAAAGCCCTCTCGCAAAGCAAGCAAAAAGAACAACCAAAGAATGAAAGAAAGAAAAAAAACTTGCTCAAGCCCTCGCCCCTCATATCTTCTCCTTCCCCCCCCGCCCCATCCACTTAACAGATTAGAAAGGAAAACAAAGGAAAAAAAAGAAAACGAGTATCTTGTTCCTTTTTTACCCTTACCGTCCCACCGGTTGCAAATCCTTGCTCTCGCTCTCGGATCTCACTGCGGCTCCCATGGATCGGGGCTAGATTCTAAACTAGCTCTTTCGCTGCTGCTGCTTGCTGCTTGATGCCTGGTAACCCGCCCCATCCTCCCTCCTCTTCGCCCACACACACACTTTCACATGGTAGCCCCAGCCTGGGTGCCGCCATCGACATCGAGAATGGACGCCTCCTCGACGCTCTGCGGCTTAACGAGCTTTATAGTTACTTCAGCATCTAGACTGTAGACTCGGAGGCCGAGGACGCAGACGGCGTTCCAGGGCTTGAGTTCGTTGTCTGATTTGGGGAGAGGGGGCGGGGGAGGAGGGGGGATGGGGCTGTCGCCGTAGACTGGGGCGGGGCCGTAGACTGGGGCGTCTTCGTGGTAGACTGGGGGGCGCGGGGATGAGGTGTGTGGTGCTGGCGCTGGTGGTGGCGGGAGGTGCTGCTCTGGTGCTGGGGAAGGTTGTGACGCAGATGCTGATGTGGAGGCGTCAGAGGTGGCTGGTGGGTCTGACAAGGTGGAGTTGCTGGGGGTGTCGGATGGAGGTGTGGGTTCGTTAGCGTCTTTGGCGGTGCTCTCGGGGGCGGTAGTGGGAGTGTCGGCGGTGGGAGGTTTCGGTTCCGAGTCTGTGGTTTTGGATGGCAGACCTGCCGTCTCATCGGTGTTGTTTCCTTCGGGAGCGGAAGGAGGTGTGCCGTCCTTTTTGTGCTCCGAATCGGCAGCGGGATCTTTCGGGACATCACCCTGTTCCGTCTGAATCTTGCTGTCTTTGACATCTTCTTTGGATTCGGGAGCTTGCTCCTTTGTTTCCTCCTTGGTCTTCTCCTCCTTCCTCTTCTTCCAAGCCTCATAGTCGGCTTTCTGCTCCTTCTTCCAGGCTTCGAATTCCTCCTTTTCCTTCTCTTCAGCCTCTTTTTCCTTTGCCTTCTTTTCTGCTGCCTCCTTCTTCTCCTGTTCTTTCTTCTTCTTCTCCTCTTCAGAAAGCTCGAATACGCCCTTTGCATTTGCAATGTCGTAGTTCAGTCCAATTTGTCGGAGCTTCTGTGGGTTGCGCTCGGCCAGCTTCTTCACGACATCCAGGACTTCAGGTTCGTCTGGGTCTCGCGTGGCAACAATTTTGGGCACAACTTCGTACACACCGGGTTCAAGGTCGACCTCAGCAGAAATGCTGCGGTTACCAAACCAAGGGCCACGAGCGCGGACCAGATGGTCGCCAACTGCAGCATTCTTTTCTTGCAAGATGAAATGCAGGTCAAAGCTATACTTGCCCTCTAACCCCTTGAAATAGCGCTCGTCCAACTACTATCATTAGTACCTCAAGAGCGGGATAAGAGGCGACACTTACCTGGCAGAGTACGAAAACGGTCGGGCCAGCTTTCTTAATTTCAACTGAAAACTTCATGTTCAGATAGCCAGTGACCCATGCCACCGAAACACTTGTCCACCGCTGCACGACAGTCCATTGTTCGTCGAATAGGCGAGTGCGGTCAAGTAGATCAAATCGCTTGAGCAAATCCTCGTAGGACATCCAGAAGAGTCCGTCATCTCCAAACTTGTGGCCTAGCTTCTCGAGCCAGTACGGTGTCCACTCTCTCGAGCCGTCGCTCCACGGTCCCGTCCATTCGCCTATACTTGCATTCTGCCTTCTGCCCCAGGGGTTGCGTATCAATACCAATCGGTACTTTTTGCCATTTTCGTCTTCTTCGTCCACAGCCTTCAAGACGGAATAGGCATGGCTGAGGGCAAGACCCTTCAGCGCATCCGAGTCGTCGCCATATGAGCTTGAACTGGGTGATGAGGCTGAAAACAAGAAATCTTTGCCAACTTTGAGTAGTTCTTCCCAAAGCTTCTCTTTTCTCAAGACACGATTCGTCAGGATCTTGGTTGTAACACCGCCAGTCAAGTCTTCGACGGCTTCACCGCTCCATCCACCGGCAATGGCATCGTAATCGCCGTGTACTGTTCTTCTATCAGCTGTGCAACAGATACGTGCGAAAATGCGTAAAGCCCAATCGTGTAGAGAAGTTCTTACTTTTAGCGTATGCTTTCTCCAAAAGCGGAAGCCAAGTTTCGTTTTCGTCAGCGCAAGAGGCAAAATAGAGTGCCTCGGATCCAGTTTGATAGTTCTTTTTGTATTTTATCTCTCGCGCATTGGTCGGATCGTATCGATCACCCCACTCGGTATCAAAGTCAGCGTTGTTGAGGTAGAGGTTGTCGTCAACGACGGTCCAGACCCACTCGCCGTCTCTATAGAAAACAAAGCCATAGACACCACACTCTTCGTCTCTAGCAACACAGACCTTCTTCATCAACGAAGGGTTGGCGCAGATTGTCGAGGCAGCAGCAATGAACCAGCAGTCGCCGCTCGAGCCCTGTTTAAGGTCGGAGCTGGAGAAGCCATCAATGACAAATTCAGGCTTGTCAAAAATCCAATCAATACGATGCACCGATTTTGGACCGTCTGAGCTCCGGTTTGATCTCTGGGTCAATATCTTGGCAGTAGTGTTGAAGTCGAATGCCGCACCGTCCCCCATGAAGACGCCGCTTTGAACAAGGGTAGAGAGGGCTCTGCCTAGCTGCGATGCGCTGACTGCAGGTGACTTTTCAGTCTTTTCATTATACCAGTACATGAGTCCTTCGAGGCAATTCTGATCAGACAGATTACCGATATCGAAGTCTGGGTCCGTGAATTTCTCATTCGTTCGGATACATTCTTTCACGATGCGTTTGACGCGAGCACAACACTCTGCTGCAGCGGCCTGGTACGATTCGGCCGCATTTTTGCCCGTGACTTTTCCGATTGGATGCCGACGAGGGAGCAGATTGGCATACAGACTTTGTGGGAATATCTTGGTGACTTTGGCTGGTTTCTTCGTGATGAGGCTATCCCAGAACTCGTCGATGGCTGCCTGAGGTATGCCGGTTTGCGTTTCATCGCCGCTATCCGAGCCCATGCTTGCCCTTTGCTCTGTATAACAGCTGGTTTAATTGCAAATCGAAACAAAACAATTAGAGAATGGGACGAAAAGGATGCAAGGCTGGTTTGGGGACAACAGATATATGTGGAATGAAGTTGGGGGCCAAAAGTCCCATACTTGGCGCATGGCTGCTGACGCTTTGTGCGGTTGGAACACACTGTCTGAGTGGCCCCAATGCAGGCGAATGGTGCATGGTGCTATGTCTGGCGAACAGAGATTTGGTGGAAGCCTATTGAAAGAGTACCTGCTGTGGAGCTCTGCTTGCATACTTACGATGGCTGGAGTTTTTAGCGCTTATAGCGCAAGGCAGCAGCATAGTAGAGGATGATGGACGACCAGAAAACATGAGCAGATAAGAGGAAGAAATTTCTAAAAGAGCCGCCGTTTGAATACGGGCGACGCAATGTTAGTGACTACAGTCGTGTGAAAAGTGGAATGCGGAAAGGTTCTTCGTGCCGGCTGATGTTGCCGTTCGGATGCACATAAGTCGTATGTAGTAGCGGGCCCGAGACCTTGCGCTGGAAAGCGGGTGGGTTAAGGGCTGTAGGCGAGAGGGGTAGTAGCCATCTGTTTATTGTGTACGCCATCCTTGGACAGCCACAGCTCTGACCAATGACCTTCTCTGCCGGTTATCCGCCTCAGGATCGCGCTTTTGGCGGAGGCCTCTTCATTTTTGAAGCTGGAAACGGTTACCTGTTGCGTGCATGTCGTACACACACACACACACACACACACACACACACACGCAAGGTGAACCTGATCCTTGTAGTTTCTCGATGCAAGCATGAAAAAAAACATGCTTGTGTGCTCTAGTCATGTCGGATGAATTGTTCTTTGTGAAATCGCAAGACCAACATAACATAGTAGTAGTAGTCGTGACTATGTCAAAACCGCACTCAGAGACACGCCGGCAGCGACTGAACAAGTGTTCCTCACGGTCCGTTGTGGTGCAAGTGCAGCAGTTTAGCTGAGACAGGCGAGAGCGGCGGCTCGCAATTTCTGCCTCATTCGGACTTGCAGATTTGTCTTGGGAGCCAGTTATGCCCCGAACCCTTTAGAGAAGAAAAATCGAAGCTCAACTGCCTCGCCTCGCCTCGAGGATGCGCGTCTCAGCTCGTGCAAGCCATGTACCTGCGTGCACACCCTAGTCCTGAAACCTGAGCGAGCTAGTTCTTGCACGAGGTAAGTCACCATCCTTAGCGATGCAGCGGCTACAGAAATCAACCGGGAGGCGAGTCGTTGAGATGAAATCAGTGTGTTGGATTATTGTCTATTACAGCTGCCAAGACGTGCGCCCTCGTGGGTATGTGAAACAGAATCTCCACCCAAGGGCGTCTAAATGTACAGATAGCTCAAGTCGACAATTGTGTATAGTAATCAAAAACAAACCCCTCCCCCCCTATGTAGTGGTACCCGATGATGAGTAGAAAGGAAATTGTAAAAAGCATTAAGGCGTAATGGTTTGCACCAGTCGTTGTAGGGTCAAAACACAAGAGAAAAAACTGGGGGCCACGTGGGCTCGACGACCGTAATGTGATCGAAGAAAGAGACCATGTAGGAATGGTAGAATAGGGGAAGGCGGCATTTGCCAGACAGGAGCCTGGTCCGATCTGAAACGGCCAGAAGCGGGTACCCCCCCGTTCCTTTTTGTAAAGCAAGCGCGGAAGCCTGTTCCGAGCGGGAAAAAAACGTGCCATTGTCGTAGCAAAGTGATTGCTTTTTTTGCATCAAACGATTCGATGGAGGGGGCCGCCCAAAACGCCATGCTAAGAGATGGAGAAGAAGAAGGCCACGTGATGGATGCGAGGAGAAGGAAGGCGTGATAGGAAATCCAGGTGGTATGATGGTCCAGGAATGGGAGTGGGCATGTTGCCAAGCGGAGAGAAGGAAGGGTATTGGGCCGTGTCGCGTGCGTCTAGGTACATATCTGGTTACCGGGATCTCGGGTGGGCTGGATCGTAGTTGGCGATCCATGCATTCCATCTACACGGCAGCGAGTCAGCGTCAGCCAGAGTGGATTTTTTTGACCGACACTTGGCACAGCTCGCATGTGTGGTGATGCAAGATGCCATTTGTGGTGCATGGAGGGGCGACTAGGGTGCGTGTGGGAGGAATGAGGCACTTACTCGCTCATGCTTTGGAGGCACAGGGCTGGCACGTCTTGAGCTTGCACTGGTCACATTCGTAGATGGAGGTAAAGGGCCCGCTGTGGCACAAGTTGCAGGTCCATACGACGAGCGTGGTGTCGGACTTGATCAATTTGAAGCTGTGGGAGCAGCTTGGACGGGCCATTGCAAAGACGGGGAGAAGACGGGTGGGCAAACGATGGCAATTGAGCGGGAACGACTGTGGGTATGTGTGAGTGAGAGTTTTGAGAGGCCGGGTGAGTGAGTGTATGCGAGTGAGGGAGGTGGTGGGTGAGATGGGGCGGGGGATGGCTAGAGTAGATATAGCAATTGAGGTTGAGCGAGTACTGACGTGAATAGTGGCGGCAGGACCGCAGGGGCCAAGGAGGAAACGAAGTTGAGGTAGGGGAGGGTAGGGGGAGGGTTGAGAGCGAGGGTGTTTAGGGCCGGCTTGATCGTGGCTGACAAAACAAACGTCAATGTGGAGGAGGATGTGGAGGTGGAGGAGGAGGAAGAAGGAGAGGCAGGGGCGAGCGGAGACCAAAGAGGCAGGAGAAGCAGAAGAGGCAGTTGCAGTGTTTGGATGATTGCTAGAGAAGGAACGACTCTAGGGCTTTGCTTGTTGCCAGACTGCAGACGCTAACGACGCGGATCTTGGGCCGTCTTATACTTGCTCCCTTCAGTCAGAGGCTTGGAGGGGAGAAGCGGAGAATAAACTTTGGCTACATTGCAAGCCATTCGACGGCCATTCACGCCAGGTGCAAGTGGGTGTGGGTGTGTACAACGAGCAGCAGCGCGCAGCCGTGCAGCCGCCTGGCCGTGGTGCCTTGGTCGAGTGTCGAGATCCAAAGGCGGATGGGTGCCGGACCGATGAAGCAAAAGATGGTCTTGATGGTGCCACGAGGGAGTGGGCCAGCCGCCTACTACGACGACAACGACGACGACGACTGCGACTGCGACTGCGACTACGACTGCGACTACGACTACGACTACGACTACGACGTCGAGCTGAGCCGGCCGCTCTGCCTACTTGGCTCGCTCTCGCTCTCCGTCTCTGTGCCTCGCCCGCCTCGCTCGTGTTCTGATCTCCCAGGATGGCTCTGTCCACCACGACAGGCTGCCTGTCCCGCAGCCGCATCCGCGACGAGCATGCCGTGTAGAGGCCGCAGCAGGCCCGAGAGTGCATGGCAGGGCAGGCCATGGCAGAGCAGAGCAGGGCAGGCCAGGCCAGGCCAGGGCGCAATGGCATAGTTCGGCGAGGGATCGAGGGCAGCGCTGCTGCAGCCAGTGTGTCACGGCCAACCGTGCCCGGCGGCCGCGTTGTGATGATGGCATATGCGCCCTCGTCCACAAGCAGACGTTTGGACAGGCTCAGCATGTATGCAGCCACGGCGTGCGCGACCGAATGCCAATTGCAGTCGATGCTAGGCTGGGCGCGGCATTGGCTCCTGGTGCGTTTCCTTTTTCGCTGGCTGCTGGCGTGCGCCCACTGGCCATCCCGGCTGGCCACATGCGCTGCGTAGGAGCCGCATGGGCTGCCGGGCGGCCCAGACACGATTGCCGAAACCGTCGCTATGCATGGGCGTCCCTCCCCCCCGGCCCGTTTCCTCTCCACCACCCACCAGGCCCGTAAACACCTGGTGCATCCTGCTGTCCACAACAAACTCTCCCACCGCGCCCGGACGCCCAAAAGCAACCCAACCATCCTGCCAGCCAGCCAGCCAGCCTCGGACCATCTCCGATTCATCGGCCGCCTGCAGCTGGCCCTGTCCAGCTCCACCATGGCACTGTTGGCCAACGCGTCCATGTGCGTGCGCTGCTGCGATCCCGCCCATGGTCGTCCATCTTGATCTTGCCCTCACCCTGACGCCCGGTGCCACGATGCCAGATCGTGCAACCCCATGGCCATTTGTCTTTGGGCTAGCTCCATCGCAACTCGTCTCCATGCTCGGCGGTTGCAACGCAGTTGGCGCGCAAACATCACCGCCCAGTGTACTACGTCCCATCCGCTCTCATCCTATCTATCGGCCCCGGACCAGGCTCTTGGAAAACTACCTTCGCTGGAAAGCCGAACTTTTGCCGGCCCCTCGTATCCCCGAGCGTTGCTGTCGTGCACGCCGTTTTCTGTCACTTCACCATAGCTCCACGCACAGCCAGACCGTGCCGCTAGACCTGGTGTTCGGGACCAAATGGCCTCTACTAGTGTCCGCTCCTTTTGCAGCCCCGGCAGCCAATCGGGCTGTTTCTTGCACAGCCTCGTCAACACCATCACACCGTTCAGCCAGCAAGACAGAGGCCGACCATGTCCATCATCAATCCACCGGCCCTGTGGAGCATCATTGCTTCTCTTTTGAGCACACTCCATGGTTGCACCAGGGAGCCTATCCTCCCTCCCACATCACTGCACACCACCCAAGTAGCTTGACAATTCTTTTGGCATGGAGCTGATCGTATTGCCGGTTTGGCTGTCAAGCTACCTGCCTGCTATGCCACCGCCACCTCGCTGCCGAGTCGTTGTCGACGCCTACAGGGCCTCGAGCGATGTGCAAAGCACATTGACGGACCCACGCCAACATGTATTTGTGCTTCCCTCTTCCAAGACAACTCTCAATGTCTGTCCCAGCCACTGGCTGCTTTGGGCCACCTGACCTCAAACAGGTCAGCTAGTATGACAGAACAACGTCAAATCCCGTGTCCGTGGTGCGTTGATACTGCAACCGGCCTCGAAGCTCGACGGCTATGACTCCATCAGATCAGAGCCACCAATAGGGTGGCTTTCGCTGTGGACCGCCATGTATGTAGCTTGGGCAACCTTCACCATCACGTCCATCGAGGAAGTACAGAAGCAAGCGGTGAGCCTGTGTAACCGAGCAAGTCTGCGCGTGGCTGCGATTGCCGAGTCAAGCAATGGATATAAAAAGGCAGACCAGACGGGCTGCATGGCATTGTGAAAGGCGGGGACTCGAGAAGCTCTGCAGGTACAGAGGCGCATCGTGGTCTACCTAAGGACCCTGACTGGCCAGACGAAGCGACTCTGTGATCGCGTGCCAGCGCAACAGCTGCTTGTAAGACGTTTGGGTAGTGCAGCCCTGTGCATAAAGAAGGAGCAACAGCCCCGCCAGCTCGCCGTGTGCATTTTGTCGATTGCTTGCATGTCAAGATTGCCCTTGGAGCTGTGCTTCGCACCGGAATCCCTACCACGTCGCTTTTGGTGATTGCGAGTCAGGTGCGGGCTGCCACGGGTTGCCGACTAGTCGTTTGCCGTATCGAGCGGATAGTGGGGCAGGCCCAACCCCCGACCTGCCGACAGCTTAGCTACTAGAATGTCGAGCAATTTTGCCAGGCCTCAGCGGCCTTCACCACAATTTGCCCACTACGAGAACGTCACTCTCCTAGGACCGCCCACCATGAGGGGCGCTATCGTCTTTGGCGGCACCTCGCACCCCAGGCTTGTTGAGGGCATTTGCGACCGCCTGGGCATGAAGCCTGGCTCTGCAACCCTGGGCAAATTCAAAAATGGAGAGACTTCCGTCACCATTCGTACGCTCACCTCGCCCTCGCCCTCGCCCTCTCGCCCTACAAACACGCGCTAACTCGTGCAGATACTTCGATCCGCAACAAAGATGTCTTCATCGTCCAGAGTGGGAGCGAGAAGTGCGTAGCCCAGCCCCGTCGTGCGCCATATGGCTAATGGGTCAGAATCAACGACTCGGTGATGGAGCTGCTGATTATGATCTCGGCCTGCAAAGGTGGCTCGGCCAAGTCAGTCACAGGTACCGCGCGCCTCGGTGAGCTCAATGCCAGCTACTAACAGCCGCAGCCGTCATGCCTTACTTTCCCTACTCGCGTCAGTCCAAGAAGAAGCAGCACCGTGGTGCCATCACTGCGCGCATGGTCGCAAACCTCTTGCACATTGCCGGCGTCAGCCATGTCATGACAATTGACCTGCACGCTTCGCAGATGCAGGGCTTCTTCAAGTGCCCCGTTGACAACCTCGTCGCCGAACCCCTCATCGCGCGCTGGATTCGCGTCAACGTGCCCAATTGGAGGGAGGCTGTGGTTGTTAGCAAGAACCCGGGTGGCACGAAGCGTGTCACATCGCTAGCTGACGCGCTGAAACTCAGTTTCGGCATTGTGACGACCGACAGGCGTAGGGCAGGCACAGCGGTGCACTGGAACGAAAGCGCCATGTTTGAGCAACTTCGATTGGATGGTGCGTACGAGACGCCAGGTTTGGTGCGAACTGCGCTGGATACGGATGCCGATGTGACACCGATCAGCAACATCACAATCGATCCAAAAGCGGAACCGGGCAAATCGAGCCTCAGACGCACCCCCACAAATCCACTTGTACGGCGAGTTCATGCTGGCTCAGAGTCAGCAGGAAGCCATCCACTGTCCAAGTCGATGCGTGCGGGCTCTATCATCGAACCCGAAGTCCCACTAGAGCCCATTCGAACTGATGCAGAGAACCAAGAACAGGAAGCGCCCGAGGAGCAGGATGCAGATGAGAGTGGCGCCGAGGAGGAGGAGTACACTGATGAGGTTTGTCCATACCAAAGACTTGTGCCATCTTTCTAACCATCACAGCGTGCACGAAACGTCATTCATGGACGTCTAGTCCAAGGCCACATTGTTGATGACACTCATCCTTCGCCATCCATGTCCGCAACCTCGCATAGTACCTGGCGCAATCGTCCCCCGTCGGAAGGCGATGATGACATACCCAATCACATGATGTCCTCGTTCGTTTCGAATGCCTCGTCTAGTCGTAACAGAGAGACCGAGCATTCGCACGCTCTTGGGGGAACCTATGATGCTGCTGCCTCATCTGAAGATGAGGAAGAAGACCTTAAGAATCCCGAACTCGAGACCATGGTGACTCTTGTCGGCAATGTCAAAGATCGTCCCGTCTTTATTGTCGACGACATGATGGACAAGTCTGCATCATGGATTGCGGCCGCTGAGACTGTTGTCAAGCGCGGTGGCGCGACCAAGGTGTATTGCTTTGCCACGCATGGCATCTTTGGTGGCGATTGTCTTGAGGAGATGAGCAACTGTGATGTCATTGACAAGATTGTCATCACTAATGCGTTCCCAATTCCCGAACACAAGCTCGCTCAGGCCAGTCAAGACAAGCTAGACATCATCAAAGTTGATAACCTTCTAGCAGAAGCAATCAGGCGAAACCACCACGGAGAGAGTATGAGCCAGCTCTTTATGCACTACGACTAGACGAACTACCATGATGATGAGAGAATGTGGGAGAGTTCGAGCTTTGGTTTGTTGTTAGCAAGGCGTATGGGTACCACTTTACTACTGTTTTGTAGAAAGTACGAATATGGCGTTGTGAAAAAAATGAGACAACGGTAGGTGGTGGCAGCACCAATGAGCCTATCTATGTGGGCGTAAGCCACGAATGAAACAAGGTATTCATACGAGGTCATGAACTAGCCGCAGTAAGTTGCAGATGTCGAAGGCTCGGTACTGACGATACTTGCACCATGTCAGCATTCTACGTCGACCCTCTCTGCCTTGTTAACCCTGGTCTTCTTGTCTCGGGCCTGAGTCTCAAAACAGTGATTGACTGAAATCGTGATGCACTACACACCAACGATGCAGGCCTTGAGCCTGCAGGAGTCCCGTGACTTGATACGGCGCACTCTTAACGGAACGTTGGAAGAGGAATATCGGCATATGTCTTTATTTGTGCCTGGCTCTTTTATGAGGGTTGGGCCTGAGACGGTCTCGTTACATTTTTTGAACTAGTGCCTGTGCATGCATTTTATGTGCGTCTTGAGTAGTATAACGATGCTGTGGTATGAAGAACTGTCCGTTTGGATCATTTGATATTAGAGTTTCTTTATATTTTTGACTACATTGTTTTTTCTTTACATGTGTAAGGTCACCACTCTTCCCGCGTGATAACCATCTCGTGAATCCAAGTCCAAGGAATTTCAGTCTATCCATACACACTCTGTCTGTTGTAGCCAGGGAACTGTTTAAGTACGCTCTGGTCAAAATTCTTCAACTGCGGACAGCTCAAAGCAGCAACTGCATTGTTTACAACGTCGAGAAGTGTAGTGAGCGCGCCAAGCAGAATATCAGGCTTTGCCACTGCGGAAATTTGGTAGACGAAGCAAGCCAGGTTGTTTCCCTTGAGGAGATTGCCAGAACTGAAAATACCGCTGGTCAGGCTTGATACGTCGACACCAACGAAAGAGTCGGGTTGACCGGTGTTTCTAGAACGAGTCAGTGTAAACGAAGTCGCTTGATGTTGTAAGAGACGGAGCAAGGGACCAACGTACCCGCCAACCTCAAGAAACTTTGGGTACAAAGTCGCAGCATTCAAGGTATCAGCAAGAAAGTAGGGCGTGTCATATGGATATGCAATCGCACGACGGTACTAGCAAAGGAAACACCCCCCCCCCCATTAGCACATACACACTATAGCCACACGAACGAACAAAACTCACCCAATTATTCGGGATCCGCTCCCCACCCTGCACAGCAGTATACTTGCCGCTTGTACCCTGAATCCCAAACCACGACTGCAGCACATCATACGGCAGTATGCCCTCTGGATTCTCCGCCGAGTGATTCGCCATGAAGCGAAAGATGAACGTATACGCCGCCGGCTGCACCAGGAGGCCCGCAAACGGCCCACTGAAATAATACGGATTGGACTTGCGCTGCGCATCCACTCTGGCGCTGCGAAACGCAGTCAGGGTCTCGAGCGTGACGAAGCCGCCGGGCGACGCATCGACCAGCTGCTGGAACTGCGCAGGCACCGTCTGGAAGTTGTTGCCCGTCTGGTACAGATCCCCGCGCGTGGGCGACCCGTCCGTCTCGTACTTGTTGTGCGAGCCCGTGAGCCCATTAGCCAGGATGCCGGTGAGGCCCGCCTGGCCGAGCGAGGGCTTGCCGCCCATGGACCAGCTGAGGATGTCGCCGTTGAGGGCGCCGCCGACGGCGGAGAGGAGCAGCGCGAGCGTCGGGCCCATGCCGACGACTTTTGTCGTCGCTTCGACGTATTGCGTTACCGTCGCGTAGCCATTGTGCGGTAGGAAGTTCTGTTTGCGCCAAACGAGCAGAGTTTAAGCATGTAATCTTGAATTTTTTTTTGGTTTTCTGGAGAAGACGTACGTGGTTTGCAAGAGCATTCAGCCCGGGACATGGGCCCCGAAGATCGCCAGGGCCTGGGGGAACGTATTCATGGCCGCTCCCCGCGCTGACGTCGATGTACTGTGCTTTTGCGTCGAAGATGGGGACGGGCTCGAATAGAGATGTAGCGGCACTCGCACTGTTGCTCTGTCTTGCTTGCATCGCCTTTGCTACTTCTTCCTCTGCGCGCTTGAGCACTTGCGGATCGTGGCTTGCAGCATCCAGTATGGCAGTTGGCCATGCCGCTGTCAACGACGCAGTCGCAACACCAAGGAGCACCGTTTTCACGTTCAGAAAATACATGATAGAAAATTTTCTCACACAAACAAAATATCAAACAATGCAAGAAACGAACAAGTGGAGAGGGTGTCACAAACATGACGGCGTCTCCATCACTCAACCTCTATATAACCCGTCTGTCCCGTCTGACTGGCTACCCCGTTGCTTGTCATCTTTCCTTTGTGTGTTATCTCGCTTTGGAAAACTGCGCAGCGTTTCCCGCTACTACCGTAGACTTTCAGCCGATCTCACTTTAATATCGCCCCGGTCCCGCCCCCCTCCCAATTCATCCATCAAATAGATTTCCACGCATCTCATCCAAGACCAAGCCTGGGGGAAGGGAGCTAGGGGGAAGTTACGTAGAGCATTAGCTGGGTTGGGCGGTAATAGTTTAGTGCTAGCTTTGAGTATGTAATACGGTGATGTTTGGATTCGGTGCTAGGACCGGTGGCGACATAAGGGGGGTGGGTTTGCTTAATGGTTCTCTTTTACTTTATTTCCGAGGCATGTAATTGGATGGTGAGATTTGTGTACTTGGGGAGTGGAAAGGGTAAGGTATCTATGCAAGTTGGGTCCCGCCCCATGTAAAAGTACATTGTGTAGTGTAGTGTATGCAGTCAGTATCTGATACCACCCCCAGTCGTTTGTGCCGCTTTCTTCTTTTTGCAGGTCATGAGGATGTGTCTGGGGTTAACGGAGCGGAGCATTGCTAGTGCCCCGTATGGGTGTGGTTGGGAGATCGAAAGCAGCCCAGCTTTGCATACTCCATTCGGCGTGACGTACTTCAACATCGTCAATCATTCTCAAAGGGACTTGCAGCTTTTTTAAGTTCTCAAATTAAATTATTTTTTTTCTCCTACATTCAGCATCATTCTACCTCTTAATTCAGCTCAGTGCCTTAAATGTACGCCTAAGAAACTATTAAATAATTCCAAACACCGATCAGAAATCCTTCAAGTAATATCTTGGGTGCGAAATTCTCCTATTGGATTAGTCTCACGCATGGTTCGCGATCTAGCGTTCTGGCTTTTGCGATTGGGTTTACGCGGACGAGCCCAGTGACCAACAGAACGGAGGTGCTACGAGATCTGGTTTGGTCCAATTGTGGGCGTCGGACCGTTTATGCTTGCTTGCTAATATGGATCGGACGCATGTATGCGTACTCCCGTGGAGATCTGCATTACGACCCCTTTTGTCCTGTTTTAGACTACATCTGAAGTTTGGTCGCGGGGAATGCAAGGGTTTGCTTCCGATAGTGGTGGCGCTATTTGTCAAAATAGGTTTGTATGCACGATTTGGTGTTGGCTATAAATGGTTTAGAGGGTTTGGGGGGTTCCCGCGCTGACAAGCCATCTTGGTTTGGTTGTGCTGATCGCATCTTGATTTAATCATTTTGCTTGCCGCTTCTGGGGTGTATCAGTCATGAGACAGGGGTAGATTTTTTTCTGCTTTGGAACCCGCATTGCGTAGGTGGCATTCGCACCATTGGCGATGGCTGAGGGAGAGGTAGGATTGCATAGTGAATGTGGCTTGAGAAGGCGCCGAGCAGTTGCGCCGGTCAGAATCGGCAAAGACTACACAGTAATCTCGCACTTGGTGAAGACATCTCGATTTACGGAAAAGGAGGAGGGTGCTGACTACCGATTGAAGACAAGATTGACCTCATCCATGGCCCTCTGTGCGTGCATTCGTATACACCCCGCAGAATACGGCTCGGTTTCTGGGGGTTGTGATGACATTAACATCATGACGGGCTGATACCGTACCGACAGTATACCAAATCTGAACAAGGGCAAGCCGATGGAGACTCAATCAAGATTTCCTTGCATGGAGATTCTTGAACAATACGGTTTGCAAGTGGTTGCGCACAATCTATTACGTTACATTCTCTAATAACTAAGCGCAGACCATGTGCTGGCTACACATGATTGAGTGATGTGGCTGTGTGATTTTGTTCTGCGATTAGCCCAAACTTTGTCCTTGATCGGTAATATTCCTAAAGCTCAGCTGAAATTGGACCGTGTTGAACCTAAGAGATACGAAGCATGTTGGGGGCCAATTTGATAGCTTTAGTCCATCACAGTCAATCAACTCAACCCTAGAATTCGGTGTGGGATTGAGTTTCTCTTGCTATGCACATTAGAATTAAAGGTAAGACCATGCTTCATTCTGTATGTTTCTTGTCTTTTGGCTAGTCCCGATCTAGGCCTGTGGACTGGTGATCATTTCAAGCAGCTTCAGCTTTGTGAGGATGACGTTGACCAGGATGAAACCACTATCATCTCCGGCCAGATGTTTGTCATTGCTCACCAGATATTGGCTCATACTCATCTTGCCCCTTCCACACTTGCTGTTGTGCCCAATAGCCTTGTCAATCCCAACGGCTACCTCTTGGGAGTCTTCCTTTCTAGTCTTGAGAAGCGCTTAAATCTTAATAGAGCGACAGCGTAGTGGCGAGAAGACCCGTTAATGTATAGCATGGTACATATGATGAGTGATGGTGGAGCAAAGTCGTATTGCCGTAGCCTTGGGTTTCTTGTAATGGGCTCTGCCTTGATATTGATAACATACTTAAAAACCTTAGCTATTTTGCCTGAAACTCGAGTAAAGTAGGTGCGGTGCTGCTGTTATTATAAACATTTATTGCTGCTGCAAAGCTCCCACACGGGCAGAATTACTAACTCAGCGGAAGCGTGTGACGATATGTGTAGTGGTCAAGGTGGCAGTCTGAACTTTGCATGGAAAGAGATACATAGTAAATCCAAAGGTTTGGGTCTTTACAACTTTCAGGCCATAAATAAACAATTCGAAATTCTATTTCAGTCCTCGTCTGAACACAGATCTTCGTGGACTATGAACAGGCGGTGAACATAGTTTCTTGTGATATAGTAGTCTCGCTTAGATCCATAGGCATATTCATTCCTGCGAATCAATACCTACTAAAGAACCATATCTCAGAGTGACTTCTTCCAAGGCTAGGCTGTTCATTGGTGCTGGTATATTTGATCTCATCGTGATAGCATTACCGACAGATCCTCCTGTGCTACCACAGGCGGGCATGATCAGCCAAAAGAAGCTCCACTGCTCTACATACAGGTAGATTTATGGTGGTCAAATCTACAAATTCCAATCCGAAATGCATTCTCATGGGAATGGGCTCAGGTTGCCCTGCGTATCACGTACCGTGATATCGCCTCGCAGAAACCCTACGAATCCTAGATGAAAAACTCTCAGGTGTTCAGAGCTTATCCTCAACATGTCAGAAATCGGTTTTATCTGCCTCAAATATATATTTTATGATAGAGTGTCTAGGTTCTTATTGCCCATGACCACGTCGTCATCAGCTGGGTGTGTTCGAAAAACTAAATTAGGCCTTTAGGTCTTGTTAACCACTGACTGATAGACAGATGAAATGGGAAACTAGCATGCGTAGATTCCCTCATACTATGTATAACGACGTTGGGTCATGGAGCTAAGACATCTCAGCACTGATAATAGAAGCCACTGTCATTTACATAAATCTTCTCGAGAAGTTCTTGCTGAAACTAATTTTGAGAACAAACAAGCTTCATACACTCGTATCTGTAAGATTTTGCATGAACAAAGCTTTGATAGACTTACATTTGAGAGATTTCTTATTATTACTCTCGATCGATATAGCGCGACCCTGTCGCTTCCATTGTGAATTCTGAAAAAATGTAGCTCATCCCCCAATCTGCTATCCCGAAACAAAGCATTTGGTCGCAGAGTTTCCATGAGCTGTGCATGCATCGTCTCTGTGACTTACGTGCTTTTTCAAGTCAGTGTGGACGTCTTAATTTGGGTCATCGATGGTCAGTGTTGAATAATAGATCACCGCATGGAGAAAGGACATTGTGGTCGTTATTATACGTTTCCCAGTAGCTTTTGTCATCTTTGACAAGACACGCGTGGTCAAATAGCAGTAAACCAATATCTAGAAACGCGTTGATTTTTATAGCGGCAATATCGCCGCCGCTACGGCGAAAAACAGGGTAGCAACTATAGTCGCGGTACGGTGGAGAATGATGTAACTGCTAAGTTAACTGATAACCAAGGTATATGCTGCAAAGTATAGCATCATTTAATGACGCAAATCGTTTCCCAAAGCTCATCCATCAATGTCAATCCATTAAGCCCGCAATCCCTCCATGAGCGCACCTTCTTCCCTCTTCCCCACAGCCTGGAAAACAGCGCCGTCTCCACCAACATCCAATCCCTTCTCAGCTCGTTCATATGCCTCATCGCTCCTATCCAACAAGATCTCCAGCTCTTCTTTGCTCAATAATTTTGCGCCATGACTCGCCTCATTGATATCGTACTTTTCTCCATCACTTCTCCTTAAAAGCTTCTGAAGCTCTTCAAGTTCCTGCTCCTTCTCTAAGTTTTTTGTTCCACCTCGATCATTTCGCACACCACCCTTGCGGATGACGAGCTTTTCCAGACGACGTTTCGCTTCAGCAGACTCAAGGAGTTTTTGCTCTACGGTATTGCGCGTCGCAAATCGGTAAACAATAACGTTACGTGTTTGGCCAATACGATGTGCACGATCCATGGCCTGGAGATCCTGTTGCGGGTTCCAATCGCTGTCAAAAAGTATGACTGTATCCGCTGCTGCTAGATTGATACCTTGGCCACCTGCACGTGTGGACAAGATGAAGATGTTTGTTGCTTCTTTTGTAGCAGATGATGTTTTGTTGAATGCTAGGATTTGATCCTGCCGGTCTGTCTGTGCTACGGAACCATCTATGCGAGAATAGTTCCAGGAGCGGAGATTCAAATAGTAGCCAAGGAGGTCTAGGGTAGTTGTAAACTGAGAGAAGATAAGAACTTTGTGACCACGGGCTATAAGCTCGGGAAGAATCGAGTCCAGTAGGAGCATCTTGCCCGAAGTTGATACGAGCGTCTCATCCGGTTCTGTCTCTGATGCAAAAGTCTCAGCCCCGTCCGTGTCGACTTTGATGAATGGATTGAAGAAGTTGTACGGCGAATTGCAACATAACCGAAGCTGCATGATGGGATTACCAAGCTTCTTCTGCATGAGTTGACGTTTCGCAATTTCGAATGTTGCTGCGCGTATCTTCTCATCCTCGGCATCTGAACTAAGATCTTCATCGTTCTCATCTTCTGACTCTGGCTTGTCCAAGTCTGCGAAGTACTTTTGGTCACTGACCTCCTCGTAGTTCTTCTTTGGGCGACCTCGACTTCGAGTCGATGCGACAGATGAAGGCGTCCCAGCGCGGGAAGTCTTTGCACTCTTGTTGGGAGTACACAAGTCGCTCAGAGCTTTGCGCTTATTACTACCATTGTTACTGCGAATACTCAATGGTGTCCCCGCTCGACTACTGAGACCAATACTTAGTCTCTCCACTGCTTTGTCCTCGAGATAAGACCGGCTGGTACCATCAAGGATGGCTTGGTATAGCTCACGTTGCATCGAGGTCAATGGCGCATATAAGACGTACTCACGCTTCTTGGGCATCAAGCTTTCGACATCCGTCTTGACACGACGCAACAGGAAAGGCTTCAACACTGCATGCAGTGACTTGACCAGATATTGTTGACGTTCTTCTGATAACAACTGTTCAAAACTGGCCTTGTCCTTGAGCCCGGAAAAGTCAAACCAGCTCTCAAATGTAGAGAGTTTGTCGAACACTGTAGGTAGAAGGAAATGAAGCAGCGACCACAGCTCTGTCAAGTTGTTCTGTAACGGTGTACCTGTGATAAGCAGACGATTTGCGGATTGAAATTGTTGCAGCTCACGAATCAGTCTGCAGTCAAGATTCTTGATGCGATGCCCCTCGTCAATGATGATAAACTGCCAGCCGAAGTTTGTAAGATATTTGCGGTCGTTCATGCAAATTTCATAGCTTGTAACCATGATGGGAAAGTCAGCTGTGCCGGGATTCCGTAATCTAGTTCTGCGCAGTCTCTCACGCTCTTTCTTATCGCCGTGGTAAAGCATGACCGGCATGCTTGGTGTCCATTTCTCAAATTCTGCAACCCAATTGCTGGTAGTACTGAGTGGCGCGGCAATAAGAAAAGGACCATACGACTTGTTCTCCCAAAGATGAGCCAGCATGGAAATAGTCTGTATAGTCTTGCCCAAACCCATCTCGTCAGCCAAAATACCATTGATACCGTTATTGTATAACGACACCATCCACTCGAGCCCCTCCAGCTGGTATGACCGCATTGTACCACCGGTGACAAGTTTGGGCTGTCTTGCAGACTTCAGGTTCGTCATTCCGATATCGCCTGTCTTGACATTGTCTTTGTCATCTTCTGTTGCCTCTGCAATATCTGCTTTCTTCTTCAGCTCTTCTTTCGTGAAGTAACTGGATATGTCTGATTGCTGCCTCTTTGGCCCCCCTCGACCTTTAGTATCTTGTTTTTTGGGTCTCCCGCGCCCCTTCTTCGGTACCGTATCTGGCTCTTCTGTATTCGCTGCCGCCGTTTCGTTTGCTGTGCTTCTGCGTGTGGCTCGTCTCTGCGATTCAGCTGCCGTCTTCTCCGCGTTCCTTTCGCGTGCCGAGGTCTCGCCTTTGGTCTTCTTGTCTTGCGCTTCTTCCTCTTCCTCCTGCTTTTGCATTTGCTGAAGCATGACTGAAGCATACAACTTCGATTTGTTCATGAGAAACTCCAATTGCTGGAACTTTTTATCCAATACCTCCTTGCCACTCTTAATGTCCGCCTTTCTCTCTTTCTCTAATTGCGCGTCACGTTTCGCGTCTTCTTTCTCGCGCTGTATCCTCATGCGCTCTTCTTCCTCTTGCATCGATTGTAGCACGTTTTCCTTCTCCATGGTGGCAGGTGGCGGCGATGACGCAGGCGTAGAAGGGGATTTAGATATCGCGCTCATGGCAGGGAGTGATGAGATTGTGCAACAGGCCAGAAAATAAATACAAGAGAAGTATCACAACGCAATAATCTCCAAAACTCGTATTAGGGACAAGTGGCGACAACCTTTTGAATGGGGTAGATGTCTATGGGGGTCGCGACAAAGGAAGACGCGCTAGGCGAGAAATCGATGACGATATTTCCAACGCGCGATCACGCCCCTGAACTTAATTGCTTTACGCCACACATCAACCCCTTTCAGCCCCACTACTGTTTCTTTTTACATGCGCCCATGCTATGATTTCGCATAGAGTGATATAGACAGCTACATGTGGGCTTCCTCATAAAGATAGGCGATAGAAAACAGCGTCTTCTGGGTTCTCATAGTAGCTCTCAGTTTCCTCGAACCCATACTTCTCGTATAATTTCCGCGCAGGTGTCATCGTCCTCAGCGTGTCAAGCAACATCTCCTTGTAGCCCCATTTTCTCGCATAAGAAACTGCGACATCCATCAAGAGCTTCGAAACACCAAGCCTTCGGGATTCTGGGGTCAAGAAAAGTCGTTTTAATTCGCACGTTGTGGTACTTGATGAAGTCGAATTCGCTAGCAAAGCTGAGGATTCGGAGGTAGTCGGCGTAGTGAAAAACGGCCGTATGGCTATGCATCCGACCGCCCTTTCATGTCTTGTCGATTGGGTGTCAGACTGCGTTGTTCCATTCATTCCAAGTGATTTTGTTGAAGATACTGGCTCTGAGGTATAGGATGATGCACACGCCAACCATACTGCGCCTCCTTTTTCAATTGCATATTTTCCCGGCAATTCGGCCAGCTCGTGTTCGAAGTTTTGGAAGTCAAGGCTAACGGGAAGTGATTTTGCATAGGCAAGGAACAATTGTTCCACAGTTTTTTTGTCCTCTGGGAAGACGGCGAGGCGAATATTCACGTTCGGCTGAGCCATCTTTGCTTGCGTGTATTGTGTACGGCAGATCCAGTTGTGATGGCTCAATAGGAGAATACAAACATTAACAACATTTCATTTGGGACTAGCTCTTGAAAAAAATCTGATAAAGCCGAGATATTGCCTACCCAATGCCGTTATTTGGAATGTTCTAGTCGTAGTAGTGACAGCGTAGGGCGTGCGGTTGTTGTGTTCGTATTCGCCAGATGCAGTTGGTGGGTTCGAGTCATCTTGGAACAGCCCCACTTCCTGTCGACCATCACCTGTACTGCTTCGAACATCAATTTACAAAAAGAATATATTACATAGAATTCTGAGTCTTTCCATCGAAATCACGTGTTTGGTCTTATGGTCTAGTGGTATGATTCTCGCTTAGGGATTTCCCGAGCACAGCTTGCGAGAGGCCCCGCGTTCGAGTCGCGGTAAGACCCATTCATTACTTTTTTGCCTTTTTGCCAGGTATCGTATCTTTTTGCTGCTTATAGGAAAAGTTGTGGAAAGCAAAGTGCGCTTTTGGCACGAAGCGGTTGTTTTTGCATACCTCGAGGCGCCACATATCTTTCTAAGACCCATAGCAGATCACACACTGTAAGTTGTTGACACTCATGCAGTTCCAAATTGAACAGTACTATTTACGTTTACTGCACCTCTTTTGGAATTCGTTGCAGGGCGAGTAGCGAATACAATGCGCGGCTCAATATCGATCCACGACGAACATATCGTTCTAGGGGACTGCAGAGCACAGTAGCTAATGACCCAGCCAAATCTAATTCAATGTTTACGTCTGTAGGGTTCAATGCTAAGGTGTTTCATTTTAAATAGAGGAAATGTGGACCTCAAGAGGTAATGCGGTCGAATCCAAAGGCATACATTCCCGATTATAGGTATTAATTAGCAGAAGCCGCAGTTGTTGGCTAGCGAGCCAAAAAGAAAATCTATCTCTTGCAGAAGAGCCTTTATGATATTTGCCAGAGCGAATGAGGCTTCAATTTGGCTTGACACGTCGCCCATAGCCTGATGACCACGTCGCCCATAGCCTGATGACCACGTCAGTCTCGCACGGGACCTGTGTGCTTCAGCCACCATAACTCCTTACACGACCTTAGATCGATGTTGACGGAGCTCGTATCTCTTCCAAAATTGTATACAAGTGAGCACCGTTTTGTGAGCCTTTTTCTTCACACAAGGATCCCCCCGGTTGCACATTACACAGACGGAACCGAATCAGACCCGTCGGCGTACCAAGCCTTCCGCCAGTACTAAAAGCCATCCCCATGAGGTTTAGCGCTGTCAGCCTCCGACTGCAACGCCTCTTTATTTGGTTTTGGTATTGAGCATTCAATACCACAAAGGCTTTCTCATCAGTTTGGAGAGAAGTCTCTCCGGATTGAATTTCTTCGTCTTGCGATCTCTTAGTAGTAGTTAGCAGTTGCTTTGCTTTTGCAAAATGACAGAAATAAGTACCCTCTCTGAAAGCAGGCATGAAGAGACCTCAAGCGTTCCGGGTATGATAGAACAGTATGCAGAGAATTTAGTGGACTTATCTAACGTCTTGACGCAGATACTGGGGCTGAGGCTCCACTACACGAAAATTTGTCTGAGGAATCGGCTGGTGAAGATACCCCACGAGAGAGCGTCGACCTCGACAACATATGTCTACCAGAGTACACCCAACTAGTGGCAAACGAACAACGCACAATAGATGCAGAGGATATTCGAAACACAAAGTCGCATGTAGAATATCGGTCCCCAGAGTACGAAAATCATCCGGCACTGCGCTCGCTATCATTGGTATACGAAGACAACCAAGGACAACTACCTCCTTCACCAGCTTATGAAGAGCACCAAACACAGAGAGCTGACTCGCCAATACATGAAGACCAGGATTCCCAAATATCTTTGCAACAGCGCTTAGAATCGCATAACCAGAGTAGTGATGTACAGCAGGGCCGTCTTTCCGACAACCACACACCTATTGGAGAAGGTGCACCACTCGTGCATCCGATATCTGCATCACACACACGTTATTGCTACCTTACCGACCCAGTAGTAACATCAAACCATGCTGGAGTACGCTCATGCAGTATACTGCACGACCGGCCCGCAGCATGGCTAGCTAAAAAGAAGAACATACCACTATCGAGCCTTGCGGCAGCCGTACTAACCAAAGAAGGACTTTTGGAGGCCAAAGAGCTACAACTGTCAGTCGATTACCATAAACCCATGCTAGAAACATGAATCAGGCTAACGGTAATACAAGGATTCCTCAAGATACAGACATGAAGCGTGACCCCACCGACCCCATATCTGGCGCCCTACTCGGTTGCTACGACGTTGTCGGTGGCATCATGCTCGGTCTCGCCGAAGGCCCTATCGAATTAGGCAAGCAAGCCAGTCCCTTATTCCGCGCCTCACATTCGACCAAAGAGTCTTCTTCTCAGACCGAAGAAGAGCCTAAACCCACTTCTGCGCCTACAGCATCCTCTTCCCCCTCAGACTCAAAACGCATACCCCATGCCGCCGGCAAAGTTGCGCTCGGCACGGCCAAGGGTCTCGGCCGCGTCGTAACAACCAGTCTGAAGAGCCCTGCGCTGATCATGCACGGCGTCACGAGGGGCTTCCACAACCTGCCTAAGACGTACGGCGAAGAAGTACGGGTATACGAGGAAGTGACGGGATTGCGAAGCGGTCTGTTAGTGAGCGCAAAAAGCTTTGGCTACGGCCTTGGCGATGGCATCCGTGATTTTGCTTCTAAACCCATTGATGGCGCAGAGAAGAACGGCATCATTGGGTTTAGTGCAGGCCTCGTGACGGGGATTGCCAACTTGGCTTTCAAGCCTACTGCAGGTTAGTCCTCTCTCTCTCTTTTTAGTTGTGGCTCTCTGAACTCCTGCTTGATTTGGATGGTCCTAACTTGGAGAAAATTGTTCTAGGCGCTTGCGGGCTTATAGGGTATTCGTCTGTGGGCGTGTATAAGGCGATTCGGAAGATTGGGGCGCCTAAGACTGAGGATCCAGCGGAGACTATGAGGAAAATGGGGGAACTGGAGTATCAGCATGTGAGTGATGCGGATAAATTGTTTATTGTAAGGCTTTGGTGCCAGATTCATATGCGCATACGGATAGATTAGGTTCTTGTCTAATTTCGAACATGTCACAATGAAGCGTTACATATCGACCTATAGCTTCTTCCTTCTTCGCATGAAATATGGTCTAGGCCACTATTACTGTTGGTTCGATAAAAGTTTCGGAGAAGGGTGTGGCGCATGGCCAGTCGAGACCGAAATGATTAAAGGGTACCAAACTTCCTAACCTTCATGTCTCCACGTGGTAGACAAGAGCCGGTCGCGATTTTGGTTATCTTGGTAGACCCCGAGTAGTGTATAGTCATCAACCGGGATGGAGATGAGATGTAAGAATGATCTGATGGCCTGAGATCTGCTCGCCTTAACGCCTCTCAAGAAGCGGAGGATTCTTCCTTGCCCTTCCAGTGTGAAGACCTCACCGTGTAATGACTAAGCTGCCATTTCTGTATATGATTAGTAGATGACGTCTTGTTTAGGGTTACGCAACGTACCGCTACTGTCTGTGTTTCAAAGTAGTCTTTCCAACCTTTTTTCTCGGCAAGCTCGACAACAACGTCCCAAGGCCATTCTTCTGATGCAAGCTCGACGAGAGTAAAGTATTTGTGAAGATTCTTATTGTCCAAGACAGTGGTCTTCTGGTTCTTATCCACAACGGATGCTCGGTCGAGCTTGAAGAGACGGAAACGCAGCACGTCAGGTGAGCTGTAAATGACAGGTCCAACGTTCTCACAGTAATACTTCAAAACTTCCTCTTCTTTGTCGTCATCCATCGTCCATTCCATGGCTGCTATGCTCGCGACATGTTCGATGTCTGGCGGCATTAGCCTGGGATGTGCTTCGTTCAGATTGGTTTTCTTACCCGCACTCCCGCTGCCTTCCCAATCATTATCCTGCCACCTTTTGAGTTCGTGGTATGACCTTGCGTCAAAGTGCACATGCTTGAGTGGGCCATTCTTTACCACTTCCGGTATGTTCTTAGTTCCGACGTCGACTTCTTTGTTGGTCTGGGCGACATCCTTAACTTCGTAGACTGTAAGCCAGGGCCATGGCGCATCTAATTTTCCGACTGGCTCATTTTCCATACCGCTCGAAGCGATTTCGCATTGTATCGTGTGTAGAGCATCAATGTGGTCTTGTGTCGGCAAGAAATCGTTCTCGTACCACTCTGTCACTTCCTCTGGCAGGTTTGCCCAGACGCAAAAAACGCCGCCCGACATCTTGCTCCAACTGATTGTTGCGAATGTGGTGTAGAGAGCAGTGTGTATTCGATGTCAGTCCAAACGTGCGAACCGCTCCTCGGAATCGAATGGTGGCAGTCGTAGGCTAAGCGGCGGGCAGCGGGAATAAATGGGAGGTGAGCCAGGGAAGATAGATAGCATGCAACGTGACGCGGCCGAGACTAATAAAGCTATGTATGCTGAAGCCCAAAGCACTATGCAGGAGGATATCTGACGGCCGGCGGAAGTGGCCCGACCGCAATTTTTGCGACCAGACTATGTTAGCAGTATACGTAGCGGCGGTATGCTTGCCGTCAGCGAACCAATGGAAGCCAGCAGTGCTAAGTGTGATTGGCAGTGCAAGCAGCAAGCCTCAGGCAAGTAGAGAAATTCTTGCTGAGCATGGGCTAACGTGCATGCATAGGAGGAGATCAACGCTCTCCACTGCGAGTCGCCTCTCCCTGACTCGGAGCCATGCGCAGTGCGCCTGACGCGGGGATGTCCAAGACGTGTGACAGGCCTTGCATGACTTGACCCGTGTCCATGTGCGGAGCAAATTCCATCGGAGATTTTGCGGATAATCCTGGTTGGTACATACCAGGCGACGGCGTGTAGATGTAAGCAGGTACTCGATGAAATGGCAGCACTCAAAGGCGCGTCTTGAACGGTGAACCACAACTGTATACGCCTTTTCGGGACTAGCGTCGGCATCTTTTCGGCATATGGCTGGCCCCTGCATCTGAGATCGCTTTGATGATGCTGCACATCCTCTCCCGACACACTGGCCGCCTTGTCGTACTGCTTACGAGTATACACCAGACATGTATGGCAGGTGAGTAATGATATCTCCCTTGATTCACCGTCTGCGAATGATTAAATCGCCTTTCGGACAGGCCAAGGAGAAACAGTGCCCTGCATATCGGTCGGCTCGGTACGTACTGCACGACCTTGCGCATGAAATGCAGAAACTTCGCTCTCGTATCGTGTACTATACATGCTCATCAGATCTGGCAAATGTGCCCAGGGTCTGAAATTAACAGCACAGAAAGTGCCCGGATAACACTCGCATCACGTCAAGAGGGATATTGTGTATATGCGTACTTGATTGAGGCGGCAGATCGGGGCCCACCACCCCTGCTCTGACGGATTATATTACACACGTAGGACGCTTGCTGTCAAGATGGGGCGTTGTTTTGCGGCACCGCCAAGTGCCAATGAAGCCATTAGATCCAGCTCATCAAGCTGGGCGCCTCAGTACATATATTTTCCGGCGTCGGTGGTACAATGTGTGGCTTGAGAAGCCAATACGAGACCGTAACGCTTCAAGGATCTCAACAAGGAAAGCTAAACGTTAACTTGGGCAGGGGTATACTTAGCCTCAGTTCTATCCTTGACAGGTTCACAACAAGCGGTGAGTTCGAGATATCCTCCAATGTAGGAAGCGTCATGAGGTGCAAATCCGCATCATTGCGTTCGTTATTCGTGGATGAAGATATTGAAGGCCAAATCTTCCTCTAACCCTGACAGACTGCTAGTGAATATGTGGATACGCCAAGATTTGATGACTTACCATGCTAGATGATTTTGAGAATGTCGTACAGCATGCAGTCTATGTGATCTACGGCTACCGAAACTTTCCGGTCGAGCTGCAGTATGCTAAATGTTGATACGTACTATGCTCTCTAAAGCCGTACCTTGCAGTGATTCAACAGGGTGGTTTTACTACCATAACATGGAATTGATTTCTTGTAATAATGGGAGCAATACTGACAAAAACTACATCCTAAGTCAGGTGAAGCTAGAAGTACCGATCGTCGGTTGGTCAGCATACGGACTTGAGAGAGCTGAATGTAGACGGAACATCCGATCAACCATAGGTGGATTATTGTATCTAACTCTTGATGAAGATGATACTTGGCAAGATAAATGCAACAAGCCAGAATGCACATGTCGGACTCCCAGGTCCGGACAAGCCGCGAGCCAACGAGATTTTCGTCACAAGTCTCCCATGTGCTTTCCTAGGACTTAGTTATGTACTGCATGTACTGGTGAAGTTTGTTCCTTTAGCAACGAGAAGATTGAGCTCATTTAGCACCCCGGCTTTGATGCGGCATGATGCATGTGCTTTTCACGTGATACATCGTATCCAAGAGTCCATGTCACGTGAGTGCTGCAAAGGAACCTTGATATACGACATAGAACCCGTGAATATCCGGGACCAACATTCGACGCGTCCCAACACGCAGCGTCATCCCAACAGGACAGCAGCTCACCTTTATCAACACACAAGTGAACCATTGTTTTACAGCCGCCAACATGAGCACCAAGGAGGTTTCAACACTGACCCTCGCCGGCGCGCGCGTCGCGCTCGAAGCTGCAGAGGCACGAGCCAAGGAAATCGAAGTCCCGATGAACATTGCCATTGTGGATAACGCCTGCCATCTTCTCGCATTCGCACGCATGGAAGGCGCTAAATTCACTTCAATCAACACTGCCATCGACAAAGCTTTTACTGCGGCTGGCCATCGCGCTCCAACTTCCATCTACAAAGACGTCGTTTGGCCTGGCGGTCCCGCTTTCGGCATCAATCACAGCAACGGAGGCCGATTTATGACGATTGCAGGTGGAGTTCCGATCAAGAAAGACGGAATCGTTGTTGGAGCTATAGGATGTAGTACTGGGACGCCGAGTCAAGACGAGGATGTTGCGAGTAAGGGAGTGGAGGCTGTGGAGAAGAGCTACGGGGTTAAGGCTAAACTTTGAGGAGTGCGCTACTTTTTATCTTAGATGGGACTGATAGTTCAGGAGTGAACTACTTCTTCTCGCCTTTCCCTAACCTTTCCAAATGCATAGTTACATTGATTGCGGAGCTAAGCAGGGAGACGTTGATCATGGACCCACCCATTCAAGTGATGATAGTCACAAGCTAATGATTGCTACACTAGTCGAGATCTTTAGGTGCAAATCAGAATCTCAAAAACCCAACTGGATCGGCGTGGTAACGGACGCATAGTTTGCCATAAAAGAACGTCTTGCTTTTACTTACGGACACTACTTGCTGATATACCAGAACGCGAAACCCCAATCATTTTATCCCAGGCTTTACGGGCCGTAGCCAGAGCAAAAGCATTCGAACTCAGGTCAAAACCACTACAAGAAGCGTCTTACTCCCAATGATAAAATCCCAACCCTCGAATGACACGTCTCAAGTCATTACCGCACACTTTTCTATCGACAGCTTAATCATAAAAACTGCGCTTCTCAAGCAGCCCAATATACAAAAAAAGCAATTATGAAATAGCACCAAAAGCCCCAAACTAGCCCTAATACATATAAGTACGCGCATGAACATTCGTCCATCTGCTACCGCCCCTCATCCCCCCCCCAAATCCCTTGCTAACACCACTTCCATTATCCAAACCCCTGCCCCGGTAAACCCCGAATTTTCAAAATACTCGTCCCCCGCCACACCCTACCCTTGTCAACTACCCCTCCATCAGTAAACCTTACACCAAACTCAACCAGATATCCCCCGGTATTCCCAAACCTCCCTTCTGCCTCCAGGACTTCTCCTCCGGTAATATATTTGAGGGGGGGTTCTTGGGGCGGGGGTATTAGGACACTGGGATGTTGGGTAAAGGTTTCACACGAGAGAAAGAGGGCTTACGGGGAAGGGAGAGGGAATGACTATATAGTTATTGGTCTCGTCGACTGAAGCATACTAATATTTGAAATGACCTATCCGTCACTGTTGCGTTTCCTTTTGGTATTCCACAGTGTTATGTGCGAGACATTGGAACGGGCAATATGCGAATCCAGCAAGTAGAAACAAGGAGAATCGTTGCATTTCCCGTATCAAACATAAAAACTATAACTAGCTGGCTATACGCAATCTCATATCATTACTCCTAGACCACCACACGCACCCAGATATCGGTGTTTGGAAAGAAAGCGAGAAAAGAAAGGCCACCGGAGAGAAAGGACCCTCGCTAAGTAAGTGACGAACGTAGCTGGGTAAAAGAGAGAGTCCCCTCGATCAATCCGAATGCCAATCACTCGCATTGCTCTCACCAAACTCACTCCTATAGCGCCTAGATGATGCAGAAAAGCACAAAAAAGTCAACAAACACACACACTCGTGAGTAGCATACACAAAAGAAAAGAGAGAGATCGACAGAACAGAGGAGGGGGAGACTTTCAAGAGGAAAAAAAAGAAAGCCAGAAAGCAGAAAGAGGAAAAGAAAAAAGAGAACACTTACTCATCCCTAGCACCACTCTCCGAACTCTCTCCCTGCAGGGCCAATTTGCTCACATCCAGCTTCGCCAGGCCACTCTCACCGAGCGTATCACCACCCCACTTGCCCACACCACCCTCAACCAACGTCTTGAGCATATCCTTCAGCTCCGCGACTTCCTTCCTCAACGCACGGACCTCAAGAACCGCAGTGTCGAATTCGACATTGGGCTTGCAAGCCTGCACCTTCTTATCCCAACCATCAGCCTCAAAGTCGCAGCCATGGAGCACCTGCTCCCATTCCATCGTCACGTCTTCATCGTCTTCACCACGACGCCGGTTCTCCTTGACAAGCCAAGCTTCCTGCTGCTCGAGCATGGCGGTGATGAGGAGGAGCGGGGAGTAAATGACAGCCATGACCATATCGTTGAGACGGTCGTAGCGTTTCTGGTCCATCCACCATTCAAAGGGGAGGATGAGAAAGACCATTTCGATGAGGTTGAAAGGGGCGATGAAGACGTTTTCGTCGGGGGCACGCACGAATTGCATGGTTTTCTGGGAGAAGAGAGCCATGTATTCGTCGATGGCGGCCGAGGTGATGTCTTCGTAGGCCGAGTTGTATAGGGCAATGAGGACGTTGAGGAGGATGACCATAACGACAAAGGTAAAAATGTAGTAGAGGATTATACCGAATGGAGGCTGTGGCAGATGGATTAGCTTTTCGTAGGATGGAAAGGCTGAGTAGAATACTTACCGAGAAGTTATCAAAGCCTTCGAATTCGGGGGATTGCATGATGGCGTTGAGCATGGCTTGCATGATAAAAATTGTGTCGTTCATCAGATTGTCATCCAGAACGTCAAGACTGATAAAAGCTTGGAAGAAACCAACAATAACAACAAACAAGAGGAGGAAGAATATGAGCGACTCGCGCATCATAACCTTGAGTACAACTAACATGGCGCCAAAGAAACGAAGCGAGTCGAGGTAGAGCAAGAGACGCATCCAAAACATGGGGGCAGTAAAAGCCAAAAAGTCGTAACTCAGCTTGTTTAGGTAGTCGCGTCTACCATCCTCATCGGTGCTCCTGGGGTGCCCAAACGCAACGATGCGAATGACAAACGAGATTGTAAGCAGGCTGTACATTGTGCAGTTGAACATGTTCCAGAAGGAAATATAGTACCGGCCGACTTTCCAGAACTTGTTTGCCTCATCGCATATGAAGCCGAGGGTGAAGAGATACAGCAAGCACTCGACGATATCAAAGTCGCCCGAAGGATTGATAGTGTTGATGGCACCAGTGAAGAGGCCCAGGTAGATGACGGACATGGCAATCTGGACCCAGTTCTGGTACTTGGGCACTCGCATGCGGTCCGGGTCCAGATGGGCCCAGTAACTAGTATTCGTCTTGTTGTCGTACGTAACAAAACGGCTTGGGTCTTCGTCGTCCTGGACGATCCATCCGCGCCACAGGTAGTTGATGCACTTCTGGTATCCCGACGATCCAATAACCGTTAGGGCGTGCAAATCGACCGCCTTTTCCACAGCATTGGCAGGCACAGAAGGCTCACCGTCGACTAGTGTCGAGTAGCGCTTGAGCAGGACCTCTTCAAAGAGGTAGTTGATATCCTCTTCGGCCTCAATCAGGCGTTTTGCCATGACCTCGGCCGCAACCGCGCGGACGTGGTGCAGGTCGGCGTCCCATAGCTCGGCTTGTGCTTGTATGCTGAACCACTTCTTGACATGTAGCAAGCAATATACGACACAGGCACTGTGCTCGGGAGCTCCCGCCTCGCGCGCCGTCTTCAGCACGGCATCGGTTATGATATGGCTATGGGCGCGCGTGACCTGGTCCTCCTCGAGCTCGCAGGGAATAACCTGCTCAATCTGATGTTTCAATCGTAGGGCCACTATCGTGACATCTTTGGGATCAATGGGCGGGGGCGGCATATGGCGTTCGCGGTGGGCGGTCGGCAACACTGGCACATGTTAGCTGTGTATTCTCCACCCGGGGCCGCAGTCCAAAAGCTCTCGTACACGCGCTTGTCTCATCATTCACCCTGTGTCTCCTATCGTGGCCCTCGTTGGAGCTGAACAGGTCGCCCCACCTGACCATTGTTGCGGCAGGTATTAACTGGGATATCAAGCTCGCGATGCTTATCCTTGGCCCGAGGTGGAGAGAGAGAGAGCCGTCTAATTGCCCCAAGAAGTGCGGAACAAAAAAAAGAATAGGCGGTAACAAAGAGCGACAGCAAAGCAGCCGACAAGATAGCAGAAATGCTTGGTCCAACAAGGATTGCGCCGGCTAGCGTTTGGCTGTGAAGGCGCCAAAAGCTGGATTGACAACGCTCGCAAACCCACATGCGCAGCGTCATGGCGCCCGTCTCCCGCCCGCTCCACGCCCACGCGCGGCCCACGCTCCGCTTCTGCCCTCTTCTCCGCCCCTCTCCGCACCTCAACGCCGCGCCTTGTCATCCTTGGATCTTGGATCTTGGATTTGCTTTTGATTAGAGGTCTTCTTGAATTGATTCCTTTCTTTCGTTCTTCTTCTCAATACACTCAATCCCCTCTTCTCCAAAGAAATAGCTGGAAAACAGGTACCAGACAGGACGGATGCTATACATACATTGTGGATGCTCTCGCAAAACGCTGGAATCCCTTTGTATCATCGACGCCTCCAACGCCGGTAGTCACTTTTTGACCCTTGCTTTCCCATTGTGATCATCATTGCTCGTACCAAATCATTCTCCTGCTCCCCAAGCCCGCTTAATCAGCCTCGGCAACACCGCCCTCGTCACTCGTGCTCTCATCCTCGTCACCGCTAACCTCCTGGTTCTCACGCTCGCGCTTCTCCATGAGCGCTGCCAGCTCTGCATCGTCGTTCTCTGTAACCGCCTTGGGCGCCATCTTGACCTGGCAATCGCCGCCTGCTTTTGAAATGTTCTCCTTGATGTCCAGGATAGCCTGTTCGAGGCACGCGATACCTGCGTTCTTGTCTAGACATTGCGAGGTGAGGACTGCCGACATGTTAGTAACTGCTCTACTATCTGCGAAATATCTTCAAACATACCGTAAAGAGGTGGCGACACTAGCTTGACCTTGACCTGGTTCTCGGGTGTGTTCTTGGCCTCTGCACATCGCAGAGCCTCCTTGACAGCATCAATACCCTCGTATCCGAAGCACGTAACTGCAAGAAAATCAGCAACAGATCCACGCCCATAGCCACTATCCACATACCCTCGATATCCGAGCGGACCTTGGTGGGTTGTGGCGTCAACCTCTTGCCAATATAACTCTGGAGCTCCTCCTTGACAACCTCATTGGGGAACGTAACATCATTCCAGACCTCGGGGTTGGTAATGCTCAGCTTGAATGCATCAATCGAGTGTCCGTACTTCTTGTTCAGTGGCCATCCAATAGTCTGGTAAATCTCCTCAATCGGCGTCTGCGTCTTCTCCGCAACGTGGCGCATGATGCTGTGCACCATCTTGGACTTGTTGTACCGCTCCTCGCACTTAACGATGTCCTCGGGAGAGACACGGCGCTTTGACAAGTCAATGTAGCCCTTGTCCTTGTCCACACGTAGTACGACGACGACTTCGTTGCGGCCCACGCGAATCAGCTTTTGGATCGATCGGATACGTCGTCGCGACAGTTCAGAAAGAAGAATCATGCCATCAATGTTGTCTACATTGTGTTAGTTGGGGCTTCGTTTACTTGCACTGTTTGTGGTTCTTGAAGACCTACCATATTCCAGTAGCTTTACGTATGCACCCATCTCGGCGATCTGCTTGACATTGACCATGACGAAGCTCTCCACCTCAGGGTACTTCTCCTCGTAAAACCGGCAATTCGTGAGCGACATGTTGAATATGTTTCGTTTGATCGTCTTCTAATGTATGGATGGGTTGGGTTTGGTGAGGGACCGTGGGTTGTTTCGCTCGATCTCTCGCTTCGTGTGTGGTATCGATTTTTCCCTTTCAAGCCTAAGATGGTAGGTGAGGTCCAGGAGTAGTTTTTACTTTCAACCGGAAAGCAAAGATGGCAAAGTCGTGTGCAGAGTGGACCGTCGTCGATGTTGGGTAAAGTGACTCAAAGATTTGCCCAACCCACTGTGTGAGACCTTGGCCCCGCCGCTCGCGCGTGGGGCAAAATGCGCTAGTCTGGCTTGGGAAAGACAGTGTATAGTCGACGTCGCTTGCCTATGTGAGGGACTTGAGCGAGTGCAACACCCAAAAGAAGTGGTAAACAGAATGGGAAGGCGAGGAAGTTGTCACTTGGCTTGTATTAACAATGGGATTGTGGAATAACAAGTTGTCATTCCTTTCTTTATTTCTGAAAGTATCTACTAGAAGACCGTGTCACCCCCATATCCTCGATCCACCCTTCATCGAGTGAAGAAGATTAACCTGATTAGCACATTCCTTCCATTAACACCACCTCCAAATTATCAGTAAGATTGGAAATCAGCATACAAGATCTCCAATATACCCTCCCATCTAAGCCCCCAAAAGCGCCAAGACAACACTTCCAACAAGCACAGTACCAGCCATGTTCTTAGCACCCGTAGCAGCGTTGAACTCAGGCGAGGTATAAGGAGGAGAGTAAGAAGCACTGGGTGATGCACCGGTTCCCGTTGGGAACACAGTACTGGAGTTGGCGTGATGCGAGTGTGAGAAGGTAAGAGTAGGCGCAGCCACTGGAACCGTCGAGTTGACAGGGACGTTGTAAGGCGGCTTAGTCGTGGAGGTGGCGGTCTTGGTCTCGTGCAAGGTAGCAGTCGAAACAGTCTATTTCGTCAAAATTAGATCAATCAATAGCGAGACAGCGGGGTCCGTGTAAACAGAACAGGTGGCTTACAGTCGATTTAACCGGGATGAAGGAGACTTGGACAGTCTTGTCGAGACCAGAAGTAGCAGCAGAAGAGTGAGCAGTTGTGCTAGGGATTGCAGTCACAGTTACCGTGGTAGGAGGCGCAACTTGAGTCACTGTCGTCGTGTCGCACGTCTTGCTGTGCGCGTCCGGCACGCCGGAGATGAAGGTGACAGAGGTGACGAGGTGGATCGACGTGACTGCAGGAGCGGCTCCTGAGGAGAAGGCGGTGCTAGCAACAGCGACGTTGATGAGTGCCGTAGCGGCGAGGAGGAGTGACTTGAGCATAGCCATTGCGGTTGGTTGGTAGTGGTTTTGAACGAGTGTGATTGAAGACTGAGAGTAGACTTTTGATATTAACGAGAGTAACTCTGGTGGAGGTAGAGAGAAGAAGAGGATGTGGTCCGCCGCTGCGGGGTATTTATCGTCGAGGGGGAGCGTTTGCTGTGTGTGGTGGACCGTGCGGTAGTGCAGTGAAAGTGAAAGCAAAGACTGCTGGAACCTGTTGCGCGATAAGCTCGGAGATTAGAAAAGTGGCAGAGGATTTCCTAGTCAGTCGAGATGTTGCAAATTGAGGGTGATGGGCTGGACATGAATGGTCGTTCACTCAAACCAAGTACTAAGGTGGCTAGTAGTGTAGCACATCAGGAGTGCCCACACTACTCGAGCACAGCAAGTTGAGCTTTAAACAACAGACATAGTATTACTAGCTATTAGGAAATGTTGGTAAAGGCTAAAAATGCTCAGAATGAATGCTAGCCATCATCAAAACGCCAATGCCCTCCACTGTACAACAACATTCCAGTGTCCATATGATACAAGCATCCTGCATTACCTCGGAACCCACCTCGGTCCTCTGCGCCGTAACACACCAATTGCTATCCCAACTCCATATCGCTTACTGAATACTCTCTTCCAGTCTAAAGTCTGCGGCACCCCCCTGCACTCTTTCAATCTCATTCTGAATTGCCAGCACCCAATGGTCGCGCTCTGCACGTGACCGAGCCCTGAAAACTACGCTACGACCTTTGCTACCCAGCTTGGCCACCCTCTTCAGCTTGGTCCTCTTTCCTTCTTTTCGATTCTGTTCACCGCCCCCAGCGCCCTCTTCGGCACGGAACCAACTTTTGGCTTTTCCATGCCAGATGACAAACGTTGTCATGACGTCTTCGTCCGTTGATGTCCAGCCATCTTCGAGGTAGATGCGCGGAAGTGCGTGGTGCCCTGGCTTGTTTGCATCAAAAGTTTGATTTTGATATAGCAAATCGTTCTCGGTGAGAAGACCAGAGTAGATGTAGCAGTCTTTGAGGTCCAGATTAGCCATTCGCTCATGGTGTATATGCGCGAGTTGTTTTCCACTTCTGCTTCGGAGTACATCACGGAAGATGAGAAGTGTACCAGCAGTGAGCATGACGCTACACCGTGTAAAGGGGGCATGTATACGAGGCTTGCGGTAAAGCATTCCGCTCATGTGAATAGATCGGCAACAAGCGATGCCGCACATGTTGTAAAGCTCCGGCGAAGCAAAAGACTGCGTTACCTCCCATTTGCGAGCGAATTGACCAACATGCGCTTCAGTTTCTTCATCAATTCTAAGGGCACTGAGGTTATGACTGCGTGTAGATTTGTAGAGAGCAATATCAGATGCAGTGCGATGCTTCCAGTACTTGACAAGGGCGCGGAGATGCTGTATCCACTCTTTTCGACGGGCTTTATTCGCAGCCTGATGATCACGTTAGCACAGTATCCGAATAAACACCGTACAGACACATACCTGTAAACGAATGATGAGGCCATTCTTCATGACCAGCTCAAGGGAACGATCAAGATCCAGGTCATTAGTCACCCCGTCGTTGTTCATCGAGTCATCAATGTCTTCGTCAAAGTCCACGTCCGAGCCTTCCTCAAGGTCCTCGTCAGCAGCACTAGCGCCCAATCGGGCTTTGCGGACTTTGACGACGTCAATCAGGTTAATGTAACCGTCGCAATTGAGAAGATTCTGTTCTTTGCGCTCAGCCTCATCTGCTGCATCCTCATCGTGCAGTCGCCTGGCCTCGGTTGTCCCAGAGTGACCCTCTATGAGCCATTCAATCTGACCATGCTGCAGGCTGTATGGGTTTATTGCCCAGCTGTCTGGTACCGTGTCTCTAACTCGATCGGCTGTTGGCACTGCTGCGTTCCCTGAAGCAGGTAGCTTTGGCGGCGGCGGCGGAGTCGCTTTGGTCGGACGAGAAAAGACCAAGTACTGGTCATGACTAGCAAAGTACAGTTGTTTGTGGTACATGAGTCCTAGGCGCTTAGACCGACCCCGTTGTCCAGTAAGTCGAATGAGGAAGCCTTCAACTGGGACTGGCTCGGTCAGCGTCTTGTGCTTCTTTCGCGTAACGGCAGTTGTGGGGTAATGTGTCTTGGGTCGCAGTTCCAGCTCATGTGATTTGAGCATGGCAATAGTGCCATACATCTTGCGTTCGTTGGCCCCGTGTATCCATTCAAGCCGGTCGTAGCGCTTCCAGGCAAGACCAATGCGCTGGTCCTTCATCCATGATGCTAAGACATCGGCCCATTGTGGTTCGTCTTCCAGTTGATCCAGACAGCGTCGTATCAAATTCTCTGCAACAGCTTCCTCTTCTTGCATGGTTTTTAGGAGAGCCTCTTCGGTGTCATCTGCGCAGTGCACTTTATTCTGAGAAGATTCTAGCTGCGCAAAAGGATTTACTATGCTCACACTTAGGCTCATGTCGGGTATGTTGATTTGAAGTTCAGAAGCACGTTGCCAACCAAGTATGTTCCTGATGAAGGTATACCATTCGGCAGCGCTCGAGGCAGTGCGAGCTTGCATGATAAAGATCAGAGTCTCGGGACGTCGTGGCGTTGAGACGACGACAGTCTTGTCTAGCGCAGAATATAGATTGGCCTTGCTGGTCTTGCGACTGAGTGGAATTTCATATTCCGCCTTTTTGCTCGCGCCTGCATTTTCAATTTCTGGAATGACTCGAGTCTGGTAGAATTGCAGCACAAAATCAGCACCATCAACGTGACTGTGGCGGCAGACAACCATGTACTCGCGCCACTTGTTCTTGACGCGAGAAACGACCCTTTGGCTGACGTTCTCATCAAAATCTTCCGGAACCTCTGCGGCAGCATCGACACGAACAAGCATGCGCTCCATCTTGACAACGAGCCCCTCTTTGATATTCTTCCGTCGAACCCTGGTACCTGCTCGCTGGACCGTCATCTGCGCCTTCTTGGCTTTTAGGTGAACAGCTGCACGCCTCGAATTTTCCGGGACATCGAATTTGACTAGATTTCGCATACTCGACTTCTTGCGCGTCAACTCTCCTTGTGAGGCGTCTGCATCCCTTGCTTGCCCAGAGGAAGAAGATATCATTTCAGACTTTCTCCTGACCTTGGCCAGAATGCCTTTGGCGGGTGGATTTGGATTGACTTCAGCGAGAGCGGGTGCCTTGTTGGTGTCAGCGTTGGGCAACAGAGACGACGTTGAATTAGCATCTACAGAAGCAGCTCCAGTGGTTGACGTAGGATGTTCATGGCTCTCTATGCTGAGTAGCGGGCGCTTGCCTAGCGACTTTGATCCTGGTTCGCTTTCGTTCGAAGGGACTTGTAAGCCGTTTTGCTCTACCGGGTGTTGTTCTTCCAGCTGAGGGTCTTGGTCTTCTGTGATTTCACTATTGTCTGGCTCTGTTATTGGTATAGAGGACGCAGTGACGAATGTCTTTTCGCTTGACCGTCGTGTTGTTAGTGGAGGGGTGGGGATGTCTTGCTTGTGGCCGTGGTGGGCGTCGTCATCATCGCTGTCCCCATCCTCGTCCTCAGGCTCAGAAGGCGCGTCGACCCAGTGCTCTTCTTCCGCTTCCGTCACCACATCCTCTCTCTGCTCTGAACTGCGGGGTATTTGTAAGGCAGGTGGTGATGCCGCAGTCGCAGCAGCTTTTCCATTTGCGCCGCTTGCCTCGGACAACTGCACATCTCCCTTCTGCCCTACTTCTCGTTCCCTCGTCTCTTCCTCCTCGGCGTCGAGATCTTGAGGCTGAGGGAAGCTATGCTGGAAGAGGGCGGAAGAACTGGGGCCTTCAAGACCGCTTAGTCGTCGCTGGCGAGCGTCGCGGGGGTCCGAGGAAAAGGTTCCGGCGCGGGTCGAGTAGTTGATGCGCAGATGGTGCTTGTACCAGTCGCTTCGATGCTTGTTCAGCCATGCTGTCTAGGCGGAGTGTTAGTCTCTGCAGGACGCCACCGGGGCAGGCAGCTGGGGAGAGGGCGTACCGGGATAGGACCGATGAAGTAGCGCCTCGAAGTGAGGTGAAGGTGGTCAGGCGTGGCATGTTGCTAATTCTCGTACTCAGCCTGGGGCCTGCATAACATGGCAGGGATTGCATACCAATCTCTGCGCAGTATACGAGTCTGGCGGCAGGTTGGCCACCTCAGGCTTGTGCCATGAGTGTCGCTCCTGGGTGGGCATTGGACGTGGTCTCCTATATCGACTGGGCTGCTGGAGGCGCGCTGGTTCAGAATCACGGTAGGCAACTGGGACGCGACATGGATCTTCAAACAGAGCACACTCAGCAAAAAGAAAAAAGGCAATGCAAGATACACCTGCTTTTCACGTCTGCAGCTTCACATGGAGAGGGAGTGGCAGCCGCAAGGCCAGGCTAGCGGTTACGCGACTAGGGAACAAGCAGCAAGGCGGGTTTTGAGCCATCGTCATCGCCAGAGCACCCCGGTGTCAATCATCATCTGTGCCTCTAGCCTGTTTGGCCTTGACCCCAACAACCACTCGACCATCATCAAAAATTAGCAACATGAAAAGGGCCACTCCTCAGTACCTGCTGCACAAAGGCTAGCGCCGCGACAAATACGGCAGTGCAATGGAAAGGCACTGGGCGGCATAGACCGCTCATCCACCCCGCCCTTGGTCCCTACCCCACAGCATAATCTGGTTCCAATTCCACCTAGCGAACCGCCATCTGGCTGGCTCTAGCCAGATTCCAAGTTAAACTTTGGAGAAGCATAGCAATAGCATCGCTTAAATGCAGTGGGAGCTTGGTACAGAAAAGCGCATGCCAGGCCAGGCCTCCACCCGACCCCTATCATGTTTCCTTCCATTTGCCAAGTAAGATCTTGGTACTCCGACAGGTTTTGTCATCCAGCTACACGCATCCTAGGCAGAGTTTTATTGATCAGTTCAGTAGCTCCAAGCATTTCGCATTAGATGGTTTTATTCTCTCATCAACATGATTGCCTCGAAAATTGGAATAGAAATTCGAACTTGAACAAATCAGGCAGTTCTGACAAATGACACGACCAAGTTGTGTTCCATTCATGTTACAATCATGTCTGGCCCTATACTTACTCGTACTATTACCTAACGAGAGACAGCCCCTTTCCTTGCTTTTTCTCCAAGACCTCGTACTCGCGCACGGCCCCACGAGTCCTTTTCGCTGGCCTCGACAAACTCAAGAACCGATGCAACTCACATGCGACGTCTAGCCGGCAGCAATCTATTCCAGGGCGCTAACGACACTCAGCCCGGCAGTTTCACATCTCAACATACCTGTTACGGTAATTCCTCCAAAATCTGTTGATTCTCGTCTCGGATGATCTCCTTCGTGGCGCATGCTTGCGAGGGTCTTCCCAGTAACCACGTTGTCACCGCTGCCTTGTGCATCCGTGCTCTATAGCAAAGGAATCATTATCCTGCACTCCATCTGACTAATATCTCTGTTCCTTTGCTGATAAGAGATACCTTGTTGTCCACGGCTAGGTCCTGCATGATGCAGACCACAGCTTTCTATGTGGCGCTCAAATCTCTCCTCTTGAATCTACACACCACATCCGTCTGCACATTGAAAGAGCAATTGTGAACCTTCCACGGCCGGTTGTGTGCCATTTCAAAAGTAAATCGGCGCAAGGTCTCTGCCGTTACTTTGTAGATCTGTGTCAAGGCAAGCTATGCACTGTCAGCGCGGGCGTCTGATAGCCATGCCCAGAGCCACTCACAGGTTTGCCAACACACGTCCGCGTCCCGGCCCCCCATGCCAGGATTGCCCTGTCCATTGTCCGTGTGCGTTCTTTGCTCTCAAGCCATCGCTCAGGCTTAAACTCAAGTGCGTCCTCTCCAAAAATACCAGTGTCATGCTGGACAATCGCCGGATTCATGCCCACGGTATAGCCTCCTGGGATGTATTTGTCACAAAGCGTGAGGCCCTGACTAGGCGCGTATCGAGGCATTGACACTGAGAATGCGGGGAATAGTCGCCCAGCTTCTTTCACTACCGCTGTCAGGTATGGCAGTGTACATGCCTGACTGTATTGCACAGGCGATGAAAGGCTGCCATTCTCAAAAGCTGCATCAACCTCTGCACGCGCTTTCTCGAGCTTCTCAGGATTCTTCATGAGAAAATACATTACCGAGCGCATGTTTATCGATGTGCTGTCCGCGCCGGCCATGCTACGCTTCGTCAGCACAACATGTCGTACTTCCATGCCAAGAACACGTACATTCCTACCCACATATCGGACGTGATTTCCTTATGCGAGTAATTTACTTTCTCCCCCTTTTCTTGAACAATTGCTAAAAGCTGAGAGACTGCATCAGGCCGCTTTCCCGTCGCCTCAAGAGACCGCTCAGTCGCTACCTTGGTCTCTTTGATCGCCGTCTTCTTAATATCCTCCACCGCCAGCACAGCCCTGAGCAATTTCGGAATGCAGACAGCAATAAGAAGTAGAAAGGGCCTTGCATAGTACGGTGTCACCGTCAAGAGGGTAAGAAAAGGCATTGCGAGATGGACGGCATGAATGTAGCCGTTGTAGTCAACGCTATCACGCACAAACCCAAACGCTTGGCCGAAGAATGCCACTCCAATGTTGTCAAATGAGTACCTGTGTACCCATACTAGTCAGCAAGGACAGCATTTGGATTTTCGGTAATGCAACCAGAACTCACATCTCCAACCAGAGCCCAAAATCAAACGCCTCCCCACTCTCCGCAAATCCTCCCAACTTTTGCATAAAAAGCTCCAGCATCTCATCCAACCCCGCCTCACTCTTCAACACACTAGACAGTGAATACACGCCCCCTACAATCCGCCTATACGCTGCGTGCGCCCTTTCATCCGTCTGCGTAAACAAATCCGGCTGCGAGCCTAGTCCCTTTGGGCGCCACGGCACATACCAATCTGTTTTCTGCAACGCCTTTTGAACGGAGTAGATAATGGGCAGCGCGCTTGGATCCGCGACTGTGACTTCATCGGGCGCAATGCGTACAATGGGGCCGTACTGCGCGTGTAGGGCCCGCGTTGCAATGTCTATGTCACCGGTGTAGTGGTGATACATCAGCCATGTTCGCGATAAGCACGGCCAGAGGGGGCCGGGAATATGAGATAACGGGTGCAGATTTAGGGTGTAGAGGATCCAGAGGAGAGTGTATATGATGAGGAAAAGGGGGATGTAGGTGAGAAAGAAGGAAGGGACATCAATAGGACTCGGAAGCATTGCTGATGGTATGGTCATGATTTCTTGCACGGTTTTTCATGTTTTTTTAGAGATAATAGAGAGGAGAAGACCGGCAGTGGGGACTTCAGATTTGCTTTTATTTGGCTAAGTGGATGGAGCGAAGGAATACATGCATCTTGTAGCTTCCATTTTTCACCCGCTAATGAGCGGCACTTGCACTGGTTCTGGACATTTGGTCCGCGGTGTATCAAGATCGCCAATCATAGCTTGGAAACAAGTATTGTTGGATGATAATGCTTGTTGCTTCTGTAAATTGGAATGAACTACAGAGGAAGGAGAGATGCGAGTCGTGAGACTTGAGGCTGATGTCGCCAGGCGAGTCAGTATTTGAGGTGATGTCAAAATGTACCAAGCTATATGTGGCTCATCGATACGACTTTCTATCTGCTCTCTTCTGAGCCCACATGCACATTTCAAGAACGCGTTTTGTCATGAGCCGCAGTCTCTTATACTAATATCGCTTGGAATAAACAGAAAACGCGCACGCCTACTAACCCTCAAAGAATCTCAACAAAATAAAACAAAAGTCTCGCCTCCGGAGAAGTAAAGAAACCCTTTGTGATCTCGCTCGTGTACAAGCTTTTAGGGTCCTCTTGATATCGCACATCAATGCTGACAGACAGTCGCGCTTCATCGGATGCTTCTTGAAAGAGCTGTCGCAGTGTGTCCGCCGAGTGGATGTAACGTTCCACATGTACGCCGACAGGAACCAGTGGAGGTGGAACAGGGACTGAATGACCTTGTAGACCACCAGTAAGCAAACCTGCTATCCAGCTACCTTTTCCACGTGCTAGTTGGAACATGAGCTTTATTACTTGCTTCTGCTTCGCCCAGTCAAACGCATGCAACAGCTGCGCAGAAGTCACGATATCCCAAGAGCCTCTGGTCGTGTCAAGGACACCAGCTTCTTCCTCTCCAAAGATATCTGCAGTTTTGAAGCATGATTTGGTGACTGCGTGGTCTTGAAATAGTTCGTGGCCGACAGTCAGGAATTGCGGAAACTTATCTACTCCCAGAAGCTGATCAGGCGATGCGCCATCGTATATCAGCTTACGTATATCTTGACCAAGGCAAGTTCCCAGATCGATCAAGGTCGGCCGGAGACTCTCGCTTCCAAGTGTCAGCCGTTTGACGATGTGATTGTACATTGGATGTTCAGCGAGCCCAAGGACAAGGAACCAGAATTCGCCAATTGTTCCGATCGGTAGGGCCTCAAAGGCTGCGTCACGCTGAGTTACTTCCATTAGCATGCCTCGAGATACCAAATGAAGTACTTACGATCCGGTGGATATGTTCTTCTTGAATGTATCGTGGAACGCTCCCATACTCTTCCAACAACGTTTGCATCGATTCGTTGAGCTTGTTACCTATTTCCGGCATATACCACGGCAAATTTTTCAGTTCACCGATATCGCCAGTACCTTCGGAAGTGGAGTCAAGACTATTCTTCGCATGATGCGATGCCATGTTTCGTTCGAGCGCCATCAGTTCCAATTTCCAAACAAAAGCACAGCTCAGAAGCCATGCAATCGAAGCCAACGTCCAAGTAGTCGGGTGGTCTTGTAAAGATTTTAAGAACTCTTCGTTTGTGGTGTTCATGGCAAAAAGGGGTTTCGAAATGCTTGGAAAGGAGAAGTGGCAACAAAAGACTGTGCCGCTGGCGATCACCTGGAGTACCCAGTGTATGCGGGCTTGGTCATCACTGCACAAAACACGAGGCCGGTTATTATTGTCTCACTCTCCATCACCACACAGCTTCATGAGTTTGCCTCCTTCAAGGAATAGGCGTTGGAGCCTGGCGTGGGGGCCAACAGGAGATTCAGCCAGTTCACTTACAAAAAGTATTTTAGGACTGAACATGATTCGACTGCGATTCTGCCTTTGAAATCAGCCTTGTGTCTCCTCCTACGGTCCCAGTGCTGTGGTAACACTTGCAGGTGGTGTTACGACCTACAGTATCTTCTGCAGCTGCCCAGCGTACACAGGGATCTCGCGTATTCTGCCACAGCAAGGACAAGTCCCGTTATGCAGGGTAAGGATTATACAGCGCTAGACAGACATACGTGGCTAAGCGTACATGAGAAGCAATGCCGAAATGAATCCTGTCTGATTCTGTGCAGCCCAATTTCAGGCATCGATAAGACAAGATCGAATAAGATCAGAATACTGGATTCTCACCCGCAGTATCATCCGACAGCTCACGGGCATGAAGAGAAAATTTGTAACCAAGTATAGACTACATGTCACAGCTACCATCTCATTCAACTCAGCTCACGGCCCTTGTTTGTCGCCTTCGAATACGAAAAGGTGTTTTGGCTGCAGGCTTACTGACTCCTGTGCCAAAGTGACTCGACTTGACCGGCATCTCACACCGGGGGTCGCACAATTCAATGTCAAATAGGGATGTCAATACAGTCGTCACGATGAATGTTTCTGCTTTTGCCAGCTTGCGACCAGGACACATTTGCGCACCGCCACCGAACGGGACGTATATGCCATCGAGACCCTTTGCGGAAAATTGCATTTGGTCGGACTCGCAGGACGTGGGGCAAGTGTCTGGTGGCTGTTTTCCTGGTGGATCGACAGAGGGAGAGGCGTCTGCATCAAGCTTACATGTGCCCCGCTCCGGACCGTTACTGGAGATATCAATTGGCATTTTGAGAAAACGCTCCGGCACAAAGTCTGTCAGTGGGTGTGCCGATGCAGCATGGCTATTCGTCTTCCATAGCGCAGCGTCCAAATGCGGCACAGATGAGCAGGTGAGTAAGACACTGCCGGCAGGGATCGACCACTCATTTATCTCCATGTCGCGAGTGTCGACAAATCTGGTAATAAAAATATGGGTCCGCAAACGGAGCGTCTCTGCAAAACAAGCTTGGAGGTATGGCTGAGTGAGTAGGGCCGATAAGTCGAAATCAAGTAGTGGTGTGCCTTGAATTGCGTGGCTGTCTTTGGTGTTGTGGCTGCTGGTTGTGCGTCCTGCATTCAAGCATTCAGCTCGGATACGCCTCAGCCGTTCCCGAGAGCGGAAGATCTCGACATTCAGCCAATAAATGGCGGAAATGGTGTTGGAGTTCGAACTAGGAGGGTGGTCAGCGAAGGAGCAAAGACAGCCAAAAAAGTGAGGTCTGCAATCGCCATCACACGGCGCTTACAAGCCAATTTTCCCTTGTCTTGCAATCAGTAGGCTGGAGAAACTTACGCCCATATCAAGCCTAGATCTGACGCCGCGATCGCTTGCACAGACCATCCATCGACGTCGAGCAGATCCATCTTTGCCATCATCGACGGCGAGGCGTTATCCGCCTCGTCACCATGACTCCCCTGCTGCTGCTGCCGCCGTCGCTGCAACAACAACCTCCGCCACTCCACCAGACTCCCCAGTAACTTATCCCTGACCCTATAGGCCCCCGGAAAAAACCAAGCAGGTGCCCCTTTGGTAATGGCAGGTACCCACTCATCAAACGACCAAAAGTCGCTAGCAAACTCCCCGTCCACCTCGTCCACAAGTAACCTGCCACACAAGGCCTCAATCGCAGCAGGCGTAACCTCCCTCGTGAGAAACTCCCACAAATCACTTTCTTCAACCCACTCTTTTCCCTCGGCTATGTCTTCCCATATCCGCATCATCCTCTTTTCAAATGCACACTTAAATCTGTCAATTACGCCTGCTACTTCACTCCCTTGCAGCATGTCCAGCAGAATCTTCCTGTCTCGATAACAAATCCTATTCTTCCCCTCTACGCGTGACCCTGGCAGGGGAGTAGCAGCGTACCCCGAGTCGTCCTGCTGAAATAGCTGTGCAGCGCGCTTGGGCATGCCGAAGAGCTGGCTTGCGATGAAAGTCTGAGCGTGCGAGGGATTCGTGTGCGAGCTGGATTTTAGCAAGCGGCGGATGTTGTGGGTGCCTTGGATTAGGATTGGGTTGGTGCCGGGGAGGTGGAGGCGGACTGGGTGGCTGATTTTTGTTGGTCAGTTTTGATAGCACTGTGACTTTGATGTTGAAAGCAGTACATAGGGGGGGGAGGGGGAAGTAGATGAGTGACATACGTGATTCCGGCCAATAAGGCATACGGGTCTGTGAGAAAATAGATTGCATGTCCAATCAACGGGAGCCTGTACGAGAGCCATGGCGGTGTCCTTTTCTGGCTTGTTTTTGGGACGAGCATGGTGGAGGAGAGGAAGTAGTGGTGTGTGAGTAGTATCACAGCTGTAATAAAAAAGTGTATCAAAAACGCCATTATGAATTTTCTCTTCGGCAATATAAGAATATCAAATAAGCAGTACAAGTGTACTCTGCATGGGAATGATCATGTTTCCTTTGGAATCAATCCCACCTTTTATATCTGGGCACTGCCCTTGGGGGCTGGCGGTATCTCTACCGGAGATAGACGGGAGGGGATATTGGATCGGGAAGGAGTTGGAGTGGAGGGTGTGACGCTGTGCCATGTTTACGTCAGAAAGTTACCCTTTTTTTCTTTATACACGGTATGAGACAGGGCTTTATTGGTTGGTGTGATAAGGAGGCATATAAGACAAGTGATGCCTTGTATCAAGGGGTGTGAGTGAGTGAGATGAAGTCATCACATCAGTGACATTTCATTGCACAGGTGTGCGAGGTAGGCAGAAATGCAAGGGAGCGTTGGATTTCATTGGTATAGTATGCAGATTATCATCCTTCTTTTTTACAGTGAATTGATTATTTTTAGAAAGGAGTGAGAGTAGGATGCAAAAGAGTGGTCTACTGCACACCGGAAAATGAACCACACAGTGTCACACGAACCGCAGCCTACGCAGTCTTACCCCCTTTCTCAGCTTTGATTTTCGGCACTGCCCATTCGATTGCCTTTTCCCAGCCCTGCCTGTTGTTGAATTTGGGTCTGTATCCGAGTCTCGTTTTGATCTTGTCGATGCACAGCGTTCGCTCCATGGTCAGGAGACGTATAACCCACGGCGTGAGCTGGGGCTGCTTGCGGCCGAGGGAGAAGATCCAGTAGAGCCAGGAGCTCAACAAGGCGAAGGTCTTCATGAACCAGATGGGAATGCTTCTGACTTGCTCGTCTGGTACTGGGGAGCCGAGGAGCTCGGAGACGAGGCGGGAGAGGTTCCAGAAGGGGATGTGCTCATCGTTTGTGACGAAGAAGGCTTCACCTTCGATTTTCTTGTCTGCGGGGAGTGGTTCGGATGTGGAAGCTTCAATGAGCGCTTTTACGATGAGTGTCTGAGCGTAAGTACAGTTCTCCACATAGCATGTATCGTAGAGGTACGATTTGTTGCCGAAGCGGATGTTGGCGCGGCCGGTGAGAGCTTGCCTGGTGACATTGGTGGTCATTTGGCCATCACCAGGGCCATACAATGCGGCAGGCCGGATGACTGCCGTCAACATGCCATTTTGGCGGTTTGCAGCGAGTACGAGCTTCTCGGCGAGTGCTTTGGTGTGCGAATAGTATTCTGGCTGGTTGGGAGAGAAGAGTACGGGCCAGTCTTCGGTTGCTTCGATCATGGGATCATGCTGGTTGTGGACAACTGATGAGCTGGATGTGTACAGGAACGCGCGGACGGTGCCGATGGCTTTGGCACATTCGACTATGTTTTCTGTTCCGACTACGTTCACCTTCTCCAGAACCGAGCGGTTGACTTCGAATGGGCTGGGGGAAATCGTGTGCAGGACGACTTGAGGTTTGACTTGGTCGAAGATCTTGGCTATCTCATCGCGCTGGATGATGTTCGCGGTGAGATAGGTGGCGTCTGGATTGCGATTGCGCTCAGTGTTTACATCGACGACGAAGATCTTGGGGGTTGGCATCGCGCGAGCGAATTCCCGGACGAGATTGTGTCCAAGGAAGCCGCATCCTCCAAAGATGAGGACTGGGCCTTCAATTGGAATGTCGCTCATGATGGAGGTTCTTGATGGCCAGTGGGGTGAATTGAGTCTTGTGGTGCAGTCGTGGAATCAGTATCTTGACTGATGGTGTGATGGTGAGAGAAGAGGATTGAAAAGAAGCTTTTAGCAAAGAAACCGCAGCGACGCGGTCAAGGCGTGGCAAGGCAACAGCGACCCAGCAATTCCCACACAAAGTGAAGGAGCAAACGCAGTGCAGTCTCTCCAATCACAGCCAATCATACGATGCTGTGCCGCAAAGTCCCCAGCCCCCCTTTCACTTGCACAAACGTCGGACCACAAACTAAGCGAAAACAAGTCTCTGGTACGTACTCCCTTCTAGATCCGCATTGAGGCCACGCAAGCCTGACAAGAATAGGTGCGCGAGGGTATGCTAGGGGGAGCCCTTTGATCAAAGGAAGACGGTGCAGCCCCAGGATCCACACGCACACTCAGTCGACCAACGCTCTTTGGCGGGCTTCTCAGGTGGGGGAACCCCCGTCCCGGAAATACCAAAAGAGCGGGCCCCCATGAAGTAACCACGGCGCAGCGGGATTACAGACGCAGGCTAAATTAAATGCATCAATTAGCCCGCGATAAGCAGCAGGAGGCAAAAAAGCTTTCATCCTGAGCTTCATGCTGTGCCACATTGGGTACCGACACACTGTTTCTCATAAGCACAAATGCTGTGGCGGGGTGTGTGTGTGTCCAGCGCTAATGCTCAAAGAGACATTGCTCACTACTGGAGCGATGCCGTGGGGGCGGTCTCGCAGCATCGGGCGCTGATGGGGCATCGCATGGTTATTGGATGGATGGCAGCGGGGTCTCAGAGCTTGTGATAGCATCATGGTCGATTTAAAACTATTTGTGGATGAAGCTTGTACGCTGCGAGCAGGCCTGGGTTGCATTGCGTCTGGCCACATGGACCGGTGAGGGTGCTACTCGGCCAATCTCATTCTCTTTCCAGCAAACTTGGATAGCTGTCTGGTTGTATTATCCTTGCTACTCTTTTTCAGTTCCAAAATGTCTACTGGTATCATGGAGAAGGATCTGGTAGCTCAGCTGCAATAAATACGCTTCTGAATTGATTCAACGAGGGGTATTGTGTAAGAAATGAACGAATTTTAGACCTAATACACAAGTCCGTCGGCTACTTGTAGTTGGCCAAGAAAAATTCTTGGGCCAAGGTCTCCAAAAACCTCTTGGTTCCAAACTTGGGCAAGCATACAAGTTGGAGCCAACCTCCTGATCAATATCATCGCAACAGAGACCTACCGACTATATGCGGTAGAGGGTTTCGCAGGCTCAATGTAGTCTTTAGGAGTCGTAACAAACTGTAGTGGCACAATCTGAGGCTTTGAGGCGTTGCGGTATGTTTTGTCGTGATATACATCTGAGAGCGAGTCCTTCGACGGCGTCCTTTGCCCGCTGCTAACCAACCTTGTCCGAAGGCTGGAAATTCCGCTTCTGCTGCGCTTTACAAAAGCGGGTGCAAACACCAGACAAGGCGCAATAATGACTGTGTTCATCTCCACAATCGTCATCTCCGAGGTCAGAACGGCCGCCCAGAAATGATCAGACTCGTTGAGATTCCGAATCGACCAACCCATGCGAACAACACTGACAATACATGCCCTTTTCCACGATTAGCTTCGTTTCCTGAAATGATACAATGTTCGAAGAATGTCTTACACTAGACCTACTCCAAAAACAGCACCAACTCCAAGCTTCCTCCGGAAATCCATATTCAGCTTCCACACCTGCTGCAGCGGGATTACCAGAATGTAAAAGTCGATAAAGACATTGACAGCAGCTTGGATAGTCACCACCTTGTTGACTGCTTTACAGAACTGGTTCGTCACAGCCGACACACCCATGCAGAGCACTGCCTGGGCAATCTCGTGGCCCATGAACGCCGCAGATGTAAATAGCGTTAAGAAGATACCAAAGTAGATGAGATGGCGGGTGAATTCGACGACGTTGAAGAAGCGGAGGTAGAGCAGCAGGACGGATAGTTTGGCAAAGCAGATACCGACAATGTATAGTGTGGATAGTTGGTTGAGTTGCTGTAGCAAGTTAGATATCAGTCATAATCTCTATGTAGGAAGAAATAGGAATATACCAGTAGCCTTGAATGCGTTAAGGTGACTGCGCGAATATCCCAAAGATGCCTTCCATATCCAATTCTGAGACCTGATCCTTTTCATCAGCACCATACCACACAACACCACAACGGTCATCACTCACCCGAAATCATAAGGCCGCTATGCGCAGCCGAAGCCATCGTCGCAATAATACACATCACTATCCCACATCAGCACCAACACAAGAACAAAAGAAACTCTTTTTTCTTCGCCTCACCTCCATCCCAGCCAACTACATCCTTAGACGTACGCCGCGCCACAAACCGCACCACCACCGCCAACACCGTTGCACTCAAAAACACGGCGTTCATAACAATCAACTCCATATCGCGAGTCTCCGGGTTCACAAAATTCGACGTCTGCCCCTCGGGCGGCGGCATCGCAGGTAAGTTCCAGATGTAACCCGGCATACCTCCAGGTCCCGTCGGCAGCGCAGCATCCGGCATCGTCATCGCCATCTTGAAACGTCTTGACGCACTCTCTTTTGCGTACTCTGTGAAAGAGAGAGAGAGAGAGAGAGACGTGCGAAAGGGAAGGAAGTGAGAATGTGATAGTAATAGAACCAAAAAAAATGGTCTTTCGTCGTTTCTCCGCTCCAAACTCGTGACAACAACAACAACCAAAAAAAACAGAGTGACAAAACTTGCAAATGCTTTGCTTCCAAAGGGGGGGTGGGGGGGGGTGGTTCTCTCTTCTCCTCGGGGACCGAGCAAGTTTTACAAATGAAGCATATTTTCCTTCGTTCAACCCTTTGCCACCAACTTTCCCCGTTTATTTACTTACTACAGGCTTTGTACTACCTCGTTTTCTTCAAAACTAGGCGTCCAATCCACCCCGGGTACCAATGAACGTTCGGTTTTGGCGCGCGTCGGGAGCTCCATCCTAGTCTATACATCCATGTTGAACTTTGCATGTGCTTACTTATTATATATTGACGGGTATTTAGCTGATAGGGGGGGGGGGGGGAGGGGTGGGCGTGATGGGCGGAGGGGGTTTGATTGCACAGTCATCGGCGCACAGCTTTGATGCATGTCAGACGAAGTGTGTGGCCTTGGTATCTTTTTGCGCCTCCCCGAAGATAAAGTCACTCCCTTCTGTGGGTGGGTACCGTATTTGGTTACAACGCCGCTGATTTCCCTTGTGATGTTACGTTTTCTCTACTCTTGCGACTACGCTAGATACTCTGGGATGGGGACTGTGTGGTCTTTGTACGAGGGAGTGCGGGTGTTAGTCTGTCATGTCCCCGCGCTGGTGTTACCCCCCCTAATATAGGATCTGTTTCGACCGTTGCAATAACAAGTGCCCAGAACCTGAATCCATAGAGGAGAAAAGGAAACAAGAACACTGGCGATGCAAAATTTGTCCATGATTTACTGACGCGATGCTCGAAGCGTGGTAGGCATTAACAAGGCTAATGCACTGTCAAGCACGTGATGCAATGACACGTATTAACCTCACGTAGTAAAAGGAGAAACTACAGTTTAGTACACAAAGTGAAGTCCAGCAGCACTTCAAAGACGCGTAAAGATAAGATATTGATATTGCAAATAAACTAATCACAAACTCCAAATTGTATGTGCGGGTATCATTCAAAGAAAATCAAAACCGAAAACGGGAAAATCACTTTGCTGCGCCTGGGCTATTCCGAGCTGGTGAAAGCATATTGGGAGCAAGGGTGACCTTGAATGTTCGTAAGTGGGGTGGGTCAGAAGCCTGAGTTGTCGAACTTGACTTCTGTGATGCACCGTTTGACACGTGTTCAGCGACCTCACTGTTCTCCCTGGCTACTGCATTCTTTGAGGGTGTGCCGTTGGCATCTACCGACACATCTCGTTGTCGCTGCGCTGGTGTCGGCGTTTCTGGTGTGAGAGGACTACTGTGGTCGGACATAGGTTGTGGCATGACTTGCTTGCCATTTTTCCACTGCTCAGTGGGTCGGTTGAGGGTGGCTGGGGTAGTGTTGGCCGACGATGCAGCCACAAGCTCGTCTGAAGATCGTTTTGTTTGCGAAAACGATGGCGATGGGTTGATGTGCGAATGAGATAGTCCAAAGACTGTGACTTTAGAAGTCGCGACTTGCTCTTCCGAATATAAGTCGTTCTTCTCGGAATCGGCGGACGGCATACCGAAATCGTCTGGAGTTTCGGGTATAGGTCCAATGGTGCTGCCTCTGCCAGCTCCTCCTTTTGCCCACTCCCATATACCGCGGCGTAAGGGCGTTTGATATAACGGCTGCACAGGTCCTCCTTGACCCTCACCGTCGACTCCATCAATGACTTGGCTATCCTTCATCAGGCGATGTCTGTCTTCTAAGCTTTGGAGGCGCTCGTCGAGGGCTGGGTATGGCTCGTATGTCCTCGTCCCGTTGACTTGGAACCGTTCGAGGCGTTTTCGATCCGGAGGCGTCACCTTGCGCAGCCTTTCCATGTCCTTCTCCCTGTCCCGAAAGGCGTCTGGATTGGGCGGTTGAGTAGCGACTGCCATTTCCTTGGATGTACCAACTGTCGAACTCGCCGGACTTGTCAGGCAGCGGCGAAGAGGATTTTTGCCGTGTGGGCGAGCTGGCGGGGGAGGAGGCAGTGGAGAATGAGGGGTCGGCTCTGTCTGGAGATGGGGGAGGGGAGGGCGGTTCGGCTGGACGGAGTTTATGTATGGGACTGATTTGACGGATGACTGGGCGGTCCTCTTCTTTGCTGGTTAATTGGAGTTATTACGGGGGTTGTACAATTAAAAAAAGGGGGTAGAGAAAGGATGGTGAAGCTGTAAATGAACTGCAGACAAAGCAGAGCTACACACCTTGCTTCCCTCGAAGTTTCTCCTTGACGTAACAGTTGGGTGCGGCCTCATGGTCGTGATAGAGACACTCGTTTCCCTTGTCTGTTGGGTCGTCAAACAACATGCCGCCAGTGCCAGACCGGATGGCCTTGACCAGATCAATGGCAAAGTCAGGATTGTTGGTGAAGCATTCGCGGTACGTCTCAACGTCACGCTCATTCGCGGGGTCCATGATCTGGCGAGCGGCAATGCGCGTCATCAGGCGACGAAAGGGCGAGCCGACCGGGCTCTTGCGGTAGATGGCGTCGATCTCGTCGGGGTCGGGGACCAACTCAGCCTCATGTAGGCCTTTTCTATACTGATCCATGGCCACATTTTTCAACTGGGTCATGCTGAAGCGCTCACAAAGGAGGTAGAGCTTGTGGCAGCTCACAGCATAGTCGTACTTTTGGTTCTCGTCGGCCATGTCTGACACGTCGTCCAGGCTGCCTTGGTAGAGCCATTTGACCAGCAGCTCGAAGCCGGCCGGGTCATGGTCGGGCAAATCGAGGCGGTCTTTCCTCGTATTGCCGTTGGCATCGCCCAGGAGTTCATTCTCAAGGGCCTCGGAGTGGTGGCACAACAGGTTGCGGTGCAGCGCCCAGTGGCGCTTCGACTCGCCTACGTATATATCGATCATGGGTCCAGAGAGTAGTCTATCGCGTTGCAGCTTAGCTAATGCTCGTACGTGTAGATGATGAGAGAACAGGCGATGCGTCAGGGCAGGGCGCACTGCGATGCACTGCGCGGGTGGCTGTGACTGTTGCGCCGGCGAGCATTGCGACACCCCCGGAGACGGCGCGCGTTGGATCAAGTCGGCCATGTCTCGCTCTTGTGTCCGCGACGCATCCGCCTCATCGCGCCGGTGGTCGAGAAAGGGGTCATCTACGTACTCAGCAAATGTCGGGGCGGGCACATGGCCAATGCTACCAGTAGCCATTCGCGATCGACGGGAACCTGGAATGGCGAAATCACGGTGGTAGACTCTTGGAACCTGCCCCATACGGCGCGACGGCGGCGCTCATAAAGGCAAGACAGCTGGTGCGTGTGACAAGGGCGGTCAAGACGTGGATGTGGATGCTGTGAGTTGTCGTGATGATGTTGTCGCCGTGCTGTTGACGTGCTGAGTGGAGATGGCTGGGGTGGCTCGCCCTCGTGTCGAAGCGTAGCGCGGCCAGGCACAAGGAGATGCCGTTGTCTTTACACCTGGTCCTCGTCGGCCCCACCCCGCGAGCAACACTTGCAGACCGACTGGCCTAGACGACTACAGTCTGTGACACTAGTTTCTCCAGCCTTCTTTGCCCCTGAATGACTGTGCATGCTTTCTTTTGCCAGTTGCTTTTTGCGTTGGCGTTCAACGATTACCCCTCAGTCAGAATGCGACCAATCCGCCTGCTCACTGACCGTCTCCCGTAGATCTATCAGACGATGCTGGAGGAGATCATGCTCATCGGCTTTGGACGAGTAGTTGAGGGCAAAAAGAAGACGTCTAGGACGCCAGAGAGTGCACAGTGTTAGCAGTTTCCCAGCCACTAAAGGCGTGGCACCATCGCCTTAGCATGGCACGCGCCACACATGGGCCTGCGCCACACCAGCCCCGCCAAAAGCTACCCCACGCCATCTCCAGCTACCCCACCAGCAGCTTGTAATGCTACCTCGATCTTCGTATTCCACTTCCTAGCACATGACGACTCTTTGCATTGTCGTGTCCTTTGAGAAATGCCATCTCGCTCGTTAACCGACATCATTCATCGCTCGGCCGCATTCCGTTTTGGCTCGCCATGGATGTGCGTTTGCCCGTCCTCTTACCGTTTGGTCTCAATAGAGAATTGCAATCCTTGTTCGCAGAAAAATATGGTGTAAGAAAACAGCACGAGCCATTACATTTCCATGTCCTGTCTTTACGCGAAATATCAGCGTTGCAACGTTCACGCGCCCGCAAGTTGACTTTTCAAGCGCCATCTATCGCGGACTCTGCTCCAAAGAAACACCATCGAATCCGGAAACCCAAGAAGATCAAAATGGGTCGAAAAAGCGGCGGAGAAAAGCGCAATCACTCAGCGACAATACCTAGACCACCCGTGTCTCTCTCGACAGTCCCCAAGAATTCTCTGAGATTGACGCGCGACACAAACAGAAACCTAGAGGCTGACGCGGATCGACGCTTGGGAGCCTCTCGCGAAATCCCAATTATACTTGACGGCGATTCAGCCAAGTCAGTGACATCAGGCAAATCGAACCCTAGGATGCATGGCGCAAGAGGGTCTCCTGAACTCATCTTGCGCGATATCTCACCTATGATGGCAGATATTCCGTTTATAAAGTCGCCTGGTGATCGCTACGGAGCCACGAGTAGTGAGGAGAAAGACATGACATTGGTAGACATAGACGACTTCGAGATGAGAAAAAAGGTCGCGCAGTTGATGGCCGTGGCGCCGGCACTACCCGTCAGAGATCTATATCATCTTATCATCGATAGTGAGGGCCGTCTTTCCAAAGCCCGGAAAAAGGCCATCCGGATGAGCGAGGCACCAGCTATACTGCGCACGACCACACAACTCTCCTTACAACCACGAACACTTACCAATAACTCAGATACAGAAGGTTTCATAGTCAATATCAGCGACTCGGATACACCAAAAGCAACGGTTAAGATAGAGCCGAGTGACCCCGTCTTCAAGTGGGATGAAGATGAACCAGCACCAGAGCCACCACCGATGGTAAAGCCTCGCCGGTCAAAGTCAACCGCTAAGAATAAACAAACAAAAAGTGCACACTCACATCATTCCGCAAAAGAACTAAAACGCAAGAATTTAGCCACTCAGACACCGTCATCTCAAAGTAAAAATCATGCAAAAGTATCACATTCCAAACGCGCAACCATACGACAGACCAGCAGTGACCGCGACTTCGTAGTAGCTGATGACGTGATGCATTATGTTTCGGACTTTAACGACTCTGACGACTTTATTCTTTCGCGCAATGTTATTATACCCAGCAGGACCCGGAGACGGAGACCCAGGTTGAGTATGATTTGAGAAGTCACGGAACTTTATACCAGATCGTCGCTTAGCAGCATTGACTAAAAATCGCTAGAAAACCGCCCGATGATTGAAGACACGGGTGGAAGAAGACCATATGTGTTCAACAAGGCATAGCGCCAAACCGCTTCCCGAGAAAACGGGACGAGCCGAATACGACCGAATGACGGAATGCAGCAAGGCGGTTTACCGAGAAAAAAAGGAAACCCAAAACTTAGTTAGGATAGGCAGTACGGGATTAAAATAGCATGTGAAAATCTATGGTTGCAAATCCTTGCAAAAAAACACGCTTCTCACCCATCCCCTCCCCATGTCCTCTGCCTCTCCCCAACTAAACGCCCACCATCCACAAAAAAAAAAGAACTAAACTTCCCTCACACTCTCCCGTCCCTTCTGCTCCCGCACCCCTAAGAACTCCCGAAGCTGCATTTCCACATCACCGCCGTGTCGCTGCCGATCCATTTCGCGATCTACCTGCCTGCTCTTTTTGACGTATAGATGGACGAGCGTCGCACAGAGCATCGGTCCGAAGATGCAGATGGGAATGAAGAGTGAGAGCGGCATGTTTCCAATCATTATATCTTTGGATTCGGGGGTTGCGGCGCTTGGAAGGAGTGGCACGGGTACATTCATAGTTGTGTCGCTTGGGATGAGTGAGATGGGTACGTTCATGGCTGCGGTGAAAGGCGTGCCCTGAGTTTTTGGAGATATAAGCGTTTGTAGTGATTGTAAAAGTAGTAAGAAAGTTGAAGAATTTGAGGTGCTTATGATTATGACTGAGAAATGGATCATCGAACTTACGCTCCATTTTAAGTACGTTTATGGACTTGTTGGTGGTGGAAAGATGAGACATCTTACAGGAACAACAAGAGTGACTCTCGTGGTAAGCAAACATTTTTAGACCTTACATCACAAAGCGGAGTATCATGCGCTGTACATGTAGATATGATCCCGAGACATGGCTCAACGATACATCCCAGTCGAAGTGTGGGCTCTTCCGGTAGAACTGGGTACATCTCCGTTATCCTCGATGCCCTTCGTATTCTTCATATCACCATCCCATACGCTGTAAGAGAAGTTCTTAACATTGTTGGCGTGCTGCTTGTTGTCGGGCAAGGTCGTGATGACTAGGTGGATTCTTGCATGACCATTGCAAGGTGAGGATTAAGATATGGGATGGTGAATTTGCCCAGAACGAGGGGGTAGCTGCTTGTTTCAGACCAAGTTGATTGTGGTATTGGTATTGATGACGGCGTACATAGCTGGGTTGGTAAGGGCCAAGTGATGTTGCTGGGTTGTGAATAAGCGGGAGATGGTGAGTTCGAGGTGTTTGGAGATACCCAGGTCGTAGTACCATCTAGGATGTTGGCTTCAGATTTTTCTTCTCTTCTAAGAGCTGGTGAGGAAGATAGGAATAAACTCACGACTGGGTTTAGTTGACGGCTGTGAGTTCAGAGACCTGGGGCGGGTTAGTAGCATTTACTTGTGTCTTCTTCTCTGCGTGTAGAGGCGCCCATGGTTTCGCCTTGGGTTCTTTGATAGTCAAGGCAGATTCAGTGAAAAAAGACTGAGAAGTCGTCATGCCGGTTTGTTTGTCGAATGTACTTCGTGCGAACGGTCCGTCGTATTCGAGAAACTGTACAGCAGAAGCGCTGATTGCGCCAATTTAGTTTAAAGTGGTAAGATACAGGATGCATGTTGGACTTTGATTCTAATAAATTTTGCATTTACTTTGTGTCAATCATTTAACGTCCAGCTCTGCGGTTGCTGTGGGGTGAAAAAAAGACTTAAACAGCTCCCTGTAGAGAGTCAATTAGAGGTAAAATCATGAATGAAGTGTCATAACATCCACCTGCGAACAAAGGTTCTACGGTGACAGTCTGTCTAAGGCCAATCTTAATCAGGTCTTCGAGTAAAGATCGCAATACCTACTCAGAACACCAACGCGAAGCCCTAGCATGTTTGGGATCACTTCGCTTAAGACTACCAAGTCGATATCGCAACACACGTTTGAGAATGTGAACCGAAAAAGCCCACACTCTCTCGGGCGAGAGACCCACTGAAAACACCCCGCGTCATCAACATGGAACACTCCGCCTTGGACTGCGTATGTAATCCCGTCATGTGTCTGTTAATGCCGAGATCTTTTCGCTGGCAATGATCACATTCGTTTTTGAATTTTTAAGAAATGATGCTGCACTAAATCTATCACCATTGCGATGCCTGACGGAATACCGCGGCCTTTATTTAGGTCATACATGTCGCAAAATCGATTGTCGATGATATCAAAACTCTATTCTGGGGCCCCGGTTCTACCAGCACTGTGTCATGGTAACGTGGGGTTTGACGCACCCGGTATTTTATTCAGAAGAAACAGATGAATTACTCTATCATCTTCAGGTGGCAACTGCATGAGCCAAGTATATCCTTCTGGTGACTGCAGTGACGAGCATTTGCCAAGGTCCAATAGCAATAATGGAGTGCTGTGCGTACATTTATATAGGGCCGACTCGCAGCCGGCGGTATAACCCAGAATGTACACTCTGATTCTAGTCAGCTTATTGCTTCATAATCGCTGTAATACAGATGAGTAATAGATTCGCAATACTAGTCATTATGGGGCAAGTGACCTTGTAAAAAATCAAACCAGACGCTCAATGTGATATCGACTGGGGATATTTTCTTTAATTAGGAAAACACGTCGGATACTGAAGTCATTGGGTTATCTCGCGCCTGAGCCAAAAGTTTATTGAGCTTTGATGATGGACAAACACGTCTTATCTCGAATCAGTTGCACTTGATCATCCGGACCTACTCTCTCATACACCCGGTAAAACCGGAAAACCGGAAAATGGCGGTTCTATCAGTCGCGATGCAATACCACGCCAAAACACCGCATTGTTACGATCAGTCTTAGAATGTGAGAGATATTTTACTATGATATGTATTAAACAAGGTAATATGAAAATAAAGTCTACGTATTTAATCGCGCGTATTTTCTGTATAAAATAAGCACGTTTTCGTGAAGATATTTCGTGGTGTTGATGATGAGTTTTGGTGGGCAATGTCCGGTTGTTTTGATTTTCCGGTTTTGCCCGGTGTATGAGAGCTACTATTGCTCAGCTGCACGTAATTGTCACGTGACTGGTACATGCTCGGCCTTTCCCATGACGCCAGCCAGCATCTCTCGACTATGCTCCAATTACCAGAGAGCAGCGGTGAGGTATGCATTTCAAGCCATAACACAATCGAAAGCCATTGAGATCGTACCTGTCTACCAACTCCACAGGATCTTTGCTAACAATAGCCTTGGCTTACTTACATAGCCTTCCGACCCGAGCCGAAGCACGGGGATCCGGCAGTCGGCGGAGGATGAGTTGATTTTCCTACTAGCTGCTTTGCTCCATATTTTACTATGACCCGGCGGCACGAAATAAAGGTTGCCTTTGTCGACTCAGTGCGCGATAGTACTACTATCTTGATACGCTCCGAAACGTCCAAATTCTCCGACAACATCCGATACTCTTTTCCCCTTGTTTGGCACACAACACGACATGATATAGTCTGACGATGCCAGCAGATGATCAAAATCCATGAGGGTACATGCTACTCAGATATATTTGTATCTTTGAGGCAGCCGTCTGCAAACTTTGCTTGTACAGCCCCAAGATCTCGTAAGCGGACCAACGTGCTGTCAAAATCTGGAATGATAGGCTTGTCGTCCCATCATGGATACCGATCTCTTCCAAGATCTTCGTATCGTGACCATATCAGCCCTGTTAGTTCGTCATGTTTGAAGCATCAGATGTCGACGAAAAAACCCCAGTGTCTCGTCGCTTATGAAACCACAGCCTTGATAACTAAGGCTCAATAGCTTTGATCAGCATGGTATCCTAGCTTGGCACTGAAAGCGGCAGGCAGATTGGTTGTTGCGTTTGTAGTTAGGATCGGCTGCGCGACCCGAGGCTAACACATTGGTACAAGCTTTCTCCTTGCAGTCCCCAATAGACTAGGCTCGGAAAGGGTACGCCTGAGAACGGGGTGCCCTCTGGGCGTCTGTTCAAATAGCATTGACATGTCTTCGCTAGCTATAGCATCATGTCAGGGGCCTCGACATACATGCAACGGCGTTGTTGCGCAACGGTCGTTTGACCATATTATCTAATTTGTTACCATCGCCAAAGCGAATGCTTCTGGAAGCGCTACTAACGACTCCTTGCTCGTATTTACAAGCCGCATTATCATTTTCCGCTAACACGACTCGCAACGACCGGGCTTGAATATACTACCACGTAAATCCCAATGTCTGGTCTATTCCTCCGAGCGCAGACTTCGCACCTATGCATTTTCGCCTCCTCCTCCTCCTCCTCGTCATATGCGCCCTGCTCAACATTGGCCATGCTCGCGTCGCAGGATCGGACCTTGACTCGAGGAAGCTGGGTATCAATGATATTCCAGAATGCGGGGTTTGTAAAACTTTGAATCTCTTTGTACTTGCTGACAATTCGACAGCTCATTTGTATGATATCGAAAATCCCTACGAGCCATTGTACTCTTGAGGACATCAACTGCATTTGTGCCGACAAGGATCTCACGACGCGTGTGGGGAGCTGCATGGTTGCCAACTGCACAATGCAAGACAGCTTAGGCACCGCTAGGGTGCAGGCCGACCTATGCAACCTCCCCCATGATTCGAAACGTCGACGGCTTTTGAACCTCACCATTGTCGTGTATGTGGTGTGTTTTACATGCGTGGTCGGTAGAACCGCTGGCAGGATAATATCAAAACGAGTGGCGTTGGATGACTACATCGTCGTTGGTACATGGCTGTTGGGTCAAGTGCCAATAGCATGTGCTCTGGCCAGTACGTGAAAAATAACATCGCTGTTGCATCTCAGTTATGCTGACTAAACTTAGTGATCGTACGTGGGTTCGGTGACCATCTTTGGAGTCTAGAAGATGGTGCTTTGATGCCCATTCTCAAATTGTGTATGACAAGTCTACTCTTCGATTTTCTGTTCTCATTTGACTGATTTCTGCTAGTCTACATCGCTGCAGCAGTTTATGGCGTCGTCCTTGGTCTTATCAAGATTGCCTTACTGCTGTCTTACCTCAATATCTTTATAGAGCCACGGTTTCGATTACTCGCCTACATGACCATGGTTTTCATCAGCATCAGCACCATCGTCATATTCTTCCTATCGGTCTTTCTTTGCTCCCCTATCGAGTCATTTTGGAACAGAGATATCAAAGGAAAGTGCATAAGCCCCAGGGACGTGTCCTATGCAAACTCAGCCAGTGCCATCGTACAGGACCTTATCCTTCTGGCTCTTCCCCTAGTATATATCCGGAATCTGCGCGTTAATCGTTGGCGTAAGTACGCTGTTGGTTTCATGTTTGCTACCGGTACCTTCGGTTGTATCGCAACTATGATTCGGATGCACACTCTAACCCGTTACAACATCTCTTTTGACCCTACCTGGGACTACGCTCCACTTGTTGCTTGGACCGAACTAGAGCTTGCAGCAGGCTGTGTTTGTGTATCACTTCCGTCTATTCGACTACTGGTTACACGACTCTTGCCAGACTGCTTCAAGGGATTCCTTTCTCGTGTCGTAAATTCAACAGACAAATCGGGCAAGTCAACTAGCACCGATCCGCATTTACAAGCACCGCCCCCTTCACATCAAACGCCATCACAGCAGGAATGGTATAGACCACTCGGTCGGAGCTGGATGTCGATTGGCGATCGCAAGGACGATGGTATCGAACTAAGTACCGTGGATTTGCTTCCTGTACCCAAGGCCGAGACTAAACGTGATAACAATTTCCCTCAGTCTGGAAATGGCGATAAATCAGACTTGTCGGCAATCGCTTCTATTGGGTGCATTTCCGACCGTTCATATTCTGAAGAGTTCATACGCACCGAAAACGGCATAGAGGGCGTCTCAACTCGCAGCGGTCCTTCCTGAATCATGATCAAGAGTTGGATATACGCAAAAGGCAGAAATGAGACAGGCTTCTTCAACCACATCACATAATAATACGAATTCTGGCGTTCTACATCTGCTTAGCCGAGTACATACCGCCATATCCAACGCCAGCAGCATATCTATACCCGCTGCTATATGCACACGATCCTTGGCGTCTCAAAGCGTCTGCTTTCCATACCGTGCAATTGTCGCAACTGGATTCGCGTCGCTCAAGGTGCCCTTATCCTCATATGCCGTGACCTGTTTGAACTGGATTGATGGTCATCGGAGGACTTGTCACGAACAGTAATGTTTAGAATGAACCCCGCCAGCCCAGTGAGTGGCGAAAACGTGTAAAACTAGAGCATGAACAGAAAGAGTATAGATCGCATACCGTACACCAGAACCCTCGACCCAGTCTCCAAATCCACCTCGCAGACGGCCTTCGTTTTCGAACCCCCAGATACTCTGTCATCTGTCTTGCGGCGATGTGCATTGTGTTTTAGAACTCTGATGCGCATATGGCCTTCCTCGATCGTCTCGAACGCCACGGTGTCAGCCTGTTCTCTTTCGAGCTGCAAGCATATGGCTTCGGTCCTTCCCTCAGACTTAACATGACTGAGTACCGAGGCTCGCTTACCGAACAACTGCTCCTGAGTTTTCCCGAGGAAGATCCTGTGGACTTGCAATGCGAAGTGGGGGATCAGAATTAGCACGCCACGTCGCGACAGGGATGGAAGAACTGGAGCTGTGGCAACCATCTGACAAACGGGTCGGTGGTGCTTCGGGGAACCTGATCCACGCTTCAAAGATAGGACGAACTACTACTACCCTGAACCCGGGAAATCATGGGTTCCCGCACTTCTGTCTATCCTTCCTCGTAGTTTCATTTAAGCTCAAAACGTCAAAGGAACGTCAGCAGAGTGACGCATGTTCCCCGCCGGCCAAATAGAACACAAATTGCGTGATGTCTGACCAAAGAGCCAGTGGAACACGTGATCTCGGATCAATCGATGCTCCCAACCAAACTCTCTTCCCGGCATGCCCGAGCAGTAAATTGCCCAGTATTATGCAGTTTTCGTCTCGTTCCAGTAACGATCAGACGACGGCTATGGCGGCGCAATGAACCCACGTGGGAATGACTCGCTGCGATTCATCTATCCTGGATGGCTGCTGATGTGGCGGTCTCGAACAAGCGCAATCCAAGAATGGCACGACCACCACCGCCTGCGCAAGCGACATGTCAAAGCTCCGCTTGGCGCGCAATCAGGGAGGTAATGCCGAAGAAGCCCCCCTTGCGCCCAGATATTCCACCAAGAATCTTACATGAATCAGTTTTGATGAGAAAAGGATTTGCTGTTAGGGGAAGGAATTTGGGACTGATCTACAGATCTACTCGTGGTTGTTGACCGGCATATGGAACATATCCTGTCGCGGTTGCATGATCGCATTGTAGCGGAAAGGTGCGCTGCGTCGAGTATTGCCATAGTGTAGTTCATTTATTAGTTTCAGAATATTAGATCCAGACTACACACATTGAGAGAATTACAGAAAGTGGACGTACTACGATATAGGGTACGCATTCTTTGGTTAGTTGATCGGATCTAAGTCGAGCGTATCTCACGCTATTTCAGCTAAACCGACTACACTGATATCATTCTCATGCCCAGCAAAATGTCTCTCCGCGAAGGCTTCTTTCGCAGAAATGTTCGTGTTGAGATGTAATGAGTGGAAAAGGTGCTGCTACTACAGCAAAGTCCAACTTAACTGTGTCGGTATTATAACATTCCTCATTATTCCCCGCAGACAAGTGCGGAGAACGATACCCGAGCTACAGTTTAAAGTTCAAAATGCAGTGGGTTTGGAGCTTATAACATTTGTACCAAAGTATGTCTTCAGGTGACGTGTTATTAGTTGTAGGGGTGATCGCGCTCCGGAAGACGAGAGAAAAAGGGATGGAAGAGGGACCAGTCGCATGTAAGATTATGGGACTCAGCAAAATTCCGGAAGAATAATAAAGTCAAAACAAGTATCATTATCATGACGGGGAGATAATTGGTACTGGCCGACCTGTGTAAATGATGGCGTGCCAAGACACTAACCCCCATCCAGAGAGGTTCGACGTTACCCTGTAAGGGGTGTATGATAGCAACAGAGACGACCGATATTTGGGTTCAAAAAAAAAAGACGATGAGGTTTCCTTCCTTTTAGGTATACTACTCTGACTCTGACGATCATGCGTCTTCGGTAGTGTTTTCCTACTAGCTACCGCAGCGTCCCGGTACGTAGTACGTACGTAACTGAGTACGTAGCATCGGCGAACCAACTCCGGCTGACAACATCGCTCTATCTACGGCACAAAACGGAATTCAATCAGCGAACAGCGTGAGGCACATAAAATAACATATTTAACTATGCATCTCAATATTGTGATCTCGAGATCTTATCAACAATATGTGTCGGCAGGTATAATCTCAAGGAGTCTTAGCCATCGTGCCACTAAAGGATTGGATGATACTTATCCGGGCCAGGTACTTTCAACCTTCCTGCACATTAGTTTGAACACACACAGATAGTGATGCAACACAAGGACGCCCTCTTTAATTTTATGGGAAAGCACGGATGACGCAAACTCTTTCTTTCTCTTTTATTTTTTTTTTCAAACTATGATCTCCTGCAATAACATCAGCCAGCTATACATGGTCCTCTGCCGTCGGCCTGCTCAATTGAGCCGCCCTTAGCCTACAACCTTTATTAGACCATACAATCAGGTAATCAAAGAAGAAAGTTCAACATTCCCAGACAATTGTATGATAAAGTTCTAGACTGTTTTTACGTCTTGAGCTGGCTTAATGACAATGAATTATGCAAGGGCCCTCTAGGAGGCACTATTGAGAGCCTCTTTTTTAGCATTCCTGAGATTGAAATGATTATAGGATGCGCCAAAAAATACACGTGAAGATATATTCGAATTTACAGTAAGAATGTTAATGCTATCATGAGTTTAAACAAGTACTATACCAGTTTAATGTGAGAAACACAAAACTTTTCGGTCTATATGTTGGCTGCTTATTAGCTGCTACTGCTTTCATATCTCTCAGAATCGCTAATCTTAGTGGCATCGGTACTTATGTAGTTCGCGAGTCTTTTAAACTCAGCATTCATGTGTACAACATCTCTGAGCAGCTTAGAGCCCTACGTTTAGACTGAAATCCCTGGGCTCTTGTAACTCCTGGTCTGATAATAGAAGTCTTACAAGCTGAGTTAGATTGGTTCGATTGTGATATAGTTCGTTTTCACTGTACTTCTATGGTATTGTGCGAACATAATAAAAAATCTTTCAAAGACCAATTCAATACGTTCAAATTTTGATCACTGTGTCGGAAAAAACATTCGTCTTCGTGAGCGGCCCATAGTCTCGTTGAAGGTAATGTTTGAAAGGTTTAGATATTCGGGGATACTCTAGTTCTCTAGCACTGACAGTGCATTATAGTCCCTGTCATGCTATCAACATCCACTCTCCCGCTGATATTCACTCTATCACGGAAGACGTCTTAGATAGTGACACTTCCCCGACGGCTGGGCTGAAGAAACCTTCATCTTCGCTATCTTCGGATGCTGACCGACCATTTCTAGCAAAACATTTTCGCAGCTTCATCGACTGGTTTTTGGGGCTTCCGATGAACAATACATATCGATAACGTCGATGGTTTCGTTTCAACCATCGATTCATTTGCTGACCACCAGAAGGAGCGGTATCTTTACATTTTCCGCAACCCCATGATGCTCAAGAATATGATTGAGAATGTTGAGAAGTATTCCTACGGCCGCATTACGCTCATACAACGCGATCTTGTCGAACGGAAGAAGCACAAAGAAGATGATTCTGAGCCTCCAATCACACGCAGAGGAGCTGAGATGGCTGTTGTCGGCATTTCTTGCTGTCTCCCTAGTGAAACCGACGATCTTGAGCCTTTCCGGAATCTCCTGGTAAACAAACGCGATTTGTATACTATGGTTTTCTTTGCCAGTTTGACTTGAGCACCCATTTCGATCCAGTTGGCCAGATTGAAAACAGCGATCGACCCTATACATCAACCACACCGAACATGTCCGGTACTACAGATATCATTCACTAAAAAGACCCAAACTCTCAAGAACCCAATCAACACATAATCATCCAGCGCATCGACTGGCTCACGCGCCTGGGCTATAGTCTGCCTTACGCCATGAGGCTTTCGTCACGTCATTTATCTGGCACGTGAACTTCCAAAATGACGACTCTGAGCTATTATTTGCGGCCTTGTAGTCACAGAGTGTGAGAAAACCGAGGTAGGTCAAACGCTCAAAAGGTTATTTTGCTGGCAAATGAAACATGAAACTTGGCAAAAATATGTAAAAACCTGAGATAGTGCACATGTTGAGTAATCTTGCCCGATTCCGGCAGGTTGGGGTGTGTCCTGCCGTTCTTTTCTGAGATAATTTATCTGATACTCTGTACAGCAAACAGAGAGAGAAAGTTCAAACGACTGAGCGATCACATTGTTTATACAAACGATCAAGATCGCCAATGAACAGATTTTAGGCATCAAGAGCGGAGCCGGGTATTGTTTGTGGCTCTGTATGGACCAGTCAAGTGACAATAGGCACATCCAGTGAAGGAAGTGCATGACGAGTCAATCAGGTGGACAAGAAATGAGTGGGGATTTTGCGCCCAAATTGGCAATTCTGTTAACTCAGTGAGCGCACGACTATCCCATAGCGCGGATTGACATGTATCACGTACGGATTTGGAAGAGCAAACACGCAAGTCCGCAAATTATAAAAGGCGACAATCTCCCACCTCCTCCTGAGAACAGTCAACCCATATATTGATATCTTTCATATAATTGTTGTATTCCACACAATCTCTTCTCATCACAACCGAACGTCATATAATAGCTTTCGTAGATCATAATAGTTCACGAACACACAAGGTATACCTTGAGATAAGAAGGGAAGGAGTTAGGGCCAATAGTCTACTCAAACATCTCAAAGCGGTATATCCTAAAATTCAATTCCGAGCAGTCTTCCTAGACCATAGAGGGCCTATTACATACCAAACCAGTAATCCAGAAGATTATTTTATCATTATCGATTACAGCAGCAACACATATAAGACCGATGCACTGCGTCGGCGACTCAGGAAATCGGCAATAGCCAATTTCTCGAGGACGTTCTCCGATAAAGAGAGTGTACATAACACCACCGATAGAGAACGAGAGGATTCTCGCACGGTGGTCTTTTGCTTGTGCAAGGGTCCGGTGGTGTAGGAAAGTCCCAGATCCTAGTTGCGCTTGTGCGACTCCACTACTGCCTCCAGACTAGGCACGCCAGCCACTCGCCCCCTGAGGATGCGAGCACCTCCAGTATGCTTGCTGGTCTATAGTTCCTGTCACCTGTCAATAGGTAGCTAGAAGGACTCAGCGAGAAGATACGCAATGCCTGTGTAGAGGAATACAACCAGTTCCTGGCGGACGGTATCCAGGCATCCTGTCCTATCGTTATTCGTCGTCACATGAGGGATACTGAGGTCGTTATTTATCGTAAAGAGGCGAATGCGAGGCGTGATAAGCAGCGTCGCGAGAAGAAGGCGTCTTATTACGACCCATCCGCGGACGACGACGACGCCAGCGAGAACAAGGACAACGAGGATGACAACGAGGACGATGCTGACCCTATCCTTGAGCAGCTTGCCCAGATGCTGGTAACGGACAAGAAGCTACAACAGCCTCTTGTCAACACTACTGGCTTCCAGGCCGACAAGCGTCTGTAAGTGGAACATCTCTCTGAAGGTCGATGGATCCTCTGATATGCTGGATACCCCGACCTGGGCTGCGAGGAACAGCACCCTATTGCTAATCCTGATGAATTTAAGGACTTCTGCTACTAGCTGGACCGACTAGCTGCGGGCGAGGATATGTTGTTAGAGGATCTAACCAGCCTAACGCTTCTCGCAAACGTTATTGTTCGGGTCCTTATATGTAAGGCGGTCGCGATTGGCATGATACTAGACATCGTGTCGCAGATGCGTGCCTACTCTCTATAGCAACCCTACGCTATTCTGCACGATGAGGCGGGCAAGACGCCTAAGACGGGTGCGTTGGCCGGTTTAATCTTTAGCCGTCTGTATAGCGTAGGCAATAGCCCTCTTCGCATCGAAGAGAATATCTAAGTCCCCTATATTTTCTTTGGCGACCTACACTAGCTAACCCCCGTCCTTAGCCGCTTAGCTGAGAACCACCCGTTTAGACAGCAGGTTGGTGTGTCGCTATTCCACTATCTCCTTCTCGCCGGCATAGACACTGTCTGGCTTTTTGAGCAACACCGTTCCAACTCTTGCATCAACGACCTGATCAACTTCACCCTTCCTCGCGGCCGGATGCGCGTCGCCCCTGGTATCGAATACCGGCCTATATCTCAACTAGCACTCAAAACTACCCGAAACCTATTCAAGACGACTAGCCGCGTCGTCTTCATGGATATTGTAGGCCTCAGTATGTCGAAGGCTCATATACAATATACCTGTCACATAGGAGGAGTACCGCATCCAGACAGCAGATCTTTTCAACGAACTGCGCGACGAATATGAGTGCACCTTCTTCTGTACGCGAAACCCATACGGCATATGCAACACCGTCGGTGATCTGGACACCGCGTACCAAATGACCCCTAACGACCCTCACGAGAACAACGACGACGACAGATCGCAACATGACAACGTCGACTTCTATAACAAGAGGGCAGCGAGCCTGAGGAGGATAAACATGAAGGCTCAGACGGTGGAGCGGGCTTTGATTATGACAGATGAAGGACCATACCTGTGAGAAGGATGGTACCGAGACACAAAGGTATGAAGGCATGAGGTACAAAGGGACCTGACTGTGGATTTCGATCATGGACTTTGAAGGTTACTTGTACAATAATGGGACTATTTCGCGGACGAGATTTTTTTGCCGGGAGGGGGCAGATGTTGTGGCGCGGCCATGACCTACGCTGTTTGGGTATACGTAGCGCCTGGGCTGGGATTCTGTACTTAGCCTCACCTCCTGCAGCTCGGAGATAGATACACTTTTACAATACTGTTTTGATATACGTACCTGTCCATTTTCGGTGGCCGTCCCGGCCGTGACATTCCAGAACGCGCATGACGGTGTGGTCAAGATGTGACCTGAGATAGAGGTTAAACACATCATGAAGCGGGCTGAGTTGGAGAAGAAGATCTCAGAACTTGTCCGACGCCTCTGAGCGATGCTGCCGTGACTACGGGCAAACTGCTATTGCGTATGAAAGACACTATACCAAACCTTCACGGGCTCCAGCGACCAATGGAACTGCCCTCCATCTTCTACCAAAAAGAAAGCGTGGTGCCAAAGTTTGATAAGATGTTTGAGAGAATGCTTCTACTGAGAAAGAGAGAGATTGACCATTTGCAGATCTTGTCAAGTGCAGAGAAGAGTACTGCAAGGTGTCGGGTATTGAGATGCCACCGGGGTTAGCTTGGAATTCACACAAAGTAGAGGATAAGCAGGTCAAGGTATCGCCTACTGGACAAAACTTTGGATCAAAGTAAACAAATCTATGGCCTCATTATTTTGTACTGGGATAACATTCTGTAGCTATGTATCTATCGGACAAGGGGGCAAGCAAAAGGATAGGGAAGAATGGTTTGGGCAGAGACAAATAGGTCGGCGATACGGGGATATTTGCGACTTTACCTTTGATTCCGAGGCACGTCATGTGTGTTGGCACCAAGGGACATAGACTCTTGCTTACTCTAAACTACACAGCAAGCAATGCAGTAAATCCATCCATGTCTTATATCAATGCACTCTACGCGGACGTCTTGCAACGCACCATTCCGTAGGTTGCATTTTCCAATAAGCAGTCATCACAAGAAGCATCACGCCACGGTGGCAAAACATGAAAACGTACAATCGCGATGGCAGATATCACATTATGTTATTTAGCATCACATGTCGGCCAGCGACCTTTTCGCATAGTTTGAAACTACGCCTAACGCCTTGCACGTAATAAATATGGTAGTGAACCAGTTAGCAGCGCCGTTAAGACAAATAGGTCGCTATATCTGCTCTTTTTCATGCGATCCTTTTTTGCACCTCTGTCTCGTGTACCAGGTAGGGTAGTGGTATAGGAGACCCCAAGACACTAGGCGGTCTCAGTCTTTGGCGCCGAGCCGTATCCAGCTGAATTCTTTGGATCCTCTGCCATGAGTTCGGCACTGTAGATGCGCTTGTAATCCTGCTCTGTCCAGCCTTGTTGTTGTGCGAGACCGCTTAGGCTGAGGCCTCGAGATCGTGACTTCTTTTGCGAGTCGCCTTGCGAAAGACCAACGGGCGTGTTGTAGTTAAGAGGAACAACACCCTGACCAGGAGTTGGGAAAGGTGTAGACATGGACGCAGGTGAGGCGACGGTCTGGCCGTCGTTGTTGTCAGGTACCTCTGAATCCATCGAGAGGTCAGACGACACGGACGCCTCCTGGGCCCTCTTGAGGGCATTCTCGTAGTTGGTAGAGCTGGCGCGAACAACACCAGGTCGGCGGTATCCTGTGTATGCCCTTAGGGCCTCGGTTGGGCCGTTTTGGCTAGGTGTTTCGTTGCCGCCACCGCTGCCCATCAGAGGGAGAAGACGAGGGTCGGGAGCTGCCGAGTCGGTCTGAGCGGTGCTGTTTGCGGTAAGGACTTCTTCAGCCTGGTTACGCGTGTTGGGTGTGAGGCCAGCCGGAGTGAAACTGCCCGACGACAGGAAAGACCCTTCGGTCGGCGGCATGAAGGATGGCCTTGAAGTCATCGTGATGGTATTGCGGTACGCTCCTGAGTGCAACCTTGTAGGGTGGACGAGAGACTGTAAATTAAAAGTGTAGGAACACGTGAAAGCCCTTGAGTCCAGGTTAGTTTGTCGAATACAGCCAGCATTGCATCTTGCCCCTGCAGAAAATGGGCAGGTGCAGTATGCTTTGCAGTATGCCAATTGGTCGAAAGCAAGGGCAATAGAGGACCTGGCAACAAAAGCTTACCTTGATTATCTTCGCTGTGCGGAATGTTGGTGTGCAGAAGGAATTCAAATAATTCGCTGATGGGGCCCTGTCCCAAGCGACGTTTTGTGTTTTTGAACCAAAGGCGGGCGATGCTATGCCATCATATCTTGGCGGGTGACGTCTTTTCAGGGTCCAAACTTGCGGGGCCCTTTGGCCTAACTGCAATGGGCAACCCTGCGTGCTGCTCAATAGACAATGTTTCGGTGGCAAGCGAGATGCAGGATTGCAATCTAGATGGTTGAGTGATCGGGTGTGGAGGAGATGTTCTTGGATAGGTGGGAATGCCTGCCACTGCAAGGGAGTTGCATGTCGCAGTGCGCTAGGGCTACATAGACGCGGAAGCAATGATGCTATACACGGTATCCACCGGGCGGCCTACTCTAACTTAGCGGATTGAAAAAACGGCCTTGTTCGTGTCCGCTGTGCGTGACGACTTTCGGCCTGGGGAAATGTTTGGTTGCATCAAGGGCCAGCATCCAACTCTCTTGATTGAGACTTAGTTTCCAGCATGGGCTTGCAGTTGGAGGACTGCGATAACATTGAATACAAGAAATTTACCTTTGCAAGTGCTGCCAACAGGGCAGTCTAGACTCAACAGAGGACTATCTCGTCCCACACTGCTGTCAGTCGATCAATGCATTATGAGGTCATTGTCATCCTGCCAGCAGTCAAGCACAAGAACGTCAGACCTAAAGATCGAGTGATATAGCACCAGGGCGAGTGAGTAAATCTTTTTCTTTTGTTTTGGACAGAGACTCAGGCGTTGTAGTTACAGAAAACCAAGGTCCTTGTAGTATGTACACAGTAGGCCCGAGGAGTGGCCGCACTGAGGGTCGCAAGCAAGGTCTTCCTTGAGTAGCGCAACTATTCCCAAGAGGGTATAGGCCGAGATACTGCAGACTTGAGTATTTGTTGTGTCTAGATGCAGTGTATCAGAAGGGCATCATGCATCTCAGCGGTAAGCTTTTTGGAATGCAAACAAACAGTCTATTGAACTTTTGAACATGGATATATGAGGAGCACACAAGAATCGCCCACCAGCGCCGGATTATGCTCTGAAATCACTTTTGCTGTATCTATATGCCCCAGACACGAATCTCATCATCGTGAGCCAAGATATTTGCTCAGGAACTGACCCAAAGGCCCAAGCAGAGGGTACCGAGTGCTGAAGTCTCCATTCCGCCCTAGCCATACGGCATAGACACCAATGAGAACGGCAAGACTGACGGCACCGTATCGGCGGTAGAACCAGAGACGTAACTTGAGGTACTCGACATTCTTGGCCGCACGTCGCAGGGCCTGTTGTCGGCGGAGGTCTCTTTCCTGCTGCGCGAGTAACATTTCTCCGTCTTCCAAAGTCAGGCGACGAAGACTGTCGTTGGTAGCAGAGGATTTGAGCACGCTGGACGATGAGATGCGCCACCACTCCCAGCTGTTGAGGCGGGCAGGCGGCAGTCTTTCATACAGTTCTACAGTCCGGGCGATATGAAACTCGACATCAAACGGTTGTGGGAGCCGGCCCAGCATGACATAAAGTATGTCTTCGTCATCCTGGTCAATCTCTAGCAGCTCCTCCCTCTTGGAAAGCACAACCGCAGCGAAGAGATAGATGGGCATTACAGCATGCCGAGCCAGGAAGAAGTCAAACAATCTTGTGATATCCTTATAGTCTTGTATGTTGTGTGCAAACATGGTAATGGTGCCGGCAAGCGCAAACGAGGGCTGGCTTTTTGGGAGATGGTCGTACAGGACAGGGTCGGCAGCGCGAAGGATAGGCCGAAGCAGTTCTAGTTGGGCGAGGGCAGGCTCAAGCGATGACAGCATGAAGTCACGGATGCGCAGTAGGCTCAGGCGAGCGACTGCAGCGGGGGCATTCTCGGGGCCTAGGACGAGGAGAAAGACCTGGACAATGTCATGGTAGCCCTGGAAATAAGACAGCGAGGGGTGCCGGCGCAGGACGTCGAGGATGACGTAGGAGAGGTCCTTCTTCCGCTGCTGAAGCTGCTTCTCTGATTCTGAGGGAGAGTCAGCACGTGAAGACAGTAGATGCCGGCACGGTCTGGCCTACCATTCCTGGGGTAGTAGACAAAGGCCCGATTGACGTCGAGATCAACCTGGTGTTCGTCCTCGTGCTCGGGAAGGGCTGCATGGGGTTCCTTGGCCACGTCGCTCTCAGAGCATCCTAGCAAGAGGGGCCCTATGCACATCAGCCGAGTGGTCTGCACAATGCGAACAGCAACAGCAGCCTACAAGCAGTGCGACGCAGGCTGTCGCTGACAAGGCCGTGCGATGTCGTCGCCAGATGGGCCAGGGCGGCAACATCGTCATTGTCAATGGCCGCGCGAACCAATACCTCCTTCTCCTGCTCGGCAGGCGAAAGAGTAGCGACGGGCGTGGAGTGGCGCGAGGGGAGGCTGCTCGAGCTGGCACTCACTGAGCGCGATAGAGAGGCTGACGAAGTGGGTGAAGCCATGGGCGCGGCGGCATCTCGAGGCCGGCTTGATGACGCAGCCAATGTGTGCCTCGCGTGCGCAGAAGAGTGCGCAGGGGACGGCGAATGGCGAGGCAGGGCGAGGCCAGACGGGTGTTTCTTCGTCGAGGGTGTGAATTGCTTACATGGTGGTTTGTTACGCGCAGGCAGGCTTCGCAGGCGCCAGGTTTGCCCGTGTGAGCGTCGCGCTTCCGCTGCCCTTGGAGCCGAGGAGCTTGGCACCCCACCATCCACCATCCACCGCAGACGTCACGTGAGCCTCAATCTCTACGCACCACCCTCTCCAGCCATTCACCTCCACTGCCGGCCCTGCTCGCCGCCGGCCTCAGTGCCTCCCCGATAGTCTGCCAGCTCGCGTTGCACACGGCCCGCCTCGATTACGTGCACGACTCTGGCTTTTCCACCACCACTCGGCTAGTCTGGCCGTCGAGAGTTCGCGCCATCCCGATACTCCCTTGATATAGTATTCCCGGGCGCTAGAGCTGCAGGCCATCCCGGCTACAGTTGCCTCGAACTGCTGCTGCTGCCATTCCGCTCCTCATCTTGGCCACGGGATTCAGTCGTCGAGAGGCTGCGTAGACTATCGATTACATCAACTCATTCCGGCTACTGTATTCCTGAATCGCTCTGCCCCATCAACCAGGCCTGACAAACCAGCCTGCTCCGACAGGCTCAAACATGTCTCCAAGCGACTTCTTCCACAGTGTACCTTTGCACCTTTCCCCTACTCCAGCTTGAGTATTTTGCCCGCGGCTGGACAATCTGACCATCACTGTCGCCTCTGAACTGTCGTGTCCTGCGATCGTCTTTTAACTCTTCACTATGGCGCAAGCCCATGGCCTTAGGCTTGTCGACGGCGAGTGGGTCTCTATGCCCATCGACCCTTATCACATCATGGCCAACACCCAGCAAGATGACATCCAGATGCCCGATGTCGCCCCCAAGCCAGCTCATCGGGTGCCCGAGTATGGCATACTATCCCAGACAGTCTTCGCTACTCCTCTAAACAAGCTCATTCTGCCCGCCAACATACGCCACAATGACCTGGTTGATGTTGTCATTGTTGGCGAGGACTACATACACCTCAAAGAAATTCGTGATCATGGCCGCATCTGCCATGTAGCCACCAAAACTGACTTCAACGGCGGCCGTATTATAACCGCCAGGGTGTTCGGCCAACCACGCGAGGCGCCTAGCACAAAAATTGGCGGTCTCCCTTTGCCAAAAACTGACTTGAGGCATAGATCACGACCACCAGCAAGTGAAAGGGAGATCCATTTGCCCCCAGAAGTCGTTGTACTCACTCTCTCCAATAGGACGCTCATGTTCTTGTGGGCCCGACGTACTCACACAGGGCTGGACACCTTCACACACAAGACTGTCAGATTACCCGCAGGGAGCTCACGGTTTGATCGTTTCGGAAGTCTCCTGGCTGTCGATCCCCAGTGCCGGGCAATAGCAGTTGCAGCGCACGAGGGTCGCTTCATCCTCTACAAAACCAAGTCCATGGCAGCCTGGGAAGCCGAGGCTAACAAAGGCCGCGAAATACCGACAGCTATTGAAGATGAGCGTATCATATCAGTCCAGGGGCAAATCATGCACATGGACTTTCTATGCCCTGGAGAGGATGAGTATCACGTTGTTCTTCTTTTAGTCATTGTTCTCGATGGCCGAACAAGGCTTTCTTGCTTTGATTGGGACTGTAGGCAGGATCTTAGCGAAGCAGCAGCACGCACAGAGCGATATTATGTGCAAAAGGGTAGGTCGATAGCCGTGCAGGCGCACATTCTTGGAACAATTGCTAATTCATCAGAGGACACTATGCCTTCACTCCTAATCCCTCTCCGCCGCAGTCCTGATTTCCTCTTGGTTTTCGACGAGCACATTTCCGTATACAAGAACATCCTCTCCGGAGACCCAGCATGTGCGGTGGTGCCTATCGATCCGAGCTTGCTCATCCCACTCCTACCAGGCGACAGTAAATTAAGACCAAAATGGACAGCATGGGATAAGACACTACGTAATCCAGGCTACCCAAAAGAGGGCTTCTACCTAGCAAGAGAGGATGGACGTATTATATATCTGGTCAGAGGGCCAGCCGGAACTGTAGAAATGGACGAGGTCGGCGAATGGTCACATCGCATCGACACTGCTTTCGCATGTTTGCAGATTGATAACTCTGAGGCTTCGCAGCAGTATCCGGATTTCTTGATTGCTGGCGGAGCTAGCAACGACGGTCTGCTATGTAAGGTTGGACCATGGCTAACCGAGTATTCCTACAACGAAGGGAGGACGAATTCATTTTCGTACATTGATTCGATACCTAATTGGACGCCGCTTACAGACTTTGCAATTACCAAGCTTTCTACTCCACGCGGCTCCAGTGAACGTCAGCGGGCTTCTATATTCGTTGCCAATGGAAACAGTCCGCATGGAGAAATTTCCGAGCTCAGACATGGAGTACAAGCCATAGTGGATGATAGTTTCAATGGAGTGAATGGCTGTGCGGGCGTATGGGTCGTCGATCACGGGAGTCACCTGGTTGACATCGAAGGCACAATGACAAGACAGCACTATGCAATATTGACGATAACACTCCCACCGGAGACCCTTGTGATTCGTACTGTACGCACACAACCAGAGTGTGACAGAGACTTCTCGGGCGCTTGGGAACTAGGCTCGTGGGACAAGTTCCAGACACCAAGCGACGACGACCCGCTTGAAGACAGTCTTGCGCGAGATGAAGAGACCATATCTGCATGCCCTTGGGCAAGGGATGTATCAATTCAGATTACGAGAAAAGAAGCTCGCACGCTCCTTCGACCGACATTGCGCCAAGTCGACATACTGAGATTCGAAACGTCGCTTTTGTTAGCTGCTTCTCGTCCTGCGCATCCATTCATCGCAATTGTTTTTCATGAGCAAGGATGCATATTCCTGGAGATTGTGCCAATATCAGATGACGGCACCTTCGACAAAACGGACAATTTCCGTCAACAACTACCCTACGATCCCACATGTGTCGAGATATTAGAGATTGGGGGTACATCATACGTTTTCGTCAGCACTTTTGATTGCAAAATCATGCTCTTCAAACACCACGACCGTCAGACGTCTTTGGTCATGGAAGGTACCTGGGACCAAGGTTCGCTCAGCAGTTCACAGAAGCTCTGTGAGAGTGTCACGGTCTTGAGCTCAAATGACCAGTACATCTTGGTCGGTGGAATGCGGGACGGTACTCTTTTGAGCTCTACATTGGAGATACGAGACCAAAGTAAGTCTGGTGCGCAATGCATATGAGATATAGCTAAATTCGGCCAGAAATTTCCTGTATTTCTTGGACATGCACATATATCGGTACAACCCCAGCCAAGATTACCCATAGTGAAACTGATATCTCTTCTGCATTTGTGTCTTGTGGTTCAGATTTCTGTCGGGTACGATATCCCAAAAATGGGTCATCAGATCTCGAGATCGATTGCATATGGTTCACCGACCGCACACAACCTGATTATAATCAATCTCCAGTATCCGCTCTGTACCAGCTTCCCTTCTTCCAGGAGTTGGACAAATTTGGAAGAAATCTTGGGGGCTTTTTGTTCATCGTTGCGGGTGACCGTCTCCTTTTCTCCCAACTTGAGTCGGACATCAGATGGGCAGGTGACGGCACATCTACCCAGTCCTTCTATGACTCCAGAATGGTCCCGCGAAAGATGATTACAGGCGCCAAGCCTACAAGCATACTGTATATGCAAAGGCTGCGACGGGTTGTTGTCTCAACGATGGAAGCAAAGGAAAGTTGTGCGCCACCACATGGCGAGAGGGTCTTGCATTCATCGATCAAACTGCTTGAGGTGCGCGAGGACAGATCAACCAACGATGTGGAAATAAAACAAGAGGACCGAGATAGCATCCCAGAACGTTTAGTCGTAGCCCAATTCTCACTACAGCACGCGGAAAGAGTGTATACCATGGTCGAATGGCAGTTTGTCACTCAGCGGGATAAGAAGTACTCTCTGATCATCGTAGGTACGGGGATACAAGTGGGATCAAATCGACAAACCGGGAGGAGATTGATCTTCAATACTGGAAGGTCCGGCTCGAAGCTAGAGCTACAAAAACAGTCTACCTATGACCAACCAGTGTATAGCATCGCATTATGGGACAACAAAACCACTGTTGGTGTCACTGGAAAGACGTTGTTTATGGAACAATTCTATGAGGACGATGGAAGGTATGTATCCTTCGATGGTTTGCACGAGAAGCTGACTAAATTCTTACAGGTGGACTCGGTGTGCATGGATAGAACTTCCTTCGCCTGGCATCCACGTTTCCGTTGAACGTCCTTACGTCTACGTATCAACACTCCAGCACTCCCACATGTGTTTCCAACTAGTGGATAGGGATCGCCCTGGCGTTTTCGTATTTATCCCACGGTTTTCCGACAGCGGTGTACGCAACTGCTCGCGACATCTCGTCATGGATGTGCCGAATGTGAGTGAAGAAAACCGAAAAGACCGTTTCGTACTTGTCACAGATAAGAAGAGTAGTTCAGTAACCGCTCTATATCACCCGCCCGAATACACCTACAGTAACGCATCAGAAACGCTGTTTGAAGCGTGTCTTCCCCGCGCTGTAGTGCGTATCGATCGCGGTGACATCCGTCCACCATGGCGTCGAGCAAACCCCAGTAGCAAAATCGCTGGTGTTCTTGCAGACGACATCTTTGGTGCTTGTACCGACGGCACCATATTTGCCTTTTCTATCCTCTCTCAGTCATCACGCTACCTCTTGCGCTTGGTACAGAATCTCATAGAAGTCAAAACATCGCGATCCGCTGTGCACCAACACGACAAGGTCAAGCCTCGAAGTGGAGACATCTTCCGTATTCTCATGAACGATACTCCAGGGACTCAACATGGCGACATCATGATTAGAGATGTGGATCCGAGACACCTGGAGCGTGCTTCTCAACGTGGACCACGACATAAACATGTCGATGGCGATTTACTGAAGCGGTGGCTGAGTGAGAGCGCCGGCGACATACGAAGTCTCGTTTGCGACGGCGTTGATACTGAGATCAGCAACCTGTTTGAAGATTTGGCGCGGGGTATTTGTGACGAAGGGCGTGGCGAAGAGGCGAATGGCAAGGGGGAGGGGAAGGGGATGAAGGAAGATGAAGAGATGTTTGAGCAAGTGAAGAGATGGATGCGGGATGTTCTTATGCCCTTGTTGTGAGTAGTGTGGTTTTGTGGATATGTAAAAGCAATGGTACAAAGGGTTTTTCTACACACGTGCCATGATGGGAAGTCTGCTCATCGTTCGGATTTCAAAACTTCTTTCTGATATTGAGCGAACTGCTGCGACTGGTTTTTTTAGGTAAACGTACGCTTTGATGAGATGTTAACAATGCTGAAATCGACAAAAGTAAATCACGTATAATAGAGAAGGAATAAAAAGATATGGTGGTCGTTTTATTAATGAGGCAACAGTGTTTGGTGAAGTTTTGGGTAGGTCATATCTATTTGTCAGTACTATATGAAAGAAACCGCAGTAGAATTGGGCGGAGTGAGATTGTTTACGCCGTTTCCTCACCTCATGGCTATTTTACACGTCAGGTTTATCGGTGGGATGCATAGAAATTACCGCTTGGTAGTCTTGTTCCAAGACTTTTCGTCACTCCGGAGTGGAATTTTAATGCTCTTCCTTCGCGCTCTCTAGAGGTAGTAGAACACTTCAATAGACCCTCTCTGTATACGGACCCCTGCTCAACATCTCAACTTAGATCAATAACCAGAGTCCCCCAGGGTTCTTTTCCACCGCCAAATTTGGTTGCCGTGCCCGCCTCCATCTCGCTACCAGCCCTAACTGTCGTTCGAGACCAGTATCGATATCCGGGGATTTTCACATTTGCTCGCTGGTCCAAGTGACATCTACAGATGCAGCAACCTAAGTCAATAGCTCCGTCCACCCGTGCTTTCTCAAACATTTCGATATGACAGATTTCGTATTTCCAAAAAACGTAAATACTTATGAAGACGAGGTCGCGAAATGGACGTCGGAAGAAACTGGCTTGAATACATCGAGGTATTATACATTCCACGTTTCACTCCTGCTTTACTGACTCAAATCAGGGGAGTTCCATCTGGTACATCAAGCATTGACACATCCGGTGCCGCCAACGAAGGCCCGGCATCAGACTTTTTCTGGTACAATGGCAGATGGTACACCTACACCACCGATGTCAGTCCTGATCTGGAGACACTCGCACGAAGTTTATGGAACGGCCGTATTGATCTCGAATTGGAAGCGCGAGAGGTACCCACCGACCCTCCAGTCGCTGAGGATGACCAAGAAGAAGGTAGTAGGACACCGTCACAATCGACCGAACAGAACACATATGTACGAGAGGACACCCCCATACCCGACTGGGACCAGAGCGATCACCCCAAATCTATCCCGCAAGCCAGTGAAACCACTACTACGAGTCGAGAAGCCACTCCGGTGCCCGAACAATCAGCCTCACAACCAGCCTCCACCGAAAAATATCCTGCCAAACCCTCAACTTCCAGGCCGGGCGAACGAGACAACTTCCCCGAGTGGGACGGTCCGACCAGATGCCCATATCGCTGTCGAGCTTTACTAGACACAGAAGAACTCTACGTCTCACACATGCGCACACATAAAGGTAGGAGTTATACCTGCGAAGCGCCCGGCTGCAGCAAAGTCTACGTTCACATGAGGACCTTGAGAAAACACCAGCGGCAGGCCCACGGCAATCCTCAGAGCGGCGGGTGCGTCGTATGGTCGGAGTCTTAGCCTGCTGGAGAAGTTCGTGGGGGAATTTGTAGTGAAACGGGGCGCGTTGGTGTTGTATGATGGATCTTTCATTACATTAGGTGTGTTTGGTCACGAGTTTGGTGGGACATTGTACTGTATTCGCAGATTTGCAGTGCTAATATACATAGCATGTTACATCAGTGTGCACTGTGTTGTCCATTGCCTTCATTGATCCAAAACCGCTTAACATCTTCAATCTAGGGGAAAAAAATGAAAATGCATAATGCTTGGTAGATGGACTATTGTTGTACCCTGAGCTTGACGTCGAGTCCGCTCCTGCTCGATTTGGTAGATGATGCACTCACTCACAACGCCATCACCCTGTACACTGAGTGGGCCAAGACACATGGTAATTTTCGCGATGAGATTCACGCAGATACATTTCATTTCATAGTAAGAGGCTGTTGCTCAAAGATGTTTTTATGACAGAAAGGTAACTGACAGTGACTAGCTACATCACAAAGCACAACAGCAAGGCTTGGTTCCGCCTCAGCAGCCACAGCCTCTCCCGCTCCAGCGGTCAGTGCCAGTTCCACCTCAACAGCCAACGCCTGTACCAACTCCGGAGCCGGGCATGGTACACCCTCTGCAGCCAAAACGTGTCTCGAGCCAGCAGAGAGGTCTGGTACCGCCTTTTCAGCGAGGGCTAGTCCCACTTCTACAGCGAACGTCTGTCCCATCTCAGCGGTCAGCACCTACCCCACCCAAGCATGTAATTCCAGCGGTAGACCAAGAATATCCCAAAGAACAGAGTTCATAGTACTTTCAGTTCCTTCGGTGGCTAGAGGTAGTGTTACAGTATATTGACCTCGTGTGGGAGTTCATCAGTCTTTGGTCAGTACATGGAGCGGAAAAGGTATGGAAAAGAAAATTATGGGACGTCTACATAGTGCTTGAGTATCGTGTGCGGTCCTGGCTATATTAGAGTGGAGCGATGATGGAGACAAGCAGTCATGGTATCCGGCTGTGGACCGAAAGGAACTTCAATGGTCATAGTGTATTATGGAATTCAATAACAATACTAGCATGTTTCTGAGTTTTGCCACGACTAAATAGAACTGCCCGCGACATCTTCACCGAATCACTGTGGAGGCTGGGACTTGTGGATCATTCCATCTACCCCCTACCTTGAACGCATGAACCATTTCTGCTAGTGTCCCAAGCTTCGGTCATTTCCCTCAACTCACTCTGGTTGATAGTCAGAATCTCCACGAACTCTTCAATGAAACTTGTCGAGGCTCTCATGCTCTCTCCCAGCTATTGCGCAAGCTTTTTGGTGTCCCCCCCCCCCCAAGCGCCGAAATTTCTTGCTGTTGGCGAGCGATGATGGCCTTGGACTCTCTGAGCATGTTGGATGTCTGTGTACACTCCCGGAGCGAGGGCAGCTGTTCGACGTATATACGATGTAATTGTGTAGCATGTCTGGTCCAGCAAGACGTTCTTCTTCTGAGACTTTTATGCGTTCGCTCAACGCCCACAGTTCCTCAGAACATGTGCAAGCTCTCTATCAGCCTCAAGAAGCTTTCTCGTCGAAGCTTCGCTTTCCTGGTAGACTTCATGGTATAATACACGGTCAACCATTTTTATATCCACAAATATTGGCGCTGCATACTTGTGGATGCACCCTTGAATTCAAAGATACTATCGAGACAGGCTCGTATCAACCATGGCATTTGGCTAAGTATCACAGGGTTTAGTTGACCTTCGTAGTGGGTCTTGGAGCATCCTAGTGCACCACCAAACTCAGAGCGCACCACCAAATATAAACTGCGTATGCCTATGTAAGCTCAACAATAAAAGAGATCCTATTTACAGAGTGCACAACTAGAATCAGCACTGAAATCACCAAAGGAAGCCGACCAGACCAAGAGGACCTTGAATGATGTCATAGTCCCTCTTGAAGACTAGTAGTCGTGTATGCCCCGTCTCAGCTCGTATTCAACGCGTATCGCAGAGCCTCATGTCATTTCCACCATCCTTATCACGATCTCGTCATTCATTTGCGTACCGGTGAAGGATAACACCCGATAACACAGTTCGTGTCGGGTTGGGCATTGAGAGCCGCTCGTGGTGGTACCAGTAGGCGCTGTTCTTCACGCGTCCAAGCCACCGTGCCCTGCCACCTCACTATGCAGCTGCGATATGCGCGCTCCTTGTCTCTTGGGCACTTTCATTGGACTAGCGCGCCCCTTTTTGTGTGAAGGGCACGGCGTGGCTGCATGTAGAGGACCATCGTAGATTCAGCCTTGCAGACGTTGCTAGGGTGGGCGTGCCCTTTGGCTCTGCAATCGAGGGCTGGCCCCGCCTATGGGACTTTGACCGCATTTGCATGATAGCAATGAGGCTCAGGTGAGAGTGTGTGGAATTTTGTAAGTGGGACGGCTGCTGCTGACGAGCCCAAGGAAGCACATCACGGTTTGCACGTGGTGTAACGAGCGACTGAATTTATTGGCTACGGACGGATATGTGTAAGTGAAGAAAAAAAATGAGAGAACGGAGATGAGCTGTAAAGACCGTGGTTGTGAGAATTGAGAATGCAGAGAGCAGAAAGACAAAGGACAAAAGGTAATCGCCATCTGGATAGATGAAGCCGAGCGAGTAGTATCCATACGAGCATCATCTTGAATTTCCAACATACTGATTGCCGTGAGGGTTAGCATGCTTGTGGCCTTGCCTAAGATGATCGCGCAACTTATCGGGACGGTAGAAGGTCTTGTCGCAATCTGAGAACATGCATCTATACTTGTGGGCCAGATGCTTCTTCTCGTGACGGTTCCGTTCTCCGTTGCGCCCGAAAATGGCAGCGCACCATCGACAAGAGATACTGTTATTGTTGTTGACGGTGGGATTCACGCCACTAAGAGGGACTAGGGCAGTGGTTGGATGGAGAGCTGGGTTGGGCTGAGTTTCGTTCATACGGAACATTTCGGGCATGTTGGCGGCAAACGCTGAACTCATACTGAAATCATTGTTCGGCATAGTTCCAAATGATTCTGTTTGGTTGTAATCGAGTCCAGGCTGCGGCCATCTATATCCCAGATCCAGAGGATCCATGTCAGGAACGACGGTGGAGAGTGGATGCTCATGATGGTTGTGATTGAATTCAGGCAGCGGTTCCCCCAATACCAGATCCATGCGACTAAAGTCAGGAACAGCAGTAAGGGGTGGGTACCAATACTGATCCTGACTAAATCCAGGTTGCATTTCTCCATATCCCGGATCCAGAGGAGCATCATCAAGAACAGCAGTAGGGATTGAGTATCCATACTGGTCCTGAATGAACCCATGCTGCGGCTCCAGACCCAAAGGGCTAGTTGTACTGTCAAGCGCTAGAGTGGAGGAAGGATACCCTTGTTGAATGTTGCCAGGGATGGGGTACTGGTCGCTGCAGTTGTTGTTCCAAAAGTGGGGCTGAGGGTTCCTTCCACACCCAGGCTCACCGATGCCTATTGCTGAAGGAAATGACGACCGCTGGGGGGCATACCTGCATGGTGTTAAAAAAAACTTACCGGAGTCGGTTTCCGTCGTCGTCTCCGCCGTCAGCAATGAGGTCCGAACACTCAATGTCCTCGCTGTTTCCGCCTAGGAAAGGTTGAAAGGAATCGAAGGGCTGGTTTTTCATTTTTGCAACCGAATGGATTGAGTCTAGATATTTATCTGACACTTTCTTGGGGAGAGAGATGATACAGAATATCAGTCGTGGTTCGGGTATAGGATGGGGCTCAGGTAGTGTTTTGGGGGGTTAAAGAGACGGCTGATAGGGGAGAGGGAACGAAAAAAAAGAGCAGAAAGAGAACAGTTTAGTTGAGTAGATATGGACACCATTTCCAAGTATTCCACTATGAAACTAGTGGCGTCCAATCCTAAGGCAAGTTGCGTGCCCTTCGCCCCGCCTTAGTGCTCCCTGTCAGCTATTCAAGGAAAGGCTGAACCTGATGATATCCATGTGTCTGTCAATATTACAAAAGCATATCCATCGTTCACAACTTACGTCCCGAAACACTGCCATGGATTCCGAGGTCTTCAAATGCGATATCTGTTCCAAACTGAGTGGCAGTTTGGGAAACTTCAAGTATGTTATTTCTTTAATTTCTACGTCTAAACGCTGAGAAACCAAAGCCGGCACCAGAAAACACACGAGAAGCCTTTTCGGTGCGAAGCGTGTCCAAGCGGATTTGCTCTTCGTTCAGATCTTGACAGACATGTTAGAGCCCGCCATCGTGTTGGCAATGACCAATATCGTTGCCATGTCAGCCAATGCCGGTTTAAATCGAATCGAAAAGACCACCTCAAGAGGCATACAAGGAAATACCATTCTGGTGCTCTACTACCTGTCGAGAAACCGTGCACTCCCTCCACGATAGAGGCTGTGGTTGTGGTTTCAGCGTCGCAAACTGACGAGATATCACCAACTAATGATCTTTCAAATGGGATCTATAGTGTTTCTCTTTTCACGCGAGCTGCAGCCTCTGGGGATATTCCCGCTTTGGAGCTACTTATGAACTGCGGATACACCACGGATACAAGAGCAGACGACCAATCAACTGCACTACATTGCGCTGCCAGAAGCGGTCAAGCGAGGACGGTTCAATACTTGCTCGAAAGAGGGGCTAGTTGCGAAGCATGGAACGATAAATATCGGACACCATTGCATGAGGCTATTTTGAGCAGCGATTCTGATACAGTGAAAGTCTTAATCCAGCACAAATCGGAAGACTATCGCACATACTTAAGTTCTCACCCACTTCGGTGTGTTGCGAAGACTAGGAACATCGAGATAATGGAGTTGTATCTGGAAAATCAAGGAACGGAAATCAAGGCTGCCAATGCGAATTTGATGTTTCGCTATGCATTACAGGCGAACAACGATACGCTGGTGGCAGCTCTGCTAGTACGTCCTGATATCGATGTTAACCGCAAGGATTACAACGGACGTGCACCCCTACACTATGCAGCTCAAAGGAGCAATGCAAAGACCATGAGTCTTATGCTTGCCTCTGATCGGATTGACACCAGTTCAACAGCGGAGTGGAGAATGTTGACGATAATCCACATTGCTGCCCGGTATGGAAACATCGAAGTTGTAAAGCAATTACTAAGGAAAGATGACAAAGCTGTTTCCTTTCGAGACAGGGAAGGAAAAACACCTCTATACTACGCAGCATTCAAAAGACACTGGGAAGTAGTCCACTTACTCCTCCAACATGCTTCTTGCGTGAACCATTGTGATCCAACGAGCAAGCCACCGGAGAATGGGGAATTCGTTAAGAAGGATACTGTCTCCGCACTTCTCAATCACTCAGATTTTGGTGATCCAAATCTAGTTGGACCGGCATTTTCAGATGGTCCTCTCCTTCACTGCGCTGCGAGAAGTGGAGACGATGAAGCTGTGACAGTCTTATTGGCACATGAAAATACCGATGTCAATCAAACAGATGGTTTTTGCGAGAGCCCATTGATGGCAGCGGCAGAACATGGCCACATCGAAGTAGTAAGGCTACTACTCCAACACCCAAAGATCGATGTCGATATCAAGGATCGTAGCCATTTGACACCACTGCGAATTGCCAGGCTCAATTCACACCAAGAAATAGTAGATCTTCTGTTATCCTACGGCGCCATAGACGACGAAGAAGCCAACTTGTCAACAACCACTATGGAGACCAGCGGCACTCCGATGACTCAAGATACTACTCATACGCACGATATGGATTTACAGGAGTTGGATACTGATCCTGACTTTGATGTGGAAGGTTTCATTGAAGGAATGCCAGATTGGAAGGGATTTTCAGAGGGGGAGGATGAAATGATCGAATAAATCTTTGCATCAGGCAGAACGCCTTCACACATCTACCACGCTCCTTCCTATCTCTCCACAGTCATGTAACTAGAGAAATCACGCTTCGTGTCCGCTCGCTTCGTCATGTTCACATAGCTCTGAAATGCGCAATTATTCTATATCTACACAAGAAAACACCGGACTCCATATACATTTTCCAACCCTTACCACTGCACCTTCCCCGGAACCCATCCAAAAACTCATCTACATGACCAACGTAAACCCAACCCAAAGCACAGCGCAAACAACCCAGTCTTACAAACCACCAACCTACACTCTGTCACGCATGCACGCACCTTCTCTCATCCATTCATCGCCCCCGGCGCTGCCCAGCCTCAAAGGGGCACGCATGCCGCCCTCCAAGCCGCCAAGCGGTGCCCTTTCTCGCTTACTACCCCCGTAGTTCCAGCTGCATTGGACACCGGCCAAGCGTACCCTTTTTACGTCACGAGGTTTGTTGAAGCGGGGCATGTCGCGTAGGGTGGTTGCAATTAACGTACGTAGTGGCTAGGTAGGCTTGGTTTTCGATTTATCGGTGAGATCAGTGTGTTGCGGCTCTGCCATGAGGCTGGAGAGAAGGGGTTACGTTTTTTGGGCTAGCTTGGGGGCTGGGAAGTTTGTGCGTGAAGAGAGAGTGTTGATACATGGGACGGTTTGTTTGAGGCGGATGTAAACTTGTGGAAAGAGAATATGAAGACAGTGGCTTTTGTTGAAGTGAAGAAGCGATAGGAAGAACATGTCATCACAACTACAGAAAATGAACAAGCCTTTTTTGAATGGAGAAGTTGTTCATATATTTCATAAGTGTTATATACAACGTAAGTGAAAGCACATAACATCCTAACCTCGCCATGCCATGATGCAAACACGACAGTAGACACAGTCTACAGCATATTGTCAAAGTACCTCTCCTGCAAACGATCATACGTCCTAGGCATTGTCTCGATAGCCCTAATCGTCATCGGCGCACGCTGCTCCAGAATCTCTCGCAGCCAGGCCCGTGCCTCAATATCATATCCAATACCATTACTCTCATCGCGTCTCGTTTGGCCATATGCCTTTGCGAGCAAGACTAGCGTCTTGTACCGGGGCAACACGGTGTTCTTCTTGAGGTCGTGGGAGCGGATTTCCATCCACTGGTAGCCTTGAAGGTTCTTACGTTGGTAGCCGGGATAGAGGTCACGCCAGCCGGGGAAACGAGGCATGAGGAATTCTTCACAGATGGCAAAGGCATCGGCAAGTTGGTTGCGAAGAGTGAGTTGCTGGACGAACTCGTTCCAGGTAAAGCCATCGACTGTGAAGCCGTTGACAAGGAGGTCGATGATGGTACGTTGTGCTTCTTGTATAGTGTTGCTGTCGGTCTGTGCCATTAGGCTACGAAGAAAGATACGAGCCGGGTTGACAAGTATTTGGCGACGATTGTTGGCAATGTGAGACTCTTGGTAACGCCGATGGACTGAAGGGTCGAGTAGAGAGCCATTCTCTGGAGCTACGACCGGTTGCTGTGCAGCTTGGCTAAATGTCTTGGTGAGTTTGCTTGCTGAAGAGCGAGCCAACTTCCAAAGCTTGGCTAATTCTTCATGGTTGCCTGCTTTAAGATGTGTTTCCATCATTGCCGTGATTAGTGTAAGAGGTTGAGCATAGCCCTCGTGACTTGGGGCTGATTGCTGGGCCCGCTCAAAAAGCTTCTTGCAAATCTTGTAGGCTGAGCGAGCGTTGTATAGCCCAATCATTAGACCAAAATATGACTGCGGAATAGCGCCATAGTTGCGGGAATTGATTAATCGCTCGTGTGTAGGCTGCCGATGAGCAATCTCCTCACTCATGCTCGAGGCAAGCATTTCCTCAAGAGCTTCTTCCACCACAAGCAGCCGGTAGTTTGGATGTCTGGCACCCCTCTTTTCCAGCTTTTGAAGTTCAGCTGCACCCAGCGCACGTATTGAGGCTGCGCGGGAGCTCTCAGTTTGAGGAACCTTGCGCTGCATCATTCTATCATAAGCCCCAATCGCCTGTTCGACCTGACCTTCTCTCAAGAATCCAGTGATAACAATTGCGTAATGAAGTGCATGGACTTGCATCTCTTGTTCCGGCATTGTAACCCTCAAAATCTTGTAAGCCGCGTTTGTCTGCTTCACTTCTATCAGTGCTCGCATCAAGCTACCATATGTCCAGCTGTCCAGAGGAATGTTGTTGTCGACCATCTGCTTATAGCGCTGTCTGCTCCCTGGAAGGTCACGGTTGAGGGCGTACTGCTGGATCAATAAATTCCAGGTGTGGGTGAGAGGATGGCCATAAAGGGTTCCTGCATTCCAGCTCGCGAGCATGCCTCCAGCAATGGCATCAGCTCCTTCCGGATCACCTGCATTCAAGAACGCCTGTACGTAGCCTGATCTTGCGCGCACGTCTGAGTCGAGTTGCACTCCCATTTGTTTTGCGCGTGAGAACAATGTCTCGAAAGCCTCGATATCGCCTCTGTCCGCGCAAAAGTCGAGTAGAGGCCCAAATGTTTTCACATCGGGTACAAAGCCGCAGTTGATGCAATTGTTGAAGCATTCCAGAGCGCCATCAAGATCGTCTGCACGAACATACGCAAGCAGCAAAATGTTCCAACATGTGATATCCGGGATCATGTTGTACTCAGTATGTATGCGATTGAACTGTTTTATCGTCCCTTCGACATCTGCCCTTCGAGCATAAACATATGGAAGCGCCGACAGAACGTCCAGTTTAATTTCATCATTGTAGTTTCTCTGAAGCTCGTCAATGTATTCATGGACCTTTTCTGCATTTCCAGCGATAGCGTATGCTTGGATTAGGTGTTTGAGCAACCCCGGCTGTAGTGGCTGTTCAGGGTAAAATGTGCGCAGATCTTGGATATGATCCTCAACACGCTGCCACCCGCCCATCAAGCTGTGTTGGCGGATCAGATTTCTGATCAAGTTTTGCGAAGGTCTTAGTTCAGAAGCAGCGTTGGGAGTATCAACATACTGATTTCGATACCTTCTGTACAACTCCAGCCAAATCTTCCTCCGGTTGGTATATTTTTGATACCGAGGCAACTCAACCATTTGTTTGATAGCATACTCATAGCAGGCCGAGGTGGGGAGATTCAGTGAATGAAGATCGTCAAACAACTTGATGAAGAAGTCCCAAATGAAATCTTCGTCTGGGTTTCTCGTGTTCAGAACCCGGTCCATTACGTGAGGAACGAAAGTCATGACAATGCAAGCCAAGTCTCTTTCCAGCTCTGGAGATGCTGTAAGTTCATGGTGGAATTCCCGCACATGCCTGAAGAAAGATTGAAGATGCTCTAGTAGTTCCGGCAATTCAGCTACGCCACGCCAGATTTCTGGAAGCGTTGCTCCGTCAAGAATCGCCGGATAAAGAGGTTTTCCACGCACCCGCAGGGTTCGTCGTCGGAACATTCTGAAAACACGAAAGGTGAGATCCCATTGCTCGTCGGACACTGTTCGCCGAAGAATAACATCTATGCCGACACGTATCATGTTGAAATCCATAGAGGGGTCGATGTCCTCGAGTGACTTGATGGCTGGGCCAATCATTCTTAGCGCGATGTACGCTGCTATTGCCGCTCGGTAAGAAGACGGCTTGCGAGCGGCTGGTGGAAGCTCGGAAAACACCTGGAGCACACGGCCAGGCAATGCTGGCTCACTATCTTGCACAAGATATTCTAGGAGACTGCGACGTAATTCATCTTGCGTCGCTGCTTGGTCTTCGGGAATCAGACTGTATAACTGCCATGCCAGTTCCTGTTTTCCAGGCTCCGGCAAGCGTAACAGTGCCTTTAGCTCCGTGACAGCATCGAATCGTCTGACTAGTCTTTGTGCCTCAGTACGGGCTTGTTCTATCACATCCACGCTTCTATTTCCTCCATCAGGCAGTGTTTGTTGTCGGAGTGTAGCAAAATGGCGGATCGCCTGCAGGGACCGTTGTTTGGTATCTGTGGTTTTGTGTCTTTTTAAGGAGAGTTTCCTGAGTAGATAAAGCGTCTTCTCCGGATACAGAAAGTCGAGGACTACATAATCGCTGATTTTGGCGTTCGAGGTGAGTGGGTCTTTTGCGACTCCGTTGTCAACATCACCGTTTGTGTGTTTGATGGGTGACGAAGATGCGGCCTCCGAAACTTGCAGGTTGAGACCGCCTGCACCGTGGTACCAGATACCGGAATGCAGCATGCGCCGATTGCGTAGACATGGCTTCGGAGCGCGGAATAACTGGCGTCCGCCGGATTCGATGCATGTCGAAGCACGCTCGAGCATCACCCAGGCGTGTGGGAGTGCAGATGACGCCAGCACGAATTACCGAGAAACTTGGAGGATGTTATAAACTGGTCCGGTCAGATTTCTCAGTGCGGGGGCGAATGGTATGGAGTGTCGGAGTTTGCTCACATATGTGCATGCCTCCGATAACTGAGTGACAGCGGTAACAAAACAAATTTCGCGAGAACCAGGCAGCAGCAGTAATGGACAGAAGAGCACGCTGAGGAGGTGCAAGAGATTATGGTACAGGCACAGGCATAGGCACAAACAAAGGGAAAGGCAGACTGTGCGCGTGGCAATGGCGGGCCCAATGTCTATGATAGTATGTCGAAAAGTTTACGGGCGCGCTATGATCTGATGTTCCGATTGGCTTGGCAAGGCTGAGGGACAGCTCGCCAATTGATGCCCCTCCACATCAGCCGCATCCCCACCACTACATCGTCTCTCCCCAACGACGCCGCCATGGACATCACCAAGTTTGTCACCGCCTACCGCGAGTCGGCTTTTCTCATCGGCGACTACAACACCTACCGCGACCAATTGGCCCGACGCCTCCGCATCGTGAACAAGAAGCTTGGGCGGGCGACACCCAAGAATGCCAAATATGCTGCAAAAGCCCCGGTGACCACTGAGGAGATCCAGAACAACAGCGAGTATGGCACACCCAAACAATTGCCCGGCTGCGCGCTGACCGACTCAGGGCTCTTCATCTTCTCCTGCTAAACTCCGAGCGCGCATGGGCACAAGCAATGGCCATGAAGGCCTCGCACTCGGAAGACAATGCCGACAAGAACATCACCGGCTCTACCCGCAAGCATATTATCTCACGTCTGCACAAGGCCGTCGTATACGCGAACCAGGTCGTCCAACTCGTCTCGGACACCAGCGCAAGCGGGGCGTCGGACACAGATGTGCTAGAAGCGAGGGCGTATGCATATGTCATGGTTGGAGCACAGGAGTTTGAAAAGCAAGCCGAGGGAACCAAAAGCAAAAATGCATCGCCGGATCGTTGGGCCCTGTGTCTCAAAAACTACTCCGCAGCGCGAGTCATCTACAGCGCCCTGTTCAAGGCTACGAAGAAGGATCTGTTCAAGGAGGTGTTAGCAGGAACGACTGATCCAAGCATTCGTTATGCTGCCTACCAGAGTCGCATTCCGCGTACTGTAGGTGTTCCCTCCGTTGCGATCAAGTACTTTCCCAAGGACGATGCAAATCTGGTAGAGGCCGTGCAGAAGCTAGACTCTGCGGCTTTGGAGGAGGAGAAGGCAGCTGCGTCTCGTAAGTCCGGGGAAACCCCACTTCCGGAGCTCGCTAATAGAAAGGCAGACTCGCAGATAACTTGGCGCGGTCGAGCAGCGAATGTTGTCGACGCTGCTATCGGGCAGGCATTGGCATCTGTCGATACAGCCTCTTCTGCCCTGGACGAAACCGCTGCTTCGTCCACATCACCCAAAGACCGAGCGAACGCATACGACGACATTCTTATCGCGAGCCAAGACGCCGTCGACGCAACCCGGAGAGCAATCGAAGAGCTTGAAAAGGAAGGTGTGGATGAGGGCGATTCACGTATGCAAGATCTCCGGGTAACCAACCTTGCCGTCAACTATGACCTTATATCCTGGAGAGTGGGGCGTAACAGGGTGTTGATCGGCAAAGACGATGGCCTTACTTTCCCAGCTAACCCTCCTCAAAAACCCCGGCGGCAACGTAAAGATGGTAAGGAATGGGCAGAGCGCGAAGAGCCCACTGGCCGCAAACTGGCACGGTTACGCGAACGAACTGCTTTGTACGACGCCATACTGCAGAGTATCGATTCAATCAAGGACCTCCGCGGTGCTGCGCGCGACACTGATTTTATTGCTGAGCTTGACGGGCAGCGTGCGTACTTCCAGGCGTTGAAGTGTGTCAACTTGTCTCACTCATACGCGTTCCTGTCGACGCCCAAACAAGCATTGGCGCTCTGCAGCCGAGCCCTGGGCCTCGCAAGCCAAGCGGCATCTGCCCCGCGCTCTGAATCCCCTTCGACAACCAAAGCACCGAAATTGCAAGTGAGCGAGGAGCAAGCTCAAACTCTGAAGAAGGCGCTGGGAAACCTTAACTCGCACTACCGCGGGGTAGTAGCGCTGTCACAGTTGTCTGCGAATTCTGAGACAGCGTCCAAGCCTGGACTAGCAAATGCGGCACCTGTTGTGGAGAGGCTCAATGAGTACCCCTCCTCGGGCTCGGTGGACCTGAAGAATCTAGTTACATGGCCTCCGAAGCTGAAGCCTGTGCCTGTCAAGCCGCTGTTCCTGGACGTGGCATGGAACTACATCGAGTACCCCGGACGCGTACCACCAGCGCAGCAAGCAGAGGCGCAAAAAGCACCGGTGGAAGAGAAGAAGGAGGAAAAGGCGCCAGCCAAGAAGGGGTGGTTCTCATTTGGTAGATAGTCAACAGTCAGCATGCAGAAAGCAGGGGCACATCCATGAAGATCGCCGTTCCTGGCCTGAACTCAGTTGCGCATGCAGACGCCGTGATCAGCCCCCGCGTAATGGAAAAGACGATAGCAGAGGGCCGTGGGAGCGTATCCGCGCATGGTGATGCGCCTGAGACACGCTGTTACTCCAGATTGAGCGACGGGCTCGTCGCGCGAGAGCAGCCTCTATTATCGCGTCAGCCACAGATTGGAGATGGGCCGGGTCTGATTGGCCTAGCGCGCGGCTCGTGCGCCGACAGATTGCCGTTGCGGGGATAGCGTCCTTTGAGCCTCAGGGGCATGCGCATAAGCGCCACCCTACCGTGAACGACCACCACGCGCCTTGTCGGCACAGCGATTTGGCTTGGGCGACAGCTGCTGTGCTAGACCCTGCAGAACATGGCCCAGCGAGAGCCGTTGGCCGAGGCTGACGAGCTGAGCCTGTGGGCGGTGCCACCTTTTGCTTGTGACAACGGCCGAGCAACTGGGGTACATGGAGTAGATGCTACTTACTAGATCCTAAGCTGCATTGCATGTCCGACCTCGAGAGACGAGCCGTGTACAACAAAGCCAAAACGAGCCAGGTCCAAAAGAGGCTGGAGGGGCGCTTCGGGGCAGCAGCCTCAGAGGTCATGCAGGTGGTTAGATTACTTAGTTAAATTAGGATGGGTGGATATCGATAGCAACCCCTTGCATCGATACGGGCTATGGCCCCTTATCCGCAGACGCGCAGACAAAGTATCGTGTACCTTGCAGCTCAATTCTGGTCGTGCTCATTCTTCTTAACCCACACAGCGCCCTCTCTTCTACACCTTCTCCCTCCCGACCTTTTTCCAGCTGCCGCTTGTGCGCCCGTCACTCTTTACCGTCGCTCTCTTAATTAATACCAACCACACACAGTCTTTTCCGCTTCTAGTCCTTTCTTGCTCGCGTTTTCTTTGGGGCCCATATCTCCAAAGCCTGCTCGCTCGGTATACAAGGGATTCCTCCATCCATACGTTTCAGACCTTGTCGAGGAGCGCCACGCGTTTCTCGATCTTAATACTTCACCACGGCTTCCGCACTGGCTACCGCTATTCTTCCTCGGCCCCAGGTCGACGATTCTTTTCGCAGACCATCGATCCTGCAGGTTTTTGACCTGCCCGCCTTCAAGACGTCGCCCCCAAGTCTCGACGACAGGCTGCCGTCCATCGGCCACGATATCTCTCGACCCTCGTCAAGCTCTACTGTGGCTTCCCCTCCGCACCAGCAGCAGCACAACAGTGGCAGCAATGTCTCGATTCAGCTGCCCTCCCTGGCCACACTAGCCTCCGCCGCATCCAATTGCCCCACTGCAAACCCAACCAGTAATGATAATAATGATAATACGAGGAACAACACGCCCGAGAAGAAGATGCCATCCCCACCAAGGTACGTTGCACACCCCAGGCCAACATGGCGCCAGCAGCAGGGCTCTGCGTCGGCGGTAGCTGCGGCCCGCCGTACCTTGGGAACTGGCTTATCGCAAAAGCCTTGGCGAAGTGCCGCACCTCAACTTTTCCTGCGCCTCGCTAACATGGAGTCCAGCAAACCCTCTAATGGCCTCAGCATGACTTATGCAACCTCTGCGCCCGCGACTGCCGGTGGACAGGCAGGCTCTCCGGTACGTCCTGCACCCTCTATTGTTGGTGTTGTTGCGAGGGCGTGTCCCGCTCTATCGCGCTCCAAATTTGTCTCTTATCTAATCGATAGCCACCACGCATCCATGATGCTGGAGCTTCCACTGTTCATATGCTGACCTTTCCCAGCCCGTCTGCCAGAATTGCTCCACGAGCACCACGCCCTTGTGGCGCCGCGATGAGACAGGCGCCGTCCTCTGCAATGCCTGCGGTCTCTTCTTGAAGCTGCACGGTCGGCCACGTCCCATCTCCCTCAAGACTGATGTCATCAAGAGCCGCAACCGCGTCAAGACGGGTGGACTAGGCGGACGCAAGAGGGTATGCACCATCCCGTCGCCCTGTTCTTTGCCATACACGTACTAACAGTCTGCAGACAAGCGACCAAGGCGGTCTTCCCGCGGCGCACCCCGATGCAGATGGCCAGCTCGCGCTCGCCCAGCACCGTCGTGCGTCTGGAAAGATGTCTTCGGGCCTGTCTGACCGTTCGCAGTCCCCCATCTCACGCACTGGCACTCCAAACTTCAACCATCCCTCCAACATTGCGCCCCAGCACATGTTTGAGCAGGCTCTACACGGCGACTTTCATTCACCCTCGCTTCCTGGCTTCGGCCTCCGGGCTCCTTCACCTGCTACATCATCAGTCAACGGTTCCCATCTCGAGGCCCCTCTACCGTACGAGACACTTGCTGCGCAAAACACTGCGCTTAAGACTCGTGTTTCCGAAATGGAGCTCATCAATGACCTGTTCCGTAACCGCGTCAGCGAGCTTGAGCAAAGCGAGCAGTCCGCGCGGCAGACGGAATCTACACTGAGGAAAGAGCTTGAGGAGGTTAAGCAACGAGAGGCTGACTTGAAGAGGCGGCTCGAGGAGATTGAGAATGAAAGCCCTAGGCACAAGCGGATGAAGATGAGTGAATTCGTGGACGAGAGCCGCGCGGGTACGCCTATCAGTGCCATGGTAGACTAGGCTCGAAAATCTTGCGATGAGGCGTTTCCTTTTATCTAACGACTGTTCCATGCATGCGGGGAAATGTTCGGTGGTGTTGGGTTGAGGTAGTACTCGTCCCTTGCCAGCTTGCACCCTACGAGAGTAAAGTGCCGACGCTTGCTCTACCTGGTCTGCAAGACCGTGTAATGTCCGAATACTACTTCTTGTCGCCAATGCTCACGGTGGTGGTTGTATTGTAATCTTTTTTTCTCTGTTGATACCAAGTGTTGATGAGGGTGTGCCGTACGAATGTACGGCTGAAATGGCTGCATGGGTTAGAAGCTTGGAAAAGCGGGGAATGCAGGGAAGCGAAGGGTAAGGCATGTGGTTCTCAAAAGTCTTGCTATCGGGTTAACTTAGTTACCATTAATGGGATACGAAACAACTTCAAGCTAGCATGAGCTCATTTGCATGTACGTATTGATATTAGGTTGGTGCTTCTACAGTAGCCATGATGTGAGGACTTTTGGATCTTGATAATACAGTCCTTGGCAGGCTAAAGGACTTGCTTTAGCAGTACCAGTTGGAGCATAGGTTTTGTCTTAAAGGTGCATCGATTTTTGTGCAAGCATTGGTTTGTACTGGTAGGTAGTACTCGGCTGTATGGTTTAACATTGGCTGTCCGTTACAGGTGATGAAATAACCAAGGCTTGCCTGTCATCGCCTCAGATAATTGTCAAGAGCATGTAAACTTCAAGACATTAGCAGATTAGACATGTGTCTGACTCGTATGTAGTGCTAGTTGAACAAACGGTTGTGAGAAAGGCTTTGCCCGAATGGTGTAGCAGCAATGTAATCTCTCGGAAATATTTTGCAATAGTAGTCGTGCAAGGTAGAGTAACCCGTTTCCCTTCGTTCACGTTGAAAGCCATTGTGGTGCTTGGATGCGATAAAATCCAAGAAAAATGATATAAACAGATCACACTCAACATTTGTCACTAGATTGACTGTATCAATTGGTGCTGTATCTCCACTGCGATACTTCCCGATGGCTGTGTGTCGTGGTGTTGATGGAGCCGGTTGGATTGTTTAATGGGACGCTGTCCCTCCAAGTGTCATTCGTAATGCGCATCACCAGCAAAGGCACAATGCGGACATTTGCGGACCCTAGACTATCTCAAGACATACCTCAATGTCTGCCTATTTCCTGAATCCAATTTCAACTCTTCCATCGCCCAAGATGGCACGCAGGTGATGGGTGTTCGGGAGTAAACGGGCAGCGCTAACCCGAAGTGAGCTCCCGCACGGACGCTTGGCAGCTAATCAACCCTTCAGCGAGTTTTTGCATCCACCTCCTCCATCCTCCTCCCACCACTCCGCATCCATTGAAGGACCAATTCATCTCCAACTCATCTCCACTCCGACCGTCAACACCATCACCATGGTTGCCATTGCTCGCTCTTTCGGCGCCGCTCGTGTGGCCGCCCGCGGCTTCTCCAACGCTGGTATGTGTCGCGCCTGCCGCAGGTGCTCAAGCCATTGGTTTTGAGCTCTGCAAGCTCATCAAGCAGCCATTGACCATCATCTCGCAGCCCGCCAGCCCCAGCAGAGCACTCTGGTTGCTGCCCGCAGCGCCTTCCGCAACAACGCCGCCCGCAACGTCATCCAGAAGCGTGGCATCGTCGCCGAGTCCACCGCTGCCGCCATGGTCGCTGCCGCTAAGATCCAGGGTGCCGGTCTCGCTACCATCGGTCTTGCCGGTGCTGGTGTTGGTATCGGAACGGTTTTCGGTGGCCTCATCCAGGGTGTCGCCCGCAACCCTTCCCTCAGGGGTCAACTCTTCCAGTACGCCGTTCTGGGTTTCGCTTTCGCTGAGGCCACTGGTCTCTTCGCGCTCATGATGTCTTTCTTGCTCCTCTACGTTGCATAGATGGGTGCATTGATTGCATCGACTGCCGGACATATTGGGGTCAACGGTATGGGGGTGCCGCAAGGTGGAAAAGTTTTCTTGCGGATGGGTGTGTGCATAGGGACGACTACTACCTCTTTTCCTACTCTAGTGGCCGGTCAGATTGTGTAAAACATGTACTTTAGAGAGCAATCTGAAGAGCAAGCTACCACTCTGGCTCGCTTTCCTTGTCTACGCATGCGTGCGGAAGCTCTAGCTACGGTAATGAGACGTGCGGATGAATCATGTTAAGCTCAATGAACCCAATTGGATATGCAAAGTTAACGACTAAGCTGCTCGACGCCCGTGCCCCGTTCCGTGATGAGCTGTGCCGACTTGAGCTCTCCGATGCTGGAACCTGATGATGCCAAGCCTTTTTACCCAATCTCCGCCTTGTGTGTGACGACGCCGAACCACGCTTCCCCAGCTCGCTTGGCTGGCTGCAGTGTTGGTATTTTGTTCTTTGCTCCTTGTTCTTTGCCTCGTCCCTAGCTTCATGTCTGGCCGGGCCCCCGAAAAGATCAATTGCATTTCTCGAACCCCGCGATAGCTTCCGTGCGGCCCGCACTAGTAACACGTCCAACGGCTTGCAGTTTGCCCTCGAGCACGCCCTCACGTCGACACCACCATACCTGCGCTCATGGCAGGTGTAATTATCTGCCAACCATGTTCCTTGCATGTCATTTTTCCGCTTAGTTATGCCCAATGACAGCTTGGCGAAAGTTTGCGCTGTCGAAGGCTTGGTAATCGTCGCATTCAATCCCTTGTCGATGCTAACTCATAGTCCTGGACATCTTTGTCGACCAGAGGTATGATTACATGTGCAATACTTCCTTAGACTATACTAATGTGTTATAAGATGTTACTTTGACGACTCAATGCGTATGGTGCGATATCTTTACCAACGTCAACCCAGCGCTACCCGAAGCTGTGCGCCATCCCGAATGATGTCAAACCTGCGAACACTCACAACAACAACAACAACAACCCACACACACACACCAATATACCAATGCACCAATATATAACAATACGTATAAGGGAAATCAATTACATCAGGAAGCACGATCCATGTTGCAACGATCAGAGAACTGGAATGTTGTGACTCTTCATGCGCCGGTCGCACGCAGCATCACGCAGCATTGCGGCAGGTCATGTTAGAGATATGTCCGTCATTCAACACGCCGTGCAAACTCGGTGTGGTCAATGAATGATGCAGGTCCATGTAGAGAGGTCGAAGTTGCCATGTTTCAGATCTGCGTTTGAGCGGATGGTGAAGCTTCTCCCGAAACAAGCAACACGACTACATACTCCCAAAACGAGGTATCAGAAACCAAACAAACCCAGCATTCCTTGTATCTAACGGAACAATCCATGCAACCGATCTTCTGAACCGGTACGAAAACATTCGGATTGTCCCAATACCGTGAAACCAAGGTGGATTTCGAGACAAGCTTCAACTTACCATTCCACACAGCTTAGTCGTCGTTGTTTCGCTCGTACAATCACTTGAGGTTGTCGTATTTAGGTTAACATAGCCGCCTTGTGCTCGATTCAATATACTTCATCTCCTCAGTCCTCTCATCCTTTAACCTTTGTGCCGGCCACTCTACTTATTTGTATATATTTCTTGTTTCACTCTTCAATAGCTTGATTTTGTTCAGTAGCAATCATGCGTTACACAGCCTTCCTCACCGTCGCTGCATTCTCCAGCATTGTCCTGGCTTCGTCAGGTCAGCTTCGTAACTAGATATAGGAAGAGAACAACACATCTAACGTGGAGCAGTCAAGCGTGACCCTCAGGATGATGTTGCTTCCATCCTCGCTGCTCTCGCAGCCAACAACCCTGACGATGCGGCTGCCGCCCAGCAAGCCGTTAATGGCGCACAGAAGCGTGCCCCCCAGGATGATATCAACAGCATTCTTGCCGCTCTCGCAGCCAACAACCCGGATGACGCTGCTGCTGCCCAGCAACTCGCCTCTTCTCCGATGCACAAGCGCGAGCCTTATGTCGTTCCTAACTCAAAAGCTGTAGAGCCTCTTTTGGGCAAGCGCCAGGACGACATTAACAGTATCCTTGCCGCCCTTGCGGCCAACAACCCCGACGATGCAGCTGCTGCCCAGCAAGCCGTTAATGGCGCACAGAAGCGTGCCCCCCAGAATGATATTGCCTCGATCCTTGCGGCTTTGGCACAGAACAACCCCGATGACGCAAAGGCGGCGCAGTCGCTTGCCAAGCGATGGATTGCGTAAATTCTCTAATGTTTAATGTATTGTGCTAAGGGGGGGTGTTAAAACCTTCCGATTGTGCAGCGCAGATCAGATGGGATGGAACCTGAGATGGGATGAACCTGGGATAGGACTTGTACATAGTTGGATAGTTTTTGTATATTGGAGAGAAAATTATTTTAGGCAATCTTTCTTTGTCAGTGCTTTGCTGAGGGATGTCTTTGTCTGCTGTCGAGTCTTACGTGTCATGGTGGCGGATACCTCTACACATGATGCTTTTACTCATGTATATGTGTGAAAAGGTTTTTCTGTCTGAATATGCCTTGTGACTTTTCCTTACCCCTGACATTAAATACTGTAGTAATATCGGTGTAGAATGCTCTACATGGTAGCAGTTATCCCGTCGTGTGTGCAGGGAAAGAGTGAGTCGCCCTCTTAAACGGCTTAGAGAGCGTATCAGAATAGCATAACTGGCTGCAATCTGGAAGTATATTGCTACAGGCAGAGAACCTAATCTTTTTGAGTTTTGAGACATTGGTTTTACATGCAGCAACATTATCTACCAAATCCAGTTATATCAATATCCCGAAACGCCTCTTACCAAGGACTTCCAACTCAGCCCCATCTCTTACCCCGCATCATCCTCAAATCAACCCACGTCAAGCCAGCCTGCGTGCTCCATTCAACCATTACCACGCATCTATGCCGCGCCCACACCTGGCTTGCTTGTACCATGCAGGATATTTACCATGCATTTTTGGGAATCTCCAGTTTCTCCATCGACACGATGGCCGAGTGGTCTAAGGCGGTAGATTTAAGTCTTGCTCAGACCTCTACTACAGAAATGTGCGTGGGTTCCCAAAGTCTCGGTACAAAGTTAGGTGAAACATTCACCTACCGTGCACGCGCCAAGACAGCCACAGCCACAGCCACAGTAACGCGACAGCCACGCCAATCTTGTTTGGGGAAAGCTAAGTTTGCTTTAGAAGGTAATCATTCTCCCACTTCCTTACGTTCATGTATACTCTACTAAATAACTGGATTCTGCTATACACATACACTAAGTCTAAAGAATGGACGTAGAGCTCTTCGATTACCTCAAAGGAGAGGAAGATGTAGGTGAGATCATGGCCAGACTCAAACGGCACATCAACGAAGGCAAAGAACTACCATGGGTGAGCAGCTTCTATTCTTGTTTAATAATGTCTAATATAAGATATAGTTTCAAGATGTGATCCCAGGACTTATTCCAGGTATCGAAGATAGCGAGCCATGGTTAAGCCTCGCACGGAAGTTGCTATGGGCAGATGCCCAGTATACCGAGCATGACGAGAAGATCGAGCGTATGGAGAGGCTACAGCAACCAGACCCAAGCCCACTTATAGTGGACCGCTATAACCTTAGAGAACATTGGCGGGTTTGTGTCGAAGCCTTGCGACCAATGCCAATCAGAATGTTGGAAGCGGCGAATAAGATCTACCGTGTGGTAGCTGGGCAAGAGTGCCTATCTGGTGGGTACTTCCACACAGGGTCTTTTCTTTTGCAGTATAAATGTAGCGCATGTTCTAACTATACATAGAAGGCCAGAATGCAGCTAGACTTACAGGCGAGACTGACGACAAGCACTTTGCTTTCGTCACTATTGCAGTGACTGTGCAAGACAAGGTCGTCAGCCCTATCATTACTGATATCGAGCAGCGGCAGAAGAGCCTTGACGAACGTATCCAACGTACACAACACCAGATACGCGATCTGGTTGAGAGAGTTGGACACGTCGTGATTGAAGACAACGAAGACATGCATGAAGACGACAATACGTATAGGGACGACGAAACTACCGACGAAGATGATGAAACCGCTGACGAAGACGACGAAGACGCTGATAATAAACAAGCCGTGCAACAACAACTAGACCGTCTGAATGCAGAGAAACAGGAAGACCAAGCGCTGCTCAATGCTCTCAAGAAATTTCGAGGTATGCTTCGTATATGTGTGAACTTGACTTCATCTTGCTTATAACTATTATAGATATACTTATAGATGAGAAGGAGATAGAGGATCGCCGCAAGGATTTGAAAAGGAGTGTAGTCGTTGAGGAGTGTGACGAACTTATGTCCAGGAAGCCTGCAAAGCGGAGGTTGCAGGTGTCTAGAGCTAATCATCCACCAGCTTCTTGATCATTGGCGGGACCTTCTCTGATCCGGCTACCTTGTCGCTCACTTTCCTCCAAAACGTCGTCGTATGCTGCTTGCTAGATCTTCTCCGGTCATAGATAGCTTTGAGAGCCTGCAGCCTAAGAGTATGCCACGACTCGCGGGAACGTGAGTCTAGGAAATACATGCGCAGTACTCCGTACAACTTCCCACTTGTCATGCACTGTCCTCTGTGCGCATTGGTCTTGTACCCTTGTAGAAGGAAAAGTTCTCCAGGATGAACTTTTCCGTGTTCAGAAAGACAGTTTTCGGCCCACGTAAGCTTTCCAATATCCTGTGCAGTGATTGTGTTGTGAAGAAAATCCATAGTTCCTTTCCGAGTATAAGGAATCCACATTGCTCGTGAGCTGTGTGTTTAGTTAGCGGTCACTAATGTAGAAAGTTCGGCCTCATACCTATGGCGAATCGTACTCTCCCAAACAGTACACCTCTTTGCGCGAAATCCTGGACTAGCTGATTTCCAATCTTCCATCTCCTTCGCGGACCACGCTCCAAATGCCATGTATAGATCTCCTTTGGCTGAAGAGAGTGGTATATGGCTCCAACAAAACTTAACTATTAGGTATATTAGCATGAGCACTGAAAAAAAGATTATGCAAATCTTACATGGCTGGTTTTGAGATGCTGCGTAGTTGTTGAGTGCTACCGCAATCAGTGCAATAGCTGGAATTGTCCTGATATTATTTTTACTCTTGACGCACTTTTGCAGCTCTTCGTGTCCGTCGAAAAGTGAGAGTGGAGACTCCAAGTCCCGAAGCCTTTGAACTAAGTCGTTCCATTGGATGTTAGAACTTGCACTGAACATATCCACTACGGCATCTTTGTACAATAGAAGGATTTGCCGTTCAGGGTCGATACTGTTATTCCAATCATGCCAGTGCTGGTCTGCAACAGACCCCTTTCCGCGCTTCATAGTTAATCTAACTTTACCTTTGAATTCAACAAGGTCAAGTTGTGAGCAGATGAAGAGTCATGTTATAAGGTAGGCCATGAGCCTACAATAAGACTGAACAAACCATAAGAATATTCTAGGCTTGTTAGACGCAAAGACTTTGCTGCATATCCTGCGCCGTAACCACGATATCTTAGTTTGTGTGTTAATGAAGTGAATGGCTGGTAAGAACAAGCTGTACCCAATTGGGTCTGCTGATATATGAATGTGTTGGTTGTCTACATACGACTGTTGCATGTCCGTGTGGTGGAAGCCACAATCTTCAGTTCGCCGATTTGCTCATCACACTGGCGATTGTAATTTGTAGGTCCCACGACGAAAATCATGTCGTTTCGCGCATGTGTCCTGCTATAAACTTCTATGTAAGAACTAATCTTGAGGAAGTACTAATTGTGATGCGCGGGTTAAGATAACAGTGCGCGCAGCTACTCGCGCGGTCCAGTGTACCGAAAAATAAGCACAAGACAACAAGCTTGTCTTGTTGTCATGGTAGGTGGATATGTATACTCTGAATTGGCGCGAAACGTGCGCTAATCGCTCTGTACTTAACATAGCGATTAAGGGCTTAGCCTATTACAAAAAATATAATGATAATAATATTATAATTTTGACATATTTATAGTCTTTCCCGACACAATGGCCGAGTGGTCTAAGGCGGTAGATTTAAGTGTTACTTAGATCTCTACTACAGTAATGTGCGTGGGTTCAAATCCCACTTGTGTCAATATTGATTTTTTGCATCATCGCAGAGTTTTTTTTACGTTACAGGGCAAATAGAATACACCCAACCGGTAAAAGCCAAGAGGAGCATCAAGTAAGGACAACCAAGCTCGTGCATAGGGTGTGGAGACACGGCGTCTGCAGGTATCAAACGATTCACTCCATTATGTTTCACCGCTTACAGCTATAACTGCGATAGGGTTTCACCGTTCGGGCTTCCATATCGTATGCAGTGTGCCTTCCTGCGCCATAGCAACTCCCGATAATCTCGCGGCAGCTCATGCAAGCCCTTGCAAGTCCATGCATTATTCGTACCAACACGGGAACTTTTAAGCAATGCTTTTTTGTCTTGGTGGGGTTGCAAACTGGTTGCAAACATGCGTTGTTATTGACGCGTTTATCCGCACCGTCAAACGATGGCTTCAGCATTCTCTCTTTTTGATTCTATTACTCGAGATTATATTCTAGCATAGAATATTTTCGCAATACGTGGTCAATCACAGGACCTAGATAGTCTCGTTGCCTTTTTTTCTGACCTTAGCAGTGAGGTTTAAACTACCAGAACAGGTCTACTAAGCTGGAAGTAATCTGTGCGTAAACAGGATAACGCGCATATGTAAAGGAGTTCCGGCTATGTGCTGCTTACACAAACTTACGCAATTAGTCCAGGTCTTTATGCATACTACTGTGGCGGCGTCGCTCACGCTGTATTCAGTGCATGATATGCAATCTTTGTCTCACCCGGCTATACTTAGTGATTGAAGCATTTGAGGGAAAAATGCTTCGTGATAGTGGGGGCCAAAGCTTTCCAATCTGCGACTAACCTAGACAATTCAAACTTGTGTATCTCAACTTTGCTCAAGCAGATGCAAGAACCTTCTGGCGCTCGAACAGTGGCGGTCTTCCAATTCACTTTGATTTTAGTAGCTCTGAAGCTCTGCAAAGCAACTCGATTCCCACCTTTCCGTGCTCTTGTAAGCCCTGCATGTACGAACCTGCCAGTCATGTCAGCTTGTGCTGCCCAGTACTAACTTTGATAGAAAGATACATCAGCTACCATGGCAGATTCAAGCTCAACAGAAGCTCAGCTCAAGACCGCAGTTAATCGACTCCCAGCTATAAGCGGATGGATTGCCGAGTCCAATGCATTTCGTATGCTATCCAGCGCATGTATCCAAGGATTCAAGGATCATGGACAGCGGATCGGCGTGATTCGAGGTACTTTTAGGCACATTGAAAACAGCAAATTTTAAAGTGCTAACTAAGGATCATTAGGGCCAGATTTTAGCATGCTCGATGGAGGACTCATCTTCGATCCGCCAGAGGGATTCCCTATGGACATGGACCCTTCTGCTGTATGGACTTGGGTTAATGAGCATAAAAAAAAGCAGACCCTCCAAATCGTACCAATTGACATCAAGCTTAGCATCAGCGCTCGAAAACTTCACCAAATTGCACCCTTGTTTATAGTCGCGCCACCTGGCAATACCGAAATCCTGTGCCTGCTACCTATCAGAAGCTACACGGACTTGCATGCAAATCTTAAATTGGCATATCGAGACACGCAGTGTGCTGATAAAGACAAGTCCAGTAAGACTCATCGATTGCGACCGCGTGAGCCTCTGCACATCAGTAATCTCTTGGCGCCGTTCGCGGTACATAAGTGCGACCTCTTTGAAGCACTGCTAAGACTGAGGAACACATTCAACGGTCAATCGGCTTATACCAACCCATCTAATGGTGTTACGTTACGAGGTTGGACTCCGCAAGCACCCGATCCCAACCTCGAAAAGTTGATGATGATACAGGGGGGAAGGCAAAGAAATTCTGCTGGTGTTATCCACGAGCTTGTCCAGACTCTTCGCTCTCAAAAAGAGTGTGGTATAGAGCTTTTGTTTAATCTCGTACAACCATTGGCATGCGACTTGGTACTTCGGGACAACATGTCGTCCACAGCGTATCTTATTGAGCATAAGGTGACTACACCGACCGAAACAAGATCCAATATTGTATCACTGAGGCCAGGCCCTGAATGGAAAAAGGAGCAACATAATTGGCATTTTCTTCTTCATCAACATGGCGACTGGGTCGCGATTCACACAAGAGAAGGACACAAAGCTGGAAGCAACACGCCAGCAATTCGTGTCAACCTGAAGAGTCCTGGTGCCGCGTCTAGCATCGCTACCACGATACGCAACCACGGAGTTTTGGCCAAACAGAGACTTCAAGCAAAGTGGCGATCCTTGGTGTACGAGGGTAGCCTGTTGTATGAAGAGAGTCAGTCAACAGAGCCAAAGAAAAGCCAGAGCAAACCCTCAAGAGCAGCTGGGAATGAAATGCTCCGTATATCATTTTGCGACGCCATCAACAACCAGTGTTTCAAGCTAGGAAAACACGCGTGCATTCTTCTGGAAGGTAATGCTTGTGGAGATGCAGTAATGGTTCGACACAACTGGACAGAGTGTGACCGATCTAGATATAGATCTAGTAGGATCCTGCCGGTCTCACTTGTGGAAGGTATAAAATCACGATCCTCGGAGGCGCTCATACTACGATTCATTCCCCATTTCTGGCCTCCAAGTGTCCCGTCTTCACAATTATTCGAGCCCGCACGCATGAGGAGTATCAGGGTACCGCTGTGTTTAGGCCAGGATTTTGTATATGTCGCTGCCACAATGAGCTCTCCATCTACACAAGAGCCTTTTCTCGACAAGCTCATCCTCTTGCCTTCGGGAGATACAGATTGGTTGGCCAAATTCGATAGCTGCAACACCTGTGATGAAGAGTCAGAAACAAGGGATTGGAAGCCAACCTTTGAGTCAATTCCCGAAAGTCAGGGTGGGGGCCATGCTGGGAGCTCGCTCATACAACTCCCCTTCTTAAACCGACATGCACAGCCACTCCATCAAGTTTACGATTTTGAAGACGGCTCAGTACATAGTCGCCTTGATATCCTTTTACAAGAGGAAGGCTCACGATATGTCACCCCAATCTATGGGCCAAATGGGTTGCTTCAACGACAATGGAACCATGGCAGTCCCAGAGTACATAACGCCGACTCTCCTGCAATTCATAAGTAAGTAATCTGAGTATGGTCGCTATGAACTCTCATAGCACTGGTTATTCTATATCAGTCCTGACACGTGCAGCATGATGCGTCGAGTTTTGATGACCCTTCCGCCAAACACATTACCAATGGCCAGCAATCGAATCGAAAAGATTCTCAATCAAAAGAAAAAGGATATCGCAAATAAAAAGAGCTGTTCAGAAAAGACCGCAAATGGCTTGGCCTACTGGGCCTTGATCGTAGATGACACCTACGGCATGTCATTGAGAGATATTGTGGCATTGTCTGGTTTCGAAACGGCATACACCCTACGATGTGACCACTGTGAGAACGAAGACGACTGTCGTTTTTTTATTCCAGAAATCGCTCACAACCTCAATTCCAGAAGTATTTCTTGCGCGTCTTGCTGGCGTACCACCACAAGGATCTGTACATTTCAAGGAATCGCAACCACTACAGACCTCGTGGATGAGATACGTAGCTATGAAGCATTTAGACACCATGTACCGTGCAACCAGTGCTTCTCTGATGAGAAGCAGTGCGACAATCGAGCTGATCTTTGCGAGAGGTGTGAGGCTGCTGGTAAGGAATGTGTACGAGAAGCTTGCAAGAATGGGAGCGAGCCCTACGATGAGTCAAGTTGTCCCAGGGCTTGTGATAAGGCTCATGAAGATGACGGATATACAAACGTCACTACGATTCCAAGGAGTAAAGGATGCAATGCACGTATCCAACTGAAAAATGCATAAACATGCAAAGCTGTATCGTAAATTTCATCAGGTTGAGCTGAAGAGGGAAAATATTAAGATGGTTGAGGCGTTCTGCAAAAAATCTCTTTTCCTCCTCAAATTGGCGATGAGCTTCAGTATCGTGTCTCCGACGGTGACTATATGGTAACTCGAATAGTGGTGACCGGCCTTGGAAGCGAGGCACAGGATCTCTCTTTGGAGAATTGGCAGAGGTGGTGGCGGCGGCGGCGGCGACGGCAGATCGAAGGTCAGGAGTGACTAGTCTAAAAAAAAGCGAAGGTCGTCATTGCTGGTAAGAAGGGCTGGGAAATTAGAGAGGAGAGTCTCTGTATGATCGGAGGTATGTTCAAGCCTGTCCCAAAGGCTCTCGCAGAAAACCTGGAGCTTTGTCTCGCGATCTTCATATCCAGCTTGGCTGAGTTCATGGCACTGCTCTTGTAGAACAGAGTTGTCGCAATTTTCAGGTGAAAGAGCGTTTTACATTATCAAGGACAAATTGGGATTTCCAAGGTGTGGTGGTACCTTACATGGAAGTTGGTCGGAGATACATCTTGCTCCAGCTCGTCCTGTCGGGCCAAGACGGTACATAGGTTTGGCCCAGTCTGTACCTAGATGGCCCTCTTACACCCCGCCAACATCCATAGAGACCGTGAACTATTCCTTCAGCAAAGTATCACGCGCTAAGACACTGCTAAAACTACGCTAGAGTCCTACCTCCCAGCGCTACTTCTGGCTAGAAGAGCTTAGCGATCATATCCGGCAACAAGTTCGCGATAGAACCCATGCCGTGACGACACCAACGACCGCTTGTTGCTCCTTAACGAGATTAACGCGCTAGCCTTGAACGAGATCGCCGTGTTGTGAGGCGCTGGGTTTTTCCATGTTCCTGCCAAATCGGAACAGCTGGAATAAATAGACGTTTAATCCAAAGACTCGCGGTCCTGCTCCCGACAGCTTAAGTAACACACGTACACTTTCTCAACTGGCTCAGTCGTCACTCATAATCTAATAGGGAATCGATTTCTGCTCTCGTATGACCGCGGTATACATGGACCCAGGCTGCCAAACCAACTATTTCCAAACACCAAACCGATCGCGCTTTGTGGCGCGCGACTTTTTACTGAACCCCTCTCCGGAAACCACGCCGCTATACTGAATACAACTTGTCTCAGATTCTAGATATCCATTTTAATCAACAGAGCAGGTCTCCTTCATGACGCTTTGCGTAGCTCCGCTAGGCTTTGGCAAAACATCAGATCTTGGCGTTGTTATTGGCCCCTCTCCTCGTATGCGCAAAGGCGCTGATCTCGAACAGTGACTTGGTTAACTACGTGGAATTCGGGACAGCGAGTTTAAAGATGATAGCTTAGGATAATTCGAACAACCAAACCTTGAACATATCTATTGATGCTGTCGTAGTTGCATGCCTCGCTCAGTCCATGCAACGGCCCGTATCAAATGCCAATCGTCCTCCTCCCAAAAGCGCTTGTATTTATTCAACGATGTGCATGCGACTTTGGCGACAAACCAAAGGCTTATCAGCAAAAAAAGGAACTCGCAGAAAGACGACTAGAAGTTGATATGGCGCATTGGTATGGCTAAGATTGCGCTAGAAGAGCCTAGCAGCTATGTAGTACGTGCAGATGGATAGAAGCTACTAGTAGAGACAAGAAGCAAGTATGGAGTTCACACAACTAACCAGCTGTATTTAGAAGATAGAGGTGAGCCCTATTTCTATCTATAAGATTTAGTTATGACACTCTCACCAACACTGCTTGCCTTAAGTATTTTATCGGCCCTTACTTGGCTAATCGTTAACAGACTGCACATACTGTTTCAATTCCTCTGGGGAAGCGCTCGCCTTATCGTGGTTTTTGGAGAAGTGGCTTCCTTCCTTTACGTAGAGCTTATGCAAAGCTTGCTTATTACACGATTAACGATGCTCATTTCATGGATAACCTTCAGCGTTGTTAATTCGATCATGCGGATACCGGCACAGCTCACTGAGCGTATCTACCAAAGCTACATCACATCACTAGAGAAAAAACCTTCTAATGCTGCTGCACGATCGAGCAAAGACCTGCAAGAGCAGCAGACACAGAATGATTGGACAGAAATAGATAAAACCACACCATTGGCATCGCAGTGTATTGGTATGACAAGGATTGGGGAACGATGCCAGCGATGGAAAAATATGCCACCGGGATCCCCATACAACTGTGGAAAACACAAGAAGTGAGTGGCGATTGACATACTCGCTGTGCAGTTGAGCGTGCATATTCCAACGTGTCCTGTATACCAACTTTATCCTCGCCAGAAGTGGAAGATTTGAAATGCTTCCATATCTCTGTTGGAATTATAGGAATGGAGGGAGACCGAGAGGTTTGGGCGTTAAGGAAGCTGGCATGCGGCGGAAGTAGCAGGCGCTTTGGGAAAAGTGGTAGTAGCAGTTTAATCTAGGTATAACTCTCGTTAGATTAGCACATGCAAGGCCGCTAAGAAAGCTTATCTACCAGGAAAACTCAAAAAACTACCAAATTTTCTGCCACCAAGTTGCCCAGGTTATGATAGCTGCCTGATACGAGCACCGCTGTAGCCAACCTCGCTGGGCATGAAACCGCTCTAAAGCCTCAGCACTTAAAACGTGAACTGCGAACATGCTGAAGACGTGGAACGCGCATAGGATGGCGATAAATAAAATGACGATCGCGATCATTAACTGAACTATTTGCTACAGTTTTATTAGCTGAAACGAGTATAGAACAGATACGACTTGCAACTTACCAACTTCCAATGTATCGTTGGCTGATCCCCAGTGAGCCATGGTCTAGCAATAAGAGCTAATGTAACGCCCCATACGAACATGTGAGAAACTGAACTCATTGTGTTGTTATCCTTTACGGTGCGCAGCGGGTGGGAGGATGGTGTTGCTGTCATTGCTAGCCGGCGCGTCCTGTTGTTTGCAGCCCTGCAGGCTCGTAGTACGTGTACGTAGTAGTACTAGTACGTCAAGTAGACAGCGTCTCGCACAGACCTCACGTACGTATCCATCGCGAACATTCCCAAAATCTCGTCCACCGCGGCTGTCTTCACCAGTTCACTTGGTCGAGATTGATTATAGACTATCTCGAAGAACTACCCTTGGAAAACCATCCGCCCACAATCAAATTCTGCCCATGCTTGGAGAACTCGCTACGGGGGCTATCGCAGTTGCTCTCATCAAACGCAATGATTTCGTACAACACCTCGCCCTTCTCCTTCACCAAACTCCTTTCCTTCAGTATCTGGGCACACATTTCTCCAATGGCGCATTAAATATTAAGAAGTCATTTCAACAATATTGGATAATTATACAATGTGCGCTTGGCGAGCATAGGATTAAAAGATGCACGCAATATGCCCACCGAACGCTCTCATGGACTCGAAGGTGGATCTCCCGGGGTTTGGATATCCCGTCCAAAACTACCGAAACTGTTTTTGGGCCTGTGGGGTGGTATGAACATAAAAAAACTAAAGACAGACGAAGTGTAGTGTGAGCACTACGAGGCTGCGCAGTTCACTAGGCGTGAATAGAGAATGAACCTCACCTGGTAAACTAGTCCTCGATATACATTTTGCTCAACAATGCGTTGCATGATACTTAGATTATTAGGAGCAATGGCTTCCGTAAAATTTGAAAAGCCAAACATGCAGGTATCGGTCACTACATCTCTTTATCACATCGTGAACTTCCTAATTAATCCACCAACTCTCATCACAAGACTCTCGAACTGGTCCACACTCAGGCAAAGCTGACTCCCTCTAGTTGCACCGAGATCCTCAATCACTACACCAAATACCTCCTGAAGAGTTTCACTCGCACCGTACCATAAAGCCCGTTCCCTCTCGAATCCTTGTTCTGCTAACGAAATCTCTTTCTGAATTTGATCTAGTTTCCTCAGTGATGCTGTCTGAAGGTCATAGTGGTGTAAAGTCGCGCTGAAGGACGTATCTGTATCGAGGCCTATAAATTCCGACATCTGTTTCCAAAGCCCGACATGTTTAGCTTTCCGACCAGCGTAAAGCTTCATCCGTTCGGTGTTTACACTTCCAATAGCGTTCTCTAAGCCTGCTTTGGCCCGTTCGCAACAGCGGAACGCCTTCATGTGGTAGTTGGCTACTTCTACTGTATGTTTGAATGTAGAATTGAAACTTGCCGCGATTAGAACCATCGGCAGACACGGTGTTCCCTGTCTCGAGATGCTTCTTTTGTTTGTCAACAGATGCATCATCGCACCCAGATGGTCCACAGCCATGTCAGCAGCATGCCTTGCATCCCACCCTAATACTGTAGCTTCATTAAGTAGCTCACGCATAGCGCTAGTATCTTCAAGCACTGGACAGCAATCTGCTGCTATAGCAGTGGCGTTTTCCAATCTCGTAAGTACCAAGTCAAGGCTATAGTGTGTCGCCGTTATCCCATGTTGACCTTTACCGTGCCAAGATGCCCAGATCCAAAGTGCTGAAAGAAAAAAAGCGGTGATCGCAGGAACAAACAAATTCGATGCGCCATGGCTGGGTGAAGGCGGGAGTGGAGACACAACATGCGTCTGTTGGGTCGCTACGGATCCCTGTTGCTTACTACCACTAGTAGTATCGGATATGTGCGGCGGCGGACTACACCCATGGACTTGGCAATTGTCATCGTTCTCCACCTTCACTGGCTTGTTTCCAGCAACTGTGGGTACGCTGTCGATTGATGAATCACTCAACTTCTTTTCTTTGTCCTTCGTTGTTGACGGTTTCGGCGTGTTTGGCGTCGGCGTCGCGATCCGGGATTGAGTGTAGTACGGTCTCAGTTTCGATCTGCCGTGTTTCCGAAAAATCCATCGATCAGCCAAGTTTTCTGGTACAAGATCAACCACCATCGCGAGCTTTTACTTGCTACGAATTCGATTGTTATCTACAGTATTCATCAACTGTCTCTTTAAAATATCTTGGTTTTTGCTTTCTCCTGAAATTGTCTCAGCCTTGCACACACCTCACCTTCTTTATTGATTCGTGGACTGAGACTGCCGGCGGCACAAACACAACAAATGCGTCTTACATTGAAACCTACGACCGGCGATTGGGGCCTGCCTGATTCGGCGGAACAATCGCCAATTGATGAAACACAATTTGGGGATGCCCTGAACATGTCAAGGGAGCTCTCAAGTTGCATAGAAAGTTTTATTGCAGCTGCAGTCACGCATACGACTAATCCCACTACTTCAAGTGAGATTTTCATTCGATATTGGAAAGGTTCCTTCGAAAATTGTCTCAACAGGTTTGGCGCCCAATACGCACAAAGTCAAGAAAATCTAGACAATGAGCCATTTGTTGACAAGAACGCTGTCAATCAGAGTGAGACGTCGACAAGCAGCGGCTAGCTACTGTCCGCGTTGCAGCGTCAAACAATCCATCCATCGCCATAATGTTTGTCGCGCTGCATGGCATGAACAAGCCATGAATTTCTGAAAGTTTTAAGATGCTCTTCCAGCGGAAAAAACCCGACAACTATCTTTGAGCTTTATCAAGCCTTGCCGCTGTTGATCTTCAACACTCATTTCTTCACTCTCCTCCACATACACAACTCAACACAATCGACACTAACCTACACACACACACACACACACACACACACACACACACACACACACACACACACACACACACATACATACGCATAATCTTGTAAGTATTATCTAGATCTCAAGGATAGCCTACACGGACTGAGAAATATTCGCCTGAAGCACCACATAGCTATGGAGCGACCAGTACATACAGCTATTCGTTGTTTCTTGATGCTTAGCACATACATCATCATCTTCACCTGGTGCCGGAACGAGATACACGGTATCTTGCTAGCCATGATGGAAGCTTCTCATCGAACGCACTGGAAGCATTACGTTGATATGATCCCCCATATTGGTGATGAGTTGGCTACATCATTCTCTACCTGGACCAATGGGCTTATCGGCCAACTTCGATCAATCACCAGCGCACTGTCATTCATTTATCATCACACGGATATCTTGTTGGATATAGCAGAGGTTGGCTAAATGTCTTTTGAATTATGGTGATGCTGATCTAATGTACACTTTAGAACTACGCCATCGCAATGTCATCGGAATACTTCGACGAGAGTACTAGTAGTCTGGTCAAGGCTCTTGTCTCTGCAGCAAACTCAATCCTATGTAACAGCCTCGAGGCTGTGGCGAGTTCCTACCGTACATTCCTCGCGCTTACCGCTCTTTTCCTTCATGGATTATCATCGATGCCAACTGCGAAAACCGAACACATCCACATAGTCAAAGTTTTCACTGTCGCATTCACGGCACTTCTTGCTATATCTAGGTTGTTCCGCATGATCTATCATACGCTTGGGTTTCATCGCCTAAATCTACGTCGATAATGCGCAAGACTCACATACATGCGTCGGCAGATATAAACAATGACTCATGAAGAATGGTGTACGGTACCGGGATCAGGAAAAGGCATAGCTCAACCGGTACCTCCGGTTTATTTTGCACTTAATTGGAGTCATGTGCTTGTTTTCTCTCTCCCCTCTTTTCCTTTTCATCGAATATTTGTATCCACAATCATTTCTCTGCTATCCGGGTGTCCATTCCTCTTTACTTACGATCTTTCTTCTCTCCATCATGATTATCTTGTATCTAGTCACGATAAATCCTAAATCCTAGCATCAGCATATTATAGAATATATCAGGTAACCTAAGCATTTGAGATCGCCTGCAATTTGTGGGATATGTGTGACTCTTCACTAGTCGTTTTGTCGTAACTTTTATTTTCGAGATGTCATGGCTATCATCTTGGCTTATTTCTATGGGGAATACTGTGAAACTCACTCCCATTCTCATTTAGCAAAGAGACATCCTCACCCTCGATCTCATGAGGGTTTGATGAAATCAGGTAAATGGATGCGTACCATTGAATGAAAGCCCTAGCGATTTTAATTCAGGCTTAGGTGGCTCTTGATACCTATCTTCTTATTTTAACGCTTATGAGCTTTTACATACGCTCCGCATGAGTCGAATTCCAACGATCTTAGAGAAGAAGGATCAAGTTAATCATTTCCGAGCCCATCACCCCTGGGGGTGTTGTAAGTAGACCGATGTATGAATTAAAGATGTCAGATTGTCGTGGTATTAGTGTATGCGACAACGCCTGACTACGACGCCTGACTATTATTTGTGCTTAGCAATGTAGCTCCATTAAAGCAAGTCTAAGATAACAATTTTTGCTTTGGAAAGCTACATATATGTACTTGAGACTGCTTGAAATCATATGTTACGTCGAAATTATTCTAAAATGTGGTGATTTTCGCAACAAGATAAAAAGGGATGTGATGAGTAGGATATAGGTTGAAAGCCACCACACCATGACCATTCGGCGATAGCAACAGATGCCACACCGCTTCATTTGAGCTTCAAACCCTCTCATGATGGTAAAACCCTCGAAAAGGCAAAGCCTTAGTGTAACCTTAGTAGAGGATATACTTCGTAAGTGTCCCAACATTGCTAGGGGTCGTTGAGTCGACCATGGTTTCTGAAATGCCCCACGAGGGGGGTCTCAGGTCGGAGTTTTCTAAGGGGATTCAATTTGAGAGACAGCTAGTTGTCATTGTGTCATTTCCTTCAATACGTGAGCGCTTAGCTCTTGCTTTCTTTAAACGGGAAGCATCTGAGAGTGTTGGAAGAACGGCTCCATGAAGCGAAGTATAAACGCTCACGTGAAAAACCATAACGAGGATGGCATTTCGGTTGATTAAGAACTCTTGAATGAGCGTTCCGATCTAATTGAAGTCAGCTCAGCGCACGAAGTAGGTATCAGTGTAGATCACTCACGGAAGTATCGCGTGTTACTCTTTTTATTCCCGCTATAGCGGCTTCCAACGCGAGATAAATCTGCATACGGCTTTCGTTGATCGCACTCGTCCGCCCTGTATTCCTTGGTTGAATGGAAATGTCCTCCAATGCATCATTTCGCTCATTACCAGCGAGGTCGATGAGACATAGGGTGGATGTCTTCTGCCGTGCTGTCGCGTAGAAAAGTAGGACAAGATGTGTGCGAGAAGATGTGGCGTTATTCTTTGTCGGGGTTTGTTCACGGAAGTCCTCTACTAAACTTACTACAGCTCGGAACGCAGAAGCTGTCTTGACAAGATATCGCGGACGTTCTTCTTTGAACATACGGGCTGGATATAAGCGTACTGGGCTACTGTTAACCTTCTGCAGCCCATCGATACTTATGCCTTTGATAGATAGATCAAAGGAATTGACATCACTTCCTAGTGACTGAAACGCTTCCATGGCAACTTCTACATCTGATCCTGGAATGTCAAATAGATTTTGGCCAAGATTTCCAAGAATGTTAGCCATTGTATGGGATTTTCCAGAGCCACTAAAACCATCTACTGCAAAAACTGCATTGCGACCTGTGGGTTTGCTAAGCTCGAGTACCATTGGACTTATCTTTTCGTAGACACTTTCGTTAGAATCGGAGATGTCGAAAGCCTCATCGAAATTTGTCTCAGTCCAAAAAGACGCGCCAATACCGTCGTCAGAAGGCAATGCGCGTGCGCAGAATGTAGTATTGTCTGGTATAACAAACTCACATTGTGGAGTCTTGTTTGGACAATTGGGACTTGTTGCTCGAATTACTGATATATAACGCTTGCTGAAGAAGTTTGAGCGGTATTCGATCCGTATTTTTTCCTTCTCCCTCTGGGCGTCCAGCTGGGCCAACTCGGCTACTCTCATGGCATCCTCTTGGGTCGTGAGCTTTGTTTCTCGAATAACATCATGTGCTTTCTCTTTCTCTTCATCAGTTGCATCTTTCATCGTACGTCTTTGACCTCTCCTTATTGTAAGACTGGGTTTTCGGGTTTCTTTGGGCAAGACACCATCCCGTAAGCTGTCCATATGTTTTCCCCCATTTGGGATCAAATCTCCATCTAAACCAGGCCCCTTCTCGGACGATGCTGAATTTTTATGGACCAATGGTTGGCTACCATCACTTTTTGAATTTCCTGCATGGTTTGCTTCTTCAGCAATATGCTCTAGTTCATCGTCCATTTCAATCATTTTGGGTTTGTAACAGTTCATCGATTGCGCGTATCCAGTTGGCGATTTTGAATCCACAGGTAGTCGGTTCCTTTGGGAAATATTGTCCTCTATATCACCATAAAGTAGCCTTTTCAGTCGTGTGCATTCCGCACGCAACAGGTCGCACTCAGCACAGTCTGGGTCTGGGCGCTCACAGGTCCCTTTGGCCTCGACTAAGGAGGGTTTAGACACTCCACTCCCCATGTAATTCGTTTGGATGTACATGGATGTCGGTAATTTTTGTGGATCAACAACACAAATTGGAGGAAGGTGAACATGGCTTTTTGAGGAACCTGGAGAGCTTTCAGAAACATTTCGAGACATATTCCCGAACGTGTTGCAGTCTTGCAGAGAGTGAAACCCAGGATCTGACATGCGTCTATGTTTCAATATGCTCGGGTTGGAATGCAAATAGAGATCCCGAGCAGTTGCTGGGTAGAACGTCCGGGGTGTTGGCAGCAATATGAAGCTGGCATAAATGGCATGTTGGGTAAGTGCATACCATGCAAGATGGCTTATCCATTGTATAATGTGTCGTCCGAAAGGTCTAGAAAAGATGCACACGTTAGTTGTAACATGTTTAGGCTTTCAGTTTCAGCGCATACCTCTCTACGCGAACATAGGCCCATATGACCAGAAAAAGAGACCAAATAGCTCGTGAAAATATTGGTCTTAATTCCATGATATGCTCTAAGTGTTCGGGCTCAAGGATATTGAGAGCTACTAAAAAAGCATTGGTAATGAAGACTATCAAGAAGCTTAACGATGTTGCCACTAGGCCCTCAAAAAGGAATCGCAGCGTCTAATATACGAATTAGACCAACTCAATAGTACGTCCATAATACGTACCTTCAGAAACATCTTTGCTTGAGCTGATCGAGAGCGTATAAATTTCTCTTGCTTTGATCTCATTTGATGGATCGCAGGTACATTAAAAGCAAAGATACAAGGCATAACTTCATGCGTGTTGTATGTTGGAAAGTCAAGTTCGTTATAATTCGAAAGTGAAACAGGAAACTTAGATGATATTGGCAATGAATGAAAGCAAAAACTTCTCAAGTATTTGAACACATGTTTTAGAGAGCTAGGACAAGTTACTTGAGTGAAACATAGGTATCATACAAAATGTCAGACATCTATCCGGCTGGAGGTTTCGTTATTCCGCCCTTGAAGATTTAATAGGCGCTAAATTCTTCTTCGAAGAGTCATCGATGGAAATGGAGAGTCAAAAGATCGAAGAGTTGGGTGCGTTATTGGATCGCTTGCATGTTCTGATCGGTGAGGTAGACAAGGTCCTTGGCCCTGACACAATCTCCTGCTACTTTTGCTAATTATGACAGCCAAACATCATTCGCGATGCGCTAGATACAGAACAACTAGACACGCTGCGAACCATTTACGAAATTTGCGTTGAATGCGAAGAATTGGAAGAGGGTGATTTGTTGCCGCTCAAGAAGACGAAGAAGCGGAAACGGGGCCTGAAAAGTCAATTGGGTGGCCCTGGAGATCCATGGAAACGTATCACAAATCTGGAAATTTTACCGGCACTCCCTGTATTTGTCACCACACACCTCAAGAAATACCCAGCAGATACTGAGGCTGAAAATTTTCTAAGAGCGTTGAGCCTTGCTAGCAATTGTGGCCAGTACAGTTCGGCCGACGACCTTGGTAACGCTTTTATGGCTCGGTATAAGTGGACCCAACAGGTTGAACGTCGTGACGAGAAGATACACATCTTCCAATTATTTAATGATCTTTTCTGGTTTGATATGATGCAACTTCTACGGCCCCATGGTACCGGTCGAGTTGGAGCAATGATGCGAGTAGAACTAGACCGGTTTTTGACCCCGTTGGATTTCGATAAAATGGGTCTCCAAAAACATGAGGTGATGGCTAACGTGGGCGACTGGAGTATACGAGGCGCGAAGATTCATAAGCTCTGCGTCCGTTATGGTCCGGGTGTGATTTTAGTCCTCCACAAACAACTTTCAAGAAGCTTGTACGTTAAACATGTCACTGTTAGAGGGTGTGCTAACGATCCTGCAGTCTCGAAGGTCGATTCACCGCTTCCGGCCCATATTACAATGGGGCCATAAACCGACTCGACAGTCTTGGCCTTAATACGTATATAAATAATTCGGGCGCTGAATTGCTTGCTATAAGCATCCGCAATCTGCTTATCAAGCCGTTCCAGGAAGCGCAGTCGTAGTGAGGATCGTATAGTATGCAGGAGCGACGAAACCAATAACGTCAATCTGATTTCTAGTATATACTATATATATGTGCGAGAGAGGTTACTAGCTTCGATGAAGCAGTCTTAAAATCCTTTAAGCAGCAAGTTGAATCACCTTTACATAGCATTGATCAGAGTCACATTAACAACCCATTTCCTGTGAACTCAGCAGTTTTTTCCTAGAGATCTCTAGCTCCTGAGCAAATCTGAATACGATAGGCTCTTCATCTGTTGCACTGATTGCTTCCCCTATAACGCTTCCTAATGAGTATATAATAGTCATTACTATGTTGGATTACTAACACACGTAACTGACAAAGAGCCTCACACGAGCCAACATGCATGTTACGCGATCCCAATTAACCCCCAGTTATCTTGCCCGTGAAATTCCCGTGTACTTAAATTACGCCGTATTCAAAATTGGGGAATATCGCGATTTTGGTAATTAACGGAAGAGAGGCGTGAGATTGTATTCACAATATTGCTATAAACGATCGTAAGAAAGGATTAACAAACGAAGGAATAGATTATCGGATGAGGATGCGGGCTTACATTCTTGTAGAACTGTGCAGGTGGATGAGGGAGTTTTGCTAGGGAAGGTACAGAGCCGTCATAATGGTGGTACTTGGAATGTACACCGGTTACGATTAGGGCATTACGAATTTCATAGCTGGCAAAACACTGTGGCCGGCTCCTAAGCTTCTTCAGCCGGGTATGTGGCGAGCCAATGCTGCAGCCTTTCCTTTCGCTCTTGGCTGATATTCCCATGACCGTACAATAAGACGGCAGCTCGATATAACTCTGCTTCCTGAAGGACAGTCTTTTCTTCTTCATACAGTCGATGAACTTCGGTATCGCGCTCAGGGAAATACTTTCGTATGGATTCGAGAGGAGATGGGCGAGGATTGATCTGCAAAAGCCTCTGTTTGATAGTATTGGTAGGGATAGGAGAACCGGGTCGAAAGTCAGGGACAACCAGACGAACAAGGAGGATGTCATTGTCATTTCTTAATATATCTGCGAACCCTTGTATGATATTGTCAGCAGGCAAAGGATGGTGCTCAAGTCTTTCCCACATCTGCTCGCTGAACACTTGGAGTTTGGCTGCACGATCTTTACAGCTGGTGCTGCATATGTCTCTGTAGAGCTTCTGTAGGGCTTCATCGCATTGAGTCGGGTGCGTAGCAAAGTTAACGGTGGCCGACATATCTCCACGGTAGTTAGGAAGGATCTGTGCGAAAATTCAGGTCGCTCAAGGAATATGTAGGTTCTGATATACTACTAGCTTACTAGGGAGTGAGCCTGCACGAAGCCTACTGTTTGTATGTGACACACGCCAGGCACGTGTTGTCAAAAAGTGGGGCTCTGTCTTGAATACGCTGCTACGTGTATATACAGCTTTATGACTTCCACTAATCAGTGCCAAACTGACTGTCTTCTTGCGGTCCTAAGCATGGAGAGTCCATCGACCCCGGAAAACTACGGCAAGAATCGTCGTGCCGATCAGAAGCGACAGCCCAAGTCTTTGCCAAGACTCCGCGAGATTGCTCCCTCCGCCCAACACTTCTGGAAAGACGACCTTGATGAATATCTCACTCAGCAGGTCCGCGACAGAACCTATGATAGCACGAACGATCGTAACCTACCAGCAAATGAAATCGATGCATTGGCGCTAAATGAGATAGCTGTAGCGCGAAAAGAAGGTTTCTTCTTCTTCTTACCTAGCCGAAGTAGTTGGAGCCGCCAAACCTTCAATCCACCAAATCGCGGCCCTTCTCCCGGTGACCTCAGGTGCGTCAGTTAGACTCGAATGTTGGCGAAGCTCACTTAAACAGTGCATCTATCCCATCCCTGGTCTTCATGCGCTATACATGGAGTACTGAAGGACAGACAAAGTTCATGACTTCCCCTCATCGTTCGAGATACCTAGCTTGCGATTTCCAGCTCAATCCTCCACCAGCTCCGACCCCGCTATACTGTATCCAGGTTGTTTCAGGCCCCCGATACCCAATTTTTCGCACAGCACATAATTCATTCATAGTAATCAGATCAAATCCGCTCTACTTTGGCACTATATCGGCGCTTGCGCCTATCATTGGTCAACCGCTACGCAAACGCAAAGGGCCGGACGCAGAACACAGATTGGCCCAAGTAGAGGGCTGCTGGAAACAGAAGGGTGCATCAGACCCTCGATTTCGGGAACATTCTCACGAGAATCTCAGAAGCTTATATGATGCTGTTATTCGTGTTTGCCATCCTACGGATACGGAATCTAGTATGACCTCAGGAAAGCTATGGCAACTTATTCCACGCCCTTTGCAACCAGAATTAGGTCTAGCATTAGGACGTAATCCTGAAGTTGTATCAACACGCTCTCGATTTGGAGGGCGTCTAAGTCGGCACCCACCTAATGAGAGAAGTACGGATCAAGCAGTTGACTTGTAAATGATGGAACCTTGAGAGTGTATGTGCCCTTGTAATTGCTCCGTTGTGGCATAATAAGGAAAGAATCATGTCTTGTTACAGGTCTTAGAAATGTTTTACAGGAGACATTTTAAGCAAAAACTTCTTTACTTTCCAATACCACATCATCATGACTTCTTCACTAGCAGGTACTTTGCCTTTGTCACAGCCACCTATTTTTGCTGAGCTAATTCCGCTCACATCTAATTCTTACTCTACAACCTTGTTACGTCAAAACCTTCGCCATGTTGTGTGTGAATCCCGAGCTTCCCATTTCGTACCAGCCCTGGCTGCACGGCGAGTTGTCAGATTATCCTTCAACAACCTTCTTGGTCGCAACTGTTTCTCCTTTGGATCAGCACGTTCGAACGATTACCAGCTACCATGTTCAGTTGAAATCGCATCGCATCACTTTATCCTTTTCTTCGACCCACGAAAGAGAACCCTCCATATCAGAAACACTTGTTCGCAAGGAATCATCCTAACCCTCCCTGGTCATCACAGCCGTCATATTCAATCATGTAATGAATCTGTAGAAGTTACTCGCACAATGCACATTTCGATTGGCGACTGTAGCACATTCAGCTTCGAGCTCCTGAACCCCTCGTCGTTGGAGCCTTCCTTCTATGAACGCAACCTTTCCATCTACTTCAGTTCAATACAGCATGAAACGCCCATCCTCGATACAAAAAACAGGATGCAGGATGCAAAGAAGCGACGGGGTAGCGTCATAGCAGGTTCGGAAAGATTTAAACACCAGTGCCTGGATTCACCTACTATTTGTTCTTCCTATTCCTCGTGTACTACCATGGAGGAGACAGTTGATGACAGCTGGATTATACGTACATTTCAGGGCTTTCGAGCTCTTTTTAGCATTATGCTTGGATGAAATCTTCTTGCCAAGCGCTATCTGCCAAGTCTGATAATATGTATAACAATTTTTGCAATGAAATTTGGTTTCGGAGTTGCTTGCATGCTATGATTCGTCGTCACTATCTTCATCGTTTCCAATTTCTTTGAAATCTGAGGGTATTTCCACAAGCGCATGTCGGTCAGCAAGGCTCTGATGGATCTCCTGAAGTTCCAATCGATAGTTCCCTGGATGACGCCTGATGGAAGAATGCTTAGGGATAGCAAACTCTTCAAGACCCGTGAGACGATTGAGCAAAGTCCACAATTCTGTCCATGCATCAGGACCACTCTCAAAAACGTTTGGCCCAGTCGTTGAGATGGCGTAATCTATAGGGCTCATACCCGATTGTAGAAGTTCTGCAAGCAAAGGAACTCTTTCCTCGAACTCTTCATGTTTGTTCTTGCCACTGTTAGAATCATAGATAGCAAAGTGGTCTGCCGTGGGTCTAATGTCGTCAGAGGGCACGACGAGTAACGGACTATACATTCCAGAACCATCCTGTCCGAAAACATCAAAGATGAGTAATCGGCCCTGGGGGCATATGTTGAGCCTCTGAAGTTCTGAAGTTGAAAGCGTTGGCCCACGTGATGTGCTTTCCCGCTTTCTAGTGTATAAGAAGAACGGTACAACCGCAGTTTCCCGGGGAAGCTCAGTGATAGTACAAGGGACCTTTTTGTGCATTATGAATGCCTCCTGTTCCTGTTTGGTCCAATTGTATCGGCAATATGCAAGATCACCCATAGGATGCACCGCTGATAACACGATTACTAACCCTGACCGCCGAGCCGCACATTGATCCATGACCGTAAAGAAGACGTTTCCAAAGAAAACCTCCGTTTGAAGAAGCGACGGTTGTCGTATAGTCGATGCGTTCATTCTAGTGTCTGGTTGAGAAGATTTTCCTAAAGGTCTATGGGGTCGTTTTCCTGGTAAGCGGGGCTCCGGAGTTCGCTGGATGATCTCATAAACTGCCTTGACCCATGCACCGTCTGAATCCATAGCTATCCAGTAGGGTTTGAATGTATCTCCAGAGAAATCTCCTTCTTTCGAACTTGTTGTGTAAAATTCGTCGGGTATTACGCGCTCTGGAAGGAAGAAGAAATTCGTCCAGGCTCTCTTTTGTTGGTCTACAAAGTCAAACTGGTAGAAGAAATAATCAAACCTAGCTATATGAGCGGTTGATCACAAGTAATGTTGAGGAATTCAACTAAACGTACCGCTCATAGTCAGTAAAGTAATAACGGATTTGGCTACCTCGCTGATTGCGCCCAATAGCCACTTTTGTTAGAGGTGATGCTGGTGACCGATACAGGCCATCGATCTTGTATTGAACGAAAAGTTGACGACGTTGAGTTCGCTTGTAAAGACCAGAGGTCAGAAACTTGAAGTCGGCTAGCTGAGGTTGTAGATTAACGAGTTCGAAATCAAGGTCAATAGCATCTCGTATGCGCGCTACAAGACAGCCTCTCCACACCTCTAGAACGCCCTGGTACGATGAAAAGTGCTGTGAGTTCTCTGTTGGTGCCAGGAATTCGTTTCCATGCTCTACATGTGGTCTCCACCCAGTGAAGCGAACACCAGTCCATGGGTTTATATAATCTGTTTCATCTCGGGCGCAACGTTGGATGTTTTCAAGAGCTTGAGGCAAGCAAGAAAGCGGCATTCGATAGCAGCTATTACAGGGGCTCAAAAAACCGTAGGCAGATGGTGGCAGGATGGATTTTCGAGATGCATTGACAGCCACTTTTCGATTGGGCTGCGTTGCTAAGCTGCTGTTCGAAAATCGATTGGGGATAATCTCGACAAAATTTGGATTAGCTGCGCACGTTGCGATGTATATTCCTATTCGAGCTTGCTGCTTAGTTGACGTGATGTAAATTTGGTCCTCAGCGAAACCTGATATAGAACTCTTGACGTCAAACAAGACGAGGATTCGAGCCCAGTGTTCCTGAGAACCGCGCGCAGCTCGAACTTCCTCATTTAATCTCCAGAATCGTTCCGTATAACTGCCCCGTAGTGGTTGTGCGCCTCTAGTCGCAAGCAATGCTCCATCAGCTAAAGCAAACTCGAAGGAGCGGATAACAGGACAACTAAACAACGCAGCGAACAGTTCTGCTTCGAAAAAGGTACCGCGTCTGTTTTTGATGAAAGCGTTGATGGCTTCGAGGGGACGGCAATGATCGGTCGACATGGCGAGTATGGACAGTGCCTTTTGGGTGTGAGATATGGACACAACGTAAGGTATCGATGGCGGGGTAAAGGTACACCAGGCTAGAATATGTACTACATATATACGTAGTACTACATATATAGGCTCTCACATGGTAGTAGTCGGGAGCTCGGACCATTCCGAACTCCAATACTATCCACTCGGCCTGTCCTATCGCAGGCGAAACGACATAACTGCCAAGATAAACCCCTGGTCTATATACGCAACGGCTTTTTTTGTTATGCTAGTGTAGAGTTAATTATTAAGATTTTCTAGAATTATTTATAATAGCTATAAAGTAGCTATCAAATAGTATATATCCTTTCCTTCTAGAAATTACTATTTTAATGCCTCCAAACTGGAGTTTATGGGCGCGCACTTACTTTGTACCCCCAACTTGATGTTCGAACCCCACTCGTGTCAAAATAGCGTTTTTTGTTGCTATATAGCATTTTTGCATGTATGGAAAGAAAGTGTTTAATTTTTTGCATGGTGGTGGTGGCGGTCGAATGGTGGAGAGGGTAGAAGTAGTGTGTTCGCTGGTTCCGACAAATGTAAAGCTAGGCTGATGTGGGAGCGTTAAAACGATTGGCAGAATAAGACGAAGAGCATATAATATGGGAATAAGATGGAATAGGATGGAAGGATGTTCCTGGGCACTGTGATGCTAATCCATGTTCAATGCATTCCACAAAGTATCTGTCATACATCAAACACGAGCTACTAATTCCTCTAAGGACATCAATCATACCACTCCTACATCCAACACCGCCGTCCTGCTGCATGCGTCGTCAAACTCTCAACTCATGCTGGCTTTATTTTAAGTGAAAATCATAAATTTTCCATTCATGGTCCTTCGCTTCAGCGTCAACGTAAACACTGCTCTCAAGCCAAACCACGAAGAGCGTACCAGCCGCTATCTGATCCAGGACAATACTACAAAATTAACCACCACCATTAACTTCATCCATCGCGCTTATATCCACTCCTACTCCTCAGCACCTCGCCATACCGCGCCAGCACAAACGGTGTGGATGCACCCAGAAAACTCAAGCAACCCAATAGCGTACAAGCCCACTGAGCGCCCAGATTCTTAAACATTTGGACTGCAAAGAGGGGAAACACAGCACCAAGAACATATCGCAGGATGGCGTTGGAAGCCATTGCACTAGCACTGTAAAGTGGACCGTACGTATCAGTCATGTACATCATGCACGCCATGAAGATAAGCATGTTGCCGCAGCCAAAAAATACTTCGGCAATCGTAGGCACGATCCAGTGCACACCATATGCAGCTGACCACCCAAAGAGAAAGAGGCTGATGGTCAAAAGGGGACCACCGGCAATGGCAAGCCCGAGACGCTTTTCTGGTTTCAATCGCGACGTTGCAAATGGTGGGAGTGGTCGCTTTTCAATTACTGCCTGCCTCACGCGCGGAATGTAGTAGAATTTGCTGAAGGAGACGATGCATGCTGTTGCGACGATGACGCCGACTCCGAGACCGAGAAACGTTAGGCCGGTGGAGAGACCATCGAAGCCGTATTCTTTTTTAAAGACATATGGGAAGGCGGCGAAGAAGGCGTAGAGGAGACCGAAGTTGAAGTCACTGTAGGCGTTAAATGTGGCGATGATGGGCTCGGTCAAGAGCATGTGCATGGGTCGAGTAAGTGTCTTGGTTACATATGTGCTGACAATTCTTGGCAGTGGCATGCCTTCGGTTGGTGAGAGTGGAAGTGGGAGGTTGAGTTTCTTTGCGCGCTGACGGAGTAGAACGGGCTTGTATGATTCCACGAAGAAAGGTGCAGGCGCTATAACGAGCACGACCGTAAAGAAGAGTATCAGCCACGACGTCCAGCGCCATCCTTGCGTCTGCGTAACGGCGGCTCCCAATAGGGGGCCTACGGCCGGACCAAAAAAGGGAGTCGCAACATAGAGAGACATAGGACCCGACCGTTTCTCAGGTGGCCATATATCACTCAGCGTCCCAGAACCCATACTCAGACTCGGCGCGGCAAAGAATCCAGACCAGAACCGCAGAATCACCAATGCAGCCATGCTCTTTGCAAACCCAGTTCCCAAGGTAAACAGCGCGAAGATGGGCAGACTGATGAAAATAACAGGCCGCCGTCCAAATGTCTCACTCAGAGGCGCGGCAAATGGTCCACCAGATGCCAGGCCAAGCGAGTAAATCGAGTACGCAAATGTGGAAACAAGAGGCGAGGAGTTGAGTTCCAAAGCAGCTTCTTCAATCGCAGGCGTAAACACTGACGAGGCAAACGTGCCTACAAACGCAATCCCGGATATCGTATACGTCTGAAACCATTTCCGTGCTGCGCTCCAATTATGCGGGTTAAGAGGGTCATCCGGGCCATCCCAGTCCATGGCTTTGGGTCGTTGTTGTGGTTGTGAAGATGTGTCGGTTACATTCACTGTTGCTGCAGTTGTGGCATCCAGACCCGAGCTCTGCTGTACCTGCTTCTCTACGCCATACCCCGAATTTACCATCCCTCTCTGCACAGACGACTGGCGGCTCTGCTCAGCAGCCTTTTCCACATCCTCGCGACTCTCCCGCCTCGTCGATACCGCCGTGTTTTCCGACGAGGACGCCGGGCGCGATGGACTCGGTACACCACCAACCATCGGAAGAAAAAAAAAACAATTAATTAATTGATATGTTTTTCACAAACAATACCGAAGATATTGAATACGAACGAGAAGAAGCGAAGGAAAGAAAAAAAAATTGAGAGATATCCAAAACCCCCGACACAAACCCCTAACCATAGCAAGGAAAACGAAACAAGCAGGAAAAGAAAAAAACGCTTGGGCCCGATCCACACTGCTCCTCCTCCTCCGCCAGGAAGTTTCCACCTCGGTTTGAAGACCCATAAGTTAGTAGCGTGAACGCACCGATGTGTAGGCGTCATGCTTCAACCTGTAGATAAGAGATGATCCTCAACCTAAACTCTCTAGCCCTACAGTAGAGGTCCACTCATAGCAAGAAGCCGCGTGCTGCAAATCCCCGTAATGACAATGACAAGACACTATTTTCCCCCCGGCCACCCTCCCGATCTTGTGATACATAATGATGGCGATCTTGACGTCGGAGGGCAGATGGATTGGCATTGCTGAGCCTCAAGACTGTGATGGCGTGGCGGGGGACCGAGCTGAGGCTAAGGGTGTCGTTGGGACCGGGCCGATCGCTTTATTTTGGTAGGCAGGCAGAAAGTGGGTCTTGTAGGGAGATTCTGTGGGTGCTTGCTTTTTTTCTTCTTCAAAGGCTTCACATGTTCGCCATGGTTTTTCTTTTGGACCCGTTGCTAGAGTATGTATCCCGTAACAAAGTTGATATCCGTCTTCATTACGTACATCAAGGCAAAAACGCTGTTTTGGTTGAATTTTCCGAGAAAAAAACTTGTTCGAATTCCAATTCTCGAGGGTCTTATCTGTTACACCCAAGCGTGACTCGTGAGTCAGCGCATTCATGCCGAGGCTGTTTTTTTTTCGGATTTGACGGCGAGGCCGAGGGGGCACGCGTCGCGGAATAGAATAACCCAAGTCACATCTCCACTCTTAACTGGTTGTTCAAAGACTACTGCCAAGGATGAATGAGAATGTATTAAGATTATTTTGGAAGAGGAAAGGGGTGGGGCGGCATAATTGATAATTCACTGGTTAATATTTTACTGCATCTTTCAAGTATCAAGATGAGAGTAGAGAGTCGCACGCTACGAGTATCAATGCAAGAGAGATAATAACAAGACATGGACGAGAATCAGAAGAACCCAAGCACAACAAGCATGACCTAAGCAAAGACATTAAGCCTTCCACACTGAAATCACCGCCACTTCCATGTTAAATCAACGACAATGTACTTCATGAGAAACAAGACTGTACATAAATAAAAAAAAAATGTAAACTATACATTGACAACCAGAACTTGTACACTACGTCTTCCTTTGGTCACCTTACCATTTTTCTCTCCCTAGCATGCTACGTCTACTCTGTCCCCTCATGCGCTCCTCCCATACTTTCCTTTTCTCATGTCCATCTCATTTAACCTCCCCGAATTCTTTTCTTGTTTCTTCACCAGAAAGGTTTACTGAATGTCGAACAGCTGCTTGAGCTGGACAATCAGTTTCCATTCATCCTGGCTGACATCGCTTCTGAAAAACTCCTTGAGCGTATCGATACTCTTCCTGCTTACGGCAGAGTACAGCGTGTCGCCTTCTTCCAGATGACGGCCGTACATGGGCTGGCTGCTCGCTTCAATCTTGACAGCGACGGAAGGTTGGCCCTTCTTACAAATTTGCATCGGCTTGTGGTCACGCTCAATGGATGTACTGTGACGGATTAGTGGAGGGCATATTGTGGAGGATTACAAGACTTACACTCTTCCGAGTTGAATGATTTCCTTGATACCAGTGGCGGCATTCTTCTTGATTGCGCAAATTGGTGTCGTCATTCGCAAAGCGCCTTCAACAACATCCACACCGATAATAATGGGGTTGGTCTTGTTGAAGACAGCAACGGGCTTGAGAACACAAGGGAAGACAGCCAGCATCTTGGACTCCTCCTTCCTTTGCTCCTCAAGCTGCTTCATATGTGCCGTAAACTTGTCAAACAGATGGTAGATGATATCCGCTTCGAAAATCTTGACACCAATCTCCTCAGCAAAGGCTTTGGCTTCCTTGTCAACCTTGACATCGAAACACAACATGACGGCGTACTCTTTGGCCTTTTCTAACATGATTCCTGCACGAAGTACGTCCTTCCTGAAGACCGGTCCAATGGAGATAGTGGAGACGGGAATCTTGGAAACGCGCAGGAATTCGAGCAACGCCTCAAGAGATCCGAGGGTCGAGGCCTGGACGGAAACACCACGACCAGTCTTGGATACCTTACTGAGCAAGTGAGCAAGGTCACCCATGACTTCGTCCATGAGGTCTTCTTCGTCGTCATCTGGACCGACAACGAGTAGTCGTGAACCAGCAATGGCTTGGTCAAGACCATCAGCAGCAATCTTGATACCCATGGCAGCCTTGACTTCCTTGTTGTGTACGTATTGGGACTTGACACGCAGCTCCTTCATCTCGGCAGGCGTCAAGAGCGCTCGAATATTCGTTGCTATGGGTTCTGGATTACCACACAACACGATTCGATCGCCTTCGTGAAGCACACCGTTAGACAAGATGACATCGATCGTCGTACCGAGACCTTCAATGACCTTGACCTCGAGAACAGTACATTCAACCTCGGAAAGGTACATGAGGTTGTTGGTCAGACGTTCTTGAGTAAGTTTGACAATGAGCTTGATCATATCTGGGATACCCTCTCCGGTGTGTGCCGAGGTTGGGCATACAGACACGTACTTTGACATGTTCTTGTTCTTGAAGAAGAGCTCCGAGTTGAATCCCTGTTCTTGCAACTGGGTGCGAACAAAGTTCCATCGCTCTTCGAATTCACTCTGAACGGACTGTTTCTGAAGGCTGAAACTGTCCTCAAAACCATTGTTGTCAATCTTCTTCCAGCCGAACAGACGATCAATCTTGTTGAGCGCCACGATGAAGGGCGTTCGCCTGTCTCGGAGAAGCTTCATAGACTCAATAGTCTGTGGCTCGAGACCATGCATGATATCAATGACAAGGATGGCAATGTTACAGAGCGATGAACCGCGAGATCGGAGGTTGGTGAAAGACTCGTGACCAGGTGTGTCAATGACGAGAAGACCAGGAACGTTGAAGACAAACTCATTGTTCTTGTTGACGACTGCAGTCTTCTTCTGGAGTGCTTCGACGGGGAAGTATGTGGCACCAATCTGTTGGGTGATACCTCCAGCCTCGCCTTCTTGCACGTTGGTTTGTCGGATCTTGTCAAGCAACTTCGTTTTACCAGTATCGACGTGACCAAGAATACAGCAAATGGGAGAGCGGAGGTTGTCTTTGGACCGGGCTGCCAGGGCTTCCTCGTGGGCTTGTTTACGTCGTTCAGCAGCAGCAGCTTTGCGCGCAGCTTCGGCTCTCTGGGCGGCAGTCCCTTGCTCATCTTCGGACGAGTCGTCACTGTCTTCTTCAGAGTCTGACTCTGAATCCTCTTTCTTGGCCTCTTCGGCAGCTGCCTTCTCTGCTGCAGCCTTCTCTTCCTTGGCCTTCTTCTCGTTCGCCTTGCGTTCTTCCTCTTCGTCGGTATCGACGTCCCAGCTGTCTTTGACGCCGTCCAACTCGTCGGCTTGCGCCTCCCAGTCGTCCGCAGAGTCTCCATCTTCGCCCTTCTTTGCTTCTGCATCGAGGCGAGCTTTCTCGGCCTCCTCGGCTGCCTTGGCGGCTTGTTCCTCAGCCAGCCTAAGTTCTTCCATTTTCTTGGCAGCCTCTTCAGCCTCCCGAGCCTCCTTCTCCTTCTGACTCTCACCCTTCTTCTTCTTTTTTCGGTCATCATATACTGGCTTCTTCTTCTTTTCGGGCTCATCAGCCAGACCTGCGACCTTCGTGTTTCCTTGTTCAAGCAACTGCTGCAGACGTAGCTCGTTCCTGGCCTTTGCTTCCTTTTGGGCTTTGGTCATGTACTTGCCCTCTTTCTTGAGCTGCTCAATCTTTTCCTTCTCCTTTTGCTTCTTCAACGCCTTGGCCTCTTCTTTGCGCTTTTGCTCCTCTGCCTCTTGTCTCTCCAACTCGAGTAGCCTTTCTCTTTCTTCGGCCTCGGCGCGCGCAATCTCCTCCTCCCTCTTCCTGCGTTCTTCCTGTTGTTTCTGAAGCGCGGCTAGAGCAGGGTTGATCTTCTTTTTCTTGCCACCAGCAGCAGGGGCGGCCTCTGCAGCGGGCGCAGGCGTAGAGGCGGCGGCGGCGGCTGGCTTGGATTCGGCAGCCTTTGCAGGTTCGGCCTTTGCTGGGCCACTCGCCTTCTTCTTCGCAGCCTACGACAGTTTGTTAGTCGGGAACAGTGCCGAGTGCTTCTGCAACAACAAACGTACCAATTCCTTCTTTCGCTGCTTCTCCTTCTCCTTCTTCTCCTTCTCCTTTTCCGCCTTGGTCTTTACTCGCGGCGCATCTGTAGGCTTCTCCTCTGCAGGCTCTTCTGCCTTTGTAGCACCGCCCTTGCCCTTCTTCTTGCCGTAGTTGCCGGCAAAAACGTCGTCGTCATCGTCGTCGAAGCCCCCTTCTTGTGGTGCCTTGTCCTGAAAGTCTCCACCGGCACTGTCAGCAGGCGGGTCTTCGCCTTCAACATCTGGATTGGCACCCTTCTTGTTCTTCTTCTTGCCACGCTTTGCAAGGGCAGCCATCAGACCTCCGCCTGCGGCGTCATCCTCTGCAGCAGCATCTTCGGGCTTTGCTTCTGCTGCATCCCCATTCTGTGGCGCAACAGTCTCGCCTAACTCAGCCTCCCAGTCGTCATCCTGCGCCTTCTTGTTGCCCTTCTTCTTTGGCGGCATTGTGTATCAAGTGTATTAAGTCGAGCGGTTATGCGAGATGGTATATGCAGTCGCCGTGAAGAAGACGTTCTGGTGACGAGCACAGCGCAATGCCACTCGGAAGGCGAGTGAAGGGGAAGTTCAGTGCGAGGCGGCGGATGCGGTGCTAGCGCTGTCAAGCTTCAAGCAGCAGATGAAGGAGTGGCCAACAACTGTCAGTAAAACTGGAGCCCAACCGAACCCAGGTCCCGTGAGTCAAAGACTTCAACCAATAAAGGCCTGGACCGTACGTAGAAAAAGAGTGTTGTAGAAATTCGCAACCAGAAGCCACAGCAAAGGCTAAAACGCACACACTAGGCAGCGAATTTCTGTTTGTTATCGATTGTTCTGTGTGGCGGCGGCGGGCGACTTTGGAGGGGTAATTCTGCAGGCGCTCGGACCACCCATGAGCAGCAGAGCTCACCTCATCACCAGCATCAGCAAGAATACATCTAATCGAAGACATGGACGCCAAAGTGATTGGACAAGTGACTAGAACACATTCAAGGCGGGGATGATTATGTTTCAATGCCTCATGGCGAGACGTGCTTATCTTATGGCAGTATATCTACTCCTATTTTTTTTTCCCCTTCCCAATGCAAAACCAGTATAAGTGACTGACTATAGCTGCGACCGTTCCGTATATCTAAAGGAATAAACGCCCCTTTCAAATTAAACTCCGACCGAACAGAATGCGACATTAGGTAATGATGACAGCAGAAGCTCCGTGTTGTAAGCTAGCATCGCACGGCAAAACACAAAGTAACAAGCTCAAAAGTCCTAGTACAGCTGGCCACTAATGAGCAGCGACTCGACTGCAGAACCAATAAACTGTTTCTTGAGCGTGAGATCACATCCAAATCTATCAAACTGTTAGCTTAAGCCATAAGAAGGAATTTCAGAAAACCGTACCTTTGCTCTAGTTCACTCTTGATCTGCTTCTTGGTGACATTCATGAGGTCAGACTTGGATAGAATGTCCTTGATCTCGACCAGGATGGCCTCATCACTGGGCAGGTTGGCCATCTCCATACTATCCATTCCATGACCGCTGTGCGCGAGACTCAGTCGTGAATGGTTGTCGTAGCGAGGAAGATTGAGATGAGACATGGATCGAGATGGGGCCATGCCTCCGTATTCTGAGCCAGCAACAGATGCGTTTCCGAACGGCTTCCTGGTAGCGTATGTGTAACCAGAAACCTCTGAGCGGTCATCGCGGATTGTGTGCTGCTCCCACATCTCTGCCTGGTACTCTTCCCATCGCTTCTTGGGAATGGACGCAGGGTCGAACTTGCCCTCGTCGGATACAACGATATTTTGACCCTTTTCACCAACGATAAGACGCGTGTTACCCCATGAGAAATCGTCCATGAACCAGAAAGAGTACAATGGGAGGGCAAAGGAGAAGACCGGAGTGGCGAAGAGGTAGATAATCATCCAGCCAATCATTTCCCATTTGCGTCGGACAATGAAGATGATTGCTTGCAAACCATAGATTGCACCCAGAAGAATGAATGCCGTTATGGGTACAACATCCGGTGTGTAGACCAGCACATAGACAAGGTAACCAATGTAGACGATAATGACGGGCTGGACAACGGTGGAAAGGAGATCCATGAACACAATGAAGCGCATACTGAAACAGCAGAAACCACACAGTTGTTGCAGCGGAATCAGTTCGACCAGGTTGTGCACCGTAGAGTTGATCCAGCGACGACGTTGTGAGATGAAGACAGAGAAAGTATCAGGAGCGACAGTCCAGGCGTGTGCTCGCATGGTATACTTGGTCTTGTACTTGGGATGGAACTTGATAAGCAGCGTGGTCAGATAACGATCTTCTCCGAGATGTAGCAAGTTCTTGGTGTGCAGTGTATCGACTCGAATCTCTTGATAGGCCTCCACGACTTCTTTGCTGACGAACAGAGGCTTTCCAGTTTCGGCAGCGCGGATGCGGTACATGGTGAAACAACCGGGAAGACATGTAACGGAGCCGAACAAACTCTCAAAGGCCTTTGTCAAGTTGTGGGAGATGAAGTATTCGTAAACCTGCATCATCGTAACGAATGAAGACTTGGCGTTACTGAGAGCCGTTTCACCACAAATAGCAAGCAGACGAGTGTCGTGAAGGAACGCAGCAACAAATCGAGTAGCTGAGTCTGGTGCAATTTCAGTATCGGCGTCGATTTGTAGTAAGAACTCATAAAAGGTGGGATTAACACCAATGATGTTGCGAATGTGGTGATGCATCTCCAGTTCCAGTGGGCTCATAGGAAGATTGTAATGAACGCGGTTCAAGAATCGCATGAGGACAATCTGGGAATCACGCTTTCCTCGGTTACCAGGCTTTGAGACTTCAGATGGCTTTCCGACCTTGACGATGACCATGAAGGGAACAATGTGACCGTGTACTTCATACAGACCAGAGTAAATCTTGCCCATGTTGTGCTGGCGTTGACCTTCACCCAGACTCTCGAAACTCAATGGGTCTGGGTCTGTAGCTTCTGGTACACCGAGAATGTCAAGCACGATACGGGGAGTTGGCTTGTCGTTTCCTTGACCGATAATCATACCATCGCAGACAATAACGAGCAGTTTGCGTTTGTCGTCATACTTCATCCTGGCAGCAGAATCGATGGCACGGCGCAGAGACTCCTCGTCTTCGGTATATGCAGGGACAGTGGCGATAATGAACTTGTCAAGGTTTTCCGGATCGGTTTTGCGACTGAACTGGAGAGCTGCAAGGAACTTGAAAGCAATAATGGCGGCCAACACGACGGAGATGGCAAGCAGGAAGTAGGTAGCAAATTGACACCGTGCCGAATTCCTAGTGTCGAGATCTCCGACGTAGAACAGGTTGTTGAGACAGGTCAGCATGTTCGACTTGGACTGGGCGTTCAGAGGAAGATTGTCCCAGTACTTGCTGATATCTTTACCAGCCTGAACCCGGAAAATGTCCACAACAGAGTCTTCCATGAAGTTGGTGTCAATGGCGGCGTTACCTTGATCTTGACCAGGAGGGAACTTGAGCTGACGACCACCGGGGATGTAGTCTGTGAGGTCGTACACCTTGCCGTTCATGTAAGCGATAGCGTTGCTCTTTGAAGCAAGCGTTTTGAGATACTGAGGGCTGTAACCAAGATGTCCCTTCAGGTAGTTGGCCTTGAGGAACATTTGCTGCTCGTACCACCAATCAGGGCGAGAATCATTGGTGAAGTAGCGGAAGTCGTGGTATTGAGCATTCAAGTCGGTGGCACTGATCAGGTTGTTGACGGAGTCACTGTAGTTGGAGTTTTTGTAGTTGAGCTGGACCGCGGGGTCGATTCCTTGACCGCTCTTGCCCAAGCACAAAGCAGAGACTTGCACAGGGAACAGATTGGTGATGTCTTTTCCAGCATACTTCTCCAAGTTCTTCTGAGGAACAATGCTGGGGTAGTGATGAGGGATGAATGAGCCAAGATCGTAAACTACACCACGGATGCCCACATAGGATTTTCTGTTGTCCTTGCCGTCGAAAGAGGACAATTCGGCAGTGGAGTAGACATTTTGCTTAGGACAAATGACCCTGGGGAAACCAATCATGAGGAAGATGACGAAGGCACAACTCCACCAAATGATCATGTTGATGGCTAGCTTTTCACGCCATGCCGTGCGAACATCTTTGCGGGGGATGCGCCCGATGACTCGGATAGCCCAGTCAGGGATGAGCCAAGTCATGAGGTAAACAACGAAGACCCATCGCTTTCGACTGCCGGAAACTGGGACTGTTTCGAGCTCTTCCAGCTTTGCGTCTTCCGTCTTCTCATCCAACGCCTTTGGCTGCTCCAAACCGTGAAACATGTCACCGTTGGTGATACCAGATGGGGCTTCTGAACGAGCATCAACATCTCGAGCGCCGAAATAGTTGCCACCCTTGTCATCGTAGTATCCGCCAGGCGACGGTGAAAGCAGACCCGCTCGAGCATCGCCAAAAGAGCGGCCAGCATCAGCAGTGTGCAGATTATCATTGGAGTCAACTGGGCCGCGTGCGTAGGGAGTGACACCGGAAATGTTTGCAATCTCGAGCCAGCACTTCTCGCTCAAGAATACACCAGTAGCACCGACGCGAACTTCATTCTCACGCCATGGCTTTTGATCCAGAACCATCTCCGCCTTCTCCTTGTCACTTCCCACAATAGCAAGATCAGTTTGAGCAAGCCCAAGGAACTCGGCAAAGGGCATGAAAATGCTGTAATCAGCAACGCGCAAGCGTTGACTAATCTCAGCAATACCCAAAGCCTGCACCTGCTGGCGCACGCATTTGCTGTCGAATTGGTTCGCAATTCTTCGGTCATTGGGCTTCAAGCAGAAGACGAAGTAGGGGTTGGCCTTGCGGAGCGTCGACTCAATGGTTCTCAGGGAACTTATGAATTGACCAGCAGCACCAGTTTGCTTGGCCGATTCGCCAGGCTTCCTGACTCCTGAAGTAGTGCTCTCTGCATCGCTCATGGCGTCCTCGTCGAAAACGTTGAGAGGACGTCCAAAGCGGCCAGTCTTGTCGGCCTTGCGCTTTGCCATGCTTGGCTGGCGGGTAGGCTTGGAGCTGACGGTAGCTTGGACAATGGTGGACTTTTCCTTGGGATGGGACATCTTCTGCAGGGCCTCTTGTCCAAAGAGTTGTTGGATAAAAGGAGCCTGGGCAGACTTGAGCAGATGCATCATGTCACCGGAAATGAGTTCAGCATTCTCTTCCAAGAGACCCTCGACACTGTAGTCGACATCACCAGTGAAATGGCGGATGGTGAAGGCAGGCGAGGTATTGGGTGTGGGGAAGTTGCTTCCTGGCTGCACGACTGTCAGGCTACCTGGAACAATGGCCTGGTTCTTTCCGTCAAAACGCTTGCGGATGGCCTCGAGGAACTGCATGTCGGTTTTCCCACGACGCATTTGATCATCAAGAATGCTAAGGAGTCCGTTGCCTGGCTTCATCAAACCTGTCTTGACGGCAGTGTTGTCGTAGAATGCCATGGGAGGCAGGGAAATCTCTTCAGCCTCTAGTTCCTGGATTTGACGTTGGAAGAAGCTCTCCTGGCAGAAAGAGATCAAAGACTCATTGGCTGTGTTGTTGAGGAGCTGGTCAAGTGCTGAGCCTGTCGAGGCAAAGTTGGCAAAACCAGGGAAATCGACAAGGGACACAGTGTTGGAGATGTCCTCAGGAGCGACGGAGATTCTCGAGTTCATTTGCTCCATGACCCATGTGACGAGAAGTGAGTAAAGGGAGCGAGCCAGCTCATCTGCGTTGGCCCGCGCACCCTTGGGATCCAGCATGACCGTGACACGCTCACGGTACAGCGTCTTGGACTTGTATCGCAGACTTTGCTCGAGGCTGGGGATGGACACACCAAGGAACTGAGCAATAGGGTTGAGGGCTTCCTTGTTCTTGACAACAGTGATGGATTCGCCACCATCGTGCGAGTATCCACCGCTCTCGTCGGGCGCAGGTGTTGTGTTTTGGCCCATTTCAAACTCGAGCTGTCCGATGTGCAGAATGGTGGCCATGACCTCGCAAATGCCGGCAATGCTCTCCTTGCCGAACTCGAGCCTTCGGAGGGCAGACTTGAAGTCAGCAAAGCCCTTTGCATCGTCGATGCCCACCTTGAGCTGAGTGGGGTGGCCGAGGTATCGCCATCTCTTGTTGGCGCCAATCGAGGCGCGGTTGCCTCCGGAACCGTCACCACCGATGGCATCAAGGAACAAGTGCTTCTTTTCGTTGGGGCTGGTGCCGGCGAGGAGGTAGTAGAGGACATGGTAGGTACGCTCTCCGGTGGGGACCGAGGCGATGCGGCTGCGCTCGAGACGGTGTGCAAGGAACTGGGCACCGAGGAGGGTGGCGTGACTAGCGGTGGCGGTATTATACTGGAGCTCTAATAAGAGGCCAGACTTAGAGGCTTGCGGGGTCGTGAGCGATTTTGTCGTGGTAAAGGCATCGAAAACGAAGTTTGCATGTTCAATCTTCTTGGAGAGGGGCGTGGACGAGTAGGAGAGGAAGGACCTGAGCATGTGACCACGAATCGTGGTCTTTCCAGCGCCGGACTCGCCTCTGTTGTGGGGTTAGATTAGAGAAGACAGACGTGGATGGGATAGAAGACGTACAGGAAGACGACGGCCTGGTCCTCGGAACGTTGGCCGAGACGAGTGTAGGCGCGCTGGGAGAGGTCCTCGGCGGCCTGCTGAGCACTTCCCTCCTTGCCGCCATCGACACCGAGACTCGAGTCTGTGCAAGTGTTGATGGCGACAATGCCTTGTGAGGAGAGATGGGCAATGGGGAGATGTGCGTGGTAGCGACTGGCGAGGGCAGAAGTCAAGCCCGTGTCGTTCTGCTGGTGCTGGGGCAGCGAGGGCAGCGAGGGATTCTGCAGCGGGTTGGAGGCCATGGTGTGCAGACGCGTCCCCGTGGGAGCGTGAGTAGCGACCGTGGAAGTCAGCCAAGGGCGGCCGCGAGATCAGACGGCAGGAGCGGGTGGGATTGAGGAGTTGCTGGCTGGGTGCGGTGAATCTCTACTACAAAACAGCGGCGGCCGTGTCCGTACGGCTGGCTGCACACACGCGGGAGGCGGACAGGGCGGACGGAGCAGCCAGAAGAAAAAAACGAGGGCGTCACGGCAAACGGGGTGACTGACAGGCCCAAGAAGAGGAATTACAAACAGCGAGCGTGATGAAGGGTTTACAGTACAAACGAACGAGGGGAGAAGACGTCCAGGGCCGTTGCTCGTAGCTGGCAAAGGGGTCTCGGTGGTGAATAGTGGCCGTCTGCTAGATGCGAGGGTGCATGGGCCGTGGTATGCCTGTAGCTGGCCAGTTGCTAGCACGCTTTGCCCGGCCGGCGCACAGATCGGGCCATGGCGCGGCTTGCCCAGGAGACGCAGCGATCACGAAAAGGGGGCGCAAAAATAGAATAGAATACAGCACAAGCGGGCTATTGCGTCTCGCATCCGCCTCGACGGCTCCACCCGTCTGCTTTGGTTGATGCGGCCCAGCAGGAGAAGGCTCTGCGGAGCATTTCCAATTCTTTGGCACCCACGGCAGTATGGCCGTTGCTTGCTCAACGCTCCCCACCACACGACGGGACAGCATAGGGCACTGTGACTCGGGCGGGGGAACAGAGGGGGGAAACAAGCACAAATGCACCGTCTGGGGATGCGCCGTGGCCGTCCGGGAGAGTATTGTTGGGCCTGTTGACTGCGGAGGCGGAACTATGGGGAAGAAGAAGCAGAGGCGCAGGCTGAAGAAGCAAGACAGCACTTACCACACCGGGTGTTCGCAGAGCAAGCCAGCAGCAAGCCGGGTGGCGGCAACGACGCCTACTGCATGAGGCCATGCACTAGAGGGCTGGGGAGGGTGTATCGATTGCGTAGCCAACGTTGCACTCGTCAGCGCCCGACATGGCTGCTCCCAGAGAGCGGCTCGTCACGTGACTGCCGATATTCTGCACGCCAGCGCTAGAATCTATCGAGGCCCACCGCACCGCTCCACCAGGTCGAGGGCGGGCCACGCACAGGCTATGTCCGTCAGTACGTCCGTCTGCAAGTACTGTGTACATGGCGTGCCATACATAGGCACATCCAATACATGGCCATTCTGCTGACCGAGCACAGGGCCGACGATTGGATTGGCTCGTCTCGTGATGCGCGTGCGTGGCGAAATTGAGAGAGTCGCCCTCATGGCCACAGGTGAAACGGTCGTCGACATGGCGGGCAAGGCGGGCAGACGTCCCCCGTAGATGAAGGGGGAGCCCGTGTGAGTATTGGGAAATGCATGCCAGGCCTGCGACACCGCGACCACCGCCGCCCCCCTGCGCTCGACAACAAGACCTTGATCATGGCGGCGGCAGCGATCCCCACGGGCCCAGGCGGGCAGCCGTCGCCTCTTTATCGATACCTGACTGGCGGGCATGGCATGACATTACCTGACAAGCAAAAACGCGCATCCACATCCTCTTTCGTTTTTTGCCATCGCGCCGGCCATTGCTCGCGACACTCTGTCCATCGGCGGTACAAGACAGTAAACGGGCTAAATATAGGGGGGGTGGTGGGTGGGCTCGTCAGCCTTCTTTTCCACCAGCGCCACCCGCTCGTATTGGACCACGGGGGCAACGAGGTCCAAGAGCCGCCATCCATGTTTGGTTGCGTAGTAATGCATTGATGCTGCTGCTGCTGCATCCGCTCCATTGCCCATACACGCTGCCCGCTAACTCCCCCTAACCATACCGCGCCATTCCCCTTTCGCTCTGGCCGCCCATCCCCATCGCCTCGCGCCAACAAACATCGCCGGCCTGCTCTGCTGCTCTCTATCTGCGTCCGACGAGTCTCTCTCGTTGTGTATGTGTGTGTGTGCCGTTTTCTTCTTTCTTCATACAGTCGTTTAATCCATTCACTCGCTATCCTGTCTCTTGCTGTCGCGTCCAGCACTAGGCGCTAATCCACCTCTCCTCCCACCCGTCCCTGACACCTTGGGACTGTGGTACACCTGACACGCCCTTACATCTGGCAGACCCTCGTTATAGCATCGACGCCCACGCATCTCCAGAAGGGGCGACCCGCCTCAGCCCGTCGCCATGAGCTTCGTCAACAACTCCCGCATGTCCGTCTACTCGACGGCCTCGACTTCCGTGCCGCGCGGTGGAGCCCAGCCCTCGCAGACTTCCACCACCACGCTGCTCAACACCCTCAACTCGGCCTACAAGAATGGCCGCTCATACAACCTTGAGGCCAGCACCAGCCTCGTCGTCAACACCTGGGTCAATGCTAAGAGCATCGTTGACAACCGCATTGGCGGCACCGTCGACCTCGAGCTGGGCCGCAAGGCGTGGGAACACGCTCGCAGGAGAGCAGAAGATGGGTGCATAGTTCTGGCGTAGGCACTTCCCAATCACGACTGCACTCCGTTCCAACCTCACTAACAACACTTTAGTTCGCTCCATGCATCAAGCCCCTCGCTATTTTCTCCCTTCGTGTCCAGCCTGCCGCTCTCACTTCCCTCGAACTTTTACATTGCCCTCGAGGCTCTCAAGGCCTTCACCCACTGTGTCACCCCTCAAAACCCTTCTGCACCTCGCTACTCCGCATTGGCCTCCATCTTCACCATCAATCTCGCTGGCACTGTTGTCGGCGCCGAGATCAAGTTGTCCACATCTGGCCTTGACGTTCAACAGGGCCTGCTCCAGATCCCCTCGCAAGCCGGTTTCCGTGCGTTTGACGTCTTCTACTACCTCAACTCCAGCTCCGCATCGAGACAGGAGAAGGAATACCTCGACATTCAATCGCTAGACAAATACGCCCTTCTCCGCCGCTCCGGTACCTATGAAGCTCCTTCTTACCTCCCCGATGCCGACGATGCCGCCGCTTCCGAGGACTTCCGCGCCAACCTCAAGGCTATTGGCATCAAGGGCCAGAAGTTGACCAGCCTCATCAGCTGCCTGACTGGTCTGCTCAAGCTTGGCAATACCTTGGACTACTTCATGGATGAGGAGTCTCTTGCAGCCGTGTGCGACGATGTCGAGGCACTGATGGATTTGCCCGAGGGCACCCTTCGTCAGAAACTCGCCTCCAATGAGCGCGAAGTCGTCATCGGCGGTCTCTACGAGGCCATTGTGGACTTTGTCATTGTCCACGCCAATGCCTCCATCAAGAACGAAATCCATCGCGCCAGGAATGGCTACGCTATGGATGATAGCGATGGTAGTGGCATCATGACACCTGGTGGATCCGAGGACGGAGACATTGTCAACATTACTGTTGTCGATATTCCTAGCCGTGAGCTTGGTAAAGCGGTCGCACTTCGCACCGTCTTCGACGATAGCGAAGGCATCAACGCCGAGATGCGCGAAGACGGCGTACCCGTACCTCCAGTCGCTAACGCGGTGCTTGAGAGCATGAGGGACGCCATGCAAGTCTGTGGTGCCGAACTCGGCATCAATGGCGCAGCTCTGCGCGAGAAAGAGAACGACTTGGAGAGGCGCGAGGCGGTCCTGGACAAGCTCGGTCTCGAGATTCCAGACCAAGACAACTTCGTCAAGAAACTGCTATATCCCGTGCCCAATGGCGGTATCGTTCTCGGTAAGCACGGCCGCTTCGATCTAGCCATGACTGTGGCCAGTAGCAGAGTCTGGTTCCAGCTCGCACTTCACCCCTCCGACAGCATTCCTACATCCTTGAACCAAGATCTGAATTCCACCTGGCAAGCGGGTGTCATCTCCCGCCAACTACGCGAGTGGCGTCTCCCAGAATGGGCCAACCGACGCAACCGCAACCTCGACTTCACTGCCGATTTTGACCACCACGAGTTCCATGACCGATATGCCCCTCTTGGTTGCATGGACGGCCAAGAAGGCATTCAAAACTGGATTCTTCAGCGTGGCTGGAGCAATGGTGAAGTTGTGGTTGGAAAGGAGCGCGTATGGGTCAGAGAAGGCGTATGGTGGGAAGCAGAGTCACAGCTCGACCTCAAGACCCAAGAATTCGGTGCTTCTGGCGTCATGGGAGGCATGGTTGGTGCTGGTGCTATGGACAGCGCATACAACAACCAGCTCCCACCCACCGCGAGTACCTTCTTCCCGCCTCTTCCCGACGCGCGATCCGCCACTCCTCAAAACCCGTTCCAGAGCACGACTAGTCTTCACGCAGGCGTTGCTGCGGATGCCAAGTCTCTTGCTCCCACCGCCCGTACCGTGCCAACTACTGGGCCTGGTGATTACGGTCTTGGCATGAAAGGCGATGAAAACAAGGGTGTCTCTTACTTTGACCTCGAGAATTCTGGCAATGGCGTCGTCACTCAGACCAGCTTGACTACTTCCCGAAGAATATGGGTTGCGTTCGTCTGGGCAGCCACATTTTGGGTCCCTTCACCACTGCTCAAATGGGTTGGGCGAATGAAGCGACCTGACGTTCGCATGGCATGGCGAGAAAAGCTTGTTTTGGTCATGCTCATCATGCTGCTCAACGCCACGATTATCTTCTACATTGTCGCTTTTGGTAAAGTCCTGTGTCCCAACAAAGACAAGGTTTGGGACACGAAAGAAGTGTCCGCTCACCAGGGTGCAAGCGATTACTTCGTCAGCCACCACGGTGTTGTCTACGATTTGACCTCTTTCTGGAGGAAGCAGCACAGTGACTCCAACACCGAGACCACCAATGAGCGCATGATGGAAATGGCCGGAGCCAACATGGACCCCTACATCATCCCGCCGCTATATCTTGCCTGCCCCAATCTCATCCAGGATACCCCCCAGAACCGTGTCTTGCAGCTGAAGCTCAACACCTCCATCGCAGAGAGCCTCAACTCTTTGGCTGTGCACACTTCCGGCTCGCAAACGAACATGCCTGACAGCAAGGCCTTGAAACAAGAAAATTGGTACCCCAATGTGTTCCTCCCGGCT